TGTCCACGACTGGACCTGACGGTCAGGGGTCCCTTTACCTTTAGTTAGCCCCAAAATGGAACAGCAAAGTCCCAATGAAAGAAGAATGGCAAATTAAACTGATGGAATATGCACAGCTCGCGGACCTAACATATAGAATAAGAGAACAAGAAGAATATACGTATAAAGAAGACTGGAAAATGTTTACTGAATATATGGGGAAATTGTATACATTTGAAAACGTAGCCAGCATTAAGATAAATTCAACAGTGTAATTAAGTTTTGATGGATGTAATAATGGAACTACTGAATGGCTTAGTTTATATAAAATATGCAAGGATTATATTATGCAAAATGAACCATGGAAAGAGATGAAGGGAAGTCACTGATACTGTAAGGTTGTTTGAATGAATATTCTAAAATGTAAAACAGAAAATTTAATAAAAATTATAGAAAGAAGAACGGACCCAGCCCTGCCCTGCATGTGGTTCAGGCAGGGACCTGGCAAATGATCCCTCTTTACCATGCAATCCTAACAGTGTCTGCTCAAAAGCAAGGCCTACTGAACTCCCTGGGACTTACTCCAAAGTAAGTGGGGTTAGGGTTGCAGCCTTAAGCACCTTTGTGTATTTAATGTAGTGGAAGAGAGCCTGTCAAATAGGTATGCAGAGGTGCACAAAAATCTCTCACGACACTGTTAGAGAGATAAGTTTACTGCTAACAATCACCGGGCATAATATAATAAAACTTGGCCAGGGATTGCATCCAGTGGATAGGAGTTTAAAGGGTCTCAGGGGTGGAGGAAAGTTCCAAACATGTGTCTTTCCGCTAAGGCTGGCGATCCACGAATATTGAACGAGGTTTCCCTGTTTCTTGTTTCTAAACCAATTAGATAAAGACCAGGCTAATCCGCCATTGTGTCTGCAGGGTCAGGAATAGAAACCAAACAATGGAATTTATGTACTGAGAAGGTAGGTGTGCATTTAACTCAGCTGAGTTAAACACAGCTGCTTCATTGAAACGTAGTTATTTATTTGTGAGATTTATAGTCCACCTTGCATTAAATATAATCCGGGGGGGGGGGCAATATGATAAACTAAAAACACAATTAAAATCAACACAACCTTAAAACAGCAAATAGGAACAAGCCAACAAGTTTGGTGAGGGGCAGACGAGACCATCTCCACCAAGTTTAACCAAAAGCCTGGATGAAACTGGCACTGAAAATCCATCAGGGTGGCACCAGTTGAACTTGAGAAGGAAGAGTAATCCATGACTGGGGCACTAGCGCTGGGAACACCCTCCCATATGTTGCCACAAAGTGGATGTTTAGCAGATGTGGCACAGTCAAGAGGACATCCATACAAAATCAAATGTGGGCATATGCCTTTGGAAACAAGTGCTCCGTCAAGAATCCTGGTCCAGGATGGGGAACCTGTGGCCCTCTCGATGTTGCTGATGTCCCATAATTCTGCAGCCGTTGGTTATGCTGGCTGGGGCTGGTAGGAGTAACATTGGGTGGGTCACTGATTTTCTCATCCCTGATCTAGGTCCCTGATCTGGCTTTATATGCCACAACAAACATATTGAATGTGGTTTGGTAGCAAACTGGCAGCCAACAAAGCTCCTTTGGAACTGGTATGCTATGCAAGGACTTCTGGGGCATGTTAAAGGAGGTAACAGCTGTGTAAGTAAGCAGGAGACAGGGGTAAGGGGAATGAATAGTATATCCAAGTGATGCCTTGGTTATTGGAAATTCACCCAGACATACACAGTCTCAGTTATCCTAAGCTTTGCAGAAGCTGTCCCGTTTTTGTCTGCAACCAAGAGAGTTAAAAGCTTATCCTTTTAAAAAGGAATTAAGGGAAGATACCCAGATTCTGCCACACCTACAGGACTTTGTATTAGGTGCTAGATAATAATTGTGCAGTCCCATCAACTCCTACAGGTCGGGGATAGGAAACCTGTGGCCTTCCAGATGTTGCTGGACTCCCAACTGCGAGCCAGCATGGCCAACGATACAGTGGCAGGCTTTCAAATGTCAGCAGTGCCCTGGGTGACACCAAAATCCAGTGCCATGGCACCCCTCCCCTTCTTGCCTTCCACTCTATATCATTGTTGTGGCACTCAGTGTGGGCGAACTGGTCCCACTCCCCTAAATCTGCCTATGAAGGGTGATAGGAGGGTGTTCAGGGGTGGGTGGTCTGATGTGATGGAAGCTCTTTCCTGACTTCCTGGCAGGTGTGTTGTTGTTGCTGCTTATGAGGATGGAGAGCGGGAGGACATGGCAAGGTGAGCATGTGGCACAGACATGTGCCAGCTGAGCCAACCCAATGTTCCTGCTGGTGGGCTTCGCATCATGCCACCCTCCCCTGCCACCTTGATCCTCCCTCCAGATTCAACACACACTAATGAAATAACTAATGTGACAGAGGGAAGGTTTTGACTAAAAGTGGGCGGCAGAAGGGAGAATTCTGGAGACAGAAACCAGCTCTGGGGGAAAAAAATGAACATTCTGTTGCTCTTTGTGGCAGGCAGGAGAGAACTGAGTAGGAAGGCACTTTCCCATTCTCCTGCTGCCAGTGTGGAGAGCAGGCAGAAAAAGAAAAAGGCATCTAGCTGACACTGTGCTGTGGGGTGGGTTCCCTCCTGTCTTGCCCAATGTTCCAGAAGGTTCCCTTCCTGCGCCCTCAGAAGCCACAAAGGACTATGGGAGACGGTGGTCTCTCTCTGTGTGTCTTTTTTCTGTTGCTTTCCAGGTTGCATCAGCTGGGTCCATGAACCCCTTGCCATTCACTCACTGTTGCTCTTCAACCTCTTGCTAATTTTGGGCTCTGTTCTCTAAGAAAACAGAGTAAGCAGGGTATCCCATTCTTTTCTCACACCCCTCTCTCTGTTTTCTTTCCTTCTGACAGCTTGCAGGCTTTCTTCCAAACGGCCCTGCTATATACCTGGGCAAGAGATCTTCCCGTTCCAAAGCAACCAACAGAACCCGAGTAGGTGAACAGGTGGAGCAGTGGAATGATGGATGGACCCATCTGGCGGGTGGCCTGGGGGCTCAGGCACTGCCACCTCAACAGCTGTGCACAGATGGCACCATCTCACTCAGCCAGAGTGAATTTGCTTTTGCAGGCAGAGCTCGCCAATGACACTTTCTGCAGATCCTTCCCCGTTACAAGATGCTTGGGTGGCAGAAGCTGCTTAACACCCGCTCTTCTCCAGCCCCTTGACTTCAACCCCAGCTTTGAGTCACAGCTGAGCTCCCCACCCAGCTCACATCTGGGAGCTGAGACTGTGGCTGCTGCAAAAGGGAAATGCCAGCTGCAAGGACTCCCCATTCCCCCCCTTCGCCTGGCTCCTTGACAGCACTGGGCCATTGTGCCACTCACTAAGCAAAGAGCTAGCTCCCAGGGAAGGCTGGCGATGGCAAGGATATTTGCAAAGCTGTGTTGGGTACCCAGGCGGTCTCAGATGCTGTAAGGAGCTGGATTGCCACTGGAGAAAGGGACTCAGGCCCAGGATCTGGTGCCATCAGCATAAGCAGAGATGGCGGAAGAAAGCCAAGGTGTTGGAAGAGGAGGATGCTGCAGATTGGATTTAAGAGGAGAGAGGGCGGTGGAGGAGGAGTTCGAATGGCACATCACGATAAATGGGAAAGAGGGAGAGAACCAAAGCTCAGGATAACAGATGGACTGTGGGATGGGATTGAGGAAAAGGGAGCCGAGAGTTGGGCTGTGAAGTGGGGGCTGCAGGTCAAAACGAAGAGACGTGGGGCTTAATTCAACATGGACGGGAGGAGCTGAGGCCTTGCGTAACAGGTGGACTGTGGGATGGGATTGAAGGGCATTAGCAAACCTGAAGGGTGGGGTGGGGGCAAGGAGGGAGAGATCCGACAAATGCCCTCATAGGTCAAGGCCAAGTGCCATTGTCAGAGTTGATCTGGAGTAGATCACAGGACCGAAATAAGCAGAGGATGAGACGAATGCTCATGCTGGCGTTTCTCCTGAGGCCTGTTGTTCCAGTTGCCACAAGAATAAATAGGTATACAATATACGTATTATTTCTACAGTAGTTGTTTCCCCTGTTAATACTGAGCAGGGCTGAATGGTTGAGTCTCTACATATACCCTGAGCAACTGTGGACTAATTCCATAAGGCACAACAATTAATGAAATAATGAAACCTATTATTTGGTCTGACTACTAACAGTTCGCTACTATGAACATTTACTTAGATTTAACGAATGCTTTAATATCACGCAAAATAAAGTTAGCTGCATAAACATTTTTTATATTAAAAAAACCTCATAGGTCTGATGCATTTCTTGGAGTTTCCTGGTCAGGCTCCCGCTAATACGATGTCAGACCAGAGCATGTGACCAAGGCAACATGAATCTCCTTTTTCCAGTTCTGGCTGCCATAAGACCCTGCTGGCCATTGCAAGCCCAACTCTCAAAGGCAAAACACTGCCACCCTTGTGGGCTAAGTAAAGGCTGCTTAACTGAGGCACCCGGCAAGATTCTGCAGCCTGAGCGTAGCCCGGGCCTCCTACAAAACAAGGAGGCAGATTGTTGGCTTCCTCAAGCTACACCCACCCACGGGATACACAGAGTCCTCTCACTATCCATCTGCTGGGACCATCAGGAGTTGGGGATTCAGCATCTGCTCCCAAGGGAGGTGTGAAAGTGGCAGAAACGAGAGCAGAATGAGCCAGGAGGCTGAGTGACTTGATGTCGCTAGAAAAGCTCAAGCAAAAGGGCGGGAGGTGGGGGGAGAGGAGAGAAAGAGAAAGAGAGAGAACACTGCCCAAGTGAGTTGAGCCATATTGCTTGGCTAAACTCACAGCCTTTAATGGAATCCCTTCCCTTGGAATTCCCATTCCTTGCCGTATTATTTCCCCATTAGCAGCCCTACACAGTCTGGTTTCTTGCTGTAGAATTGAGCACAGGTTCTCGGACGCCTCCTTGTTGGCAAACCGCACGTGTGTGTGTGTGTGTGTGTGTGTGAGAAATACAATCGTTCAGAGATTACCAACAAAGGTTTATTTTCGGCACTTTGAAGATCTCAAATATGACTAAGATCTTACAAACAGAAGCAATGCTTTCTTCCTGACCTGCGTGTGGCTGTGTCAGAAAAGAAGACAGACAGGCACAGGTGACGCTCTTGCATGCCCACTTCTCAGTTTCCACTCCTTTCACAGCAGGACTTGGGGCTTCTTCTTCACGCATTGCAAGCTTAAGACAATGCTCTCTAAATGTGTGCATAGAAAAATGTAATGTATGGACCTGCCCAAATTTTTATTGAGAGCAACCGGGGTAGAATGCAGTTTCCCAATCAAGGGCTGAACTAGAGGCGATGCAAGTTGTGTGAAAGCAATTCGCCCACAGGGAAGAGGGAGCAGCCTCAAGACCATGAGGAGGAAGGGGACTTGAACTCTGTTGTGGTTCCGAGAAGACCTGCTTCTCCAATACAACTATTTGCATTTCTATTAGTGCCAGTGGGAACCTGAGGCTAATCACAACTAGGTTTGCTGTTTGTTCTGGTTTAGCACCGAAGAGTGGGTTTTTCAGGGGAAAGCTGCGGGACAAAGGTCAAGTGCAAAACTGCTTTCTAGGCACAGGAGAAGTGGAAGTGTAAACAAGCCCTTCCTCCGAAATGCAAATAGTAGCTTTGGGGAAGAGGTGGGACTCTGGTAGGCAAGGAAAGAGTTACACTTCACTCCCAGGGTCCCCACAAATGCTATTCCCATTGCCCCGACACACGAATTCAAACTTTTACCTGTTCCTATTGCAGTAGTGCTGTGTACATTTTCTTCTTTGTGCAACTAACATTGCATCTAGTCTGGGCTCTGGTAACAGAGTTTTTCCTGCTACAAAGGTGAGAAGCAGCCCCGAGATTGCCCCAGCTGTACGACTGGGGGATCAGGGCCACGATGTTGGTGGCACTGAAGCTCCATTGTTCCTTCTGCTGAACGTCTGCACAGGGAAGTCAACAGAAGTCACAGAGCAGCTGGGAGGTCGTTGTGTCACTTGTCCCTGGACAAAGAGGTTTCAGAGAACGTCCTCAATGCTGCATTAATGTTCAGAGTCTGTGTCTTCACTCATCCTAGAGAGGAGAGGAGGTATTAAAAAGAGGGTGAAAGAACGAACATTTCCACGGCTGCCAAACAAATTAGAGTTTTGTTTTTTTAAAAAAAATCTCATCAACAGCCTTGCTGTTAGCTAAGTAATTAGCCAATTTGTGTAACATTTTCAGTATCTCAACAAAAGCCACTATTTGGAGATTACTTATTGACGGGAACAGTTCCTACAGTCACAGGTTTCTGTATTTGTAGGCGGCTGCTGTGATACCTGGAGGAACAGAAGCGGCAATCCTCAGCTCATTTACTTTCTAGTAAAGCTCCTCAAAATGCAGTAGGACTTCTCAGTCAAAGTGCACTGGCTTGCTAAAGAAAAGTGCCCTAAACACCAACCAGAGAGCCAGTGTGGTGTAGTGGTTAAGAGCGGTAGTCTCGTAATCTGGGGAACCGGGTTCGTGTCTCCGCTCCTCCACATGCAGCTGCTGGGTGACCTTGGGCCAGTCACACTTCTTTGAAGTCTCTCAGCCCCACTCACCTCACAGAGTGTTTGTTGTGGGGGAGGAAGGGAAAGGAGAATGTTAGCCGCTTTGAGACTCCTTAAAGGGAGAGAAAGGCGGGATATCAAATCCAAACTCTTCTTCTTCTTCTTCTTCAACCTCCACTTGGGTATGGGGGGGGGCGGACTCAGGCCTTGCAACTTGGCACAGCTCATACTAGACAAGGAGTGGCTAAGCTACACCCTGCAGGCCGTAGGCTGCCCTGCCCCCTCACAAAACTCGCCAGCACAAGGTTGTATTTTTTTTAAAAAAAGCATTATTTATTTTCTCTGTGTGTGCATGAGTTCCCCACTATGAGTCCATGACTGCAAATGTTTTTTCTGGGTCCCTTCTCAATGCGCCCATCTTTTAAAATGGTGGCAGGCATTTGCGGCCCGCTAGGCCTCTCTAGCTATCCCTCGGAACTCTATTTCTCCCTTGTCCTGCTTCGTACTCCAGCTAAAATAAATACTAGAACTCTTGTTAGTATCTTTTCCTTGTCTGGATGGGGGATAGAGAAGGGGTGTGTGTGTGTAGAAACAAGCCTAATGCACCAGGGTAAAAATTACATTTCCTCATTTTTCTCTCAAGTCCAACCTATCACAGGGATACGGACGGCCCCTGGAAAGTTGCCCAGAAGCGAATGTGGCCCTCAGGCTGAAAAATGTTCCTCAACCCTGTTTAAACACACACACATTGCTCTTGAAGGTCCCCTACTTTGATGCTAAGAGGTTTTTTTTGCAGCCCCACAACCTGCCACATTTGACCCAGCCAATATATTTTTTTTAATTTTGAAAAAAGCACACACAATGAAGGACGTTTTTCCTTACTGGCCTCCTGCTGCGACACCATGATCTAAAAAGCTTTTTGTGATTCCCCAGGACACTGCGCCCTCCCTACCCCCACCCCTACTTGTCCTTCAATAAAAAATTAATTTGTTTTTTCCTGAACTGAATAATCAATAATGAATGATAAGGCATGATTTAAGACATCATAGAATAGTTGATGGTAAAGATTCTCAGAAGGCAGCCTTGAGAACTGCAGGCCTCGTTTGTGGCCTTTTGCATTTAAGCCATTCCCACTTCTGAGATGTAGCCCCCACAAGATCAGCCATAGGGCAGTGTGCCTCTGGTGGTGGGTGTCCCCAACATATCGGAATTGTGCAGAACAGAAGCCCTGGCACTGTATACCCACACCCTCACGGGCACTAGAGAAATCAGGGCCTAAGCAGAGATGGCATGCGATATTTTTCTTGGTTGGAACAGGATTTCCATCGCGAACGTGTGCTGCTGCCCAGCTCTGACCCTGCAGTGTGAGCCTCGTTGGAAACCTATGACCGGGGCAAACAGCAGCAAGAAAGAGGTGAAATTCAAGGCATCAAAATAGCTTGTACCTTTTGGAAGGTGTGGGCAGGATAAGCACCTACATCTGAGTGTCTTTCCCTTTTTAGGCTAGAATGTGTAAAAGGAGCATAGAACCAAAAGCACCGAGGAATCCATGATCTGGGGGTGGAGAGAATCCACCGCTCATAATAATAAATAATAATAATTTTGTATTTGTACCCTCCCCTTCCCGGTTCAAAAACCGGGCTCAGGGCGGCTAACAACAACTTTAAAACACTTAATTGATGCAACAAAAAAACAGCATAAAATACAGTATAAAATGTGAATAACAATAAATTCAGAATTCATGTACCTTTCCTGAATCTAGACTAGATCAAGCACAGCGCCATTTGGGGGTTACACTGAGCAACGCAAACCTGTTAAAAACTTGCAGCCCTGGTAAACACTCCCAGCACATGCACACACACACACACACACACACACACACATGCAAACACAACTAGGCGTATCATAAAAAGCAGGAGCAGCATGGGACGGGAGGGCACAAGAGCCTTGGCCTGGGGCAGCGCATGCTGGGGGTGTATCCTGCACTCAGCACCCCTTGAGCTGAACAGAGACAACAACAGCTGGGATGGTGGCAGATGGTTCTCAAACCCCAGTGGCCTGAACGAATGCAGAATCCTGCATGCATCAGGCTCCAAAGGGTAGGAGGGCAATTTGCCAGCTCTCTGCAGAGGGACTTGGCCTGCCTCATCTTCACCTCTTCCATTATCCCGCCTTCAGATAAATGCTAATAGCCTTTCAGGGGGGCTGACACTTGCACTCACTTAAAACACCTATCACTCACTCCCTGCCAGGATTACGATCCCTGCTCCTCCAAGAGCTTCAGCCTGAAGGCAACTGTCAGATTACGGAGGGGAAGCATCTCCAAAACAGCTTCCCTGGCTGCCTTTAACCTCCAAGGCAGAGCTTGCGTATTATGAATGGAGGTGGTCCCAGGGTCAGTGGACATTCTAGGCTGAAAATGAGACTAGGGGCTGAAAATGAAGCCACTACAGATAACAGGCAGGTCATAAGTGCGGCGAAAGGACAATAATAAGGACAGCATTAAAAAAAAATGGATTCTGGTTTATTATTTGGACATAGCACCACATTTGGATTGCAGATCTGGAATGAAGCAGAAATGAACTGGAACGAAAGCAGGTTTTGGGGCAGAGTGGCAAACAGGGCCAGACCAAAACATTTTGCCGCCTGATCCACGGCACCTAATTTCCCCCTCCCCACCATGCTAGGTCAAATGCTTTTTAAAAGTTCTGCTGCACCATTCAGAGATTAATCCCTTTCCTCATCAACTATCCTCCTAAACGCCACCCTCCCCCTCCGAACAGAGCAAATCTGCCCTGGCTGCAAGCCGGAGTGACGTGGGTTGGTTTGTAGGAGCAAAACATCACCTGGGTGACTGCGGATTTAACACAGCATAGAAGATGCAGCGGTCTCAATGCCCAGAGCAGCCAGAGTCCTGCAACTCTGAACTGGAATGGGCAACCTCCAGGCTTGCAGGATCAACTTTGGTTTCGTTACAAGAACCAACTGAAAGTGGGTTCAACATAGTGGCAACAGAAAACCAGGGAACAGGGTAGTGCAGAGCTCACGCTCAGCCCAAGAATTGGTTTTCACTGTGCCAGAAACTGAGCTACACAATCCTGACACACAAAAATCCACTTTCTCCCCAAGCTTTCTTCATCTTTTCAGTAGCCTAACTCATAAGGGCAGGTTGTGCGAAGCATTTTTGCTGTTGCGATTGTAGAAGAAGTGAGGATTGGGAAAGAAACTGTTGGTAAATCTACTGCAAAGCACCCAGACATCTACCTTCTGCCTACCCCATCCGTTTCAGGACTTGCATTTTTCTGCAATACCACCACCGGCTTCTGTTGCATTTGCTCAAAGGACAGCAAATCCTGTGACCTTCTGAAGGCAAATGCGAACCAAACGCATTTCTGCCATGCCCAGCCACGTGATTCCCCAGAGAACACACGGCGCAACACGGTGCTTTGCTGGAAATAGCCTGCTCCCGGAGGCTGTGTGGGCCCTGCGGTCATTTCACCTTGCCAAGTTACCCTAGCTGTCCCTTTAATGCCATTACCGAAGAGCATTAAAAAAGCAGATTGCCCAAAGGGGATGCGCGGCCAAGCATCCCACCCAATCGCCCACACCTACCTCTCTGGCTGAGGTGATGCAGAGACAGCTTCCAAATGATTCCGGATGTACTCTCTGGATCTTATGTCGGCCTGGAATCAGGGCAGAAAACAGAACCGGGGGGGGGGGGGGACACACACACACACAGTTTGTTTTGGCTGGCTGATGTCTGCGGTTGTATCTGAGGAGCTTGTGGTAGGACGAGAGGGAATAAATAACACCCAATGAACAAGGAAGAAGAAACGCCCAAAGCCCAGTCCTGCCCATGCTTAGGCCAACCATCTGAGGAACATTTTCTGGACTGACCTCTCACCCAACAACTCACCACAAGGCCTCCATATTAATTCCAGGCTATGCTCCAATCTGGCTCAAGTAATTAGGCAGCAAAACACATCCCTGGCACCCGTCTACGGCCATGGGTACCATTTTATTATTATTATTTTTACAGAATGGGCATTGAAATCAAGGAACAAATCCAGAGGCCTTGTAGAAGGGTCAGGCTACCCTGCGCCCACTTAGCCTTGGGTGTTTCCACTCTGGAAGCCATCTTTCTCATTGTCACTTCTGACCTGACCCCTTCTAAAAGTTAAAATGATGGGGATTTGACCTTCTGCACGCACAGAATGCAGAAGACCCTGATGTTGGGAAAGATGGAGGGCACAAGGAGAAGGGGACGACAGAGGACAAGATGATTGGATAGTGTTCTTGAAGCTACCAGCATGAGTTTGACCAAACTGCGGGAGGCAGTGGAAGACAGGAGTGGCCTGGCGTACTCTGGTCCATGGGGTCACGAAGAGTTGGACACGACTAAACAACTAAACAACAACAACAATGCACAGAATGTACTCTGCAGGCATGAGCTGCTGTGAGCCTTCCCTAATCCATGTCTTGATTCAATGGGAAGTGCCTTCTGAATAACTTGGAGAAAACGGTCTTCTATACCTATGACTTGTTCAGCAGGTTAGAGATTTCCCAAAGGCGATTCAAGCAGTTACTTCTAGGCTATGAATATATTGTATGTGAGCATGTGCATGTATGTATGTGAGAGTTTTTGACTGATTCGCCGGCTCAAACAGCAGGTGTGCCACTTCAGTGTTCAGAACGAAGTGATGTGAGCAGGCGCATGCTGCCAAAATGGCTGAGCTGAGTGAAATAGCAGAGAGCCAGTGGGACAAAATTCTCATCACGGGTTGTCACATGCTTCCTTGGGAAACATATTTCACTAGGCTTCCCAGGGGAATCACTTCCTAATTCTAGAACAAGCCAATACTTGGTGGAGGATTTGTGGTCTGGCTGGGTTTATTGATTATATATATATATATATATATATATATGGATTATAGATTGCTTACTCAGAAAAATATTTAAGTGGTGTATACAATAAAATAATGTCAATAATTACAGCAATGCTTTTAAAAACAAATATATCTGACAGCAAGACCAGCGCAGCAACGGGATCATCAGCTTTCCTCATTGGAAAGATTTAGGAACCCATGAGGTCCAATAAATCTCCAAGGACGAACCATCTGAATGGGCTCATCACCCTTGCGGGGGAAATTGCTGCCACTAACTCAGAGCTCACCAGATGGTAGACAATATAGACATCCCACAACCCGCCCTTCCCAATTTCTGACCACTTCTCAAACCACTTGGGGCAAAGACTTGGTGTGTTTGACCAGCAGTCATTTGAGATAGTCCCTGTGCCAGGGCTGAGAATGGGGTGGAGGGTTTATCATTTCCTGTGGTTGGCCAGCCAGGATTCAGAACAGATCTCACCAGGCCACCTTAGGCCTGCACACAAGTCTCCAGCCCCTCTGAATTGCCATTGGCCTTTGCCAGGGCTTAGAGCTGCCTATTATAACTTGCATGGTACAGCTCAGACTCTCCCTGCCATGCCTACAGAGTTATCTGAGGAAGGTCTCATTTCGTGCCATGAGCCAGCAGAAGGCCTGGGGCACAATATACCCCGTGCATGCCCTAGATTTCCCAAGCCTGCATGTTGTAAACTGAATTTTTCTGCATGTTGTAAACTGAATTTTTCTGCTGCTCCAGAGAAGCGGACATGGAGCAATGGATCCAAACTACAAGAAAGAAGATTCCACCTAAACATTGGGAAGAACTTCCTGACAGTAAGAGCTGTTCGACAGTGGAATTTGCTGCCAAGGAGTCTCCTTCTTTGGAAGTCTTTAAGCAGAGGCTTGACAACCATATGTCAGGAGTGCTCTGATGGTGTTTCCTGCTTGGCAGGGGGTTGGACTCGATGGCCCTTGTGGTCTCTTCCAACTCTATGATTCTATGATTCCAACTCTATGATTCTATGATTCTATGTATCCATGGAGGCAGCAAGGGAAGGGCTCCATTTGCAATGCTTAGGCCTGATGTACAAGCCAATACCCAGTTTCACCATCTTCCAGGCTTCCCAAATATCACAGAATAATCTGCCTCCCCAACCCCTATCACTTGGGATTGAGTTTCTGCAGCACTCCGTAGGACAAAGTTGGTTTGTCCATATTTGGACAGGCTAACTTTCTTTCTGTTGTTGTTAACCACTGGTTTTCGTTAACTATTTCAAACCAATACATGGCATTCAGCCGTTGTCCTTCTTCTCCCCCAAACATAGTGCAGCTGCTCCTATTAAAGCGTCCCTGGTAGAGTCTCCCTCCCATCGCCTTGGCAATTGGGGGACCCCAGCAGCCAGGCTCCTTGCCCTCTGCAGAGACGGCTCCTTCTGTCCCCCAGCTAGGCATCTTTCCCTCTCCTCCATGTAGCTACACAGTTGTCCTGCACACCCTCAAGCCTCTTCTCCTCTTTTGCCCAAGGCAAAGCTGGCCCCCCCACTTCTACTGGGGGAATGCTAAAAATGCAGATTTCCTCTTCTCCCCCTATAACTGGCTAATATTCTTTAATACCACTGCAGCTCAACTAATGCCTTTGAAGAGAGAGAAGCTTACATGTGTACACAGAGGCAGCGTTAGTCTTTGTATGCAATGGGAACTGTGGTCAAAAATGACATGGCTGATTGTATCAGGCCCTCAGCCCAATTGCTTCTTAGGTCTCACTGTTCCATTAGAGCTTGTCAGGTCTATACTGAGACGGTACATTTAATAAGAGTTAGATTAGGGGAATTTCGCAATGTGCTGCTTTTCAGTGCCTGCCAGCTACCAGCATCTCTCAACATTGGGAAGGTTCATTATGACAAACTTTGAGACTCCTTCTCCTACAGTTTTCATTAGTCCCCATCATTCAGCTCCATACCAGAATTCCCTTTGGGACAAGGGAATCTAGATGGCTCAAACAAGTAAGTTGTGTTGTATGCTACAGTAGAAGCTAAAAGCCACCCTGTTCTTCCAAAATAAATCCATCCATTTGGAGTGAAAATGGAAAATGGCTCTAGGTGGAACTGTTTCACTGGATGAATTTCTCTCATCTTACACCCAGCTGACAAATAACTCTGCTTCTTTGATTAAAAAGTTGGCTTTGCAATGAAATTCACGACCAGGGACTTCCAGTCCCTAGTGGCCCAAATGGGTTCATAACCAGGGGATTTAAATGCATTCCAGTATATTTCAATAGAACATGGGGCATTTCATTTCTAGTTTATCAAGTGTTACACTAACTGGTAGCAGCATCAAGATACCTTCATTTCACTTTTGGTAGCCTGGGTTTGGGAGACACTCCCAAAGCAAGTTTATCTGATGCATCATTAAGTGTCCTTTTATATTGCAAAAAAGTCTTGCCAGTCTTCACTCCTAGCACTGTGCTAAGAGTCAGCTTAACCCGGCTTATTAAACCAAGAGGCTAATCAATAAGATGGATCATGTTGCCTTAATAATCCCCCCAGATCACACCTATTTTTGGAATAGACTAGCTGCAGCAGCAGCATTAGGGGCTGGAGGTTATGCCGGGAGTATTTTGGGAAGAGATTTGGGCATATCAGCCCAGGGCATGGTTGGAGACTGTGGAGCATGGAAGTTCTGTTGCCACTGGACTGGAATCTGTTTCATTCCAATGCTGGGAAGCATGGAAAGAAGGGCCTAAAATTACACAGCAAGCTTTCCTCCTGCCCTTTTTTGGACAGGGGACTTTCTCCTGTGTAGCAGTGAGAGCAGGGGTAGGGGTGAAGCAGCCCACCATGACTAGAGGGTTGTGAGATGTGGGGCACGCTGCAGCAATCAAACAGAAGCACTGGAGCAGTTTTTCTTTTCAAATATACATTGGAATGAGCTCCATTCTCAAGCGCACACAAAACCTTGGATCACTGAACACTTGGTGACTTGGAAACGCAAACCGATCACACCGAAAGGCCTTGTGTTTGTGCTGATGTGGTGCAGCACAAGCATTTTTCTCCCTCCCTCTCGTTCCCTCCCTCTGATGCTTCAACTATTATGGCTTCTTAGGCAATGCTGTAGCCAATAAATGATGAGCATGTGCAAGTTCGTGCGAAGCAACCACAGATCAAGAGGGAGCCCCAACTACGCACACTCTGCCAACTAAGAAACGTTCCCTGCGGTTTTGGTAGCTGGGCCCTGCTACAGAGAAGGGAAAAGCCGCTTCTCCTGAACTTTTTCCTACCTTGCAGTCAGCAAAGGCACAGGCTATTGGCATGTCTGATTGCCCACACACCACTCTACAATCTCTCGCTGCTCAAAGGCAGCCTCCAGGTTAAGAAAGGTGGTCTAGCACTGCCACCTTCTGGCTGCATTCTCAACTGGTAGCTTCTGCAGACCCTCTTGCAGGGTCCTGAGCCAGAGGCAGCACCGCAGTCTGGTGATGTGAGCAATGCCGCTAGAGCAATTCAGCCAGCCAGCGCACAGCCTCTCAAAGGGGCTGCAGCTGGCAAGGCATTTCCATGTCAAGAAAAGAGAGGCCTTAGGAAGGAGGTGGACAATTTAGCCTACTCCTTTTATCATCGTGTTTGCCATTTAAGTCTGCTGATGTGCAGGTTTGCCAGTTATTTGTGGGCAACCTCCACCTGCATCGTAGGCAGTAATATATCATGCAGTGATATCAAATCCTGCACTCCAGGAACACCCAGGCATAAAATTCGGATGGGAGACTTCATCCACCTATAGTTGGGCACCCTATAGTTTTCTCAGTAAAAGCAAATTGCTCCCCTTATGCAGCGGCATGATTGACAGAGGGGTGACAGGAGAAAATGTCATTGGCTAGGACAGTAGTGTCCAAACTTTTTTCAAAGAGGGCCAGATTTGATAAAGTGAAGGTCCATGAGGGCCAACCAAAGTTGTTGAGATTTTTTAAGGATTGAAGTTGTTGAGCTTTTTTATGATTTTTACCTCATAAAAGGGCATGCACATACGTGCTTGGAAAGCAAAAGGAACAGCTGGTGTGATGTAATGGCTGGAGTGCTGGATCTGGCCCATGTCATATGTAATGCATGCATGGGCATGGCTTAGCTAAAATGGCCTCACAAAAGAAAATGGGGAGCTTTGGCAGGTCCAATTCGGCTTATGGGTCGGCGATTCCCCACCTTGAAGGTTGTGAAGGAATTGAGCCTTGCTTTTATGAAATGCTGTATACTATCTAGTACATCCATTTGGGGATTGGAAGGTGAACTTGTGCAGCCTGACAGGAGGAACTGAAGATATAAAGTGGGGGCAGGTAAACAAAGTTGTTTTTTTAAGCATTTAGTATACAGTGGTACCTCTGGTTAAGAACTTAATTCGTTTCGGAAGTCCGTTCTTAACCTGAAACTGTTCTTAACCTGAGGTACCACTTTAGCTATTGGGGCCTCCCGCTGCCGCCACACGATTTCTGTTCTCATCCTGAGGTAAAGTTCTTAACCTGAGGTACTACTTCCAGGTTAGCGGAGTCTGTAACCTGAAGTGTCTGTAACCTGAAGCGTTTGTAACCCTAGGTACCACTGTAGTTTGGAGGTGGGCAGACCAAGGTGGGTCTCAGTGTGATAAGAAAAGGCTTTGTGAGAATAAGTGAGAACCAGCTCTAGTGCATGCAATGAGAGAAGAGGAAAAGAGGATCACATTTTAATCTATTTTGATATTTTGCTCCATTGGGGAATATACTGCTTTTCTGTAACTTTTCCTTGTAATACCTTTTCTTTAAAACACCATTTTTTCCCATCCAATCTTAGTCATTTCCTTTTGCTTTTTCATAAACCTGGGGGGAGGGGGGTGTCTAAGCTGATTGCAAACACCCTCCTACCTGGGAGCCATAAACTTTGCAGTACCTTGAGAAGTTTCAGGGAGACCCCGGGGGAGAGTTTAAGCCTGATTTAAGGCAGCCTTGTAAGTTTAAGGCAGTCTTGTAAAAAAAGATAGAAAGAAAAAGTTCCCCTGCTTTACCTGGTGGCAGCAAGTTATTTAAAAAGGAAGAATCGGCTGAGCAGAGGATTACACTCTGTGTTAGCCAGGAAGACCTTAGATGGCACAGGGCCCAGAGGCTGGCTAGCTGGCAGGTGGCCGGCGGCCATGACAGGTGTAATTTGCTGGTGGTCACATGCCAGGAGTGGGCAGGGTAGTAGTCAGCAGTGGATGGGGCCAGAGCTAAAAGTGGTCCATAACAACAACAACAATTTTATAATTTATCCCCCTGCCCATCTGGCTGGGTTGCCATGCCACTCCTTGTGTCTGCCACCCCATCCCTCTCTGTCTCTCTGCTAATCCTGCTAAAGAAGAGACAGATTGCTCTTGCCCAAGTTCTGAGTGCTTTGGCAATTTAGGCCAAAACCAGCAGGCTACCACCCCCTGTCATGGAGGACAGATCTTCGATGGCTATCACCAGCCAAGATACCTAAACTGGAGCCTTCGCATATACAGGACATAAGAACACAAGACACTGAGGACAAACAACAGGATGATGGTCATCGCCATGTTTGCAACCTTCTAGCAGCCATCAGGTCAACCACCACTCGAAGCGTTAGCCTACAACTGACGCGGCAAATTGGCAGATCAGCTGGTCCCTTGGCCTGAGGCCGCCAGCACCACCCTTCCACCTGAAATCCTGTTCTCACCTGCCGGATGGGCTCAGGAACCCGATACCTGCAGCAGGAGTGCACTAACTGCACAGCGGACAGAAGGCTCATCTTGTGGCCCACAGAGACATACACGGGTTTGGTGCTCTTGGCGTAGCTGCGCAAAGCCTAGGGCAGATTTAAAAACAAATGAACAAAAGATAGTATAAGTGACAATGAGTTGGGTGCAAACGCCAAAGCGACTGGAGTCAGTTCAGGGCTCATTGTGGCCAGATGGAGGAGGAGCATAATAATAATAATAATAATAATAATAATAATAATAATAATAATAGTTTTTTAATCTATGCCCTACCCATCTGGCTGGGTTTTATTTTGCTTCCAGCAAAATACTTTAAAAATAAAAATAAAACATCAAACATAAAAAACTTCCTGATAACAGTGCTGCCTTCAGATGTCTTCTAAAAGTTGTGTAGTTCTTTATCTCCTTGACATCTGATGGGAGGGCGTTCCACAGGGAGGGTGCCACTACTGAGAAGGCCCTCTGCCTGGTTCAAGTACAGGCAAAGGATCCACCAGGGCCTACTCCCCATCTACCTTATGACGCCCTTGGCAGGGGCTCAGCGCTTCCTACTCTGCTCACTATCAATAGTGCCCCTCTCTGCACCCCAGTACTTACCATACCCAAGATTTTCCCTGAAGTACTCAATAGGGGGAATGTGTCTCCTCCTGCCTGAAGGTCTTGGATCTAGAATACAATAGGTTTGTTGCAGCTAAAACAAGTCCATGGGGTTTATAAACTTGATCGTGAGGTGACTTCCTAGAATTCCTTCTGCTTTAAGAGGTTGGGATCCAACAACCTAATATCCCCCCTCACCCCTACACATACATACAAACAAGCCATACTGCAAGCAACTGAATGCAAGCAACCAAGCTCAGGACCCCTAATCTCTTGCCTTATCAATAAAAATAAATATATACATAAATGAAGGACCTACCCATGTGATGGTGAAACACAAATCCCTATACTAACAATAGGTAACAGAACGAAAGAACAATACCCCATTTCTCTCCCCACCTCTTCCTTTCCCCCACCCCCAACTGTAAGATGTCGATGACAAAACTGTCTCTCACTAAATGTAAACAAACTGTGAAAATGACTATGAATTGAAAGTAGAGACAATTAAAAAAAAGACCAAGAGGTTGGGATCACACTTGTCAGGCATTTCCTTTGCCTGTACTTTGTATCTGTTCAGTCCTGCAGCTCTGTACAGCAAGTCCCTGAAGGAAGTGTCTGGGGCAGGAAGGAGCCTGGGTGGAATTCTCACTTGCAGGGATCAGGCCACGCAAAGAGGAGTGACTTCCCTTTTGGGGCCACTTCACTATGCATAAAACACATTACAATTACCCATAAGACCGTTCTCAGGTGCATGCAACAAATGCATGTCTATGCACACACATGTCAGGAATCCAAGATTGGCTGTGGTTCCCTGACACAGTGCATGTTGGTCAATGCATCCCTTCTAATGGAACACACACACACACACACACACACACACACACACGTGTACATAGTTGGAACTGGAACTGCAGTGCAGAGAAACCAGCAAAATCTTTTACAATTCCTACAAGAGGCTCACTTGATGTACGATTCATAGAAAGCTTCCTTACACTGAGCCAGAGAATTGGTCCCTCTAGCTTGTTTATAACACTGGCTGGCAGCAGCTCTCCAGGGATATACCTATATCCTAGCCCTTCCTGGAAATGTTGGGGGTTCACCCTGGGCCCCCTCTGCATTCAAAGCAGATGCTCTGCCACTGATCTACGAACCCTCCCGATGGCTGTTCGGAACGTGAGCTCAGAATTGCTATCCCGGACTTACCTGTTCCTTGTGCAGCTCATCATTGGCCAGACCATCAACCTGCAGGAGGTTTTTGGCTACACCAACACAGGGGAGGCCTGTGAGCACACCAAGATGGCAGGCAATGCCAAAGCCTGCCGAAGGAAAAGTGGGAAGAAGACGCTGAAGCAAAGAAGGCAGGGAGAGAGCTTTCCAACTTGCTGTGGGTCTCTTTATGAGGGTGCGAGATCCAAACTGCCAAAGGAAAGCCTGCCAAAGGAAAGCTAAAGCACGCCAGAAGAGGCAAGCCCACAATCATTTGGGCCTACTAAAGTTATTCAGGCCTAGCTGCTAACTGTTGAGTCTGACATGTGACTCATTCTCCTTATAAGTAGAAGAAGAAGAAGAAGAAGAAGAAGAAGAGGAGGAGGAGGAGGAGGAGGAGGAGGAGTTTGGATTTGATATCCCGCTTTATCACTACCCTAAGGAGTCTCAAAGCGGCTAACATTCTCCTTTCCCTTCCTCCCCCACAACAAACACTCTGTGAGGTGAGTGGGGCTGAGAGACTTCAAAGAAGTGTGACTAGCCCAAATTCACCCAGCAGCTGCATGTGGAGGAGCGGAGACGCGAACCCGGTTACCCAGATTACAAGTCTACCGCTCTTAACCACTACACCACACTGGCTAGTAGCAGCCATTTTCTCTCTGTGTTCTCAGTAAGATTTCATTCAGAGTCAGTCTGCCTCAGTTGTGAGCAGATTCAGTATGTAGTCTCAGTAAAACTGTCTGGAACCATGTTGTTTATGAAGAAGTTTATTTTAACTCAGTAAAGCTCTTATTCTTTCACTTAAAAACTGCATTTTTTATTTACGCTGCGCATCAAGGAAGTGGTCTGCCCGCTTTGAGTGGGGTGTTTGTGTGAGAGAGGGTGTAAACCGAGGGCGTCTTTCCCAAGGGCACTGTAAAAGATGGGAGCCAGCACTGGAGAGAAGCTCCCCATCTCTAGAATTCCCAGGCGCAATGAAAGACCAACCAAATATGGAAGGGAAATCCGATTGTTGCTAGACTAAAAAGCCAATTCAAGAGTCTTACCTCTGTGGTGGAGAATGCCATTTCCATCTACGAGTAGAACCTAGAAAAGCCACAAAGAGGGACGTAAGTGACAGGTGGTGTAGAATGGGAGACATCTGCAATAACTGAAGGTGTGTGTGTGTGTGTGTGTGTGTGTGTGAGAGAGAGAGAGAGAGAGAGAGAGAATGCACCCACATATTCACACCATTTCCCCCCAATGCTGAAAGAGATGAGATGCAATCACAGAGTCATACCCCAGGAATGCCTCATTGAGGATGTAGAGCTGAGGGGTAGGAAGTGAGCAATGTACACAATTCCCTCACCTCAAGTTCAGAAGGAACATGTGGCAGAGTGCCTGTTCCTCAGGCCTCACCATCCTTTTGGTTCCAAATATTCATCTCCAGTCTTACTTCTTTTGTGAGGGAATTCCCGTAGCACTTGTGGATGACTCCACATACGCCGTTTTAGAGATCACCTGGATCCCTTCGGCATGTGCTCAGAGATGCATCAGCTCCTTGCTTCCCTGCACATGATTCAATGGGAAGTGTAGCAGGAGAAATGTGCTGAGCAGGTAAACAGACAGGTGTGGGTGGCAGTGGCACCTGGCTGGCTACTGCTGCGAAGCTCAGATCTAGCAAAGCTCGCTTAAGTCCCACTGACTTCACTGCATTGACTGCAAAAGCATGATTAAGTCTGGATCCAAATTTTAAAAAGCAACTTTTTAAAAAAACAACAACTTGTTTTTTTAAAAAAGCAACTTGGTTTTTTAAAAAAAGATTACAACAACTCAGCAATATAAAAGGAAACTTAACCAAATATTAAAACAGGAGCATGTAAAATCAAAACAGAGAGCAACAGACTAAATCAGGAGCAACAAATCCTGATTTAGCAATCTGAATTCATTTATAGATGCCGTATAAATAAGCATAGGTGGCATCTCTCTTTTTTTGCACAGATGCCTTGTGGGGCTGGTAGCCTGGTGAGCTCTCCTGTGAAGCAGATGTTGGCACAAAACTGTTATGCAGAAAAGATGTCCTTAGTGGCAATTTCCCACAAAGGAAAGAGAAAAGCAGGGGCTGATACCAATAGGGAACCTTCCACGTTCAGAACCAGTATGCTACCTGCTTAGAAGACATTTCAGCATGTAAGTAATATATAAATTAATTGGCATGATGATGATGATGATGATAGAATATCAGCTTCTGGGGAGCCACAGTAGGAGAGGGCTGTTGCTTTCTAGCCCTACTTCTGAGCTTGCTGGAGGGATCTGGTTGGCCACTGCAGGAAAGAAAATATCCTGGACTAGATGGACTCTTGGTCTGATTGAGCAGAGGGCAGGAAATATCATACCTGGGGCCTGAGACCAGGCTCTTTTCGCTCTAGCCGCTGCAGGGCCTCCACAAGAAAAGGGACTTCTCTGAAGGCCAGGAAACCTGCCACGTATGGGGCATTCACAGCTACCATGCAACAGTCTTCATACAGGACCTAAAAAGATCGAGGAAGAATGCAGAGTGAAATATTTCCTTGTGGAGTAACTCACTCAGCAGAATGAGCAAGAGTGGCTGACCACATTCTCAAGCAAGTGAAGTAATATGAACACATTACCATCTTAGCATCCTCATAAGAGTCTATAGCAGGCATAGGCAAACTCAGCCCTCCAGATGTTTTCGGACTGCAACTCTCATTATCCCTAGCTAACAGGACCAGTGGTCAGGGATGATGGGAATTGTAGTCCCAAAACAACTGCAGGGCCGAGTTTGCCTATGCCTGTTCTATAGTGATCAAGCGATCATTATTTGGCAGAAACTCCCCAAACTCACATGTCTTGTTGAATTACTCCTGAACTGCTGCCATAATCTTATCCTCAGCCTTTCAATGCTTGGAAACAAACAGAACTACTAATTTAAAGTTACTCAGGCAGCAACTAAGAATACTGTAACATTTGACATTTATTATCCTTTCTATGCTAGCTCTACCAGAACTCAAAGAGCCCTTCCTTCTGTTGTCAACTTTAGAACCTGGGAGATCTATGATGGTTACCTCAAGGTCTGGGTAGCTGAGCACCACCAGTGAAGCACAGGCACTTGTGTCATCTTCTTTGATGTAAGACAGGTCCGCTCCTCCAACTCTCTCCAGTCCAGCAAAGGAGGGGTTGCTTTGCCACTCTTGGGTGTCCTGCTCAATTACATCTGCCTTCAGCTGTGCTTGATCACTATGAAACATAATAGAACTAGGTAGCATCTGTTTGTTTCCAGCACCAGAACAGGCCAGGGACAGGCAATTTTCAATGTGTTGGAGGAGTATGATAGAAGCATCATTGCTCAGTTATCCCTTGATTGTCTCTGGTTCAAAGGTTCTGCAGGTTTTTGTAGCCTTTTGAAATCCTGCACAATCTGTTCAACCCTAAGATAGTGGAGGGACAATAAATGTATACACCAATGATGCCTCCACCATACAAATTAGCTCTTTTAAAAAAACTCAAACATCTTCTCCGTCTCCAGACTAATAAGACTAATAATATACAGCACAGGAGACCTTTGTTGACTCAGAATGCTTATGAAACCAACTCATTTTGCTTCAACACATGTGTCTTTCCACAAATACAAGAACATCTCTCTCCAACCCCCGCAAACAAATTAAGGACTAAAGGATACCTTTATCTTTTTATTGTGTGGGAGGGAGATGGTGGGAGACAGTGGTCTGCTTTTGTTGTTTTCCATCTCAGGGAATGCATATTGACATTTGGAACAACATATAAGCAGACAAACCATTCTGCTTTCAAATATATATATATATTCGTACCTTTCACTGTAAATTTACTATCTGGAGTCAATCCTCCAAAGTTTCTCCACCAGCTGTCTCACCATTGACCTTGCAAAGCCAAATTCAGGGCTGTGAAACCTTTGGCGCTCCAATGCTGTTGTACTCCAATTCCCATCAACCCCCAGCCAGTACAGCCAATTGCTAGGCTTGATGGGAGTTGTAATCCAGCCCAAAGGTATCAGATTTAGGAAAACTGGCAAGATTAGGTAACCTGAACTTTTTGCCCTACGGAGTGTTGTTAAACACAGCTGTCCAAACCCAACCAACTTCTTTTGGTAAGGTTTATCAGGCACCTTGTAACTTTTATTCAGCCCAACAGCAAGAGGCACTAATCCTGCAATCCTAAATTCATTTGCCTGGGGAATCAGACCAATTTAAGTCAGTGGGTCCTGCTGCCAAAGGGACACGTGTAGGACTGCACTGCAGGAGTGGGCTGTTTATTGACCAGCAAAGACAGCGCCTCTAAGGCTCAAATCCTAAGCAGCCTCGCTCGGAATCGATGGCGCTGGCTTCCCAGTAAACCAACCAGCTTCTGGTCGCGCTGTTAAGGTTTTTACTCGTCGGGGCGAGAAGGTGCTTTGCTGCTGCTGCTGCTGCTGCTAGGCGAGAAACGTTGACTAGTTCCTGGCTCCCAAACGCAACGGTCCCTTGAGGCACTGCAGCGTTAGGAAAGGGATTTTATAACCATGCAAAAGGGAGCTGAAAACGACGTGCGCCTGAGTAGTCCGGGTGGCGCGCTTCTCGCCGGGAGACAATTAGGTAAGCCTGTGAAATAGCAAGGACTGCAGCAGTAAGACCAGGAGGTGGCGCACGAGCGAGCCGCAGCCTCAGCCGCCCGGAAAGCACAATGCAAATCCCGCAGCCCCCAGCGATAGCGCGCTCCCGCTTGCCGCCTTGGAAGAGAGACATGACGTCTCCGCTGCAGTTTACCGTTCCCAGGCGCGCAACGTCTCCTCCGCCACCCGCGCCTCGGATTTGGCCCTGTCCGCCATTCCAAGCCGGAGCTCCCGCCTTACTACTTCCTGGGCTGCTCCTGCACTGATCACGCCCCCACCGAGCGGACCCAAGGGCGCTCGCTCTCCCTGCACTGCAGTTCAGTGATGGAAAGGGGCGCACGCCTCCTGGGATAGGGAAAGGCGCGCCTTAGGGTTGGAAAGGGCAAGTTCTGCTGATTGGGTTGCCACCTTTGTTGTGGAAAAATACAGGGCATGGCAAGGAGGTTGGCCTTTGAAGTCACCCCCCAAGTGACTTCAAAGCAGTGCCGGATTTATGTATAAGGTAAACAAGCTATAGCATAGGGTCCCACTCTCTTGGGGGCCCTAGAAAAATTTAAAGGGGGAAACCCCTCTAAATTTACATTTCCGAAATATAAGATAAAAAACAAATAAAATAAAACCTACATACAGCAACAGCATTTTGTGCTGTGTAGGCTCCTATGATGTAGGTAATGGGCCTCGCCTGCTAGCCTGCTCCCTAAAATTTCCCTGGTTTGTTCATTTCTTTATATAGGGTGCCTACATTCTGCATGGACTGGTTGCATGGCAATACAGTGGTACCTCAGGTTACAAACGCTTCAGGTTACAGACTCTGCTAACCCAGAAATAGTACCTTGGGTTAAGAACTTTGCTTCAGGATGAGAATGGAAATCACGTGGTGGCGGCGTGGGAGGCTGCATTAGCTAAAGTGGTACCTCAGGTTAAGAACGGACCTCCGGAACGAATTTAAGTTCTTAACCAGAGTTACAACTCTATGTGCAAATGGCTTTAGATACCTATTAGGTCCATCAATTACCATATAGCATAAATTCAACACAAAAAACAGCAATTTGTTGACAAAGGGCAGCTGGACACATAAAGGGCCCCATTACCTTTCAGTAGCTTAGGGCCTCATCAAACCTAAATCTGGCCCTGCTTCAAAGCAACCCATTACAATCTATTGCAGCCTAACAGGATTGCCCCTCTGGAATTTCTGTGTCTGCCACACACACAAATTTGTAACACTGTCTATGCCCAGAGCTTCTGTTGTAAAAATACTAAATTGCTCCCTTCCCTGTAGGAGGTGCATGCAAGGAGCCCATATAGAGATCACTGAGGCTCCCTATCTGTCGGAGAATGAACAGAGACCAACCAAAGATAGGATGCAGCAAAGCGGCTAGTAAGCTTGATCTTTATTGTCAGGAAAACGAGCTGTTAAAACAGGGTCCTCGCTCGCAAACGTGCAGGATGGAGAACCCCGAACAAAAGGAAACACACACATACATAGTTCTCATTGCATACTTCCTACAGAGAAGGTAGCAGTTCAATATTTTTACACTTCCCAGACTGAGACAGGGCAGATGGGAGCGGGAAGTCTAACTGGAAGACTGCAGGTTCCCCACCACTAGGCTGGACGCAGCAATATGAATTTATTTCCAAAAGATGCTTGATCATTCTAGAAACTATCTGTTGAATATCTGGAGCAACTGCAAAAACCCTATACATGAGGAAAGATGGCAATGATAAGCCTTAGCACTGCACAACAAGCAAAGCACCCATCATTATAATCTTGCCTTGCCTTTGAAACCCAGCTCCAAAATGAATGAATCTTTAGGTCACTGAATTTAGAATTTTCATGCTGAGCAGATAATCAACTGATAATGTATTGAAGAGATGTCCCTCTTCTGTGTAGAAAAGCATCTCAGACCTACCGTATTAATAATTGGGAAACGCTTATGCTGATTTGCTTTTGAATTGCAAGTTTATAGAAAACCTCACCCCTGCCAAACCAAGAAATAATGGTGTAAGTAGAGATCTGCTTTAAGTAGCAAGGAACACAATCAACTTTCCAGACTGAATTCATCATGATAGCAAAATTTCAAGGACAGTTAAACACAATACAAGTCTTGTGTAGCCATTTTTTATTAAAAGGAGGAGAAAAAATACAAAATAATCTTTAAACATTTGTTGGTTATGGTCCCCCAACTCAGTATACTCGTAAACAAAGCCACAGTTTACTGTTTCGCCAGTACAGTGCTAATTTTATCACAGCCAAATGTATCATCCACAAGGAGAATAATGGATTTTGTTCCTTCACTGTGTCCTGTCCCTTGTATTCTTGTTTGGAAATAGAGCAAGTGTAAGCAACTCAGCCCCAGACTCAGAACTTTCTAGTAATAAGGTAACTACTTAAATAACAATCAGTTGGGTCAGCAGTGACTCATAAACTGTATTTAGTACCCAGTGTAGATTATCAATAGATTATGCATGCTGAACAGGTCAAGTTTAGGGAAGTTATGCAGATGGCCAGAAATGCAAGTACTCAGAATATGTGAAATGAGCTTTTGATAGCCCTTTAAGAAAAAGTTCAGTGAACTGAAGTACGTGTAAGCACATGTGGTATGATTACCTATTAAGAACCCTGTTATTTATAAAGCACATAAAATTTAAAGCACCAACAGAACTTGGCTAGTATCATTTATAGCAGTGGCAGATACTACTTTACTTTCACCCTGAGAAATCCCTCCCAAAAATATTTTGGGTTGTCGTTGTCATCCGCCTGTCGAGACAAGAATATTTTGGGAAAGATGCTTAAAAATCCACATGAATACAGTTCAACAGAAATTTGAAAAAGTTCCTTCAATTAATGGTGCACCAGTTCACACAGGAGTAAGTGGTATTTTCTTCCTCCTTCAAGAAATCTTAATCACTTCCACAGAATCTCCTCCTTTTGTTGTTTTAATGAGGCACTGCATCTCAAGCTGCTAAATGTGCTGTATATAGCTGACAGTTTAAACATAACATTATTTAAATGAAATAAAATAGCTATCTTATTTTTGAAAGCATTCTAGTTGGTCCAATAAATTCAACACTGTTTCCTTCATGAAGCTGATCAGAGAAATGTGCTTGAGCTATTTTTCGGCCCAAACAGAAATTAAGACGGCATAGTTAATCATGATCACAGTTGCAAATTTAACATCAGCAGCAAATCAGTTGTTATATTCAAAGCACTAACATCAACTAGAATATCTAAGTTGTTGAGGTCAAAGAAAGGAAAACCAAGTTTATGCATACAAGGGTCCAGCTGCGAAACAAGCAGATTTTGACACTTATGTGACTATGAAGAAGGCTGCCTAAGTGAGTGAATATACCTATTCACAATGGCCAACAACAGGCAGGTTAGGCAACCTTGACTGGCTGCTTCTTGTGTAGGCAGTGACGTCAAGCTAGTTCTCTGTGCCTGCTGAATGGCTTAAAGAAAGCCACCTGGAAAACTTCCTTGACCAAGCTTTGACAATTTTTGTTTGGGTGCCCTGATCCAAAGATTAACAGACACACCATGACAAAATAAAAGTTACAAACAAACAATGCCCCTAATAGTAGAGAAGGCAGCTTTGGTAGTACTTAGGAAGACTAAGAAAAAACCTGAGGGAAAGAGGATTGGTTCCTTGTATCTTGCCGACCTGAGTGACTTAAGGGGAAAGAGACATCCCACAGAAAGGGGACACACAGCCCCTGCTCTATAGCCCCATACTGACCATTTATACCTTGGTTTTTTTAAGGACCTGTGTTGCTAGCCACTAAACTTGCCACTGAAAAGGTCTTTTTGCCTTCCTCTGAATGTGGCTTGCATCTTTCGGCTTGTGCTCTACTGGGGTATAAATAGCATTTTTATTTTGGCTTCTATGGCTTAAATTAAGATTTACACATTATAGTTTATTCTTAATATCGTGCAGCGACACTTTCCATTAGGAACTCCTTCAGCAAAAGGTGGCTTTTCAAGTTTTTTTGCTATGTGCAAGAAAAGCAGCACCTAAATCCAGTGCTTTGCTCTCCAGGATTTTCCCCCCCCCAGAAAGTGGCTTGGCCAAGAAGAGAGGAAGCAGCGCAGTGTCTGATTTAACCAAGCCTTCGGTCTCGTTTAAGAGCGGCAGCCACTTTCCAGGCAGCGATACACTGGGAGAGCAGGATCTCTTCTGGGAATGTATCCTCTAGTTCTTCTGGTATGTTGCTCCCTTTCGTTTCAAGGTATGGAACAAGTGTGTCTTTAAGGCTGGGAAAGAGAGAAAGAGAGTGAGTATAATCAGCTATTCTGCAGTACATAGCACTGTTCAAGAGCACAAAAAGAGCTACATTCAGGTGATGAAGAAAATATGCAAAGTTTGGGCTTGACAGGCTCTTACCTCCACGTGGGATTGAACGCCTCCTGAGCTTTGGGATGTTTCAGCTTCAGGATGATCATTTCGTGCAACTCTTGGAGGAAGGACTCCAGCCCAGCCTGCATAAGGAAGGCATTGAGGAGTTTTGTGTTCTCTGGAGTGAGCTCCTCTTTATAGGATTCGCTGACCTCTGCGAAGGGATCCTGGGAAGAAACACACAACAGCATCGTTAGGGGAAGAAGGGAGAACAAGAGCACAGAACATCAAGTTATCTCATCCTCCCCACCCCTTTCAGATTCCTACCTTTCTCAGATGCAGCAGCTGTTCAGATTTATGGCTTGAAAGGAGCTGCCACAGTGCAATAATGTGCTTTAGGTGACATCGGCTCAGCACCTGTAAGAAACACACAAATGTTTGACCGTTTTTAAGTTTACTATAATTCAGAACTAGGTATACAACAGCTATGAAGATGAGGTGGACATAGCTAAACATTCCTTTAGAAGAAATGCAAATATATTTTCAAAGTTGTTTTTCATTAATAATGTTTAGTAGAAGGTGGTTGTTTTACTGATGATTTGTAATTATTTTACTGACGATTTGCTAATTATTTTGCATGATTTATGTTGCAATTGTGATGTTCTACTATGTTATTATTTATCTATGTAAGCCGCTTCATCACTCGTGTGAGTGAAAAGCAGCAAAGAAATAAAATAAATGAAATGAATATATACATTCTGTTACGCGTATATTCTCTAGAGACAATAAATTTGCAACCAGCAACATCTTTTTTCTTTAAAAATAGCTTTAAGTTTCTGTTTTCACTGAAACTCATCCTAAAGTGCCCAAGAGTTTATTGTTATTCAACTCTTGTGTATACATAACTGACTTTTTATCTGTATCAAGTTAAACTGAAACCAGCATCCCCTTCTGTGACATTTTAACACCCCTTGAAGCAGCAGAATGTCTTGGACCAGTAAGGTGCTAGGACTTACTTTTTGCCCTGTGCTTTCCAGGCACAGGCGTGAGCTTTAAAGCTCTGTATCTGAATGCTCTCTTTCTCACCCCGGAGCTTTCCCCCACTAAAACCTGCTCTTTAAAGCTGAAGCCTGGAAAGCGTGGTGTGTGGATAAATCATTAGGCTGTGTGGTAGTTTTAGGTTCTTGCAAAAAACGGTTTGACTGAAAACTTGCAATAGCAAAAAGATGTTCTTTTTAAAAGTCAGAAACAGCCAAAATAAAGGGACTTAAATCATAAGCTGGAAGACAACAGTTGCATTGTGCTTTCTCCAATGGACAGTATAATTGTGGGGATGGTCCCCCATTCCATGTCAAAAGGAAGGCCAAAGGTGAATGGAACTTGGACCTCTGGGAAAAAAATGGGTGGAGAGAGCACCTCCTTTAGCTTGGGGCATGTAAGACAGTCATCGCGTTCAGCCTAGTCTACTTTCCTCTTTTCCCCTGCACTCACCTTCATCACGTGGTCACTTATCTGATGGCCCATTTGCAGGATATTTTCAACATACTTAGACAAAGTCATATCTGGGTCTCCTCCAGCCACAGCTAGGAATCCTAAGGTTATTTCGGTGACAGACAGAGCTTCACAGATGTCACTGTAGGATAGCAGCTCCCCACTGATCATGCCAATTGTGGAATTTGGCAGAGAGCTCTGTAATTCAAGGGAATGAAAGCCAGTCAACGCCCATCATTCAGCACAGATTGTCGCAAACACTGCAGTCAGTCTCTATATAGTCCACTCCTTTTCTCTGCAATGATATGGTGTTTCCTGCTTGGCAGGGGGTTGGACTCGATGGCCCTTGTTCTTCCACATTATAGAAGCTGTTTGCCAGGCCCTGACTTGGATAGCAAACTGGGCACACACCTACAAGGAAGTGTCCCAATGAATTCCAAAGGGCTACCAATGTACCTGCTGCCTTGTGGGACATCTTGGGAGGCTAAGGAGTAAACCCTACACAAATCCGCAGTGGAGTCCTTAAGATGGTTGGATAGGTTCTTATACCCCCTCCTTCTGACAATACCAGCAGCCAATCTGGTGCCCAATGAACCACATCAGCGAGGCCAAGAGTGGGGTCTTCTCCTCTGGGCAATACACAGAGTTGTTTGACCTCCATACACACTACCTAGGCTTGCACCTGGAGAGGGTCACTTCAGTGCTACTAACACAGCAAAAACAATGCAGTTACAAGTTACTGGTCTTTACAGCCACAGCAGGCGCTGTGATTCTCCAGTGGGTTAACTTCACCCCTGCAATGCACTCCATTATCTCTCGAGACAGAAGGATGCCAACAAAAACCAAGCAAGCACAGAATCAGGCACTGTGCAGCAAGAAGCTAATCCTAATTTTAACAAAACTGTACTGAAATGCAATCAGCCACTTTTTGTATTCTTTCTCTCCCATCTCTGAAGCTCACCTGGCTCAGCTTGGTTCTGATATCATTGAAGAGATGCTCATAATTTTGGTCATGCCTGTATACCAGAGTGGGTATGCCCTAGTGAGAAAGAGAGAAAAATATTCCAGTGAGCAGACCCTTTGCAATAATGCTCTCTAACCTGACAAATGGATCTCGCAAGGCACCAGGAAAGCTATGTGGCAGCATTAAGCTTCTATGATACATACTGTCAATGTGATTAAAGGCTTTCCCTGTAGGAATCTGCTAGTGATTTGCTGCTCAATTTTTTCCAGTTCCAGTTCCTGGAGGGCTTCTCCTCCTTTCTCCACGCTGTATTGGCAGTTGGACAGGATCAGTGGGATCAAGTCCCTCCCCACCTCGTAAGTGATCACATGTAGATCCGTCACTTCGGCAGGGCTGACTGAGTATCTGTTGAGATGGGGAGGGAGAACACAAGAGAATGAGAAATCTTGCTCTACTGCTGATTTGGCACCAGATAAGGCTATCTGTCACCCTGCAGGAAGTAGTGGGGATTCTAGCACATACACACGCAGGCATACCTTTCGGCATCTGTTGTATATTTTTCTACGGTGTAGACAAAGTCATTGTGTAGGCCAATGAGATAACTGGCCAAGGCAGTGGAACAGAGGCCTAGACCATGTCGGCGAGGCAGAAGGATCTCAAAGTCACTATTCAGAGTGAGGTCAGAAGCACAATAATCTTTGGGGAGTTTAATTTCACCTGCATTTGGACCAGAAAACATTAGTGAGTGACCAGGTTTCTAATTATCTCTTGTTCATTACCAAGAAGATAGAAGAAGAGGAGTTTGGACTTGATATCCTGCCTTTCACTCCCCTTAAGGAGTCTCAAAGTGGTCAACAATCTCCTTTCCCTTCATCCCCCACAAAAACCACTTTGAGGTGAGTGAGGCTGAGAGACTTCAGAGAAGTGTGACTAGCCCAAGGTCACCCAGCAGCTGCATGTGGAGGAGCGGAGATGCGAACCCGGTTCACCAGATTATGAGTCCACCATTCTTAACCACTACACCACGCTGGCTCATTTAAGAATGCCTCAGCACCTCGACTCCCACAATTTTGTTCTGTCTTAGAAAGTGGTGAACTAAGCAAACCTGTCGGAAAGCAGGGCAAAGATCACCTTCAGCATGTTCACAAGGAATGACTCCAAACAGTTAAGCAAAGAGAAATGCACACTCCATAAAATGAAAATGCCATTCAAGGGGTGTCCACTAGTGTGGTGTAGTGGTTAAGAGCGGTAGTCTCGTATTCTGGGGAACCGGGTTCGCGTCTCTGCTCCTCCACATGCAGCTGCTGGGTGACCTTGGGCAAGTCACACTTCTTTGAAGTCTCTCAGCCCCACTCACCTCGGGCCTAATATGGCCATTACAGAGCCCTGACTGAAGATGTTTCGTGCCTGAAGTGCTGGGAAACCAACTGGTAAAGACATCAGAGTCAGACATCAGCACTGATTAGCATTAATGAAGGATCAGAATCTCCACCCAGAATTACATGAGTATTTCACAAGCTCTCTCTCTCCACACACACTTTTTGAACTTGCCAGCTATGGTGGGGAAATTTGCAACTTAAATGCAGTTTCCTCTCCCTTTGATCAAAGAAAACTTCTCCATTAGATGATCAAGCCTATTAGAGATTCCACTAAGCCTTCCTATACAATCCTGAGCTGCCCAAGCCGATCCTTTTGGTTCAGATCAGTCTAAGTCACTCCACTCCTAGTTAGCTTGACCTCCACCTCCTTCCCCCAGTGTTCCCTCCCTTAGTTCCATATCCATTGTTTTTATATATTGCATATTTAGGTCTCCAAGAGAGGCACATAATACATAAACCACCCATCACCATTAAGACTAGCTCCATGTCATAAGGAGTTCAAGGAGATCTAGAAGGGATCAACCTGCCCTCAATTGCCTATTACTTCCATCTTCCTGGGTTGATGACAAAGCAGCTGTTAATATAAATCCAGGGTGTCTGACTTCCAAGCACTCATAATGGATAGACCCAATGATTGCTACCACCCCTGCGTCCAAAGGCCAGAGAAACACGATCCATCCCTCTTTCCCTTCTATTGTTCTGGAATAGGTAATGCCTTCAGCTTGGTACCTCTCTTTTTAGTTCTACACAGACATTGGGTCCCTCCTATCCATTGCCACTGAAATATAATCTCAAAGTTGCCAATCCAACCCATTCTTGTAATAAACTGCACAGTCCTTTGCTCTAAACTCAAATGTCCTATGTTATGTTCTACTAGTTCACCCTGTCCTATGTTAAGGGTGGGTGGGGGAGTACTGTAAAAGGAGAGACTGCTAAATGGAACAACCTTTTCAGACTCTTTTCAGGATACAAGACTAGAGAGTGTTTCTTCCAGCATTAAAGACCCAAGTTACCATTAGATGGCACCAGGTGACCTCGCAATCTTACTATTTTTCTAGAGTAATGGTGTAAACTCGCCACTCACCACTGGTTTCCAAGGAAGATCTCAGTTTGTTCCAAACAGTCAGAAATATCTTCACTCTGTTTGTCATAAGGCACCTCTTGCCTTCTGGAGAATGCAAGAAACAAACAGCATGTGACATATGCAAGATTGCAAAGTTCTGCATGTCTTTCTAAGGGAGTTATTGCCCAAGTAAGTTTTGGTTCAGGAAGTTAGAATGCAAGAGCAGCCTAGCTGAAGCAGACCAAAGGTCTGCCTAAACCAGTACCCATAGCTGCCAGCCACATGTTTCTGTGAAGCCCCAGGCATGGCACAAAGTCAACACCCTTTCCGATGTTTATATCTAGTTTTTGGTTTCAGGCAACCCCGTGTCACTAAGATGCCTATCCTCTATGAATGCCATCGTTCAAAGCCATCTAAGCTAGTGTCCACCATTGTACGTTGTTGCACTGATTCCCCAAATTAATTGTGATGTAATACTGCTACAAATATAAGCAAGTTCTATCTCCTGGTCAAATGCTAGCTTCACACTGCTAAAATGGATCATTGGATCCCAATGATTTCAATTGCAGAAATTTAAGCATGGCCCTAATGTTTCCACTGAAATCAGAGGGACTTCAAAATGCTTAATTTTAGTTGGATCATGTCCATTATGTCTACAAAAACAATGGCTGCGTTTTCCTGAAGGATGCATTGCCACAATGAGGTGACCATTTTAACCAGGAAGTCACTCGACTTTCTCCTCTTTTTTGCTCTGTGCAAGGTCACAAAACAGGGATGACTTATATAAATGTGAAGCTTGGTGTTAACCACACGTCCTTAATGCTCTGCTAACTTAATATGGAAGAGTCTACCTGCGGAAATGTTGAGAAAATCTTCAATCTTTCGGTATTCCAGCTCTGACACGTTCTGGAACCTTTTCACCAAGTATTTCTGCAGGGCCAGAATTTCTGGCAAAAACTTTACCAGTCTCAATTCAGCTTCCTAAAATGAAGCAAAGTAGTGCTAATGAGATAAGAGGAGTTGAAAGGCTACAGAAGCATGAGTGGCTTTCCCCTTAGGAGGCAATTGCTTCACCTGGCCCAGACAATGGTATCACTGCCACTTACCAGGAGAGCCAGGAGCGAAATTGCAGTGAGGTTGGGCCCGTGTAGGTGCACTAGTGAGAGCACCACATTGCCTCTGCTGCTGGTGCTGGTGCTGCACAGCCCCCCACCCCGTTGCTGTCACCTCACAGTGATGCTGCAAGCAACTGTAGCTCTGCCTCACCGGGTGAGCCACTCCCATGTAGAAGAATCAGCACTGGTGGTTGTAAATAAGCAGAAATTAACATACGCACAGAACTCTTCATATCTAGCAAGTCCGTAGAACATGGTTTCCCACAGGTATAACTTCATTGTAAAGCAAATTGAGTAAGGGGTTACCGGAATTAGAAATAAGCAGGACCCCTGCACAATCTCTCTCCTGGTTTCAGCTTTACACAATTTTATGCATCCCCTCTGGCTTTTTGCCTACTTCACATTGCCCCTTATTTTTCTGCAAAAAATATATTCTCAATTCTAGTAATATTTCCACCAGGAAAGGGTATAAATGAAGCATTTACTTTTAAGTCATTCTGGGCAGAGATCTGCTTGGTGCAAGTAGACCTTGCTCTGTGCAAAGCTCCTCTCATTACATAAGACTTCACACAATATTTTTAACACAAAATAAACTGAACATCATTCTAACACATCTCCTTTTGCTATAAATGAGTACTAAAAGTGGTCACGAAACTTTTCTTCAGCTTCTTGGTGAAGCCTAAGTCTAAGCACTTCTACTGCTTTGCCAGAAGCAAGTAGATGCTAAAACTGGTTGTACATCGGGGTGGGGTGTAATTTTGTGTCCATTTCCCCCCACCCTGCAATGAAAGCTGGGAACCCCCAAGTGTTCATCCATCCAAAGGAAGAAAAGATACTGTGACCCAGTATATCCCCCCACCCCACAGATGGTAAGGCAAGTGGTATCCAGGTGCAGAAAAGGGTTAAACAGCTAGGTGTTGGATCAAGAAAAAAACTTCTAACAGTAGAATTTGCCCCTTGTCCTTACGTTCCTCTCAATCTCAGCTCCAGAAACATGCATAATAGTTCCCTTAATCCAGTTCTCACGGCACTCAATACCTTTGGATGGTAAAGTAGATTTGGGTCTCTGATAGTCATTACCTCACAGATACCAGCACAAAGTTACCTTATGCTATGACTGTGATTTTAATATTTCAAAGCACCTGCCTGGTTTGATGCTTACTGATGTACTTCAGCTTTTGACAAGTAGCTGACAGGAGACTTCTGCTCATAAGAACAAAGTCATAACATTCATAAAACGAAGGAAAAGAGAAAGGAAGATGAAGGGCATATATTGGGGTTTCCTCTTTATTAATTATGAAGAGCAGCATACACTTGGGTCCCTTGCATGGCAGTTTCTGACTCATGTATTCCCGTATTAGGGCCAGGCAAAAATCTGGGCATGCTCACCTTTTGCAGAAACTTCCATAAGATGGGCAGTGTGTCCTTGCCACCTTTCTGCTGGACAACGTGCCCCAGGTACTCAATGGAGATCCTCTTCTTGCAGCTCCACATCCTGGAACAGTGTATAGGGCTGTTGGTCAGTGTGAACAGGAAGGCTGCAGGGTCCCCATATACAACTTTCACTACTGGGTTCGAAGAGATTCTCTCATCTTCACTGATTCGTCGATTCAACTCCAGAAGTGTTTTATCCAGAACCTGCATGGGGGAAATGAGGGAGTGAGGGTTATAACCATTAAGATGCAGCCTCTCTCAACACACACACACACACACACACACACACACACACTTTAAGGGAGGGCTGGGAAGTGGGGTTTAATGCTGATCTAGGAATTGGTGTGATTCTAACTGCATCTTGAATAATTGAATCTGGTAGTTCATCTGAGGGTTCTGAACACCTTAGCTCTCAAAAGGTGAAATGCTCACTTCCTTAGAGCTATTATGAAAATTGCAGGTGTGGGGTATCAAGGAGAGTTACTTCTGAAAGAGAAGTCTTTCATTTTTCTAATTAGTAATTGTTCTTTCAAATGTACTCCTATCAATATAAATAAAAAACTAGCTTCTAGAGTCCTGAAGTAGCATCACAGCAAGAAACTGAACCCAGAGTGAAGCTTTGCAGAGGACAACTTCCTCAGTCCCTAGGAACTCCCAAACAATTTTATGCAGTAATCTGGACAAGATCTGGTCCTCATGTCGGACACTAAGAATGGATGGGGCTAAACCTGCCCTTGCCAATGTCTTCCCTGAGTGCACACCATTACTTTATCCACTAGCCTTGGAAGGAATTACTGGGCACGTTAGATTTCAAAAATAGGATTCTCGTGCTTACTTTCTCTTCTGCACCACAAATAGAATGGGGAGGTCAACGTAGCATCTGCTAGAAACCCCACTACTTCCTGCTGCTGACAGGTGGCCTTATCTGTTGCTAAATCAGCAGTAGAGAAAGATTTCTCATTCTTGTGCTTTCCCTCCCCTGCTCAACAGATACTCTGCCAGCCCTGCAGAAGTGACAGACCTACCTGCATACACATCCCTGCACAAACAGGTACAAATACATGCACAATGTTCCACTGTAATCAGGATAATAATGTATGTTGTATCGGCTGCTAATGAAATATACACAGGGCTAGTCTGTGTACTGTCAGAAAATACAAGTTTTTGAGTGTGTTTTATGTTACCTCCAGTTCAGGAAGAATGATGTGTGCAACAATTCCCTCCCAGTTGTTTCTTTGCTCTTTTTTGGAGAGTTGACCATCAAAACGCACTGGCCCTGCAAAAGGACATTTATTTCATGTAACACCTTCTTTTTATCTCTGCTTCCTTGCATGCAGTTCAATTTGGCATGGGTCAGCTATGGAAAGTGGCAGTAGCAGTAACAATTAATAGTTCTCTGTCCCTGCTTTTGTTAAAGGGCTGGAGATTATTGATAGCAATTCCCAGTTTCTTCTGCCTGTATTAGCCTCTAAAAGGAAAAAACCTGGTTCCTTCCCCTGACTACCACATAAGCTACACATCCTCCCATTGTCTAGCCTGGTTTGCACAAAATACTAAGGCTATCATTCGTTTAACAAACCATGATGTAACAAAGAGTTGCCCCACAGATGAACAAACAAACAAACAAACCATAGCTTATTCTGCCAAAGTTTGTTTTCCTGTTGTTCCTGCTTTATGCTTGGTGAGTTCCTGGAATGGGATGGTCAAACAAACCATGATTGAGGGAGGGTGCCAGGCTCTAACATAATGCTACGCCATGTTTAACAAATCAAGACTTGTAAGTCAACAACAAACCATGGTTTCAGATCATAGTTTGTTGCTAGTAAACAAACCATGGTTTAGCTGCTGAACAGAGTTCACACATGACACTAAGCTGGGGGCCAAACTTGGCCCATAAGGCAATTTCCTCCAAACCACACCCACCTGCCCTACATCTGGCATCATATGTGCTTTCAGGTGTGGGACACATAGAGACCCAGCTGCCAGTGCAGAATATGGAAACTTAAAGTATGCTCCCAATTGCACATTGGCAAAGGAAGGCACATTGCCTATTCACTGATGAGTGGGAGAACCAAAGCCTGTTGGATCAGCAGTGCATGAGTGTTTCTCACAGGAGAATTCACATGAAGAACTGATGTCTTCAAAAAGCAAGCTTTGGCTATACAACCCATCAGCTGATGAACCAGACAGCCAGTCTCAGGAGCTTTAAAGTACTGTGCAGGAGTCTTGGCAAGTTTGCCAACCACCCTGCACACAGCTTTGAAGTCTCAAATTTGGGACTTCAAAGTGCCAAATCACCAGATTTCATCGTGACATTTGTGGCATCGGATTATTGACCGGTGTCCACCTGCCAAATTTGGCTGGTGAGGTTAGGCCTGATAAGTATCTGGACTGTGAAGCCAAGGAAGTTCCCCAACCATGGCTTAGTATTATGTGAGAACCATAGCATTAAGGGTGTAACAGCTCTAAAACATCAGAATGTGTCAATTTGGTTTAGCTTCTATATATGTTCCATGGTGATGCACAGGCCTATTCTGTGTATAGACATTAAGTGACTCACACTAAGTTACAAAAGGAGTCAAGCCGATTCAATGCGGGCAGCATTCTTGAATATAAATGAAGACTGCACTACAGTGTATATTCTAAAAACAAGATACTCTGTGTGCATTCTTCACTTTATCAGTACTATGATTCAATAATGCAAAGCCCAATAAAAGAACTTGCCCAGAACCACCAGTAATGCAAATAGGACTATTTTGAAAAGTGGAGACTTAAATAATAAAAGCAATGAGACTATGAAATCAGGTTAAGAGCAGACATGCCACTCACAAGAAAAAAGTTACTTATTTTTAGAAATAGGTACAATACAGCTCTTCTTGAGAACTCTGCCACGGCTGCCTCAATCAACTTTGAAATATAACGTCACAGTCAATGCTGTGAATTTATGCCTGCTTTACTAGAAATGTAAGCAGCCACATTTTGCAAGCTGCTCTCCTTACATTGGCCTGTCTGTTGGTGAGGCTCCTTGAGAAGGCTACAAAGAATGAGATGGACAACGTTGGTGGTTTCATCAGCACACTTCCCAAGAGTATTCATCAGTTGCTCCAAGTCCTTAAGAATATGCTGCATGAGAAAGCTAACTGGATCCTGAACTGGTGGTTTTATGATCTGTAGCAGGGACTTCAAGAACAAAATGCAAGGTTCAGAGCGATCAATATGCAGTTCTATTGCAAGGCATGCAGACTAACAGTCAGTCATTTATTTATTTCATAAAATTTATATGCTGCTTGATTAGTGAAAAATCTCAAAGTGTTTACAAAAAGAATAAAACAGGAAGATTATTAGTAAAAACAATCAAAACATTTCTAAAAATTAAAAACCAGCAATACGTTTCGGGGGTTTGTCTAAACAAAAAGAAGGCTTGTCTAAACAAAATTGTTTTTAGAAGGTGCTGGAAAGAGTATAGTGAAGGCATCTGTGTGATGTCGATGCCACCTGATGCCAAATTGCTGGACAACTGTGATAAATGATTTCATCCCTGAGGAAGCCAGAGGTCTATTGTAATGAACTGTCTACCACAAGTGTCCACTATAGTATGAGAAACCGAGTACAGTGGTTTAAGAACAGCCCTGTTTACGAACTATTTGATTTACAAAACTCCGCAAAACCGGAAGTAGTGTCCTGGTTTGCAAACTTTACCTCAGTCTAAGAACGGAAGCCGAACGGTGGAAGGGTACCAGCGGCAGGAGGCCTTATTAGAGAAAGTGCACCTCTGTTTAAGAATGGACTTCTGGAATGGATTAAGTTTGTACACTGATGTACTACTGTACCTTTTCAGTTTCTAGGAAACATTTATCCTTATATGAAGCTTGTTAACAGTCTTACTTTCCCACCATGTATTACTGAAATGTAACAAATGCATTTCTGCATGAATCGTTAACAACCACATTTTTTTAAAAAAAAATACTTAAAAAAAACCCCAGTGGGGCACTTTGCCTCAAGTGGAAACACATCCCAGGCCAGTCCTGCTGGCATCCAATCATCTCCTTCACATGATACTGAGAGTAAACCTTTTTTAAAAAAATTGAGCTCCGTTTCAGATATGCTTTCTTTAGGTTTCCATGCAGCAATGCTTTTCAGACAGAATTGTGTGGTTCCTAGTTTTATTTAAAAATACCTGGCGATCTTTTGTGGCTCCCAACAGCAGCGACAAATGAGTGAGCAAGCGAATCAGAATCAGGACAGCTGGAGACATCTCCCTCTCAGATGCAACCTTAGCCTCTCTTTTTTCAGGTGGTCCAAGCACATGGCCGGTTTGTGATCTGTCTTGAATATCCCTATACAGAATAATATATACAGTGTGTGCACACTTGCTACAAAACAGTACTTTTGCGCGCTTAAAAATTCTGATTCCCAGACACCCAGACAGTAATTATCATCACACTAAAACAAGAGATACAAACATATTACATACGTGGTATATAAAATATTAAAATACCGTTATTTGCTGTTATATATGTTTTCACTTAAAATACCCCCTTGACTTGTATACACTGCTTTAATTATTTGTTTTTAATGCAGTTGTTGTATTTTTAGTGAACTGTTTATCCTGTAAATTGCCTTGACATGCCTTATATAAAGAGATGTAGAAATACTTCTAATAAATAAATAAATAAAAATGAGGGGTGGTGGCTCAAAGCTAAGAAATTAGGAAAGCCATAGTACGATCCTGGCTTCTTTCTTGTTTGTTAATGCCTGTTCTATACATGCCTACTCAGAAGTAAGTCCAACTGAGAATTACTCTCAGATAATTGTGAGCAGCGGAAGCCACAGTTCTCCACTTTGGACATAAAATAGGGAGTGCTAGCTCAATACAAGCCCGGGTCTTTGGGTCAAAAGTGGAACATGATAGGAAGAGGGGAAAGGATAGGGGAGGGGACAGCCACAACTTCCTAAATAGAAGGTTTTGAAGCCTTGGTTGTTCTTCTGAACATGGCCATTGAAATAGGTGAACTGGAAATCACTGCAGTATTATGGGAAGGTAAATTAGTTTTTTCTACCTCTAAAGTTGTTATAACTTGATGGGGCAGAGACCTGTTCTAGAATAGATTCCCCTTAAATAGCTGCAAATATCCCACCTCCCAATCTTTAGGGCACACTCTAAAAAAGTATATGCCATTCCACATTCCAAAAAGCTAACATAAAAACATACCGTGCTTCTTGAAAGCCTGCCACTGCTTTGTGGTTGTCGCCTCCTATTACAAGACCACAATCAACACACAAACCACGCTGCATGGGACGACCACACTGAAAGGAGAGAGGGGTGGAATATTAGAAGCAGAAAACGGAAGTAATTCTGCTTGGTAAAGCTTAGGCTAAGGTTCAACTATTTTCCAAAATGTTAAGCAATTGCAAAACTAAACTAAACTAAACAAACACACAAACAAACAAACAAACAAACAAAAGCCACACACACAGCAAAGTTCTGTTTTAGTTTGCTTTACAAGGAATTCCTTGAAAACATGACAGAATGTTGAAGGAGAATGAAGTGCTACACAAACTGTAGCACAGACTGCTTTTAAAGAAATAAACCAGAATACACACACAATCTGTGAAAGCTCTTACCTCTCCAATAGTGCAGGGATGGCCATTTGGACATGCTGATTTGGAAAAAAAAAGAAAGGATTTATTTACTTATTCATTCATTTGTCCTTTACCTGCAGGTCACAGGACAGTTCACAATATAAAATCACAAAATACATATCAAAATAAAAACAAAAACAACCCAATAACCCCCCTTTTTTTAAAGGGCATCAGATGTCAATCAACCAAAGGCCTGTCTAAAGTGGAGAGTTTTTGGCAGGCGCCTAAAGGTGTATAATGATGGTGCCAGGCAAACCTCCCTGGGGAGAGAAAGAAGTGTGCATGCACACGAAAGCTCATACCAATAACAAACTTAGTTGGTCTCTAAGGTGCTACTGGAAGGAATTTTTTCATTCTCTTCAAGCTAAGTTACTGGGCAGTAAAATGGCAAATGCAATAAAATGTAAACTAGTGCAAACTGATGCATGATGGGGCAAAAATGAACAAATTCCTGCTGATTCTGACAACAGAATCTGATCTCAAAACACCTCTGGATGCTTTCAGAAACAAATAGGATATTTCTATCAATCTGCTACTTGTTCCCATGGTACACATAAAAATAATTTGGATTTTAGGTCTGCTTATTTCACTTACATTACAAGTACATTTAAAGTTATTTTTGATAACTACTTTACATTTCTGAGAAGTTAACACTACTATCAAGATTCTTTTTAAAAAGTCCACACTGGGTGGTATTCAACAAGCTCATTCTGTCAGCACAATAACTGTGGGCTGTTCTGGGGTTCCCTCAGCCTCCTGAAGCTGTTCTGAAGAGGTCACGGGGTGCATGGGGAGGAAAGATGGGGGGGAAATCTGCTGTGGAAGTGGAAATCCTTGCACTAAAAGAATGAGTGAATTGGGTACCACCCACTGACACTTAACCATATGTCTTTGTGCCTAAATGGATAGATACGACACAGTAATTTGACAGGAGAGTAATATATGGAAGCAATCCCCATCATACCCTGGATTATTTCCACTGTTTTCGGGGGACAAGACACCATTGAGAAAAAATAGCTCTCTAGACTGCTCCCAAGCTTGAGCATGGTACTTACTATACCATCGAAGTCCTGCTGCTGCTTCCCATCTCACAGCCTGAGCCAGTAAGTCTTCTGGCATTGTTGGCAGAAAAGCACCCTGGAAGGGGAGAAGGAGAATATCAGAGTGGAACTAGAATAATATGCAGTGTCATCCTGCTCATGTATTAAGATCTTCAGTTGAAGTCTTTTGCCATGTGCTAAAGTGTGTTATGCTTGCATGCAGGAGAGGACTGTTTCTGTGTGATGGCAGACAAGTAAAACAGTAATGAGTGCAGGAACTGATGGGAACTGCAAAGGAAAACGGAACATTCACTACTTTACCTGCATGGTATGAGGTGAGAATGCCAGATTCCTTAGAGGTTCAAGGATTCGATTCTGGCCAGACAGCAAGACAGCAGCAGTGTGAATTGCCATCTCAATCACTACCCTCTTGTGGCTGGAATCTTGGGGGCTCAGTGCCAGTGAGGGGAGATGGTTATCCATCAGAGATTCTGCAAATCTCTCCAGCTCTGGAGAAGGAAGAACGCTGGAGCTCTGGATGAACTCCTTGATAACATCACGTTGCTGAAATAAGAAGGAAATTATTTTACAAAAAGTAAGGTGAGATTTGTCAACTAGACTCACTTCAATCTTCATACGAACTATGGCCAACTAAGATGATCAACTGTTTGGAAGATGATTAATAATGCATATAGGTCAATGCCTTTCAATGGATTTTTAAATGAAAGTTGGGGGAAACGACCACCTTTGCTCAGTTCTATAATTGATATCCTAAATCTTCCTCTCTCCTAAAGAAGCAGCACTTGTGCACAAGGCAACATGCAAACTGGCACCAAGACAAAGGCATTTACCTCCTGCTTCGGATGAAGACTCTGCTCCTTGCATCCATACAGAGATGTGAACTCTCTGAAGACAGCCAAGAGAAAATGAACAGCCTGGACAGACTTGGAGACATTGCATGCCTAAAAAAGAAGGCACAAGTTACAAGGCTGGGATTGGGGTGGGGCAGGGTGGAGAAGAGGGCAAGAAACGAGAGATTATCAATAGTTAAGCTTTCATCTTTGGCTATTAGCAGTCATGGATATGGCTACAGAAAACACGCCCACACAAAATGGTACCAGGTCACAAAGATTTCATCTAGTGCATCAGTCCAAATATATCTCTAGATGTGTCCAAAAAGGACACTAAAGGCACAACTTTTGTAAATGTTTCCCTGACACTGTTCCAATCTGGTAACCAGTAAGATTCCATCACCTATGGCAAGGGTATTTCAATTGGGATTTCTTTATCTGCCAATTTTTTCCTGTAGGTAGCAGACCCACCCAGATCTGGATGAGAACATATGAAGGACACTACAAAATGGCACAGTAAAGGAAGTCCATCACTTATAAGCAGAGTCAATGTTTCTAATGCAACATGTAGTGCGCTGAAATTGAGCCCCGATACTCCAGCTAATGCAAGAATGGCTTGTCATTTGATAAGCACAAGAAGTAAACAGTAGAACACAGGTGAATATTTGGGCTTTGGACAACTTAAAGACACCAATAGTAAGCAAGAAAACCTTGTTAATAGAGCTGAGATATACAAAGGAAGGAGTGAAGAAAAAATCATCAGGAATATATGAAATCAAAATAAATGGCTTTACCTTCAGGGCTGCTGCAATACCATCTGCCTGGCATTCTATTATTGCTTTTCCCAAAGCATCACGAACTACTCTGTAGTTTTTGCCGCATACCAGGAACCGATCCATCTGATTGTGCTGATGACTCTGAGGCCACAAAATACCAAGTCCCATTTTTAAAAAGTGTGAATATGAAAGCACATTCTAAACAATGTGCTGTAACTACAGAATCTGCCCAACAAATCTGCAGTTGAATTTCAAACTTCAGAAGGGTAATAGATGCCTGCTCAATCATTCTAAGTTATCACGAGGCTCTCTAGCCAAAGCAATATATTTTGCTTATTAATATTACATATATTTGTTAGTTACATTTTTTACAAAAAAATACAAGTGACTTACAAGATAAAAAAACTGATTAAAACAACTAAAACCAGAAAATTTAAAGCATGTATAGCACAATATACCTAAAATGCTCACTGAATAAAATTAGTCCTACCTATCTCACAAAAAGATGAGCACCACCATAGAAACCAGCTTAGTTACCAAAGGCCTGAGTGAATAAATCTTAGCTTAGAGGGTGAAATCTCAATGTAAGCAAAACAAATTCCTTTTATTTTTGCAAATTTCTTCTTAAGAGCCATTCCATTTGGCCCTTGTGTACCAAGCCATAGCTCAGAAATAAACATCTCAAATTTATTAACGATAGAGACAGATATGTATTACCTGTTGCTGTTTAATGACTTCTGATGGAAATACCCAGAGATACTGTTGTTCACTAGAAAGCCTCTGTGTGAACTCCATTCCATACTGATTAGTAAGCTTTCGGACAAGGTAAACTCTATACCAGTCATTTTTAGTCTGACAGCAGAAGCGCTTCACTTTCTGCAGGTAGAGTTGCTTCTCTGTTTCTTCACTACCATCTACAGAGAGAAAGAAAACAAGGCCTTATTCCCTATGCCGTGCTATAGAAAGGTCACAATTTTTAAAGTGTTTGACAGATACAAATCATCTGGTAAATCATCTAGCAGCTGGAACTCTTTCACACACTATTTCTTTGGTACATTTGCATTCCTGTTTGGTTACCATAATCCCACTTGCCTGAAGCTCTATGAAGCTCAAAGAGCAGCTCTGCAGCCCTGTCCATGCACAGCTGGATGTGGGCCACACCCTGCAAATACTCGATGGTGGCTTCTTGACGGGTGTCACTGCTGTTCCTGCTCCACTGTAAGTAGTTTTCCAGGAAACGCCCATCCTCTCTTAGCCGGTTTGCTTTGCTTTCCTCAGAGGAGGCTCCTGATTTCTCACACATAGAATCCTGAAAAATGAAACCATGTTTCCCAGTTACAACTAAGTTTCCATACCATACAGTTTAAGCTTTTTAAACTTATTGCATTTGTAGTTTGGCCCTTTGGGGACATGTAAGCACCCACACCCACACCATTTTGTACATGGAATGCCACCGAGCCGACAGATATGCCAGCTTGCAAAGCTTTTTCTGCTTTCTGGTGGTGCTTTAGAAATAAATAAACCAATCTGGAAACGTTTTGGCCATCAGTTACAATGCAATCCTAACCATGTCTACTCAAAAGTACTACTGAATTCAATGGGGTTTACTCCTAGGTAAGGGGTTAGGACTGCAGTCTTAGTCCAGGCAAATGCTCCGAGGGCATGTTCAATACTCAAGTAAAAGCAAACTAGTAGGGGCTGTGGCAATTTTAGGAAGCTGAACAACTACGAGGCTTGCTTATCAAGAAGCAAGTCACACAGTTCCAAATGTTTCAAGAATGACTCATGATCGTCATTATGGCTTTTCACTCACTGCTTTTCAAAATAATATCAGGTGAAATTGCTACCATCTCCAATAATCAAAATACACAGTGCTAGTTTGTTGTTGTTGTTGTTGTTTAGTCGTGTCCGACTCTTCGTGACCCCATGGACCAGAGCACGCCAGGCACTCCTGTCTTCCACTGCCTCCCGCATTTTGGTCAAACTGTCCAACCATCTCGTCCTCTATCGTCCCCTTCTCCTTGTGCCCTCAATCTTTCCCAAGTGCTAGTTAAGTTTGAATTTGGGTTTGATATCCTGCTTTATCACTACCCGAAGGAGTCTCAAAGCAGCTAACATTCTCCTTTCCCTTCCTCCCCCACAACAAACACTCTGTGAGGTGAGTGGGGCTGAGAGACTTCAAAGAAGTGTGACTGGCCCAAGGTCACCCAGCAGCTGCATGTAGAGGAGCGGAGACATGAACCCGGTTCACCAGATTACGAGTCTACTGCTCTTAACCACTACACCACACTGGCTCATTTCAATTTTGAAATTTTTGAATTTGATGCTAATGCAAAAGCTGTGCCAGGCTTTGTCGAGTAAGGAAAGGTATTTCCCTCCTAACTGATCCATCAGCTGACAGCTTGGTAAATATATAAACAAAATGTGGTGTATAAGCTTAGATGATGAGGAAATCCTGTTTGCGCCACAGAAGTCAACTGCAAATGACTAAATCTAATCGCAAGCACCTTCTGATCTAGTCTATTTCCTTCCAGTACACATGTGCAGCAGGCAATGATTGCTCTATACTATCTCTTCCATGTCTCTGAAAAGTTAAGATTCTGGAATGACCTAAGATTCTACCACTGGGCCAGGTCACCCCTGCAAAGTAAACAAGGAAACTGGAAAGTATACTTACTTCAAGGCAGTTGACAAATAGCACGTACACTTTTGTTTTATCATCTTTGTCTAGGATGCCGCTTGATTCTACTTCTGATAAATAATTTTGTACATGGACTTTCACATCGTTGAAGCTATAGAAACAGAGAAAACTCTCCTTACTCAAAATGAAAGATTTCCACTGTCAGAAGTATGCATTTCAGTTGTACAACAGAGCCGAGGTGAGAGCCAGCAAGAGTTTCTGAAAAGCAATAGCTGAACCCAGGAAAGAACCACAAGGACTTCAATTTAACGAAAACATGCATCAGTGGGATAAACGCTGAAGAAGCAGCAGGGTAGTTGAAAGTCCCAATTGAAAGTCCTTACCTGTATTTTAGAAGTAACTTTAGCACGACGGAACGAATTACAGGAGTTTTATCTACCACATCGTTAAAAGGGGACAGCGATTTTGTATGCACCCTGGGGTTTCCTAAAGAAGTAATAAAACACTGCATAAAGACATGGAAAAGTCTATTTATTCAAGACAAGACAGCTGATAAAAGATCTTGTGCACGTACCTCTCAAAGGCTTTGTATGGAAAAACAGGAGTTTCAGCAGCATCTGGATCACAGCTTTTTCTGGGGGTTCATTGTCTTTGAAGCACATAGTAGAAACCAGGTCTATGAAAAAACTGTTGCAAAACTTACGGAACTGGGTGTTTTTTTCTATGCAAATACTGTGAAGAAAATGCACAAGCCATTACATATCTGGTCAACTCCGCAACTTGCACCACAAAGCACATGTGTAAATGCTAAGAAATGCATAGCTAGTGGGTTATATTAAGTCCTCAGAAATTAAGGCCAGTGTCTCTAAATCATTACCAGTATTATAGATTGTTAATCAGAAGAAGGCATTACCTGAGCTCCTTGGATACTTCAATAGAATATTTTTCTGGTAGTTCAACCAGGCAAAGCGGACAGGACATCTGTCCTGCCACCAGCCACTGTTTGATACAACTGTGGCAATATACGTGATCACAAGGTAGGTTGACTGGGTCCTTAGGATCTCCCATACATATTGGACACGGTCTTAAGCCATACCTGTGAATTCAAGAGCCACAGTTAATGTGATCATATATTTAATTGTAGAGCCCATTGCTGAAGTCAGGGATGCTCAAACTTTATACCCTTCCCCTTTCAGGGTCCATTTGAGAGAACTGAAAATTACTGAGCCCTGCCTGCCCCCACAATCACAAAATGCTAGCGTAGGGGCTGCAAGTCATAAAAAGGTGAAATTTGGTGTAATCACTTGTCAATTGCTGACAAAATTTTCTGCCAATACAGTGAAACCTTGGTTTTCGAACAGCTTAGTTGCCGAACTTTTCGGCCCCAAATGTCGAAAACCCAGAAGTGAGTGTTCCGGTTTTCGAATAATTTTCGGAAGCCAAATGTCCGTCACGGCTTCCAATTGAGTGCAAGAAGTTCCTACAGCCAGTTGAAAGTCACGCCTTGGTTGTCAAACAGTTCCAGGAGTCAAACGGACTCCCAGAACAGATTAAGTTTGACAACCAAGGTACCACTGTATCTAACTCCTCTTTGGAAATCACTAGACTCTTCATCACCGCAATTTTTTTCTTGCAGGGAGTTCCATAGTTTAGTTTTAATCAATAAGTATAGACTTTGGTTCTGGAGGTGTTATTAATCAGTCATCCCATTTTAGGCAAAATCTGCTCACCCAGAGATGCCAAATAAATAAGGCCTTTAATTTAATTTTCCCCCTCTGAAACTCCCACATCTCTCAAAAGATTTCAATTCACCTCATGTCTTTTTTTTATCTTTCTCCTTTCACATTTAACTTATATCCCACTGCTTCCCCACAAACTGCCTTTCCCCCAGCCCTCCTCACACACTCATCCCAAAAGCTTTACTTGCAAAATGCTGAACTGATTTCATCCTTGCAGTCGCACAGCACTTTCATCACTGCAGTGAATGTGTTAAGAGTTTTGATGTCAGAATTCCACTGGAAACACTGAAAAGAATAAAAACAATGTGAATGGGAAGAGGCCCTCAAATGTAGGCAAACAATGCAGTAACCACAGGAGTCTGCACATTTATCGCTATGGTAACTGCAATAGCAGAACATGCATTTGTTCTAACTGGGTTTAACAAGCTAGCCAAATAACCTACTCCAACTGACTTTATTACATTATTTTTACTACAGCAATGATACATGTCTTTGCAGAAGGGCCAAGTTCAATAAGACTTAGGATGTGGACACACTATACCTTTAAAGAAGTTTTGAAACACACTTCCCCTAAAAGAATTCTGGACACTGCAGTCGACCACTCACAGGGTTACAGTTCCCATAAACCTTTAACAAACCACAGTACCTAGAATTCTTTGATGGAAAGAATGCATTTCTACTGTGCTTTACAAGTATTATGTGTACACAACCCCTCCTCCAGCTATAGAATGTCCTCCCGCGAGGCCTGCCTAGCATCGACATTAACAGATTAAAACATATCTTTTTTTAGGCATTTGAGGCACTATGCTTATTGCTGTTTCTGTCTTACAAATTGGAAGTGCCATTCTACCTATGAACAGAAAAGCAAGTTCTGAGTGCTGAAATAAAACTGGTACATATTTAACTTGCTTATGGCCAGCCAAATAAGCAAAGGATGTTTCTTAAAGTGATGTTTCCCTCCAAATGCAAAAAGGGTCCTTACCTTTCCAAGCCTTATGGTGTATTGCTTTATCAGATCCACCATCTCTGGGATCGCCTTTTCTGCTCCAAGTAGCACATGTTCCACAAAGAGAGAGACTGAGAAAACCCGATTCCATCGGCTCCTGTTTCAAAGAGAAATGTGAGTTATGGCTTATTTATATATGGGGGGGACGACAACAAGAAAGTAGGAAGAAAGTACCAGATGACTGGATTAAGGGATGACTCCTGCTGTATAAGAAGGGATCATCACTGCCTTTTGCAGAGCACGTCATAAAATTCAGTGGCACTGAAGACTTGATTTGGAAAGGACTAGTAACCCACTAGTAAAATGTAACTAAGGAGAGGGCCAGTACTCAAGTGAGTGCAGCAGCACAGATGCACAGCCTCTCCATTTACTATTCTTTTACTTAACAAGCTACATCTGTTCCACTGAGCTTCAATTCGGAGGCTCACAGAGCCACTTGACTACTGTAATTTTTTCATTCCATATTCCTTTGTAGATTCCATATTAGCATTTTACTTTTACTATTTACTGCATTTATATCCCACCTCAAGGTGGCATGCAAGGTTCTTTTCCCCTCCTTGATCCCTGCAACAATCCTGTGAGGTAGGAAAGGTGAGCTTCAGGGTTGAGCGAGGTGATGAACCCTGGTCTCCCAGCTCCTAGTCTGACTCTCTAACCACTATACCACTTACTAAATTGTGTGTGCGTGTGATAACACAGGAAACATGTAATCTGGGATTTGAGGGTATTAAGAGGGAAGCAGCTTTGCAAATGGGTGACTACCACAAGTTCAAATGGGTGAAACAACAATGTAACCAAATGACAATGTCATATGCAATTAATCTCAAGGAAACCATTACTATACTTTTAAATTCATATTTTGTCTCTCAGACCTACCTGACTTCCTGGAGCAGCTGGTCACATTGGCTCTCATTGCTTTGAAAGTAGTTTGCTGTACACACAAGTTCAATTGGCATTTGAAGCTTCTTCACCTGCTGGAGCCATGTTTGAGATTTGCAGTTCAGCAGTTTTTCTTCCAACATCTCAGTACAAGCAATTGCGGCAAGCACATCCAAAACCTAAGCAATCAGGCATGAACAGGGCTTTAATACAGACATGGATAGTAAAGAAAAATACACTCGCTTCAGACACTAGTAAGGCTGTATGCCCCCCTTAACTAAGCAAGTTACAGAAAATAAAAATCCCTCTCCCTTGAGTAAGTTGGCATCAGAACTTGAGAAGAACTATGACGATATCCGCATTACCAGTTTCATAAACACATAATGACACTTCCACAGTGTGCATAGTTGGTTTCCTTTCTGTTTATCCCATCTATTTCTTTTAAAACAAATGTCCTGCTTTACCCTCTATTCTAAATAGGGCACATTCCATCACCCAACCTTTAACACCTGTATTTTCTTCCTTCCATAGAATTTTACACTTACTATTCAATTTCACCTTATTGCTCTCAGTCCAGCAATTTTCACCGTAATTCTGCCTTGGGAGTATTTGCATAATCCCCCATGCATAATCTCTAATCTTATCTTCCACAGACATCTCAGGAGAGTTGTGGAATATGCTCACTGTACATATGTCCACAACGGATTGATTGCACTGCTGTTTGGCACTGCAATTATGTATAAGTCATTTGGTTCACAAGCTCGTAGAAGATCTTTGTGTTCTCACAGTAGGGCAGATACATTGTTAGGACAGAGGTGCCCAATGGGATGCCCTCCAGATGTTCTTGGGACTGCAACTCCCATCATCCCTGGGAGAGGCAATGCTGATTGAGGCTAATTCAAGTCGGAGCCCAACAAAAGCTGGAGGGCACTATATTGATTAGCTTTGTTATTAGGAGTATAGCAGATATGGACGTGTTAAAGCCTTGTGTGATGTTTAGTACCTCTCCTTAAAGGCATTATTGTTTCTCCTAATACTTTAGAAAAGCAACGGAAGAATACCATGTACTTCAGAGGCTGTGTTTTTTTCTAAAATGTTACAGCTAGCAAATATCACTCCTACCATTTGGCGATGCAAGAGGCTGCCTCCTTTCTCAATATGTTCAGTGAGAGCACTGAGCACCTCAGGGTTCACAGCAAGAATCCTGGAAAGGTTTTGCAGACGACTACTAAACTGATGGTAGCCAAGATGGATCCAGGAGATGGGCAGCACCTCCTCCTCCGCACTGGGCGAGGCTGCCTTCATTTCCTCTATGCATGATAAGAGAGCTGTCTGCAGCAGCTGGAAATTGAAAAACAAGTCTTTATAAAAAAGTGAATTCTTCTAGTAATCACATAACCGGTTGAAACAATCTAATTTCTTCAAAGTTGCTTTTGTGTTTTTTTCTTAATAACCAAATGGTTGTTAGATAAATGTCCTAACAATCTCAGTGTTACGATGGCTATAATCTCTTATTTAGGTTAGGTTTTTGTTTTAAAAATAGCTTGGTACTTACAGGGAAACCTTGTTGGTAGGTAAATCTGGTGGTTAATGCTTCGATTATCTTGACAAAGCAGACTTATATTTATGAAAGACAACTGCCAGCAATACCATTTCTTGCAGATGCTACAGCACACAAATTGTGAATGTAGCAACTGACACATGCTTTCTTCCAAGCAGCTCAACATCTCTTACTGGTATACTCACATTCAGCTCCTTCGGAGAGGCCACATGCATTATCAGACGGATATAGTCTCTGATAAAACAGTGGAAAATGATGTTTCTTTCTTCAGCAGAGAGACCAGCAATATGCTGCCCCAGTGGTGTCTTCTGAAAGAGTCCTACAAACTTCTCCGCATGGCCTGCAGGTCAGGAGTACAATGGGAGGAAACTAGATTAGATGGGAATTTTAAATGCCATAGTATCTCTTTATGCCAATAGGCATGAGTCTTCTTGATTTGCCAGTCATTTTAAAGGTTGTTTTGTGCTGCTTTTTGATGGTATTTTGTTCTTATATTGTTTAAAATGTCCTGATATTTTATGATAGGGCAGTATATAAACGCTTCAATAAATAAATATCTCCCAGAAATACCATGCAGCAGTGGCAATGGCCCTATTTCAAAAGTTAAAAGTATGATGACCCTTTACTTTGTAAGCCTCATAACCCAAAACATTGAAAGCTGTTTGTCGTTTATGAAGAAGTCTTTTGGTAACTACTGAGAAATAGAAAATTTGACATTGCACCAGAAATGTGGCCCAAATCACTCCTTTAGTCCCAAAGCAATGCTCTTAGCAGCTAGCAAGTCTAGCAGCTAGGACTGTCATGTCCTGGACATAAATCCAGGACATTCTTGGATATGCAGTAAATTTTCAGTAGGAACATTTGTCTGTATACTTTAGGATATGCCTATAAAAGCAATTAGAAACAGAAGATGTTCAGGGACTAAAAACTTGCATAAGCAGAACCAAAAGCCACTGAAAGATCAAATAAGAATATAGGGTTGCACTCCCCTGTCCTCCTTCTGATAAAGGTCATAGATTAGGATGACCAAGACCAAATCAAGTCACATAATCAGGCCTGAATGCAGATTGAAATGGGTCGAGATCATGTTTCATCCAAGAGCACTTGCAATTGTTGTGCCACCGCCCTCTCAATCACCTTCTCTACGAAGGGAGAATTTGCGAACAGGATTCCAATGGGGAAAACAGAGCCCGGGGGGAAATTCAGGAAAATGGCAAAATGTCCGTTTTGGGTTTTTTTTTGGCAAACAGAACCATAAAGGACAGCAGCTGAACCCCCATAACAAACATCAAAAAGGGATGGTGCCTCATTATTGCCTTCAGATCCATTTGACATATTTATCTAAATGTTCCTATGAGTGACACCAGTTTCAATGTCATCCCTGAACTCTCACCTTCATCACCAATGACATATGGGGCTTGAACCCAAAGGTCTTCCAAAAAATCCTTTATCCTCCAGCTGAAGGGTATTTCATTGCCAGCATCTGTAAATACCTGCAAGGAATTCTCCACCAGAATTGTCTTGGATTGGGAGCTGGGCAAGAAACATGCAAAATCAACAGAAAGTTGGTAGAATTCCGTTACTTTTACTTTTCTTTAATCTATTAATCATATAATATATAATATAAATATATTATAAATATAATATAAAAAACCCACAAAAAATAGATCATAAGGCCAGCCTTTAATCTAGGTGCAATCTGTTTATATAGAAAAAGAAACAATGAATGCAGAATGAATGGATTACAGGATACAATTTGTATGAGGGCTGCCTCAATAATTTATTCCGTAAGGATGGATGGATGGATGTAGTGGATGCATTTCAGAGACACTATAATTAACACATGGAATAAAAGGATAGCATACTACAGGTCTGGGGAACTCTCTATTGGTCCCACAGGATAGCAATTCACAACCCCTACACACCCACACCCACACACCGACTAGCCTGGTACTGTACTAAGGACCTGTATGGGAGCAGCTGGGTAAGATCAGGTCCACCCAGCTCACTCACCCAAGTCTCATGGGAGAGAAGATCACCTACTGTTTAGGGAAGCTTTTAATGTTTGATGTATTACAGTATTTTAATATTTTTTTTGGAAGCTGCCCAGAGTGGCTGGGGAAGCCCAGCCAGATGGGCAGAGTATAAATAATAAATTAATTATTATTATTATTACTGCCTAGATTTCAAGATAAGACTATTGCTTTTTTCATGGCCAGGGTTTTGGATTTAGACCCCAGGGTAGAACAGCGAAAAACCCCCAACAAGTTGAGGAGCAAAGAGGATTAAATTTTGCAAAGGGTGGAGGAAAAAAGGAGGACTTCTGCTAGGATAGACAAGAAGACAAAATGGGAGAAGCTCCTGGAAGTGGAAGAGACAGTATTCAAATTTGCAGCAAGGTTCTCCTGTCTAGGCTAGAAGTATGTGATATAACCTAGGTATTAAAGAGTTCTGCTGTAAACCAAACCTACTGAGAAATGGGAAGCCAAACTGTCATGGCCTTCTACTGGCATACATAGTTGCCAAATGAACAAACAGCTTTCAAAATATTCCTTCACATGGGAGTCAAAATCACATTCACCATTCACATTTAACAACAAATCAATTCACCAGCAATCATTGCTGCCTTGGTTGTGCCACTTACCTTTTCTCACTCATAATGTAAGGGATGTTCAGAAGATTGAGATCATTGAAGATGAACATCCACAGAGCTTTCACACAACTTTCTGTTTCTGGTCTAACCAGCAGGTCCAAGTTGCCGTCTCTGTCTAGGACAGACACCATATAGGCCAGAAATGGTATAACTGCACTCTGCACCCGCTTCCACAAGGTGTGCCTGCAAGTTTCAAGAGAGGTAAAGGAAACAAAACAAAACAAAACAAAAAATAATACCCAATATTAAGAAGAAATTAAGTTCAGACACAATCACGCACTCTTTCAGGAGCATTCTGACAAGACTGAAAATCTCAAGGGAGAGTGTTATAAAAAAAAAGCAATCCTTTTTTTGACTTGCATATATACTTCTTTCTTCTTTTGAAAGCACCTTTCCAACTGTGAACCATGGTTTTGAAGCAAAGTTTATACTGTTTACATAAGGAATGTTACTACCTGAAGCAGAGGCAGAAACTTTGAAAGACAGCCCAACATTATTGGCCCACAGAGCTATTACTGCAGAAAACAACAACACCCAGCTTTATTAAGAGTTTTGGTTCCCATCTTGCCCCAGATACACATGTAAATGCTCTGAACTCAAAAGGGCCAGGATATTTAACTAGCTGTAGTACTGCAGTTGACTGCAGAAAACAAAAACAAAACAAAACAAAACAAAACATGGGAGACTTTTCAGACCCTCCACCTGCTGGGAATAAAGCAACAATGCTTTGCAGTAAGTTACCTGAACCATTGTGGTGATGGTGAGGGAAATAGACAAAATTAAAATTTATTCTTCCCCTGCTCATTCTTTTTTAGTAACCACTTGTTGGTGAAACAGATTACTTCATTTGAGACTTTTATTTCCTTCCTGTTTTTTCTCCGAATTACATTTGCTCAAAACAGATTCAGGGCTCGCCCTCATTTCCACTTGTCCTGTGCTTTCTTAGACTGTCTTTAAGAATCCGTGGAAAACCTGATTGCTGTTTGTTCCAATTAAGTGCTAAACCACATGTTTTCCCAGGGGAAAGAGGTAAGGAAAAGGGAGGTGGATAAGACCTGTGTGAGTTAGCATGTGCTAGTGACACTACTTTTGGCCACATGCAAAGCCTGTACATGGGGACGCGGGTGGCACTGTGGGTTAAACCACAGAGCCTAGGGCTTGCCGATCAGAAGGTCGGCGGTTCAAATCCCCGCGATGGGATGAGCTCCCATTGCTCAGTCCCTGCTCCTGCCAAACTAGCAGTTCGAAAGCACGCCAAAGTGCAAGTAGATAAATAGGTACCGCTCCGGCAGGAAGGTAAACGGCGTTTCCGTGCGCTGCTCTGGTTTGCCAGAAGCGGCTTAGTCATGCTGGCCACATGACCCGGAAGCTGTACGCCAGCTCCCTCCCGCGCACAACCCCAGAGTCGTTTGTGACTGGACCTAATGGTCAGGGGTCCCTTTACTTTTAATACTCAGAATGACTTTATCATGACCAATAAACCTTGTTTTATTTCTCCTTTCAACCAGCTAGATTATTTCGCTCTGCATACCACTGCAATATATTTACCAAACTCTTAACACCACCTTGATTCTGAAGCCCTTAAACCCTTCTGAAAAGTTGTTCCCAAAGCTCAAGGGGACCCTCTGGAGAAGTATTAAATGCAGCTTGTGGGGCCACAGCTGGAAGAATAAATTTATAATTCCTCTGAGTGCATGGAACCATCTTAAGAGAGGTGTACTCTTTAGATACTGGCCTATGTTTTTAGATTGCTGAAATATGACTAGTTTAAACTACTGTGTATACCTGAAAGTTCCTGCTTCTTGGAGGGCATTGAGGTTCGATGCCTCCCGAAGCACCCACTCTTTCATGATGTAAGAGTTCTCCTCTTGCTTTTCCAAAAGGGTTAAGAGGCGATTCTTTGTTATCTTCAGGAAGGAGGCTGAAAAACAGCAGAAAGTGTGCTAACCGGTATTCCTTAAGGCTAGATTTCAAGTGTTGAAGACAAAACAAAAGGTACCGTATTTTTTGCCCCATAGGACGCACCGCCCCATAGGACGCACCTAATTTTTTTGGGGGGGGGAATAAAGGGGAAAAAATTATTTCCCCCCCCCCAGGCACGGGGCAGGCGTGGAGGAAGCCCAAGCTTCCCCCGACCCCAGAACAGCCTGCTATCCGCAAGCCTAGGGAGCCGCGCCGGTCTCCCCAGGCTTGCTGAGTGCTGTGCGAAGCCCGGGCGCGCTCTTCAGCGAGCACCAGGCTTCGGAATGCAGGCAGCTCTGTGCAACCTTCGGGAGCCCGGCGCAGCTTCATGCCGGTCTCCGGAGGGTTGCACAGAGCTGCAGGAAGCCTGGGAGCGCTGGCAGCGCTGTGCAACCCTCGGGAGCCCGGCACGGCTTCGCGCCGGTCTCCCGAGGGTTGCGCAGAGCTTCCTGAAGCCTGGAGAGCAAGAGGGGTCCCTCTCGCTCTCCAGGCTTCAGTGAAAGCCTTCATTCGCCCCATAGGATGCACACACATTTCCCCTTCATTTTTGGAGGGGAAAAAGTGCGTCCTATAGGGCGAAAAATACGGTATCTATTTCTACTGGACCAATAGCTAATTTAGTCAGATTTTATCAGCAACACCAGTTAAGGTTTCACAATCTTCTGCAGTGCTTGACTGTCAACTATGAAATTACAAATATACAGGGTGAGTCCTTTAAAAGAGGCCCTGTGGATACAGAGTACACATATTCCAGACTCACCCTGTATTATCTATATAAAATTGTTGCGAGTTGTCATCTGGGGATGAGTGAAGAGTTTAGAGTATGCTGACTCTACAGAATGCTCAGCATGAAGTAGGAGGGGTTGCAGATGTGCTGCACTGGTGTTTAGAAACTAGACTAGGTGACAGTAAACTACAGCTGTTATCTTGGCAAGATGGAAGCAATAAAAGCTTTAACTGATATGATTATGCCTTATTGCCACATCTTGTGGTGGCAAGCAAATTCCACAAGCTAACTATACATGGACAGAAGTACTAATTATTTTTATTTTTATCTCCAAACATTCAGCTTCATTGAATGGCCCCAGGTCCTCGTATTACGAAACAACGAGAAACTTCTATCTTTTTTCTCTCTACACTGCACATAATTCTGTGCTTGATAGCACCTGAGACCCCTGTTACCTCATGCTCTGTGGAAGAAGATTGTGTGAACATATTCTGGGAGGAGCTTGCACCAGAAAGCCTTCCACTTTACAGTGGTACCTCAGGTTAAGAACTTAATTTGTTCTGGAGGTCCGTTCTTAACCTGAAAATGTTCTTAATCTGAGGTACCACTTTAGCTAATGGGGCCTCCCGCTGCCGCCGTGCGATTTCTGTTCTCATCCTGAAGCAAAGTTCTTAACCCAAGGTACTATTTCTGGGTTAGCGGAGTCTGTAACCTGAAGCGTCTGTAACCCGAGGTACCACTGTACAAAACAAAATGCTCCTAGTCATTCATACCTTTCAAATCACTTTCCTCAGAAAGAAGGCTAAGGAGAATTTCAATCCTCCTAGTGCTGCGGCTGGAACTCTCATTTGGGTCTCTTAGCATCCCCACAGCACTTTGCACGCAGCTCCTCAGAAGAACGGTGGTGTCCAAGATTTTGGGCTTTCCAGGAGTAGAGAAAGAGAGCCTATTAATATTGTGAAGCAACACAGGCTAACCTGGTGCACATTTCTTCTCTGAAAAAGGGAACTGATGTAAACAAGAGCTTTCTGCCTGTAATGACTCTCTTGCTTGCTGGCCAATACAGGAGACAAAGATACAAGTTCTCCCCTGCAGCCAGGAATCAGCACATTTTCTGCCTGGAGAAGAGCAGTCATAAAAGCAAGGAAAATGGATAGCACAGCAAGGTCCTATTAACAAAAACCAATAGGCACTTGTTTTGTTATGGTGGAGAAGTGAGACGAACCCACTTCCTGCATTGGAGATCTACTCCACTTGCGATGATTGGTGTCCTTGGTCTCTTTGGAGTGTTTAAGACAGGACCCAGCATGGGATCTTTGTTTTATCAGTCCAATAATAGGCTTAGTGCTGGGAGCAGAGGGGAGAGCAAGAATTGAGTACAGAAGCATGGAGACACTAAAAAGGAGCTCCTGCAATGTTCTGGTAAACAGATGATAGTGAGGCTAACAAAATGACGGCCACCAGGAAAATGCTGGGCTTACTTTCAGTGCTAACAAGGGACACCTGCAGACTTTGTGATTATTTATTCATTCAATTTCTATACTGCCCTTCATCCGAGGATCACAGGGCTGTTTACAACACATAACGTAGTAGCAAAGAAAAACAATAACCTGCCCCCACCCAAACACAAATTTAAAAGGCCATAAATTAGCTAATAAGCCAAAGGCCTAGGAGAAGAGGGATGTTTTTGCCCAGTACCTAAATATACTGTATGTAACAAAGGTGCCACCCTCCAGACCTCTCATGGAGGAGACACACAAAGAAGGACCTCAGAGGATGATCACAAGGTTTGTTAGTTCTTAGGGAGAGAAGAGGCCCTTGAGGCGATACCATTCACCACTGTCTTTGAGAGGCTCAGTAGAAGCCCAGAGATGGAAGCTGGCTGAAATGGGCCCTAACTAATTGTTTAGTGTCTAGAGGGGGTGTCTAGAGTTTGGAGGTAGCCAACCTGTTCCTCTGTGATGAGGAAGACTTTCCCTTAGGGATCAATTGGAATGGTAGGCCAGAGCGATCCCTGTGCTCAGAGGAACACATGTTCTGGAGAGACTTGCTTTTGGAGACTCCATGGCAGCAGCAGCAGCAGCAGCAGCCAGAATTCCCACCCCTTAGGTCTTCACCATTCTAACATGGGTGGTCATTTTTACTACAGAGCTGCCTGTTTGTTCAGGAAAGCCACAGAAACAATGTACAGGCGAGAGAGCAGAAATGGACAATAAGGGGATCAAGAAAAAAGGCAAAGAAGGCTGGAAGGGTCGGAAAACATGCAAAGATAGCAGAGCAGATGGGAGAAGGGTTGAAACCCAGGCAAAAACAGGGAAAGGAACCCAAACTCTGGTATGAGAAAGCATAATCCATGCTTATTAGATGTTTCCGCACTACACCTGAGAAAATATGGGGATATGGGGGGGGGGGGAATGGAGGGGAAACCATAACAGAGAACAAGTACAATAATACCTCTGGGATTTTTATGATTTGTCCTCAGCATGAATAAGGGGGGGGGGAGCACTCTCTGTTTTCAAAGGTAGCCAAATAAAATAATTAAAGTGAGATACATTGAAACTTACAGCCAATCTTTCTGTTTTGGGTGCTGCTGATACCACATCCACCTCCTCATCTTGTTCTTCTTCCTTTGCCATAATCACAGCTGCAAATAATACAGAAGATTGCATAGGGTTGAAATTTGCTTACTGATAAAATTAAGAACACCGGGAATGACTACAGGTTGTCAGAAGTTAATGCTACATTACTTACTGAAATTCTTACACTCACGTTTTTGTGCAGACTTCCCCGTATCTTCATAAAACAGCTGGCTGAGGGTTATGTTCCTCAGGGAAGTTACATCAGAAACCATATCCTTGGATCTCCTTAGATCATCAATGTGCACAGACTGCCACATTCCTAGCAGTAGACAGAAATACTTTCGGTGACTACTGCCATGAAGTTATCATGGCTCAGACCTGAGGGCCCTAGTCCTGCCACTCACCACCTGGCCCAGGACGGGGCCTGATGGGCTCTATAAAAGGACTGCTGCTGCTGCTGCTAGGCAGAGAGGGCTCCGTTTTGTTTTGTTTAAATTGCTGTTATTTTTTACCTATGTCATTTTAAACTGTGATATTCATGCTGTATTCTTAGTTTTAGATTTTGATTTATGTGGAAATTGTTTCCCATTTGGTTGTGTATTTTTAATGTGGGTTATTTATTGTTTATGACTTTTTTAATTATGTAAATCTTGTTATGCTGTAAGCCGCCTTGAGAATTGTTTTTTTAACTGTGCAAAGGCAGCATACAAATAAAAAATGATGATGATCTAAAAAAAAGAAAAATCCAGTGCAGGACAGATAGGGATGAGCCGAACTACCTAGAGGCTCAATAATACTGATTTCTTATTTATTAGACTTATATACCATCGTTCATCAAAAGGTATTCACAGTATGGGCATCCTTTAACCCCATCTGCTCTCTTTGTATTGTTTTCAAAAGAAAGCAAAAGACAGCAAATATTGCATTTATTAGAGAAGTGTCCTGACCACAAGATTCAATTTGGACCTCAATTTGATACTTCACAAAGTAGCCCTATTTTCTTCTCTATTTGTGCCGATATCAGGTATTTATTCCGAGTTGCAACAGCATCCCAAACTCACTGAAAACCTCATATTTATTCTACATCCCACTGCACCAGTCGTGCTGTCCTACCTCCATGAAATCCCACATAGGAACTTCCTCCTTCAACGCGAGATAGCTTAGTGATGAAGAGCACAAACACTGAGGCTTCACACAGATCTATTTTGTTAATTTCATTAACAGCTGAGTATCTGTAAGGGAAAGGAAACACTTGTCGGCAATTTCAAGAGGCAGTACAGAGGACGCTACTGCCTAATCACGTCTCATTATAGCAACACTTACAAGGCTTACTTCTCCACCCCATCCTAACACCAAGCTTTCAACGTTCACTATGTTCATATAGCTTCACACAAAAGCTTGTCTTCCCTCACACTTTCCCCAAGTGTTTTACTAGACCTTGAAAAAGGTTGTGGTAACTGTTAGCCATGAGTTCAATGCTGCTCTAATAAAGAAGCTGGAAAATACAACACATCTTATGCAACATACTTGGCTGAGGCAACAATCTGGGCACTGAGAGATCCGTTTTCAAAGTCAGTCTGAATAATCAGTATTTTAGTTCCAGGCGCAACAGAAAGAGAATTCCTGGGAGAAAACAACAGATGTCACAAGAATGGTTAAAAGGGTATTGTATTTCAGGCACAGAGTGGATCATCACACACAACAGTACAGTACCCAGACTTCAAATATCTGAAAGACCACCTCCTTCTCTATAGACCATCTCAGGTGCTGAGACTGGCAGAGGGGGTCCTCTTGGTAGGTTTGGGGTGGTGGTGGTAGCCTGGGAAAGGCTGCCCCTAAGCTATGAACTCCCTCCCCACAGATGTATGTCTGGTACCTTCATTCTACAGCTTCCAGACAATGCTGAAGACCCAACACTTGTATATTTTTAGGTCCCACTTTTTATGACTCTATGTTGTTTTTAATGTTGTCACACGCCATGGCACCTTAGGGTGAAGGGTGGGTGATAGATAAATAAATAAATATCAACTTCCATCAATCCCAGCAGTCTGAATCTATAACATAACCTTAAATGGTACCACAAGCCCATGCTTATTCTCTACCCATCTGTTTCACTCAAAAATTCTGTTACTGTCATCTTCAATGTGGTCTACAAACCAAGTGGACTGAGAAACGCAAGCCACTCACCGAATTTCTTTCAAAAAGGAATGTTCTGTGTCAAACTGTTGCAAGAAAAGAACTTTTGGAATGCCTACATTGTCCAATAGTTCTGTCTTCAAAGTCTCTGTGTCTGCCGCAGTCAAGAGTCTAGAGAAAGTTGTAACCTGAAACACAAAGAAAAATATGAGATTTCTCTGTCAGAGATGTACAAAGCCTTTTAAGATTTTTGCACAACTGCACACAGCAAACCCTTTTGCAACAAAATGAAGCAATATGGCATGGTAGTCTAATGTCCAATAAAATTAAGGTTAGCCCCACCAGCACCACATACACCAAGGAGGCCCTTGAGCTGCTCTTAGGATCTGAGTGATGCTGACAGCAATAAAGAACCCAACATTTGTGTCAGAACAAATCCCCAAAAACTTGGTTGTCAACTACTAGACCTATTTGACAACAAAATTCTATTAGATCATGATGGGAATGAAAATAAAATTAAAAGGGAAGCAGAGAGGAAAAAAGAAATGCAACTCCTGTTTGAAGGAAAAGGTATAATCTGCTGAGTAGTATTTAGATGCCTTACTTTTTACCCTGACTTAAGCAGTCTAGACGTTGCTAATTTCTTGGACAGTCTTTCCACTGCCAAAGGAAGCACTAGGAAATCATTCCACCAACAAACATGGGCAAAACAGATCTTATTTGGATTCTCTAGATCTCTGGCCGCATATGAGACACCAAGAATGCTGGCATCTGAGTTGCCAAAAAAGCAAAATTAATTGTACCACCTGTCACCTGTATCTGCTGCTTGAACTTTTAATTTCAAAATGTTTCTGGCACATGGAACACCCATGGCAAAGCGGATAGCAAGATATTCACTGTTTCATATTGAATACGATCAAATAAAACAATACAACTTGGTTTGCTGTTATGAGAGGCATCTACAGTATGCTTTAGATTTGCATTCTCTCTTCCCTACTCCTTCACACACAAGCCCAAGGCTTGCTGTAGCACATTCTCTTTACAAACCGTATATCGCCATTACACCTGAACTGGACCAGTAGCTACATTTTACCTTGCTGTAAATACTGCTTGATGGACAATTTAATGAAGGTACGCCTGGTAATGGCTGCTTCACTTTTACCCATGAGGAATATCTTAAACCTTTGTACAACCAGTAAAATATAGCTTAGGCCAGACTTTTGACTTAACATTTTCTGACAATATAGAATAATGATCTCCAAGGTGAAGAGAAATACATTTTCTGATCCATCTGCTCCCATGTGTAGTCTAGAATTATTAAAGTTCTAATGCCATCTCAGGAGAGCAAAATTCCTAATGTATTAAAAAAAGAACAAAGAAGTATTTCAGAACTCACCTCAATAAAGGTTGTGTGACCCCTAGACTCTGTCTCAAGGCAAGCACGAAGGAACTCTGCAAGCGAAGTGTGATGTTGCTGCTGAAAGTATACCCTGGCCAAGTCATCTGCCAGAAAGGAACCCAGCCGCGAATCACCAAGGCGGACTACAGAATCAGGCGTTGCACAGTTTAACAGGACCAACTTGGCTTCTTCTTGTACTTTTCGCATCAGTTCCTGAGGGGAAGCATCCATTTTCAGCTTCTCCGTCACCTGCAAGACAACTGAGGCACAGGTGTCAGGATGGTAGCCAACAAAGACATCAGAAGGGGTATATTTCTGCTGGCCCATAAAGTATTTTTCTGTTTCAACTGTTGTGAAGCTGTCCACCCATTTCTTCAATTCTTCCACAGTGTCTCTTTGCCTCCTTGCCCAACACAGTATTGATGTCTAGGTAGTGCTTTTCAAGCCTGTTGATCAATGGGATGGGGAAATGTTTGTAGACCACCTCTTTCTCCTCAATGACAATCAAACGGAACTTAGGGTGCACTCTGCATTTCACTCGATGGGTCCCCAAGCCCAAGTCAACATACTTTTGACCAGCAAGTTGAACATAATACTGGTTGAGGGCATCGTAGAGGCTTTCATACAGATTCTGCAGGTTGAGAAGAATGACCATCTGCCCTGTCTCCATACAGATCTTCACTCGGTTGATGTTTCTGCAGATCTGGGTGTATTCCTGGTCTTTGGGAAAACTGGAACCAAAAATAATTTCTGGCTGCTGTGTACCTTTGAAAAAAGCCTGCTGCAGGATCTGGAGGGCTGCATAATTTTCCGTCAACACCAGCAGGTAACGGCATTCACCATCCTCATAGTCACTGTAAATGTTCTGCTGAACTAGATCAATTGTACCAATATCCTCACGGATGACATCTCCTTTTTCTGAGAACCTACACATAAAAATGTTCAAGGCCTCAACACCTTCTTTACCACTGAAATTACGGAGAACTATCTCTGCTAGTTCACGGGAAGCTGGTTCTCTTTTCAGTTTTTTGGTTAAAGCAAACACCATTTTTATGAGACTGTAATAATCACGCAACCCAAAGAACTCCTTGCCTTGGGTCTTGCAAATTTCCTCATAAGCACTTGCAAAGATGGGAAAGAAACGGTCAACTTTGTGCAGGACGGAGCGTTCTGAAGAGCAGATACCCTTTGCGCTTTCTATGAGCTCCTTCTTGTTTGGTTCTCCACGGGATACAAAGATGCCTCGATTCATCTTAGCTGGATCCAGCGCCCAGTTAGAGATCCCAATGAAGCCAACTTTTTTATGAGGGAGTGGATCATCATCAACACAGCCATCTTCCAAGAGCGGGTGAAGGGTCTTCAGAGGCATTTTGGGGGAGTCTTCAGCCAAGCCAATTTCATCTAACACCACCACAGAGACATACTCCTTTAGGTTCTTTCCTTCTTGGAAGCGAGCACAATGCTTGAAAGTGTTGATGATTCCCTCAGGCGTAGAGTGTGGGCTGCACTGAAAGGACACCAAATGGATTTGCTTCAGTTCTTTATAAAGATCAGTATATGCTGCTTGGCCTTGCATGGCATCAGCCACAATCGTTTTGGCAAGAGATTTGGAACTGCCAGGCTTGCCAATGAGAAACAAGGGGATTTTAAGTTCAATGCAGATAACCATCATAAAAACATTTTCCTTCAGTGCCAAGTTCTTGGCGATCGTTTCCCTCAGAGGTAGGTCACTCAAGAAGAGATCCTGAACTAAGCCAATTTCTTCAAGGATTCCCTTTTCATCATCATATGGCTCTGGAAGGATGGTGCTGATGACTCTGCGGTACTCCCTTTTCCTTTCCAGGGAAGCATGGTAGCAAACACCCACTGAAAGAACCAAGGACCAAAGGACTGGGTCTCGCTGGACAAAAACTTTAGCTGCCTTCCTCTCTGCAACTTGCTTCTCCAGATGTTTCATTAGTAGTTCACTGTGGCTGTGGAACCACTTGAAGACTTCCACGCAGCGTTCCACATCTCTGAGGCTGATAAAGCTGCATTCATCATTCCTTTGCCTCATATACGTCTGAGACTCAAAAAGTACATCTGTTATTAACTGGAGCTCAACATCAGACATTGGTATTGACCTAGTAAGTCTTTGCACAATCTGCTGTATATAGAGTTTTTCAGTAACGTTGTTCAACTGTCCGAAATCCCACACTAGAGGGATCATGCTAGGAGGGAGCGCATGGACACGGTATACCAGCTGCCTAAGAGGAATGGAGCCAAGCTTTTCCTTGGTCTCCTCTGCTTTGACACGGTAGCCTAAGCCAGCCGATTCCAAGCGCTGAATCATTTCCCCTGTATGCTTGCGATAAGGATTGCATGCAGCTATGATTTGCAGACCTGAGTTGTGGACCAAAGGCTGTCCTTCAACTGTACGATCACACAAGACTTCCTTGATGCTGCTGACAGCTTCAGTGGTGTTGGCTTCATCAAAAAACAGGATGGTGTCAAACTGGTATTGTTGTTTATTGTCAATAGCAATGTCTTCTGCTTCCCTGACTTTGGCATAGATTGCATCTGCTGTGGTGCCTCCATGGACCTTGACAAGCTTCATGTTATCGGCATTGGCACCGCTCCTACGTAGTTCACACAGGAATTTTATTAGCCTGGTTTTTCCACAGCCAGTTTCTCCCATGAGGACAACAGGGATACCACACCTGAATCGCATTTCAATGGCAAGGATCTTTAGCATATTGTCTGTTGTGAGCTCATACGTATCATCAGGATCAATTGGCCACTGAATTCCTAAAACCATGCAAAGTTTCTCAATTTTGTCATGTCTGGGCAGTGCATCAAAATTAATGTTGAATGGAACTCTCTGAAGGCACAATCCCTGGTATAGCTGAGCTGTCATTACATTTCTCTTGATGACACTCCCATTCAAGGGATTGATGGCATCAATACCACCATTAGCACTGGGTTTGAGATGAAAGCCAATGAATGTCATAGATACAGAATCCGCATTGAAAAATATATATGGGTGGGGTTCTGACTCCCACTTCTTCCGAACACAAAATGGAGCAAGATCTTCTTCTGTGACTCCTTCCATGTCAAAAAACTGATTCCCAGGGCTTTCATCAGAAATGTTTAGAGATGGTGTAGCAAAATCCTTTGCCATTAAAATCATAAATGTGACCACGAAATTTTTGAAGCCGTGTAAAGCGTCATCGACAAAAGCAGCATTACAGAACACTGAAGTTTCACAATTTCTCAGTTGAAGGTTCAAAAACCAAGCAAAGTTTCTCAGTTCTGACCAGGAAGGATCTATCACTCCACAGTGGATCAGGAGCATCTGCAGGCACTCTGCTGGTGTCCCTTCAACAGAGCCTTTTTCATACTGGAATGTGTCAAGGCAATCTCCTCTGCTAGATCTTCTCAAGTACTGGTAGGGTCTCTGAAAGGCTTCGCTACGAAACACTTCCTGATCTATACCTGGGTCTGAGCAATCATAGGACAGATTCCTCTGCATGTCCATTTCTAGGACTTCCTTGGGAGATCTGCAGGTTACTTTGGGGAACACATCCATGAAGTTGTACTTCAATCCTGGAAAATACTTTAAGAGAGAGAGAGAGAGAGAGAGAGAGAAGGGAAAGGTTATCCCAATATTACACATCTTGGTCACTCATACTATTTATTTGTTTGTTTGTTTGTTTGTTTGTTTGTTTTGGTAATTTTTCCACAGCTTTTAAACTTTTAAACTGACGAGTTAATGCTGCTTCTCATTCATTCTATTTTCCTGGATAATTTTAAAAAATATCAGTTATCTTAGCACACATACAATTTTAATATCAACATTCCATAAATACATGATTATGTTAGAAAGCATTAAACTCATTAAAAATGGGAGCTTTGCAATAGGGTTTTTCAGTGGTGTACTAGCAAAGTACCATGTAAGAACCATGAACCTTGGTAAGTTGGATGTGATCAAAAATGAGATGGCAAGAATAAATACTGACATCCTGGGCACCAGTGAACTAAAATGGACGGGAATGGGCGAATTCAGCTTGGATGACCATCAAATCTACTACTGTGGGCAAGAATCCCGTAAAAGAAATGGAGTGGCCCTCATAGTCAACAAAAGAGTGGCGAAAGCTGTACTGAGGTGCAATCTCAAAAATGATAGAATGATCTCGATACGAATCCAAGGCAGACCTTTTAACATCACAGTAATCAAAGTTTATGCACCAACTACTGGGGCTGAAGAAACTGAAATTGACCAATTCTATGAAGACTCACAACACCTTATAGAAATGACACCAAAGAAGGATGTTCTTCTCATTATAGGGGATTGGAATGCTAAAGTAGGGAATCAAGAGATAAAAGGAACAACTGGCAAGGGCCAGTTTGGAATTCAAAACGAAGCTGGGCAAAGGCTAATAGAGTTCTGCCAAGAGAACAAGCTGGTCATCACAAACACCCTTTTCCAAAAACACAAGAGACGACTCTACACATGGACATCACCAGAAAGGCAGCATCGAAATCAGATTGATTATATTCTCTGCAGCCAAAGATGGAGAAGCTCTATACAGTCAGCAAAAACAAGACCTGGAGCTGACTGTGGCTCAGATCATCAGCTTCTTATAGCAAAATTCAAGCTTAAACTGAAGAAAGTAGGAAAAACCACTGGGCCGGTAAGATACAATCTAAATCAAATCCCTTATGAATACACAGTGGAAGTGAGGAACAGGTTTAAGGATTTAGATTTGATGGACAGAGAGCCTGAAGAACTATGGATGGAGGCTTGTAACATTATACAGGAGGCAGCAACTAAAACCACCCCAACGAAAAGGAAATGCAAGAAAGCAAAGTGGCTGTCCAACGAGGCCTTACAAATAGCGGGGGAGAGAAGGCAAGCAAAATGCGAGGGAGATAGTGAAAGATACAGGAAATTGAATGCAGATTTCCAAAAAATAGCAAGGAGAGACAAGAAAGCCTTCTTAAATGAGCAATGCAAAGAAATAGAGGAAAACAATAGAATGGGGAAGAACTAGAGATCTGTTCAATAAAATTGGAGATATGAAAGGAACATTTCGTACAAAGATTACCATAATAAAGGACAAAAGTGGTAAGGACCTAACAGAAGCAGAAAACATCAAGAAGAGGTGGCAAGAATACACAGAGGAATTATACCGAAATATATGATGTCTGTACACCCCAGGAGTTGGTTGCTGACCTTGGCCAGACATCCAAAGAATGCCTTAGAAGCACTGCTAATAACAACAGTGGAATGATGATACCCGCTGAACTATTAAAATTTTAAAGAATGCTGTCAAGGGCTACACTCATATCCAGCAAATTGGAAAAAGCATCATGGAAAAGATCAGTGCAAATCCCAAAGTGGCAGTGCCAAAGAATCTCCAACTACCGCACAATTGCACTCATTTCACACATTAGCAAGTTATGCTTAAAATTCTACAAGGCAGGCTTAAGCAGTATGTGGACCGAGAACTCCCAGAAGTGCAAGCTGGATTTCGAAGGGGCAGAGGAACCAGAACCAAATTGCAAACATGTGCTGGATTATGGAGAAAGCTAGAGAGTTCCAGAAAGACATCTACTTCTGCTTCATTGACTCTGCAAAAGCCTTTGACTGTGTCAACCACAGCAAACTATGGCAAATTCTTAAAGAAATAGGAGTGCCTGATCACCTCATCTGTCTCCTGAGAAATCTCTATGTGGGACAAGAAGCTACAGTTAGAACTGGGTATGAAACAACTGATTGGTTCAAAATTGGGAAAGGAGTACGACAAGGATGTATATTGTCTCCCTGCTTATTTAACTTATATGCAGAATTCATCATGCGAAAGGCTGGACTGGATGAATCCCAAAATGGAATTAAGATTGACGGAAAAAATATCAACAACCTCAGATATGCAGATGACACAACCTTGATGGCAGAAAGTGAGGAGGAATTAAAGAACCTTTTAATGAGGGTGAATGAGGAGAGCAAAATATGGTCTGAAGCTCAACATCAAAAAAACAGAGATCATGGCCACTGGGCCCATCACCTCCTGGCAAACAGAAGGGGAAGAAATGGAGGCAGGAGAGATTTTACTTTCTTGGGCTCCATGATCACTGCAGATGGTGACAGCAGCCACGAAATGAAAAGACACCTGTTTCTTGGGAGAAAAGCAATGACAAACCTAGACAGCATCTTAAAAAGCAGAGACATCACCTTGCCAACAAAGGTCCGTATAGTTAAAGCCATGGTTTTCCCAGTAGTGATGTATGGAAGTGAGAGCTGGACCATAAAGAAGGCTGATCGCCAAAGAATTGATGCTTTTGAATTATCGTGTTGGAGGAGACTCTTGAGAGTCCCATGGACTGCAAGAAGATCAAACGTATCCATTCTGAAGGAAATCAGCCCTGAGTGCTCACTGGAAGGACAGATCCTGAAGCTGAGGCTCCAATACTTTGGCCACCTCATGAGAAGAGAAGACTCCCTGGAAAAGACCCTGATGTTGGGAAAGATGGAGAGCATAAGGAGAAAGGGACGACAGAGGACAAGATGGTTGGACAGTGTTCTTGAAGCTACCAGCATGAGTTTGACCAAACTGCGGGAGGCAATGGAAGACAGGCGTGCCTGGCGTGCTCTGGTCCATGGGGTCACAAAGAGTCGGACACGACTAAATGACTAAACAACAACTAGCAATTAAGGACATAGTAGTTAATACCCATAGGTACTTACAGATCTAGTTTGTTTTCTTGGTGATGAAGATGTTTGAAGAATTTCTACGACATACAAATGACACTGTTTCCGCAGCCAGAGTTTCCCATGTATATCTGCCAGGTACTGTAAAACTAAGAGCTTGAACAGAAATTCTGGAATTCCAGAATGAACCTAGGAAAATACAGAAATGTAGTATGTAACTTTAAAAAGAAAAATGAAATTTTCCTCCTCATTGAGTTGCTTAGTTAAAAAAACCAACCAACCAAACAACCAACTTTATTAAGTGAGGGGTAGGGTAAGGAGACAAAGTTCTGCCAAAACCATGGTATACTCACTGAAGAAGTGATATCAAAATGAAATATCATAGGCTGTTTCTGGTACTTATGGTGCAGGAATGGGAGAAGAGACTTCAGCACTTTCCCTTCATCCACGTGGGGGTCTATCAACCTAATAGTTTTTAATGGCACTTCAGAGTGATGTAGTTTTGCTTCCATTTTCTCTTGCAGCCTCTTTACATAGAGAGATTTTCCTATTGTTAATAATAAAAACATATCTGAGTTATTAATGGGCACAGCAGGCACACGATGGATTGGTTTGAAACAGAGCACTCAATGGTCTGGGCTTCTGCTGAGCAACAAGTAGGAAGAATCTGGGTGAAGGGGAGAAACTGATCCAATAAACACTTGGATACAGTCTTCAGCTAGAGCTGTACTAACTGTTTATCCCAAAATGTACCAGTCACAGCTGCCACCACCTGCACTGTAACCTCTGGTTTTCATCTTGGAATCATCTCTGTAAAAAGAGGTACTATTCCTTCCAACATTTATGTCTAAGCTTGGGACAAAAACACTAAACAGCAGGCTGAAATACTGTTCAAGTATAACTACTCTTTTAGACAGGCACTGAGCCTGCTGTTTAATGTGCCCCTTGCCCCTCATTATTCCTGTGCTGATCTTTCCAGTTACAAGCTGAAAGAGCATCACAGAAGGAAAAACAACAGACCATGTTTTATACCCTCAAGTTTTAGTCTACGCATTCTGAAACATAGATGGAAAACTATACGTACTTAGTTCACTCACCTGCTCCAGCTCTTTCAGAAGCTACAATCCCAACACACATTTGGTCCTTGAAGACAGAAGCTGATGAACTTGGGCTGTGTTGCTTTGTAATGATTCCCAAGGTAGCCCTGAATGTCCTTCAGGGGCTGCTGAGGGATCATGTGAACTTTGAACTGGCTGAAGACAGAAGGGACATAGCAGTGCTCTCTCTCACAGTTGCAGAGAATCACTAGCCTATAATCATCCTGATGCTTTAAGTGAAGACTCTGGAAAAGTTCCTCAGACCTGTAGCCAACATCATAACTCAACTCATCTGCAAACAGCAAGGTGTAAATCTTCTCCCCTTATAGCCTGGAGTGAGGCACCGCCTCAAAAACAGCGCCACTTGTTCATAGCTGGTTTGTGGTGTGCAGAGCAGCACTTCATCGTAAGAGGGTAGCATCTCCCCTGGACTGTTCATGTAGATGGCCAGTGCCGAAGCCAACACCTCAGAGCGAGGACAGAGAATGAGGTTAGGCCTGCCAGCATGAAGACCTTGTGGCAATTTTCGCATAACACTCTTCTTCTCCAGATCTGCCAGGGTGGCCAAGTAAATGCCAAGGGTTTCAATGTCCAGGCAGCCTGGAAGGAATGAGCCCATACTTCCCATGTACGACTCCCAGATGTACTCCAGTTGTACAGCCAACTCTTTCCCTCTTGCCACCGGCCCAAATAAATCAGCAAAATTCCTCTTTGCTTTTTTAGACGCTACTTGGCTGGAGACCTCCTGGATATCTTGCTTGCTGCAGTTGTGCTTTATAAATGACAGCATCGTTAAGGCAGCCTCACGGGGGCACTTTGAGCCAAGCTCCTTGGACAAGTATACAAACTGTTCTGCCGTATAGTAATTCAAATAATAGTACTGGGATCGCTTCTCCGACATAAACTGGTTCCACTTTTCCAGGAAACTCTCCATCTTTCGGCAAATGAGTGGCAGAACATCTGTGACATCTCCATTTCCAGTAAGGACAGAACTAGAATTTAAATTGAAATTCATCCTAAGGCAGAATTCATGGTTGGGTGAGCAATATACACTAGCGACCCAAGAGCGGAAAAGCATGTTTCCAGCAGAATGAAGGTCGATGAAAGACAGTGCAAGCCTCTGGACACTAGAAAATACCTGGGTGCAGAAGAAACACAGCAGAAGACAGAACAATGAATCTAAGTATCACAACACCAATGAATGTGAAATATGCATTACCCATTGCCACCCTTACTACTAGAATGCCTAAACTAGCGCTGGCCAACTCCATTTGCTTAGAGACAGAGCTACACCAGCAGAAACTATGGCCAAATTGAACTTTTAAGCTGGTTAACCAAAATACATGAAGGCGGTATCAAAAACTGGTTCTCCTAACATTTATTGATTTAAAAACTGACACACCACTTTTCATTTATAGAGCTCAAAGGGGTTCACAATATGTATTAAAATAATGGGGTTGGGGAGACATTTACTCCCTGAATTTTTCTTCAACCTTTCTCCCTTCAACATTCTGTACAGGCAAACAGTCAACCAGCTCTGGTCCAAGGGCATTCAGGGTGTAAAATTTTAATTGTTTTAAAATTTATCAGGAACACTGAAATTTAGAAAGGTCAAGTGAGCCAAATGATGGAGCTATTCAATTCCCAAAGGAACATCCTAATCAGCAACAAATCATCACAATTCAATGTGATGCAAACTTCTGTGAAGTTTCAAATTGTATTTTACATCTCAGGGGGGGAAACACTTACTGAAATCTCTACAATCTCTCAAAGGACACAGATATTCAGCATGACTGGAAGAAGAACCCCATTACTCTTGTCCCCCACCACACATCCCTCAAAGGACAATATGAGTTTCAAAATACAAACAGGAAATTATGTCTCAAAACTGACCTCAGAAAACTTCTCTACTTCTGCACCTTGTTCTACCTTGCCTGACATCAGCATCAGCTTATTCATCAATTCTCGGAGCTCTTCTAGGGAGTACTGCCGTTCCTCTTCTTGGCCACCGTGACTTTCTGAGATAGTCAGGCACAGGACAGTATCCAAAGAAACCTAGAAATAAATTTAATCATTGCTTTATTTCCTTATGATGTCATACAAGGTTCCACCCTACTATATGTAGAGATAGCAGTTGTCAGCGGTAAATAGGTTTATGCTAAATACTGAGAGGGTTGCACCAAATTATGAGGGCAATGTCTTTGGAAAGATGCCAGTAAAAAGTTGTGGCAAATGCCACCAACAGAAAATAGCTCTGTGATAGTGAATTCTCAAGTTCACACTCATGAACACTATGGAAGGAAATCCCTGATCGACTTAATGATGTTACAACAGAGAGGCACCAGGAAATGATAAAGGAAGCAGTTTATTGAAAGAAACACTTAGAAAGGGTTATATCATTCACTTTATAGCAGGCTGTTTGTTGGGTGTGGTATACAGAAAAAGTAGCTACTGGGCGATGAGGAGAAAGGTTACAAAAACTGGGACAATATACTACAAGCATGGTCTTACCTTCCGGCCTTCTGCTGGCGCCCTAATTCGGTAGATTCCCTTGCTATTGATTTTAGTTGCCAGTGATATAGATGACAGTTCCACAGAACCATGACTCTCTTTTATTGTTTTTAGCCATTCCAAGTATCTTGCAGAATCACGCTGTAGGGTTTAGGGAGAAGATATACTCTGAATTAGTCCCATATTTTATCCCAGAACAAATCATATGCTGATAATAGCATACCCATAGATGACAAGGGAGCATGGTGTGTTGCTAAATGACAACCCTCACTCAAGGACATGATTATTTGAATCTGGAACATTTCTGTTCCGCTATTCTGTGCTGTGAAGCCCAGAGATATTTCATGAAATTAAAAGTAGCTACTGAGCCCACCAGCTGGTATGATGCACATAACTGCAGTGTATGCGGTAGAATAGAGCACAGGCATAAATTATATTCACATACAAAGCACACACTACCCTGCAGAATGTAGGTTTAAGTAGCTACAAGGTGGATATCCCTACAAAATCTCAATGTCCACACCAATAATTTTCTACCCTTCAATATATCTACAGTAAACTCACACCTGGACACAGATGGCACTGTGGTAAACCACAGAGCCAAGGGCTTGCCGATCAGAAGGTCAGCGGTTTGAATCCCCGCGACGGGGTGAGCTCCCGTCGCTCGGTCCCAGCTCCTGCCCACCTAGCTGTTCGAAAGCACGTCAAAGTGCAAGTAGCACTTCCGGCAGGAAGGTAAATGGCATTTCCGTGCACTGCTCTGGTTTCACCAGAAGCAGCTTAGTCATGCTGGCCACATGACCCGGAAGCTGTCTGCGGACAAACGCTGGCTCCCTCAGCCAGTAAAGTGAGATGAGCACCACAACCCCAGAGTTGTCCGCGACTGGACTTAATGATCAGGGGTCCCTTTACCTTTAAACTCACACTGGATGCAGTATCTTTATAAAATACACAGCTTAATAAGAGCAGATATACACAGATGAACTAAGGTCCAACTGCAGGAATTACCAGTTTTTTTGGGAGGTTGTTGTCACTCTCCAGAGCTTTCCAAAGTTTCCTCAAGCACTTCATGAGCTCCCCAAATCCTGATTCCCGTTTCAAGTCATACAACAGGGAGGAGTAGCCAAGGACAGCATCATGGAAACAAGCCACACGATCCACATCCATGTCATTCTCTCCCGCAGAGATAGAAGCTAAGTCCACAAATACCTTCAGCTCATTCTTATCTAAGGCAAATAAACAAAGTGAAAGACACCCCAAAGTTTACTGTCTATAAGTTCCACCCCGTTAGTACTCCATGTCTTTTTCTAGGACCTACATCTTTATTCAGTGCTTGACACAAAGCCTGCATTACTTACGTTTGCTTCCTTTGCTTTGTGAAGTGGAGTTAAACCACAAGGAGGCAAAAGAACTATTGTGATAATCTGAAAGGTGTTTCTCAGAGGTTCTGAAAAACATGACATTGTGGGCTATGCTGCCCTCTCAAATTAAAAACAGGAAATGCATCTTGCTCTTTGTCCATTGGCCATGCCCCCCAGGGAAAACCTTGATGCACTCTCAGAACCTATGCAAGGAAGCTAGATCGTAGGTTGGGCCCATGCCTTGTGTTCAACACTTCTGAGATGCACCCTTCAGAGGAGAACAATTGTTCCTTCCAAAGGTGGCATGGTTGGATTGAATAAAGGTAAGATCTCAATTGGGTGGGCTCTCTATTCTATGACTTCCCCTTAACGAACCTGCTAGAGGATTTGCCCCCCAAAAGCCACCTCATGAAAAGCCACCTCATGAAAAGCATATTTACCAATCTTATGATGCCTCATAAACATCGTTGAAGTTGCCCATGCGGCTTCCCCACACACCTCATTAAGAGGTACATTTGCTGAAACCACTCTGTCCAAGTAAAAACTACGAAAATAATTTGCTATGGAAAGTGTTGTTAGTTCAATAATTTTTCTTGCTGAAATGATTGCTTCTCTCAACCTTGTGCATGTCTCATTTAAAGATAAGGCTGCCTGTACAAATAAAAATATGATGGAGACATGAAGTGGAAAGAGATCCTCCTTGTGTAAGGAAATAAGAAATTTAAGGGAGAAAAACAGGAAGCATGAGACAAGGGAATGAGAAGGAGTTGATGGCTGAGAAATGGACAATACAACATCCCATTTTGGGGTCCCTCCTGCACTGAGACATCTTGCAGGTGCCAGCTTGTATAGAAAACAAAATGAGGAAATACATCATGTAATACACCTATACAGTGGTACCTCGGGTTACATACGCTTCAGGTTACAGACTCCGTTAACCCAGAAATAGTACCTCGGGTTAAGAACTTTGCGTCAGGATGAGAAGAGAAATCGTGCTCCGGTGGCGCGGCAGCAATGGGAGGCCCCATTAGCTAAAGTGGTGCTTCAGGTTAAGAACAGTTTCAGGCTAAGAACGGACCTCCGGAATGAATTAAGTACGTAACCAGAGTACCACTGTACATAATATAACAGTGTACAAGTGTACATCATATGTCCCAGTAATGTTTTAGCCTTTTAAAACCAAGAAACAAGAATGGCAGGTGCACATCTGTTCTACCTTCCAGGGATTCTTTGACCCAGCTGACAAAATCCCTCCTGAGTGCCAGCTCCTCAAGGCACCTACGACGTGGTTCAGTTATGTCTTGCAGCGATTTTTTTACACGCATCAATTCAATACTCATGGAGGAGAGCTTCTCTTTCTGAAACTGGAATTTCTGTAACTGAAAAGGGAATAATAGGATTGTACTGCACATTAAGGATGTGCAAAACCTTTCCCTTGATTTCCATCTCCCATTTTTCAGCCCCATGGTGCTGGGTTTCAAGAGGAGGCATCATGGATTGTTTCAGACATGATTCCTTCTAGGAACACTGGAATGGCTCCCCACACCTCGCCCCTCTCAGGAACCTGCAGCTGCACTCAGTGTTCCAATGGCATGGGATCAGGATCACCCTACCGCTGCTGCCCCACCGACCGCAACTAAGGCTTTTGTTTGTTTGTGAAGGCATTGGGGGGGGGGCAGAAAGGAAAATGAATAAAATCAGACAGAAGCAGTCTTTAGCTGTCCAAACCAGTGGAACCACAATATCTACATCAGAAATTGAACCAGATATTACCATGGCATCCATGCAGCAGGGGAACATTTATTTATATTTTTCCCTTTCGGAAAACAATGAGTTAGGCTGCTTTATAGAGAGACATTTGTTGCTTGTTGCAACTACAACAGATTCTATACAAAGTGAAAGGAAAATCTCCCAGGAACTGGAATCCCCTTGTCTTTACAAGGGGGAAAAAAACTATGGTAACGTGTCATCCCATGATGAAACATTTTGGAGATGCTACTCAGAGTATAGAGTAGATGGCAAGTGGCCTTATGACATAGTAGCCTCCTGTAACTCTAATGCAGAGTTTGTGAAAGCCATGTAGGTAAGATGAAAGCCTGTAGCACCTAGGCACATCTTTTATTCCGTTAGATTTATAGCCAACCCCTTCCTCCCAAGCTGCCCACAATGGCTATGATTTCAATATCACCACACCCTTACTACTTCTGACTCTTTGTGGGGATGCAAGTGAGCTAAACTTGACTAGATATGGCAAATGAACAGAACATGCAGTTAAATTTGCAAACTGTTACCATGAGATAAGTAGCTAGTTTTATCTGCCCTTTGATATCCTGATTGCACTGGTTGCTACACATCTTGATCCACTACTCAGTAGATACCACATGGATGAATACTCACCAGGACACACCTGACTCCCAAAACTATATTGAGTAGCATAGATAGACTATTCAGTAGCATAGAGATTATTTTTCTGCCAGTCAAAATGTCCTTAAAAGTTTATTTTTTTGTTTTGCTTTCTCCAGTTACACAATATCCACATGGCAAATTGAGCCATAAGTTATATGTGTCTTACAGTGGTGTGCATACCCTCTAAATTGCATACTGCATGTAGATGGTTCTGCAGTACGGAATAGAAATACAGTATAGGGTTAGATTCAACTAAGTTGGCATGCTAGGGGAAGCCAGAAAAAGTTCCACCAATGCAAAAGGACTTTCCCCTCTCCTCTTCCTATGTGCCCCTGCATTTTATACAGTACATGGTAGGAGGAGAGAGGATTGTTCTATCTTGCAAGCAGCTACGCTGAATCCAACCCATACAGTTGCCTCTTTCAATATGATTATAAAATTCTATAAACCAAATGCCTGACAGTATTAAGTAGCTAGGAATTGCAGGGAGGGGGGACCTAATGGCTGGACATCCTTGGGGAAAGCAATTCACAAATGGGGTGTAATTACAAAAAAAAACAAAACCCTCTCTTGTCTTCAGTGCAGAAAAACCATGCTAAAGAAATTAAAGAGATCCAAAAAGCCAAAGTACTAAACAACTCTATATGTAATCCACATTTGGTGTTCCTGTGATAACGTATAGACCCCAATGAAAAGTGCACTCTGTCAGCTTTTGAACAGAATGAAGCTACATAAGTTTACTGGATAAGCTCTCGAACTGTGGTTTCAAAGAAATATACTTACGAAGTTAAGTAACTGTTGCAGGACTCTGAAGTCACCAGAGAGATTCAAACCTTCCCTGACCTTGTCGATAACCTTAGCAGAGTCCATGGCCAAATGCAATTCATGATATTGCTGGATTTGTTGAATCCGCTCATCTATCCATTCTCCACCATCTTGACGCTGTAGATTGCACATAACCTGAAAATCCTTTTTCAGATCCTCGTAACAGTTAGTAAAATCTCTGAAGAGCATGTCTACTTCAGAAAACATGAGCTCTCCAGATTTCAGACTGTTATACAGCCTCAAGAATTCACGGTAACAAGGATCAAAAAGAGAGGGAGGCACTTCATCAAGCTCCAGAGCAGCAATATCTTCATCAACGACAAGTTTTTTGGCTGCCCACTCCCAGCAGTACTGGAAGACGTCACTCTCTTTAAAGTTATTCACAATTTCCGCTATCTTCTTCAGGGCTGGACTCAGGTGGTAATATGTCTCAATTTTATCAGCACTCTGGGAAATGTCTCTCACATTCACAACATCGTCCAGTGCTTTTGAGGCCAGGTTTTCACTGTGCTTCTGCTCTATTTCAGAAATTTCCACTGAAAGTAAAGAGAAAATCAGAACTTGGACACACACACAAAAAACTTCAGTGGGTCTTATCTTTGCTGTACAATGGTTCACATTGCAGCATCAAACACCAAACTGTGACCTTTGTTTAAAAAATGAACAATAATTTGCAATTTCTACCCAATTTTTCTACTTGGATCAATCTGCTTTTCTGATGTTGGAGAGTTCTGGGACATTCTCATTCCACGGTCTATTTCCACTCCCAATCTTTAACAATCTTTGCAAAGGAAAACTAACAGAGCCAGAGTTTTAAAATTACCCTCCCCCTTTAAAAATACCTTTGATATACTCTTGCACTTTCCTGCACATGTTCAAGAGGGATTCCAAACAGTTTTTCTCCCTCTTGACATACAGTAGTTCTTGCAGCCTCAAGCCAAGTATTCCTTCTAGTTTTGATCTGTGCTCTTTTTCATCAAACAGCGAAATATGCTTGGGCCCTGAAATGAAAATTGCCAATTACAATCACTTGCACAAAATCCCTATTTTCTTTCCTTTTACAAAACTTGGACTCACTATCTCCCAAATAAGCTCTTAAAGAACAAGGGCATTCCAGAACTCTGCTTCCCAACAGCTGGTGTGCAAATACCACTAAACTGTGATTTAGCATTACATGCACAAGCCACCCTGAGCCCAAGTGAAGCTTCAGGCTTAAGTGCTTCCCTTGTCTCCTATCCCATGATTGGATAAAAACAAAGATCAACCAAAGGGTGCACTCATTTTTAAGAAGGAATATCTTTAATACAGCAGGAGTAACACAACACAGTGGTAAGCAGATTGCTCTGTCAGTGTAAGCATTTCTGCTTGTCTGATGGAGCAATATCCCCTCTCCTTTCTTTGCATGCTGTTCCAAGGGTTCTCCCAACCCGCTGAGCCAATTATTATTTTTTGGGGGGGGGAGGGGAGTGGACAAGGGAGACACAGGGGGAGGAACATGTGAAAAAAGGTCCACTGTGCTAGGGGAAGTCCTTGAGAAGGCTTCCACTGGTAGGGCTCATTAGCTGAATCCCACCCCAACCTTACAAAAGGCTACAAATAGCAATCACTATCTTAGAAGAAATATTCTCCCATCTTTCACACACAATAGGCATGCTAATTGTATGTGAACCTAGTTTGCATGTCATGCTAAGCCATGACTTACTGGGACTCTGCAAATGTGTGGGCTACTGGAGAATGGAGCGAACACTGGCTACAGTCTGTAATGAGGAGGAGCTTAACCATAATCCTGGGCTCAGGCAATACACTAAACCAACCAAACCTTAGCTTAGCTCAGCATGGAATGGGAGTAAAATAGACCAAGCTGCAAACTCCTAATTCACAAATTCATATGGTCCTGGTGAGCAATAGTTTGGCTTACTACAAAATGTGAATTTGGCAAATGACAGCTACAATACATGTGTCAACTCAACACAAAGCCACTATATTTGCTTCAGAACTGCAGTTTTAAAACGATATGCAAATTCAAATTGACATTAAATGGATATGCTTTAATTGAGTAACATTTATTAGCATTTCTTAATTGGACTTCAGTCCTACATTTTACACATCTCTCCATTTATATATACAGATAAACACACTTACTTAATTCCCAAATGGACAGAAACTGCTTCTTGTGCTTTAAAACCAGCTCTAAATGTTTAACTAGGATATGGCCTGTCATGAGTTCATCAGAAACCTTTGTATATACAGAGTCAGCGCTGGCCATTAGCTCTTGGGCTTCTTCAGTAAGTTGGTCCAGAATGTTTTCAACCACACCTGTTAGATCAGTCAGGTATTTTAAAAACAAGCAAACAACCTTTGTCCTTAGGTGCTAAAATAACTTCATCCCCCATGGCAGCTGGAAGCAAGGTGACCCCTTTAGGTTTCCTTACTTCTCTCTGTTCTACACACATAGTTTGAAAGTTTGTTGCCCTACTTACAACAACGGTGACCCATTATTCGTCAGAAGAAATAAAATATAATAGAATTGCAACATCATACTCTTCCAATACGCACAATATTTGTGTTTCAGCATAAATCCTCTACCAGTTACTAAACCTTAACTGACTTTTCCTTTCTACAATGTCCAATACTAATTCTCCTCCTATCCAACTCTGTTCTGATATTAAATAACCCTCTGTGCTCCTTTCAATAATAAGATATTTCCCACCTGCTCCAGAACTTTACCCATTAAATGATAGCTGCACTTACCATTGAAGATGAAAAGATGCTTGATGTCTGGCCAAACAAGCAGATGATTCAGCACGCCTTCCAAATCTCTTATAGGCTTCCCTGCTACATCAGTTGGCCATGGTTTTATGATGGCAGCAGATACAAGTTTACCCAGCTTGCTCAAATTGTAACGAGATATCAGTTCAAGGAGATTAGTCTGTTCCTACATAAGACGCAAAATATGTAGAGGGTTCAGGGCCCTGGATGTTTTGCCACTAGAGGCAATGCAAATGTTCTGGATACCTGGAGAAGGAAAACACCTTCTCCAGGTATCCAGAGCCTGTCGCCAAGGCAACTGCCTCACGGGCAGGCCAGACCTGGCAGCATTAGATAGTGATGAGTCTGTCATTTTATTTTCACAAATTTGCTACATCATTTTAAAAAGTTTCTATTCATAATGCAGCCCAATCCAACTTGCTTTCACAGATCTGCTCATTGTGAGATTTGCCAAATAATTTGCTGTCCTTTCCCAAAGGGTAAATTATATGGCAATAGAAATCGATTTAAATTTGATGAGACAAAAATACAGTTGAGGAATGACTTTGTAATCCTAGGATTGTCACTGAGCAGGGATTATCCACAAAAAAATGGCTCCCAGTTACATGATTTGTCAGCCTGCCTTGATTGGCAATCCAGGAAGTCAAGCTGGATTTACCTGTGGCATTGAATCACAAACCCATTATTGCTTACTCCCACAGTCAGGCACATGTAGCATAATCTCAACAAAGTAACAGTACTTGGAAAATAAGTGTAGGATTCAGAAGATTTTAGATATAGTACCTGGTATGCTAATTTTATAGCGTCTATGGCACAGTTTTCAAAAGCTTTGCTAATCATAGGGTCAAATTGTTCCATTTCCTCATGGCAACAGCAGTAGGCTTTAATCTGTTCAACAGCAGATTCCTATCAGGGAAGAGCAAAAAGAAAAACAAAACATTCTACCTGGTTCCAGTTATTTAAGATTATCAGATAAGGAAAACATGGAGGTAAAGTCATTTAGGACAATAAAACAAAGCAAATATATTTTTCTAGTAATAGTAACTAATGATAATTTTATTATTTAAACCCTGCGCATCTGGCTGGGTTGCCCCAGCCACTCGTCTTTGTCGTCTTGCAATTTTTTTCGTCTTGTGAAGCACGGTGTCGGGAAAGTTTTGGAAAAGCTTCAAAAACCTCAAAAAGCTTTAAAAACCTCAAAAAAGGCTACCACACCGCGTTCTATGAGTTGCTCCTCGAAGTCAAGTCGCAACTGTATTAACGGTGTTAAGAAAAAGGAAACAAACTTGCAAGACGTTTCCGTCTTGCGAAGCAAGCCCATAGGGAAAATCGTCTTGCGAAGCAGCTCAAAAAACAAAAAACCCTTTCGTCTTGCGAGTTTTTTGTCTTGCGAGGCACCACTGTACTGAGAGGAATGGGAGAGGCCTCTTCTTCACTAAGGCTGCTTTCATTAATGAGATCTGGGCCAGAGCTGTGGCCTGGTTGGCTTGATAAGACTGCCTTTCCCTATCCATTTGGTCAGGTGTTGACCCAGAAAAAAAAGATGGGGATCAGCAAAAGATGAGGATCGGCAAGGGATTGTAACTTGAACTTAGGTTACTCTCTGCTTGTCCCTGCTGGTCAAGCTTCCCAGCTCTGTTAAGGAAAAGGATCTTTCCTCAATATGAAAGTGACATGGAGTGACAGCAGACATCTCCTGAAACAAGACTGCCTAGAAGGAGGAACTGACATGCAATTTAATTGAGACACTTCCTGTCTAGGCTGGTATGCCATAATTTTACACAGGCTACCTGGCTCTAGAGTCCATCAGGAAAAGGTGGTGTGTAATATTGTGGGGCTGGCCATGCCCACTTTCAACTCTGGCCACACATATTTGGCACTGCTCATTGCTGAAAAGTAGCCATGGGGAAAAGGTTTCCCACCCCTGATTTAGATTGAATGTAGTAGTTTCCATTTCACATGATACAATATAATCCATTCATCTCAGTACCTTTTTGATTCTGCCTTCCATATCTGTGATTAAAGTTTTCTTCCACTCTTCTGTGAAAGTTGTATTGGCAAAGTCTATTTTCAAAAAATGATCCCAAGCCTAAGAAAGAAAATTATTATTCAGTTAAATTAACCCAAATTAAGAGCAGAAGGGGGTTGTATTCATAGGCCCTTGGTTCCCCCTGGCCAAGGCCCTCTTTTCTTCTTGGCAGAAGAAAAGAAAAAAAAGGCCCTCTTTTCTTCTTGGCAGAAAAGAATGCGACAACAATCCCCTACCCTTTCCCAGTAGGTGAGAAATACAAAAAATGGAATGATGAAGACGACAGGGATAATGCCTGCATCTTTAGAAGACAGGCTGCATGCTTCACAGGAGCTTTTAAAAAGTGGCAAAAAATAAGTGACCAGATCCCCATCAGCGACATCAGCATCTGACAAGAGAGGGGGCATTTCGTGACGCCTCTGCAGGATCCACTAGGGCTGCCAACTTACCTCATGGGATCCTGGCAGTGGCAGACTTGTAGATGCCAGCCTCACCTTCCTTCACCTGCCAGCTTACCTGGTAGAGGCCCATTTCAAGACTACATGCAAAAGGAGGACCACACCTCTCCTTGATGCTTACTGACTTGCAACTGGGATTACCTGGCAGAAATGGAACTGTAATGGGCTGTTTTCAAATAACTGTCAATCAACTGTCCCACCTTTGCCCCACAGTGTTTGGCAAGCCTCTGGGGGAAACCTACTCAGGCCTTCTTAAAAAGCTGGGACCAGGCATGTACACCAGTCCTTAGCTAACATGCCTACTCCTCTATGCTTTCTCCTACTGAGCATATACTCCTAGTCTGTGACCTCTAAGAGAGAATACGTTAAGATCCCATCTCGCTCTTTCTTCTCTCTCTCACACACAAACTTTCTGTAGTGGTTAAGAGCGGTGGAGTCGTAATCTGGTGAACTGGGTTCGCGTCTCCGCTCCTCCACATGCAGCTGCTGGGTGACCTTGGGCTAGTCACACTTCTTTGAAGTCTCTCAGCCCCACTTACCACACAGAGTGTTTGTTGTGGGGGAGGAAGGGAAAGTAGAATGTTAGCCGCTTTGAGATTCCTTAGGGTAGTGATAAAGCGGGATATCAAATCCAAACTCCTCTTCTTCTTCTTCTTCTTCTTCTTCCTCCCACCACTTTTATAATTAGGCCAGGAACTATGACTGGTCATTTTTGCACACCAATAAAGCACTGGGTTCTCAGTCACTATGAAGTACAGAATCTCTCTCTTAGAACTCAATGCAACTGCTGGGTTCAAGTGCTGGACTAAGGAGAAGCTTGGCAGTCCCCTTCTCTATGTAGAGGAGCCACCACACTAACTTGGATATATTCCCAGTCTGGAAATGAGTGGCACTCCACTATCTCTCTCTCTCTGCATGGCTTTAATGATTTGCATCTGAGCAACAGTGACTCTAGGGTGGGCTCTCTGGAACCAACTTTGGATGGGTAAAACCTTGTATCTATGGTGTGACAGAAACCACAGATCTTAAGCTATCAAACAATAAACTCTCTGACATTTCTTAGCATGTCAGAAGGAGCACATAGGTATGAGGAGGAAGGGCAGCTGCTAAAAAACTCATTAAGTTAACAGGAAAAAACCACTGCATACTGACAAAGATTGGGATAGCTTTAGCTGGAAAATACAAACCTCAAGTTCTGCTCCAAATGTGAATGTAACTGAAGATGAATATGAACAACTTTTTAGCAAAGGTTTTGTCAAAACTTGACGAAACCAGGTCCTGGTATCTTCACAGAGCCTTTGGAATATTTCTGCAACCTATTATGCAAAGTGGAAAGTTACAAACTGCTGAATACAAAAGCAACCTACCACTATTGCGATTTTTACATTTTGGTTTTTATCACACAGTTCTCCTATCGATTCCATTATCTCTCTCTCCCCCCACCCCTGCATTTACTGCTCCCTCCTTCAAGTATAATACAGTAGGCACATTCTGGTATAATAAAGAGGTTAAGATAATACAGAATATTCTATATATTAAAAAAAGAATGCAATACACAACCTAAATAGTGAGAGAAAGTACTGATACTGGAGAAAGATGTCAACCTTTCATTCTACTTTATGCATCTCCCATATTATTGGGCACTGGGTGGTATTTCACATGCAAAAATCCATTCCAGATTTTGGTTAGAATTCAGCACCTTTTTTAAAAAAGGTAAAGGACCTCTGACAACTGTCCAGTCGTGAACGACTCTGGGGTTGTGGCACTCATCTCGCTTTACTGGCCGAGGGAGCCGATGTTTGTCTGCAGACAGTTTTTCCGGGTCATGTGGCCAGCATGACTAAGCCGCTTCTGGTGAAACCAGAGCAGTGCACAGAAACACCGTTTACCTTCCTGCCGGAGCGGTACCTATTTATCTACTTGCACTTTGATGTGCTTTCGAACTGCTAGGTTGGCAGGAGCTGGGACCGAGCAACGGGAGCTCACCCCATCGTGGGGATTTGAACCGCTGACCTTCTGATTGGCAAGCCCTATGCTCAGTGGTTTAGACCACAGCGCCACCCATGTCCCACAAAGCACCTTTACCTGCCAGTAATTTAAAATATTTTTTTTTAAGGCTCCATTCTAAACTACACTTTAGAACTATTAATACAAATACATTTAGAAGTTGTAAGATATCAGAGTAAAAAGAATCTTCTTTAGCCAATGCAATTTAAGCAGATATTTAAATCAGTTAACATTACATATTCAAGTTTGGGCTTATGTGCTCCTCCACTTACAGTTAACTGCAGCTTTTTGTTATTACTAAAGCATGAACTATAGTTAGCGTCAATTAGTATTTATTGAAACAAGTCAGGATCATTATTACTTAAAGTTTGCTTTTTCAATAAACCGTAGTAAACACTAACCAGTTTGTCCATTTGCAGTTCATTAAAAACAGAAGCAAAATGGAGAGAGGAAAACAAAAACAGGGGAGGGGAAGAAAATGGATACAAGTTTCCACACTATCACATACCTGTGGTTATTTTTCTTAATGCAGTTTCGTTTTATTGCCCTGTTTGTCAGTACATGATTTACAGTATTGGAATATGGATATTTTGAAAACTAGTAATTATTTACAAAAGAAAAAGAGGTGGCCATCCCAAGTGAGGTCCACCTAGCATCTTCACTGACACCATCTGGTCCAGCATTCTGTTTCCAATACCAGCCAACCATGCACCTCTAGAACTCAAAAGGTGTGATGGTAAAGGCCACCACATTTCAATCCCCAACATCTGGCCGTCAGGGGTATCATGTGTCTCTGAACAGAGAGGTTCCATTTGGGATCTTTGTAACAGACATTGACAGATCTAGAGTATTTCTTTTTTTAAAGTCACCTATGCTCATACCCATCATATCTTATAAGGGATTTCATGTCAATATCAGTTAAGAAGGAATCCTGGTTAATGCTGGCAAAAAAAAAAAAAAAACCCAGAAAGGGAAGAATTGCAGATCTTCTACTCTGTGATCTTCTTTTAAAATGGTGCTTGTTTGTTTCTAGTTTCTGATTGTTTTGCTCCTTAATTTGCTTTGTTTTTAGCTTGCATTTTCTCTTTGTTTTAGGTTGCACTGTTAGCTTATTTTATACTGGGTCAGTTTTGCATAAGCCACCTTTGTGTAATTCTGTAGAAATGTGGTGTATAAATTTATAAATGATACATTGTGTGAAGGCTTTACATTTTTTCCTGAACCTACTGGGCAACAGTAAAGTAAGGCAATCAGACATAGGGGGACCAAACTTAGCCTCTTTTCCCCTTCCTTTTGAGCTTCCTTACAGAATCTCTTCCAGATGGACTGGTGACTTGGTTCAGGAGAACACAGAAAAATATGCAGATACGCAAAAAATGTGCAAAATCATAGAGAAATTCTCACCTCTGAAGGTGCAAGTCCAAGTATCCTTGAAAAAATCGCAGCAGATGAAGCTGGTATCTTGTATCGCATTACCATTTTAACTTTGGTGCATATCATCTGATGAAGTCTTACACAGACTGACACATACGAGTTCCAAGAGTCCTGCTGCAGCATGCTAAATTGTGAAATACTTTAATTACTGTGGGTGCAGAAAACATTGCTTCTCTAATGCAGCCTTTACCTCTGAGATTCTATGGAATGTGAATAATTATTGAAACTGTGCAGCCCTGCATGCAGATTATATGCATGTGTGGTGGGGTGAAAAGATACTAGATTACTGGCAGAAGGAGAAACACGTTTCATAATTTGATAACAAGAGCAAGGATAAAACTAGCAAAGAAACTGACAAATTGAGATCATTCACAATTAGAGAACTAGTAAAGCAGAGCTAAGGAAAACTTGTACTGTACTTAAGCGAATTAACACATCTAATTAGATTCTAAAGGCAGAGAGCATGCTATGAAAACTGAGGTAATAATGTTCTAGGTAATAATTGTAAGGACATAACTATTAAAATGATTCTTTAGAGACAGTTAAATGTTTTGTAATCCTTCTATAACTGTATCGCAATCTATAGTCTCAGACTCCGTTTTGTGCTTTGAGGACTTTTTCCAGATAAGCATGTTTAAGGAAGGTATGTACAACTTTTACTTACCCATTCTGTGTATTACAGAGGATATTTATCACCATCTCCAGAAGCTTTTCTATTTCCTATGAAAGCAATAAAAATTAAGCCAGAGAACCAGAATCATTTCTTACTAGAATGTTGTACAAAACACCTTCAAATCATGCAACAATGAAATTGATCTATCTGGTTACGTTCTTTGCTTACTAATCTCTCCTGCTTCAAAGCTCTTATTTAGGTTAGGGCTTTGGCTCAACGGTGGCCACTGCTCATTGGGTCTGGTGGGGTAGAAAGCAGGGCAGCTAATGAGAGGTGGAACTAATGGTAAACAGTTCTATAATAGGCACAGAGATCCAAGAGGTATTTATGCAATGGCAGCCATGAATTGTGGAGTTATCTCCAGCTGGCCAACTCCGGAGCAGTCTCACTCCAAACACGCCAAGCTGTTACCATCCAAAAGCATACTCAGCATCCTCAAGAATTTCCCCTTCAACCACCTGGGAACTAGTTCCACAAATACTTTTAGTCACATATTAACAGTGGATTGATATACACATTACTAAAGACCAAGTCCCATGGATTTAGATAAGACTTTCTTTCTGATTAAGTCCGTATACAGTCAAACCTCGGTTCTTGAACACTTCCGTTATCATACGTTTCGGCTCCCCAACGCCGAAAACCTGGAAGTAAATGCTCCAGTTTTTAATGTTTTTCAGACGCGGCTTCTGTTTTGAGTTTCCCTATTGAACTGAAGCTTCCACTTTCAGTTTTCAAACGTTTTGGAAGTCAAATGGTCTTCCGGAACCGATTATGTTCGAAAACCAATGTTTCACTGTAGTAGGGATATGGAACCTCAGGCCCTTGGGACTCTCCCCAAGCCACACCCCTCATCTTGCCTTGCTCTATCCCCTCCTCACGTGCTTTTCCCTGGCTGTAATGCTTCCTTGAACTGTGATAATTTAGCCTCATTTGCCTAGTTGGGAGGATGGATGGATTGGTATAGAAAACTGGCATTTGAATAGCTAGAATGTACCTTACTGTTCAGAAGTTACTTATACAGTATCTGTTGTTTTACCAACTTTTTCCTCTGGTGCCGCCCACCACTGGCTTGTGGTCTCTGGAAGGTTGTCTATGTGGGAATTAGGCTCTCAGGCTGAAAAGGTTCCTCACTCCAGAAGTACAGGATTTCAGCCTCAGTAACTTATTGATGCATTAAAATCAGTATAACATTAGATTTATTTATTTGCCAAATGAATTTGGCAATGTGGTTTGGAGTTATTAAAAAAGACCATTTGTGTTTTTATATTGTGATTTTATGTTGTAACCTCCCTGAGACCTGGGGGGTATAGGGCAGCATACAAATTTAATAAACAATAATAATAATAATTTGGTTTTGAACTTTTTGTAGGTGTATCTTAACAATAACTATGGTTAGGTTTGTCAGGTTTGGAACCTATATGGTTTGAGTTATTAAGTGTTAGGTGTTCTTTCTTTTTTTTAAAAAGAAATCAGTGTTAAATTTTAAGATTGCTGCACCAAACACTGTCTGTTGGCATGCCTACCTCTGGTTAAACAAAGGGAAGGCACACAAAGGATTCACGAATCATATCATCAGAGGCCCTCTATATGAAGTCTGGGAGAAAAATAAAAAACTGTTGGAGGGGAAAACACCGTGGTGGCTTTCCCCAACAGATATCCTATCAATCAAGAAGACAGATCCGGAAGAACAAAAATTGACATATGAAGATTTACTGACAAGATCTCAAGATAGTTGGAAATTAAGACCGTACGAGGAGTTGAAGGAGAAGTTGAAGGTACCATCAGATCAACGCATTATGGACGGAAGATAAAAAGCTAGGAATGAACGAAAGAAAATCCAAGTTCCAGATAGAAATAATTGAAAGTAAATCCAAGTTATTATCTAAAATGTATAACATATTATTAGAATGGGATACAAAGGATGAAAAAATCAAAGAAGTCATGGTTAAGTGGGAGAAAGATCTGGGGCATAACATTGAATATGAGAATTGGTCAAAGCTGTGGAACGTGGGAATAAAATTCACAGCAAGTGCGGCAATTAGAGAGAATTTAGAGAAAATGATATATAGATGGTATTTAACACCAGAAAAATTAAGCAGGATGTACAAGACTGGTAATAAGGATTGCTGGAGATGCAAAACAAAAGAAGGTAATTTTATACATATGTGGTGGACATGTGAGGAAACGAAAAAATTCTGGAACCAGATATATGATGAATTGAAAAAAATACTTAGATACACATTCCCTAAAAAACCAGAGGCCTTCCTGCTAGGGATGGTCGGGAAAGAAATACAGGACAAAGATAAAACCTTTTTTCAATATTCAACAGCAGCGGCCAGAATGTTAATTGCCCAAAATTGGAAAAATGCAAACTTACTAACAGTAAGAGATTGGCAATCAAAATTATATGGCTTCATTGAATTGGCAAAGATGACTCAAAGAATTAGAAATCAAAAAAATGCAAAGTTAAATGAGGATTGGAATAAATTTTCGGTTTATTTGGAAGGTAATTTTAGGAACTTACCAACTATAGCAGGATTGATATAACACTTCTGATGCGAAAACTAAAAATTAACACCAGTGGTAAAATAAAAAGAGAAAGTTAAAACCCGAAACCAGGAGGGAAGGAAGTAGATGTTGAATGTTAAGTGTTGTATGTAATTTTTTTCTTTTCTTATGCTTTTTTTTTCTGTTTACTGTGTTTTTTTTTGTGTCTTTGTGTGAATGTGATAATGTTTTTTTTCTTTTTTTTTTGATTGGTTGTGAAGTTTGTTTTTAACGTTTAAAAATCTCAATAAACATTAATTAAAAAAAAAAAAGATTGCTGCACCAAACAGCCCTAGGTATGATTAATGAAAGAGAAGAAAAGGCTGGAATAGGGCATTCCCATGACACAGTCCTGACAGAGTAACCATGATTAGATTAGATTATAGATCAGTCAATACTAATCCTATACAGTTCTGATTAGGGAATCCATGGAATATCTATACAGTCATACCTTGGAATCCATTCCAGAAGCCCATTTGACTTTCAAAATGTTTGGAAACCAAAGCAAGGCTTCTTATTGGCTGAAGGAAGCGCCTACAGCCAATCGGAAGCTGCAGAAGCCCCGTCGGACGTTCAGCTTCCAAATATTTCACAAACCGGAACATTCACTTCTGGGTTTGCGGCGTTCGGGAGCCAAAACGTTCGAGCACTAAGCTGTTCAAAAACCAAGGTACGACTATATATTTTATGGAACACTATGTATGGACTATAACAAAGGTTCATTCCCCATAAAATATGCTGTCTCACTTAAGGCTGTTTTAATCAAGAGACCTCAATGTCCCTTTCATGCATAATAATTCTATGGCTTCTCATTCAAACTATCAGGATAAAGACCAATGTTCTTTATTTTAAAAATAACGAGATCTGATTGATTGAAGGGTTTCTGTGGGGAGCTGAGGTATTATAACTTGTGCTGGTGTGATCTTCTATAAATGAACCAGAATTAAACAACAAACCTCAAAGTTACGGCAATCGATTTGCGAATTCTTCAGTCGATGAAAGGTTCCTAGAAGACAATCTAACGGATAAGCAGAAAACTCGGAGATAAATTCAACCAAGTCCCCCAGAGGCAGCAGGGTGAACCATGACCTGAACAGTGCTCTATCTCCGTTCATCAAATGTTTCTTATTTTTCATTAGTGTAAGCAAGTGTCTACCAAAAAGAAAAAAAGAAAGAGAAAAAAGAAAATATATTCAATATATATAGTTTTTTCAATATAGGTTTTTGCATGGTCAAGAAGATCAAAATGAAAAAGAAGGTGGCTGAAACCAGGATAAAAATCTTCAATCCCTTAGGAAAGTTGCTTGAACAGCTTCTGTCCTCCAGCTTCTTGACTAGTTATGGTTCCTTGCTGAAGAACACAGCAGGTAGATAAACTTGTGAAGTCAAAATGCTGCCAGCATATAATATACCTTACTTATGGGATCTGCACTGGCATCCAATTTGCTATCAGGCCAAGCTCAATATTTTGGTATTAATGTTTAAGATACAGCTCAGGACCTGGTTAAGAGGCCACCTTTTCTTAACATACCCAGTAGGTCACCACCCCGATGTATTTTTTGAGAGGGTGGATGAATAAGGAGAGATATCTCAATTGCACAATGTAGAAGAGGAACAGAATAGGAATAGCAACCAGTCTCTCATGTACCACGGATTTTTGAAAGGCCTTTTGTATGTGCCACACACAACTGCGACAGGGACTGGTAGGCACACTGCCACTCACAGGTGCCATGTTGACCACAAGTCTACCACCACAATAAAATCCTGATCTTAGATGGTTTCCTTTATTGTAGGAAACATTCCCATTCTACTTCTTGCCATAAGAAAAGCTTTGGAAATCCTCTAAGCAAGGTAATGAAGGAGGCTACAAGTCAGGGAGGACAGGAGGCTTATTCAAATCATGCCACTTCTCAGTGCAGTAAGTGAATGTGACTACTGATAATTTCAGAATGAAATAAAGTAACAAATACATTTAAAACTTACTTTTTATGATCCTGTTTATTCCTGCATTCAACAAATACAAGTCCTTCCAGCCCTGCACACTTCTCTTCAGATTCCAGCAGAGTATTCACAGGAACATGCTCAAGATCAACAGAAGCAGTAAATAGATGAAAAGCTGGGATTGTCCACAGCCACTCATTAATTTTTTCTTCGATACAATGATTGCAAAACCTCTTCAAATATTGTTCCACACTGAAAGAGAAATAAGAAACTAACGCCTACCAGTAAAGGATTTTTTCTAAATAAACAAAACCTGCATTGAAAGTACTTGTGCATGAAACCAAAGGCTTTGTGGTTCTCTGCATAGGGTGCTCTCTACAATACTTCTGCATCTCTGATATAGAAATACATAGACCATTGCAACAAAAAGGTAATAACATAGTCGCCCCAAATTAATTTCTGGTTTTGTTGTATTTCTGCTGCATTCTGAATGAGGCACAGGAGCTGTTAAGGCCAGAACAATGGGCTTGGATTGAAAGTGTCTCTTTTGCAACTGCAACAAATCCAATGCAATGCAGGTCCTCAGTAGAAAAAGGCTGGGATACTTTTTTGCCAATCTCCAAGGCAGATTTTACAGGAAGGAAACATACAAAGGGAATCAGCAAAATCATCTCTTCCACTTCTGCCAGTAGCAGAACCAAGCCAGCTATCTTTAAAATTGCACACACAAAAACGAGTCAAATTATATTTTTCTGTTGTGTCTCATAAAGTTACTACTTTTTCTTTAGGAGTACAGCATGCTGAATATTTCAACTTACAAATTACAAAACAAGGAGTACTAAAAAGTTCGGAATTCAAAAGGTATTTTAATATAGTATAGTAGGAATAAAATTGCACAGAAATCATTAGAATTGATTGTCAAGTATTATATATTAATATTATTTAGTCTTACGTGATGTTTTCAGAAAGCAAAACTAAAATTCTTTGGTTTTCCAAAAGCAGTTTATGTGTTACTTCATCTAATACACTTACCAAGCTAAATGGTGTCCAATCACAAAAATAGCTCAGTTGAATTGCTCACACCAAAAAACATATTTTAAAGCATGGGTAGGCAAACAAAGGCCCAATCACCTTCTAAATCTGGCCTGTGGATGGTCTGGGAATCAGCATGTTTTTACATGAATAGAATGTGTCCTTTTATTTAAAATGCATCTCTGGGTTATTTGTGGGACATAGGAATTAATTCATCCCCCCCACCATATAGTCCGGCCCCGCACAAGGTCTAAGGGACAGTGGACCGGCCCCCTGCTGAAAAAGTTTGCTGACCCCTGTTAAAGACTGCTCACTGAAGAAATTTACAAAGGATAAATTTCACCCCCTAAAATGGCATACCCTGCTCTAGGAGGCAAAAAAATCAACAAGTGCATCTTTATGGAGATATAGCTCCTACTAGCACAATGGAAATTTCTCCCCTCTTACTCCCAAGGGTTGTTTTATTTGACAATCAAAAATGCTTGTGCTGACAGAAAAATCATAATTGAATGACACTTAATTCCTCCTAAAGCCTGTTGATTTTTTGCATATCAGTGAGCTGCTAAAACAATGTCACAAACTTGAAACACTAGTCATTTAATCTATCTATTCAAAACACTAAACCTGAATTTTCAAATCCAAAATTACATACCGTAGCTCATGTGGAAACAGTTCTTTGAAAGATTTTGCTTCATCTGCTGGTGGTTTCTCCAAACAAAGAAGGCTACATAACTGGACCAGATCATCTTTTGATGTTGGAAGTCTATAATATTCTCCTAGTACAAGAATGATCACTGCCAGGCCCAGCTTATTTTTCTTTGCCTTGTTCCAAGATGGACAGCTTGCATTGTTCTGATTAAGGAGGGGATGGGCTGTTTCTCTTAAATAATCGAGAATTAACTGCTTGATCTGGAGAAAAGGGTGAAAGTAATAAAAACCAACTCCACCTATTTTCTTTAGAAGACAATTACTTAATCTGAAAAGCTTATTCAGATTATCATTAAACAGTTAGGTTGGCACAGAATTCTGGCCACAAATCAGGGCTAATGCCATACATAAAACAGAAACCATTAGTTGCTTCCAATGTCTTTAAAGGACTTATCTGCACAGGCTTTCCATGGCCCATAAGTCTGGAACCAGTTTTATGCACCTGAACTAGATGAATTCCAGTTTCATTTTTTTATATGTATTTTGGAAGTTTATACACTACTGTTTCATTGTTGTACAATATTAAAGATCATTAAAACATATACCACCCAAGAGATATTTTAAAATATTATGCAGTTTATAAAAGGCTAGCAAATAAATAAATAAATAAATAAATAAATAAGCAAGCAAGCAAGCAAGCAAGCAAGCAAGCAAGCAAGCAAGCAAGCAAGCAAACCTGTGCACAAGTTGGTTCATGCAGCTCAAGAAGTTCCCACTTTGTCCCTCTCTAGAGTTGGGTAAACAAACCATGGAGTAACTACCTTGGTATTACATGTGAACCAGCACTCATGATTTGCTTCACACAACTGAACCGATTTGCCACAAAGCTAAACAATGGAGTGGCTGACTTGTTTCCCCACTCTAGAAAAGGAGGAGCAAAGTGAGGAATACTTATACTCCCTGCAATACCACGCATGATTTGACTAACTATGGCTTATGGCCAGCATCAAGGAAAATACTATGTCCAAAGCACATTCCAAAGTAATTATTCTCCTCTATACAGAAAACAGTGACATTTACAGATGTGATGTGTCCATTCTTTATGCTTAGTACCAAGGAACCTCCTCAGTGCCCAGCATAAATAATATGCCAGCTGCAAAATAACAGAGCCAGCAGTGTACATAGCGGTGTAGCATGGGGGGGGGTAGGGTTGGAAAGGCCATAGCCCCAGGTCCATGCTTTTTAGGGAGTATGAGCCAGGTGCCCCCATGCAGGGATCCCCGTCCTGCCCTGCCTGCTAGTGGGGGTTTCTGAGCCCTCTCGCTCAGCCTGGCCTTGCTGCCGCCTCCCCAGCTCCCTTGCTGAATGGCCCAGCGTTGGAGGGGGGGTTTGCCTACCAAGGGCTGCATCAGCCAGGCAGGGGCACAGCATGATCCGGCTTGGCTCCAGCTGAGCTGGTGCACTGGCTTCATGAACCCTCTGCATCCTGTGCACCCAGGGGCATTGGCACCACGGGCTGCCCTGGTGAGGTGGGTTCTGTTGACTTCACACACACATGCGTGCTTGCATGCCCTAGGTGCCACAATGCCACTGAGTACCTTCTCTGCCAGTGCATTCCAAGTGAAGGCAGCAGCAATTAGTCCAGGGCTGGGTCAGCAGCTGCCTAAGAGTATTGTCCCTCTAGCTCTGCAAAGGCTGCACAAAATGTTATAGATCCATCAGATTTATTACAGGCAACTTTGTATTAATGTGTGTTCAGTGTGTGCAACTGTGTATACACACATTGCGCCGAACACAGAAGTGACCCAAAAAGTCACAAAAAGCGGCAGAACAGGGTGAGGGAGCGGCTGAACAGGGTGCTTGCATATATTTGAAACACTATTGAAAAAGCCTGCAATTTCATTTAAACATGTGGTACCTCAGAATGTAGAAAATCTTGTTCTAGATAATTGCAACTTTGATTTACAATACCTCTTTTTCTCCAAACTGTAAATCAGTCCATTCCTTTGGCATGCCCTCATATACCATTGGTTTCCAATTCACACAAAAAAACTGATCGAACTGATGGATGAAGCTGCTGACATTGAGAGGAGTCCAAGTGTTCAATATACTGAAGAGACTTTCTAGCATCACCTTTGCTGCTATTTGTTTTCCTTTCACAACCTCTTTCTCTGGATTTTTAAGCCCAGGAATGTTGTTCTTAATAGTATTCCAGAAAGTGTCAGATGGTTTAACACATACTATATCGTCATACTGATGCCAATCTGTTAAAAAAATATTTTAGGTTTCATTAACACAAGATCAGGTTTCAATAAATACATGCGCCTATAGGCCCATAGCAAAAAAGTGCCATCCCTCTGGCAAATACCCTCTTCCCTCCCCTTGCACATATGGAAATCTCTTTCACTAATTGCTGGTGTCTCCTGCAAAACCCCAACCTGGAAGAGAAAAACCACACAGCTCCTTTCTGCCATGGGCAAACTCTTGAAGAAAAATAGATGTTATTTCCCTCCTGGGAGGGACCTGTGTGCACTGTTATACAGTGGTTCTACTCCTTCCTCCTGGGCCGTGTTCAGAAAGTAGTGTTAAGGGATGAGTGTTCAGACCCCTGGCCTCTCATTTGTGGGGTGCCTCAGGGTTCCGTCCTTTCCCCCATGCTTTTTAACATCTACATGAAGCTGCTGGGAGAGATTATCAGGGGGTTTGGGTTGGGTGTTCATCAGTATGTGGATACCACCCTCTACCTCTCTTTTAAATCAGAACCAGTAAAGGCGGTGAATGTCCTGTGTGAGTGTCCGGAGGCGGTTGGAGGATGGATGGCAGCTAACAAATTAAGGTTGAATCCTGACATGACAGAAGTACTGTTTTTGGGGGACGGCAGCAGGCAGGTGTGGGGGACTCCCTGGTCTGGTCCTGAATGGGGCAACTGTGCCCCTGAAGGAGCAGGTGCACAGCCTGGGAGTCATTTTGGACTCACAGCTGCTCATGGAAGTGCAGGTCAATTCTGTGTCCAGGACAGCTATCTACCAGCTCCATCTGGTACGCAGGTTGAGACCCTACCTGCCCACAGACTGTTTCACTAGAGTGGTGCATGCTCTAGTTATCTCTCGTTTGGACTACTGCAATGTGTTCTACATGAGGCTACCTTTGGAGGAGACCCGGAAACTACAATAAATCCAGAATGCGGCAGCTAGACTGGTGACTGGGAGTGGCCACCGAGACAATATAAAACCGGTCCTGAAAGACCTACATTGGCTCTCAGTACGTTTCTGAGCACAATGCAAAGTGTTGGTTCTGACCTTTAAAGCCCTAAACTGCCTCGGCCCAGTATACCTGAAGAACTGTCTCCAGCCCCATCGTTCAGCCCACACACTGAGGTCCAGCTCCGAGGGCCTTCTGGTGGTTCCCTCACTGCGAGGTTACAGGGAACCAGGCAGAGGGCCTTCTTGTTAGTGGCACCTGCCCTGTGGAACGCCCTTCCATCAGATGTCAAGGAAATAAACAACTATCTTACTTTTAGAAGACATCTGAAGGCAGTCCTGTTTAGGGAAGTTTTTAATGTTTGATGTTTTATCGTGTTTTTAATATTGTGTTAGAAGCCACCCAGCCAGATGGGCGAGGTATGAATAAATAATACTAATAATAATAACTCCTGTGTGTTAGGACAAAGGAAGGAGCAGCAGGAGGACTGGGTACCTTCCTTTCCCTTTATGTATCAATGTACATTTGCCATCCTCCATCCTCTCCTGTGATATTTGGACATCAAGACATATCAAGTCCCCATTGTGTGGCTCACTTCCACTCTCCCTCCTGCTGGCACTAGTCTGCTAGCCACAGTTAACACTTTGCAAATTGTTCTGCCTGCAAAGCAGAGCCTTTGGAGGGAAAGCCTCAAGTGTTCCACTTTCAGCTAACTGGCAGATTCACAGAAGGTAAACAAGTGCTGCATGGATTGTTTGCAGAATGGTTAGGCAAGTAGGTTGCATTAATGCCGAGTGTTTCTCTCTTTTCCACCCTGCCATCGCCATCTACATTCATACCACAATGCACACATCAAGAGAGAAAACATGAAGGCAGTGAATAAAGCACCTTCTGGTGGAAGGAATGGATATTAGATTCTTTGTCTACACCTGGTTCACATACCTGCAGTAATGGCTGGTGGGGCTGTATTGTTGACCTGGTACCCCAATGCCACACACCACTACGGATTATCGAGAGGGAAAGGGCAGGGGGGAATCTGCACAGTGGTGGAGTGATGGATTGGCTCTGTATTGTGCCCGCACTGAGCTCCCTTGCTCCCCCCCCCTTCAATAACCAGCAACGATGGAGGGAGTTGGGAAGTTACAGGTGAAACTCAAAAAATTAGAATATCGGGGGAAAGTTCCTTTATTTCCGTAATTTAACTTGAAAGGTGAAACTAATATATGAGATAGACTCGTGACATGCAAAGCGAGATATGTCAAGCCCTGATTTGTTATCATTGAGATGATCATGGCATACAGCTTATGAAAACCCCAAATTAACAATCTCAGAAAATTAGAATATTCAAGAAAATCAGCAAAACAAGGATTGCAAATCGAGCAAGGTTGGACCTCTGAGAAGTAGAAGCATATATCACTTTGCATGTCATGAGTCGATCTCATATATTAGTTTCACCTTTTAAGTTGAATTACTGAAATAAATGAATTTTTCCACGATATTCTAATTTTTCGAGTTTCACCTGTAGGTCAGCAATGCAGCCCCACCTCTGGATACTTGCAAATACTGCAGGCCTTTATGATGATGGAAATGTATTTCCACTCAATCCAATCACAGTTTGAACATCTATGTGTTTACAGAAGAGAAATTAGACTTTGTGGGACAAAATATGCATGGTTTTCATTTAGCTAGCTCTTCCAAGTCTCTGTGCAATAGCTATTCCTGGTCTTCCCCCATGTCTCCCACTTAGCATGGAAGAAGACTGTATCTACCGCTACTGGGGGAGTTTAAGAAATATCAGTTTAAGAAAAATTGTGCATCCTATGCACAGTTCCTTGGAATTAAACGCAATTAAGCTCTGTATTGCTTACCTCTGAATAAACATACATAGGATCATGATGTAAAGACACTAAATAAAGTAAAAGGGGTTTCTTGATAATGGAGAAACAATTACCCAAATTATGAAGCTGTAGACTTTTGCAATGTATGTACCAAGCATATATAAAGTCCCCTTACATTACTGCGTAATCCTAATAGCTAGCCCAATTATAATTGCTTTCTTCTCCCTAAATATTCCGTAAGTAGGAATGTTTGTTTGCTATTTTATAATGGTCTAAAGACCATTTGAAGTTCAATACATGAAATTTGATGTCCAGGACATTGCCCTCAGATGATTTCAGCAACTGCTAAGTAGCATGAACAAATACATATTTCCATTGACTTCCACGGAGGTGCTTTCTGAATTCCACTGCTTCCATGTTCATTTAATTAATAGCCATATTCATTGGAAAGTTCTTCCCCAAGCAAATGGGGAGTTTTATATCTCAGTTTGGCAGGAAACATTACCCCCACAGAGAGAAATAATGTCTACTGCCAAATCAGGAGGCTACAGCAGCCCACCTTAGTAGCATCTGAATACTTTGGGTTACAACCCCTATCATCCCTGACCACGCTTGGTGGGACTGATGGGAACTGCAGTCCAATAGCATCTGGGGGGCTACAGGCTGGGCAACGCAGTAGTACAGCAGTCAAAGTTACTAGCTCCTATTAGGTTTCTTAATGATGGTCTGCGACCCCAGATGCTGGCCTGAGAAATGAAGCGGTGTTCAAGCAGCCCTCCAATATTGGCCCTTCTCTCATCTATGATACTGTCATCTATGCCTTCCTTCTAGCTACTTGGACTCTGTTCTACGTCTAGCACTTGTTCCAGAACTTCGGAAACTTCCATGGAGAAATGTTTTATATACCATTTCTGTTTTCCTGGGAACTACACAAACCCTGTTTATAAAGTATTACCAAAACCACAATCATACGGCAGAGATAGTTCCTTACCTGGGCCATATAGTAATGCTGACGCTATAAACAAAAAACGATTTACAATCATTCCTTTAGGACAAGGTTTGTAAATGAATTCCCACTCTCCGTCCTTCCCACGTGCAACATAGTATTTATAGGGAATTGGTTTTTGGATATTATTCTTATGAATAATTACGCAGCCTTCCATTAGGTGACCATGCTCACCAAGATCCCTAGTATTTTAAAAAACAAAACACAAATGTACATCTTAGCAGTAAAGCATGACAATAGGCAAAACTTTTTCAACTAACTTTTATGGAAGGAGAGGTCTCCAAATATTTACCATTTAATATATAGTTATATGCCTTAAAACATAATGACCTGGAATAAACAGTGTTGCTAGATCAGATATGCATACATACTAAATTAAGAGGACACACACACACACAACTCACCACTTTCCCCCCATGTTGAATGATACTATTCTAAACACTGGCCCCTATTTATACATGGTGTTCTACTCTCAAGAGGTTAATAGTGGAACAATCTACAAAACAATAATGTAGCCTAATAGTTATTATTGCAATATGTGGAACAAGCAAGCAACCTTAGTAGCCAGAGAGCAAGAATTCAGTAGCCTACATAGCATGTTGATGTGCATATAAAGTAAAGGATTCCTAGAGGAGATGTATGAGAGTTCACACAGTGACACATTATTCTCCCTTAAAGTCGGTCCAGTATTGGCCACATCACTCCATATTACAGGGTTTGCCTCCACCCCAGAGGTACATCCAGTTACAATACTTCATTATCATCATGCAAACTTCACACACACAGACAGACACAGAAAAATAGTGCTCAAAATGGCTTACAACAAGGAAAACAGCAAAACGTTTTTAAAAATCAAGTCACAACTACCACTTCGAAGTAACAAGGATAACAACAACATTTGTATGCTGCTGCATTTATTTAAAATAAACATTTCAATACTGTAAATGTAACATCATACCTCCTGGCAATAATAAAAATAGCAAAGGAGTTTTACAGTTTCACCTTGCTAATGAGAGAATAAAAATGACGTTTGTTCTTTCTGTAATATCTTTCTCCTCTGGTCATCATGTTTAATTGGAGACATGTTTAAAAGTATACATCTGTTCCCAATCAGCGTGGCCTAATCACACAGTGATTAATGAAAACTGCCTTATCTGAACTAGGGGAAATTAGTAACCGCAGAGTTGGAGAAAGATAAAGCAAGAATGCTAGGACAGAGGTACTGAAAAAAATCAAAGGGGACACTAAATACCTTTCCAGATCTTACTATTTGTTACCGTCATCTAGCACTTCTACATACAGCAATATTCTTTATGGCCCATGAATCCATTCCAAAGCTTGCATGAATGCACAAAATTGTACTCACTTTGTGAAAGTCATCTCACAGACATTTTCCTTCCAGTTAACATAGCCAGATATGCCTTGTGCCCTGACAAAAACTTTGTGCTTCTCAGGATCCAACTTGAAGTCCTTGGAAAGTATAGCATGAAAATATACTGTAACGCCTTCATCAGAACTCACATGGCTGCAACAGTGAAGACAACAATGGTCAGTACAACACATTTTGGTGAATTTATGGAGAAGGGCACCACAATGTATCAGAACAGAAAATGGTTCCATGGCGTTGAAGAGTCCACACCACAACTCTATATGTTAGAGGAGAGGAGAGGGAGAAAACTACCAAGAAGAGACACAAAGTATCACTGTATGAATAAAATTAGAGAACTCTTTCAGAAGCTTCAAAGAACTGATGATGAGATATCAAAACTCATTTCCCCCCTATAAATTCCAGCTAATATTCATTATACCAAACAGTATGATCCAGGTTCACAACTCAGTTGTGCATCTTATTCTATACAAGATAGTTCCTATGGTCAGAAAATGCAAACAGATGCTCAAAGAATCCAAAATATGCCATTGCTGGGAACGAAAAGAAATAGGCATTACTCAGAGCAGACCCATCTAAATTAAAGGACCTAATTTAGCCACTCTCCTTAATTTTTACTCTGAGTAGACCCGTTGAAATTCACAGTTGACCACCACCCAATATGTACAAGGTTCACGAATACTGTTCACCCCAATTGCCAGGGTGATGAGGGTGTCGGGGTTTGGCAAATGAAATAAACTACGGTATGTTTCCTTCACACCTGTGCCCTCCATGCCCCCCAAGCCAAAAAGTTCAGCTGGAGATTTGTTTTGGCTCTAAGTGCAGAGCCATTAAGAAGCCTCCACCCTCCCAACTTCAGTTCCAAGCTGAACAGATATTGTTACTGCCAAGGGTAGGAACAGTTGCATCATAGTCTCCAAAGTTTTGGCAGTACCGGGTGGCGCTGTGGTCTAAACCACAGAGCCTAGGACTTGCCAATCAGAAGGTTGGCGGTTCAAATCCCCGCAACGGGGTGAGTTCCCGTTGCTCAGTCCCTGCTCCTGCCAACCTAGCAGTTCGAAAGCACGTCAAGTGCAAGTAGATAAATAGGTACCGCTCCAGCGGGAAGGTAAACGGCGTTTCCGTGCACTGCTCTGGTTCGCCAGAAGCGGCTTAGTCATGCTGGCCACATGACCCAGAAACTGTACGCCGGCTCCCTCGGCCAATAAAGCAAGATGAGCACCGCAACCCCAGAGTCGGCCACGACTGGACCTAATGGTCAGGGGTCCCTTTACCTTTACCTATGCCAATACTATATTACATCAATTATGTGTTGGAAAAGACATAGCAAGTCCATATGTGTAGCAGTACATAAGCGGACAGACTTCTGCCCAAATAAGATGCAAAGACTTTACACCAGCAAGGGTGGAGCTACGCCTGGGCTGGCATGGTACAACCTCAAGAGAAGCTGTGGCTGTCACCAATTTAAGGGAGCAATCCAAACCCAAGATCCACTAGGATGAGTAATGTTTGGAACAGGCAATCTCCTACACCAACTGAAGGCTTTCATGCTGGCTTAGCCGGAGATAGTCTAGGCAAGTCCTCCATCCTGGCTCAGCCAGCTGAACTGAGGCTTTTAGTCCTTGGGGGGGGGGGGCGTGTTCCAGGGCATGTTGGGGGTGTGGAGAGGCAGATTTAACCTTATTCCAAATTCTGTTCAGCTCAGTCATATGACCTAGCAACCCAGTGAGAGTTACACTGGCAAAAGGGGTAGAAACTCAAACTTTAAAGGGGCAAAAACTCAACTTTAAAGACTTCTTTCCCTCCATTAGGCTTCTGAGTAGAGTTTGGAATAGGGTTAAGTCACACTGGCATATTTTATCCCAAGGTAAATTAAACTGGCTTCCTGTAATCTGGATTGCTCTACCCTTAAGTGGCTTATGTCAAAAGCGAAAACAATAAGGTATGTTAAAAGGTGTAATGTTTATTATCTTCCGACTTCTTCCTAAAAAATAAAATGAACTGATCAATACAGAAATAATGAGTGGGTAAAAATGATTGCTCCAACAGTTAGCTTATCCATTGCAGTCTTTTAAAAAATGCTTTACAGAAATCATAGTATTTTAGAAATGGTACTCATGAGATGTTGGTAGCACTGGGAAGATCTATGAACAGGACATAGTGAAGCGCGTTAGATGAGTATTTGTGGTAATTTCAGATTTAGTAAAGCTTCGTGTTTCTAACCTTTCAGATCAGAACTATGCAACAACCGGTACTGGCCAATTCCAATTTAATACCACTTTTGAAATAAACAGAAATGCGCTATACCTCTGCTTGACTTCCTGGTTTGCCTGCTGCTTCTTGGTCTTTTGATCTTTCTGTTGCTTCTTCTCATTGGTAGCAGCAGAAGTCTTTCCCTTCTCAGACCCTTCTGCTGGAGTTGTTGCTTCTTCTGGTTTTTTGCAGACATTTTCCGCTTTAGTCTGTTCTTCCAACTTGGCTTTCTGTAACATAGGCATATGTGATTCAAAATGCTTGAAAAAATGTACTAGTCCCTTGTGGCTTGGAAAGGGGGGGGGGCTTAATCTTGTGCCCGGCTCCCAAGGAGAAAATTATGCTTGAGACAGGTCATCAGAAAGGGTTATTTTAGAAGTTTCCGCAAGATGGCGAGCGGACCGTGAATATGACAGCTCCTGTCAGATTTGGCCCTATGGAGCCTAAGGGGAAGAGTGCAAGGGTGACGCACCTCCCCAAAAAGCACCAAGAGGGGCACTGAGGTGTCTTGGGGTCCTGCGGCTCCGGTCCCTGCCTTTGTGCCGAAAGGCGCGGTGAGTGGGGAGGGGGGAAGCCAAGTGTGCCAGTGAGCTAGGCACCAACATGGCTTCGTAGGGAGCAAAACCTCCAATCCAGCCACAAGCGGTTACCTTTTCAGAAGACCGAAACCGATTGCAAAGGTGAGGAGTGCTTAATTTGATTGATTTGGCAAAAAAGGGGAATGTTAAAAGGAAGTCCACTCCTGTTCCTGGTGATATGAGCACGAAATACATACAAGTGAAGTGTTGATGAAGTTCACTTTGGAAGATAAGTTAGCTAATGAATAATAAGGATTAAAAGATTTCACCAAGCTCTTATACCAATCACTCAAGATTTTCTCTTAAAAAAAAATACATTGAACTTGACTTGAGTTTGAACTTGAATCCATCCTATATTGCAATTGAACTTGACTTTAAATGGAGGCTAAACCGGAGAAGGACTGCACTGTTACTGTATAGAAGAATATCACAAATTTCCTCTCAGGAAGATTGGACTGACTCTCTGAATTTATGCTACTTGTGGGAAAGAAGTATTTGAGCTTTCAGAGTGCTGAAGACATCTAACCTAACGGAATTATAATTGTGGACTTATTTTATTAAAAGGTAACAGCTAGTTAAAAAGCAAGATTATAAAAAAGGACTATAATATTCATTGCTAATATTGGCCTAAATCAGATTTTCAAATAATTCAGTTTTATTTATACAGTATTGGCAATTAAAAATTACTCTGATGTTAATGGATGTAGAGAAGGGGATATACAATTGTTAAATCTGCTAAAATTTGTTTTTGTGAGCAAAGTAGAAGGGAGGGAGGGAGGAGGCTGGAAGTACGGGGTTTTTTTATTGAGTCTAGTGAAACGGCCTTGACAAAGTACTGATAAAGCCAAAATAACACTTTCCCTGGTGGGAAAGGACTTTTTGTTTTGAAATTTAATCTTAGAAAGGAAGCTGGGAAACAGCAAGAGAACTGCAGCCCCGTCTCAAATTAGAATTGGCAGAAAAAATCTTAATGCTGAAACAAACCAGCAAAGCCGTAAGACAAGAGAAATATGAATTATTTGACTTGCTTTTAGAATTTAAAAGAGAATTGTTCGATCAGACAAAAGAAATAAAGCAAAATGCTGATAAGGCAGCCTCTCTAGTTCGGAAAAATACTAATTTACTTTCAGAGATTGTGGGACAATTTAAAGAAGTGAATGCACACACCACTAACATGGGAAAGGCTGAGGTACGAGGTTTGAGGAAAATGCAAGGGAAAGTGAGGGTGGTCTATGACAAAAATGACACCTTGTGTGAATTGATTTGGGAAGCTTTGGCGGTGATGGAGATGAAACAGAAAGGGCAGGTAAAAGGTATGAGAGGCTACCATATGTGGTGGCAATGCAAAATTATTAAGAAGGCTTGGGAAGTGATATATAAAGATTTGAAGAGAATGTTGAAAATGACTTTTGTTTAAAAAAAACCAGAAGCTATGATTCTGAAAGATACAGGACCTAATGGATTTACCATGCAAAAGACTTTGTTCCTGCACCTGAGAATGGACGCCAGGCCAAGACCAGCCCATCCTTATAGAAGGAAGAAGCCACCACCAAAGAAGATGGAGACTGGCAAAGCAAACTAATGAACTATGCAGGACATACTAGACATTTTGAAACTCTAGAAAGAAAAAGGGCATTGTTTTCTTTCTTTTTTTTAAAAAGAGGTGGGGGATGTTCAAGGCATATTTAGCAAGCTTTTACATTAGTTGAACTTTTAAAGGTCACTTGTAACAACATAAGGTTTTAAAACTGGATAGTTAAGAATATAAGATTTTGTGGACGTGTATGAAGAAGTATAAAATAATGGAACCAGGAGGGGGAGTGGAGGGAAGTCAATTAAGATGTATGATTTTTATTGTGATGTTTGTTTTTGTTAATATAAAATTAATAAATTGTGTGTACACACAGAGAGACATATATTGGGTGGGGGGAGAGCTTAATCTTGTGTCCAGCTCCCAATGAGAAAATTATGTTTGACACAGGTTACCAGAAGGGGTTATTTTAGAAGCCATGGACTAGGTGGGTAGGGGTATCGCCCCCACATTGATTGATATTTATTACGGCCATTGGCCCGTCACACGACAGTTTCCCATACCAACATATATGTACTTAAACCTCCAAATTTAAAACAGCCAAAACTTACAAAAAAAACAGACAAGAACCAAAGCAAAACAAAAACAAAAGACCAACATCATACATTACAAGAAATTTGCAACATAACATCGCCCTCTACTCATAAATTAATAAGAGACATCAATGGTGATATCGCCGAATTACATCCTAAAACCTAGATTATTATTATTATCATGGTTTAAAAGGGTTATCCGAGCCGCACAGGAGTCTGTTTTTCTTCTTTAGGGATAGGACGCTGATCAAGACTCTAGCAACCGTGAGTGATCTTAGGGGGTCTTCATCATTTAGTAGATATCTCAGTTTGGCTTCATTCGAATCATCGGTGATTCCCTTTAGATGTTGAGCAAGAAACTTGCTCCTGGCCGATGAGTGAAAAGCACAATCAAGGATTATGTGATGCAACGATTCCGGTGCCCCACAGTTACAATCACATAAGAGCGATATCTGTCCATTGGAAAATCTATTTCTCAGCACGTTCGATGGGAAGGTGTTGAATCTTGCCTTTATAAAGGCATATCTATGAGCCAAAGAAGTTAAGGAATTCAAATAATTTGGGAGCCTTAAGAGGGGTAATAAACCAAGGTTTAGAGGTGAGCAGGTACCATTGCCCAACACCATTTTCTGCTGCAAGTCCATCTCCTCTAATTTACAGGTTACTGTTCTTTTAGCTGGGACTATGTCCTGCTCTAGTAATCGCCCCCACAATATTTTGTTTTCACGCAAATGAATCTCTTCTTTCAACAGCCTCTGGTGAATCCTGGTGGTAACACCTGGCGCTCCACTGGGTCAGGTTGGATGGGCTCCCTTTAAGTATTTTCCTCCACTGTGGCCCTGTGCGCTATGCAACTAGATCAGACAAGCTAGCAAGTGATCCCTTAAGCCCCTCCCCAATGCTCTTATGCAACATAAAATCAGGGGAATTGGGAGGACAGAAAAGGGCAGCTTCCTTTTCAATCCCTCAGTGAATCTTACAGCCATGGGCAACAAAGGAAAGATTTTGAAAGGGAACCATCCAGTCCAGAGCAGGGAGCTTGTCTCCATTAGGCTAAATGAACCCCTCTTAAAAACAAAAGATCAATCCTAGCACCTAACGAAGCTTCAGCAAATAAGGGACTAACCCATCTTTTAACACCAGGGACATTGGGGAAGGATGACAAGGATGATTTGTTCACTGTACTCCTCTCACTGCTGCTTCTTGCCCCATGCCTGATAAATTCAACAGGAGCAGGGTTATTTTGCCTGGGGCCCCCTGAAACCTGGAACTGATTCGGTCTGTTGGTCCTATTTGAATTTCTCGGCAGCTTTTGATACCAAGCACAGCACCTTTTGAGAGTACCATTCTAGGATGAAATTAACAGGTAACAAGTGGTTTTAGTCCATCCTGGATTGTAGATTCCAGATAACGGTGCTAGGACTGGCTGTGTTGGTGGATTTGCTCCATGCCAACCTCCATGCTGCCTCGCCCTTTCCCCCCAGTAAGCAGAAGCGGCACAGCTGTCAGGAGATCAGGTAAGTGGCGTCAGCCCACCACAAAGTCCACTACCGCCTGCAGAACTCGATATTGCCTTTTACTCTGTTCAACAACTGCATGAATCGACTAGAGGAGGTCATCTAGAGATGCAACGTCTACTTTCATTAATAAGCAAATGGATGACATGCAGCTTGAACTGTCCTATTCAGGAAAACACCCAAGAAGGCAATGGAAGCAGACATATGCCCACACAACGAGACAGCCAATAGGACTGCAGGCAACATACCTTTGAAACCGAAGCACTTGTCTGTTGCTTGGTCTCTTCAACTTTTTTCTTATGACCCGGGCTCACTTCCGATTCAGACGAAGTGGTCTTAATTTCCCGATTTTGATCTTCTGTACTTGATTTTGCAACTTTATTTTCAGAACATTCACCAGTACAGCGAGGGTCCAAAGAGGCACTCTCTGCATCTCCATCAGAATTAGGTTGTGTTGCAACCAAAGTCTGGGTATCTGATGTATTTCCCTGAGACAGATCAGTTGCAGTAGAACTTGTCTTACTTTGTTCTTTACTAGAACCTGTCTGTTCACCAATTACATCATTCTTTTCAGAGCTTTCCTCCTCCATCTTCTCTTCTGCAACTGCAGCACCAACATGCTGGTCTGCTGCACCATTATTACTATCCTGACTCTTGGTATCAATATCACCAACATATTTTTCTGCAACAACTGCTAGACTCTGATTTATGTCTAAGGGGCTACTTTTAATCTGACCTCCACTGTCACCAGCTGACTCCTTGTCTGATTTGGTCAATTTATCTTCTGGGCCTTTGAATTTCCTTTGGTTGGTTTTTTGCATCTGTCACTTCAGGGCTAAAGTGATCAAGACTTGGTGGTGCTGAACTAAAACAGCTTGTCAAGGATGTCATCGAGGAGTCCTGAACTTCAGCATCTGAGGGACGCCTTTTCTTTTTCTTCTTCTTTTCTTCTTCTGCATGATAGAAAACAAAAAAAACAATAATAACATCCACCTCTTTTAAAGGTTCAGAGGTAAAGCAAAAATACATCATTCACCCTACATCTTCAATATTAACCTTTCCAGCATATGCTTCCACTCTTAGCTATCAAAATCAGAACTGGAAAAGACCTAGGCACATCTGTTATTATTACAGTGGTACTTTGGAAGTCAAACATAATCCATTCTGGAAGTCCGTTCAACTTCCGAAACGTTCAGAAACCAAGGCGTGGTTTCTGATTAGTTTCCAAATGCGGAGGCACGCCAGAAAACAATAGCGGAAGCTGTGTCGGACGTTCGGGCTTCCAAAAAAGCGTTCAAAAACCAGAACATTCACTTCTGGTTTTCGATCATTTGGGAGCAGGAACGTTCAACTCCCAAGGCATTCGGGAGTGGAGGTATGACTGTACAGTGGTACCTCAGGTTAAGTACTTAATTCGTTCCAGAGGCCAGTACTTAACCTGAAACTGTTCTTAATCTGAAGCTCCACTTTAGCTAATGGGGCCTCCTGCTGCCACTGTGCCGCTGGAGCACAGTTTCTGTTCTCATCCTGAAGCAAAGTTCTTAACCTGAAGCACTATTTCTGGGTTAGTGGAGTCTGTAACCTGAAGCGTATGTAACCTGAAGCGTATGTAACCCGAGGCACCACTGTACTACTTGTCCTTCAATCCATGGCAAGGAGCACCTCCTATCAACTGGTTGGTATGCAATTATGCACTTTCCTGGACAGGAATAACTTTCTGCTATGACTCATGCATTGATGAACTCAAGACTGGATTACTGTAATATGCTCTTTGTGGAGCGTCCCTTGAAACTGGACCTGAATCTGAAGATGGAACATAATGCATCCATGGCTGCCATTTTCCATGGGTGAGAAAACCTAGCTTTCATAGGAAGCTGCCTTAGACTGAATCAGGCCATTGGTCCATCCAGCTCAGTGCAGTGGCAGCAGCTCTCCAGGATTTTGGGCAGGGTTTTCTATTTGCAAGAACTAGTCAAGGATTCTGACAAAAATGCATTTTTCCAATCAGCAATTCACAGCAGACACTTGACTGGCAACTGATACTTCAGACCAATTCACTTACTTAATTACTCACTGCACATAGGAAAAACTACCTGCTGCGGGCTTGAGCATGGGCTGCTGCCCTCATATAGGTCTGGTTTCTCCTTTTTCCTTTTTCTGGAAGGAGGGTTATCATCCTCATTCAACTCATTCCAGTCAACATCGTTCTCAACTTTTACTGCCTGTTGAAAAATAGCCTTGCTTTCAGAGAGCTTAGCATTTGTAAGCAAAATGTAACTGCTTGCCTATCAATGCAGCAACTTTAAACCAAGTGGCCATTTCAAGAAGCATCAGCAAAGCACACTTAACAGCTCCACCATAGCAGACAGCAGGAAGCGAAAGTTTGTATTTCTGAAATCTCTGCACTATGCCCAACCTGTTCTCAAATGTACTCACTTTTTTCTGTGTGAGAGAGGCTTGACTCCCAGGGCTCTCAGATAAAGATTTTTCTGGCTCCCCTTGTGCTTCCCCAGTTAGTGGCTGCTTATCAACGGAAGATCCCAAGGAAGGGGAGCTTTCCACTCTCAGTTCGCCCCCAGGCTCCATCTCCAGCACTGAAGTCAGTTTTGCATCTCTGTTTTCTGCAACTGAAACAGAAGAATTGCAGAAGGTTATCTATGGAGAAGTCTGACATTAGTTCAGACGCAGGGCTGGGGGTCTCAGTGGTGAACAGGAACCAACATTTTTAGACACAGAAGTCAGTAAATTTTCTGTCAGGCCCACAAAGAGCATTATTTAATTATTAAATCCCCAGCCATGAACCCCAGGTTACACCTCTCTTTCAAGGAAGAAATTGAAGAGCATATGCTTGTCTTTCTGATGCAACAACACATCTCAGATACTGTCTCTATAATTCACATTTCATTTTATTAGCACATCCCATTCATCATACTGCAGAAAGTAATTCTTTTAATTAATGTACAACAACAAAGTTAGTTACACTTTCTCTGTGGCTATTGCACCATTGCCATTTCGGTCTGCAGTGTTTTTTTAAATCTGTTGCTGTATATATCTTAATGTTTCAGTTTCTTTTCACACAGAGTGCTAACAACACATATGCAGGCTGTTTGACTAATGTCCACCAACCCAGTTGGCTGTGCCTATTTGATTTTTTTATGTAAGCCGCGTTTGGCATTTTGTCTAAGACAGACAGAATGTTTTAACAAACAAACAAACAAACAAACAAACAAACAAATAAATAAATGGGTCACATAACAAGCCTTCTAACAGCTGTTTTCCCCCAGTGGTGTTATTCTAGCATGTTTGGGCCATAATTATGCTTGTCAAACTTTCCCCCCACTGCAGATGGCATGGTGAGAAGGAAGAGCAGCCTCTTGTTACCACCATTATATTCTTAAGATAGTATCTCTCAGGTAAGGGACAGAGAGGTGTTTTTGGATCTATGTTTGCATAGATCGCAGAGTGCTGTAGTGTTCCTCACCTTATAGCATAAGGGAAAGTAGATGTGTAATAAGAATCATGAGGTAAGGGAAGTGTTAGGAGTGTGCAGAAAATGGGCAAGTGAAGGACAAAAAGCTGGAGGGGGGAAAGCTGGACATTCATTTATTTTTTTCCAAAGTGCAGCTGCAAGGGGCTTGTGGTTTTCTTATCTAGTTGCTGGGTGACTTATCACGTACTGTTGCATATGAAATATTCTCCCACATCCACATTCCTGAGGAAGAGAAGAGGGCAGTTGGGAGAACAGAGAACTGTGGGAAGTTGCAAGAGTCAGGCGTTTGGACAATTGCTTTCTGTAAAATTTGAGTAAGTTGGAACTGCTAGTGTTTAGAAGCTTGGAGAACTTGTCTTGTCATATGTGTGAAATGTATAATATCTTGAACTATGAATGGAGGCAATATAATCCGTAAAATACTGCTAAGCGTGTGTCTTGCTGTTGGAGAAATTTAATCACTTCTTTGGACTTCCAGGAACACATACCCCAACACATTTACCCAGTTAAGGTTTGGGGGCATGAGTTTAGTGGTTTTTAAAACAGTGCATTTAACTCTACAACTAATACTCCAAAAGAGAATGAAAACATGGTATGGGAGAAAAGAGTGGAGAGAGAGACAGAAATAACATATGCACAAACTGGAACTTACATACATCTCATGCTATTATTGATTAAATTACAGTGGTACCTCGGTTTACAAACTTAATCCATTCCAGAAGTTCATTCTTAAACCGAGGAATGCTTTCCCTAATGAGGCCTCCCGCCACCGGTGCCCTTCTATCGTTCGGTTTCCGTTCTTAGACTGAGGTAAAGTTCGCAAACCGAGACACTATTTCTGGTTTTGCAGAGTTCATAAACTAAATCGTTCTTAAACAGGACTGTTCTTAAAATGAGGTACCACTGTACTACCAGTTAAATTTTACACTTACTCTCCAATACAGAGTTAAAGGTATAGGTAAAGGGACCCCTGACCATTAGGTCCAGTCATGGCCGACTCTGGGGTTGCCGCGCTCATCTCGCTTTATTGGCTGAGGGAGCTGGCATACAGCTTCCGGGTCATGTGGCCAGCATGACGAAGCTGCTTCTGGTGAACCAGAGCAGTGCACGGAAACGCCGTTTACCCTCCCGCCGGAGCGGTACCTATTTATCTTCTTTGGCGTGCTTTCAAACTGCTAGGTTGGCAGGAGTAGGGACCAAGCAATGGGAGCTCACCCTGTCACGGGGATTCGAACCGCCGACCTTCTGATCGGCAAACCCCAGGCTCTGTGGTTTAACCCACAGCGCCACCCGTGTCAGAAACACAAAAAAGCAAGGAGAGGTAAGGACACTGACTAGCCAGCAACAACTCTGCAATGTCCGGAACATTCATAGGCAAGGGGGGCAATAAACCAGACAGACACCAATGATTCTAGAACTTTCCCTGTCTTTTACGTATTTTCATTGTGTCCCTAATTCATCTTGGAAAGTAGTTGTACACCATTTTGTGATTCTTGGTTAAGGCTGTAAATCACTTACTTTGTGTGCTGGTAGAAGAAGCCTCAGCTAACTTCTTCCCACATTCACTGCAGAATTTGTGAGATGCAGGCTGAGCACTGCCACATTCAGGGCATTTAAAGCCCTTTTCATGCAATTGCTGATCCAGGGTGAAGTTTTTCCCCCAGCCTATTGGAAAGCAAGAAAACGAAAGACAAATGGGGTGAGGTGACATTAGTCATACAACTTGCTTGCATATTGTTTCACTCAGTGAAACGAAACTAACTGGAGTAACATTTCATATATTCATAGAGAATTAATAAATGTAGTTCTGCATAATGATTCATCAGATCCGAATAAGTTCACTAGTTCTGTATTTTAACAGTATGTTATAAACACAGGAACCCACCTCAAACACACACACAAAAATGCATACAGATAGGTTTCAATTACAATAATTCTAAAATTAACATCAGACATCATAACGTAATCAAAGTTATAACTTGTATCTTTGTAGTGAATTTTAATAGTTTTAAACTGCTTTGGCTTAAATGAACTTGACTGAAAAGTTCATTGTAAATATAATATTAACAATACTACTTTTAATACAAAGTATTTTGCCTCATGAACCCTAATGAATTCTTATAAAACTAACCAAGAACAGACATAAAGTTAAGTCATGATGCGTCAAACCTGCCGCAAGATGTTCTAATAAGTAATAATAAAAATTATTTATTACTTATACCCCGCTCATATGGCCGGACCTCCTTAGCCACTCCGGGCGGTTCCCAACAGAATATTAAAAAAAACAATAAACCTTAAAACATAAAAAACTTCCCTAAACAGGGCTGCCTTCAGATGTCTTCTAAAAGTCAGATAGTTGTTTATTTCCTTGGCACCTGATAGGAGGGTGTTCCATAGGGTGGGTGCCACTACCGAGAAGGCCCTCTGCCTGGTTTCCTGTAACTTCACTTCTTGCAGTGAGGGAACTGCCAGAAGGCCCTCGGAGCTGGATCTCAGTGTCCAGCAGGATGGATAAAAATGAAATATTTTTTTTATTTAAAAAAATCTGATTTTTTAAAATTTAAATCAGATTTTTAAAATAAAATGCTTTTGGAGGAAAAATCTTTCTAAAGATAGTTTTCTATTTAAGTTACATTATAGTCCAAAGGCTATTCATCAGGAAATAAGGATTTGTTTTTAAGTTTTTCATGTGTGCTAAAGCTCAATCTAAGTTTTTTTGGGGAAAACAACGTTTAACCACAACAGTTAACAAACATGGATACATATGTTATAATGTTATTGATTTAGTTAAATAAATTGTTTAAATTGTTGTTAAGAAAATGATTATTTTTCTCTTTCCAATAAAGTACAGAAGAAAAGTTGTCCAAATATAAACAGTTAACTTCTTAAACCTCACAATAATTTCATAAGTATCTGTCTATGTATTTCTAATAATATAATCAAATCAGTAATTTTTGATATAACTGTAAAAACTACTCTGAAAATTTATTATTCCAAAAATGAAAGCTTCCTTTGTTTGTAAATATTAAGATTATACCAGCAAGAACGAGTCTTTCTTTAAAAATAAAATAAAATAAAATAAAGTCTTACTGACTAGTGATTTAAATCAAATCCACCCTGATGTCTGGGCTGAATGATGGGGTGGAGATTCTCCTTCAGGTAGTTTGGTGTCTAAGCATGTCAGTATTTTGAGCTAAACATTTATTTTGGCAGTGGCTGTGCAGTATGGTATATGTATATTGCTTTAAGTAGTGGTGATGGGCATTTACCACATCTCTTGCTCAGTTTCTGCCTTCAGTTTACCTACACTTTAATACTACAAAGTGTGCAACTAATCAAAGCTAGTAGTAAGTGGTCTTCTCACCCATGCTGTCTCTTCATCAAAACCGGTTAGCAGGAGCAGTGATTTAGAGTCTCTCTTGCAGGTACTATTCTTATTGTAGGTCCATCCCTGTTCTTTTTAGTGTGCCCATTTAGCATCACCCCCAACCTATCTCTGGTCATAATTACAGTATTTACATTTACATCTAGGTAAGAAAAAGGTTTCTTTGAACATATACAAAGACATTTTCCCCTTCACCTATAAGTAACTAACCAAAGAGAAACTGCAGCCTGTCTTAAATCACACAAGAAATGCCATTCACCCTTTAAAGACTAAGAACCATTTCTCCTGTCCACCACATAAACATTGTGAGATAACACAATGCAGTTATGAAGATTTCAAAGCTTATACTGCGTTACTGCTAAACTTTATGTCAGTACTGTACTCCATTATCCACAATTTATCACTGACCAGGAGAGTGCTTTTGTATTGAACTACCAACCCACAATGGTCTCATTGAATCAGCAAGGCCCAATTCAAGTGTAATCTCCCATCGGTTTTCTCTTTCACTGCCTGATATTTTGCTAAATACAATGCAACTTATTTGCACAGCTACTTGTGTGTTTTAAGGTTATAGCAGTTTGGCTTACAAGTCCTTAACAGCAAAGGAACATGTGTGTGTATATGTATGTATTTATTTATTTATTCTGAGGAGGCCAAACACAAATTGTTGCCTCACGATTCCACCTACACTGGTGATGGGAAAAGACAAAGTTGGCTCCATTCCTCAGACTCCTCTCCACTTGAGACAAGGTGCTGAGGACAGGAAGATCTTGTCACCTCACAACACCTCTGGTATTTATTTATTTAAACGGCTTCCCAAAAGGATCACACCTCAAAATCTCCTGGCAGAAGCCGTCCTTCCGCAGCAAAGAGACAAAGCGGCACTTACACCCACTTAACTTCTGCCTATGACATGCAACTGTTAAAGGATTGGGAAACGTGTCAGGAAAACCCACTGAAGGGTGGCAAGGAACAAGGCCCATCCCCACACTGGGCACTTGGAGACGGCTGCCATTTTAAAACTAGAATATTGGGGTCAAGATAGCATCTTGGCAACATACATGTTGAGATAACTTGGACACTACTAACTGAAATAGTCAAGAGAAGAGTGCAAAAGGTCTGTAAATTTTGCCTCAGCTCTTCCCCATATCTAATACTGTAGTGAGAGAGTGTGTGTGTGTGAGAGAGAGAGAGATAAAAAAGCTTTCACTTCAGCACACACAACCCCTGGACTCCAGGCCAGATAGTGCAATGGCCCAATCAGCAGCCACTATGCAAATATAACGGGTGATCAGTCTCTGTCTCTCCACCTCACCTACAACTTGTAGATGCAGCTGGTGCTGCACTACAAACCCCAGAATTCATAGAGATTACCTTCTTTATATGTTTGCAACGCATTATTCACTGGTTTCCAGCAAATTACTATTTTTACCACACAAATTGGAATAAATTTCACTCTTTCAAAAAAACCAAAAAAACCCTAGCACTTTCGCTTAGCTATCACAGCCAGCTGAGGGAGGGGCCCCACCTATTTGCCCCCTGGTACACAGCCACTTCCTTTCTTACCTTTACGGCCCATACTTAGGCCATTATCAAGAAGTTGACCATTCCAGCCATTGAATCCTTGCCAGATCCAGGAGGTTGTCTCCGGCAAGAGCATGCCATAAACATTACTTCTTTAAAAATAAAAAAGGAAAGTTCAAAAGGCCCAGCGTCTGCTCACGGAAGTGAAACAGAAAGTCGACGAGGGGCGCATGACCCCGCAGTCCAAAAGCAACGAAGAGGACTTTGGAGGGTCTGCCGCTTTGCTTAAATTCGCAATATCATTCAGGGCAAAGGTGGGGACCTCTTCGTCTTCCCACCGCAGTAAAACCAACAGCACACCTCAATAGCGAGGGCAATAGCGGAAACCCAGGAAAACTACCCGCCCCTCCTCGCCCAACTTTGCAAACTGTCCTATATACAGTGGTACCTCGGGTTAAGTACTTAATTCGTTCTGGAGGTCTGTTCTTAACCTGAAACTGTTCTTAATCTGAAGCACCACTTTAGCTAATGGGGCCTCCTGCCGCCGGAGCATGATTTCTGTTCTCATCCTGAAGCAAAGTTCTTAACCCGAGGTACTATTTCTGGGTTAGCGGAAGCGTCTGTAACCTGAAACGTATGTAACCTGAAGCGTATGTAACCCGAGGTACCACTGTGTAAGAGATGTAACAAACCGTGCCCCACTTCCCTTTGCAGTTCCACTCCGTTTAATATCCACGCAGGTGCCGCCGCCACCCACGGCCGGGAAAAAAAGCAAACGGGTAAAAGAACACAAAAACGTGTCCCAGCCCTCCCCCCCCCCGAGCTTGCAAGAAGTTTAGCAGAAGCGACAGCAAAAGCCATCCCCCCTTCCCCGCTTGGAAGCGAGCAGAGGTTTCTATCCTAGGTGCCTGCAAAAGGTTTTAACGGGTCACGCCGCGAAGCCGGCCAGGTTGCTTCCCTAGGCGACACCTGCCACCTTCGTGTTACTCACCTCGGCTTAACTCCGCAATGGCTACCCCGCAGCTCAGCAGAAAGGAGGCTTCCCCGCTTCTGCGAAGCCCGCTCCTCTCTGACGCACCAGCAGCTGAGCAAGGCAAGGCAAGCCGGCAAAGTTTCGCTTTCCCCCTCGCCGCTCGGCTTCTTCTTATTGGAGGATGCGCATAGTTTCGTTTCCGAGCGCCACCCCACCCACCACCGCTCAGCCTCGCCGCTCCGTCCGTCCCTCCCTCCCGGCTGTAGCCGGAAACGGGGAATTCCCGATGGCCGCGAGACATACAAAGGCAGGACTTGGCTTCGTTCCAAACCGGCAGAACGGGGGAAGGGACAACGGGTCACCTCCGAATATCCCCATCCATCGGCAAACACCTTTTGACGCAGCCCAGAGCTACGGAAGAACGTAAGGAGGGGGTCTGCCGGATTCAGGCCGAAGGCCCGTGTGGTCCAGCACCTTGTTTTCACAGCTGTCGGTGGGAAGCCTCCTCTCGCAACACGATTCCCAAGATCCTGTATGCAGAGGCATCATAATATAGTGCTTCGAGTCAAAACATCGTGATCTTTTTCCCCCCCTGCATCCATCCTTAACCTGTTTCTAGGTGCCGGACAAAAATATTATTATATGGCCAGGCCTTTGGTTCTTAATTAGGAGAGTAACTAGCTATGCATCCTGAACCTTTGACTTTCTTAGGAGGGTTCAGGCTAGATGTCAGACCTGAGTTGCACCACCAGCCACCAGAATTGGAAGGGACCACGAGGCTCATCTAGTCCAACACCCCAGCAATGCAGGAATCTTTCACCCAATGTGCGGTTCGAACCCATAACCCCCCTGTGAACCTGTTGAGGAAAATCGTTATTCGGCATAAGCTGGGCAGTCATGCTTTTTAAGGTGCATCTGTAAGTGCTTTTGATCTGTTTGCAACCGGGAATCTTCAGGTTGCAACCTGGCTACCCTAATTTATTTATTGTATGCAAGAGATGGCATGAGCATTTTTTTTTTTTTACTGTGCTGCTGTTAATAACAGGCAAAAGGCAAGAGCTGCCAGGTTTAAATTACAACTCTTGTGATCAAGAATGAATAATAAATCTGATTTAAAAAGAAGTACAAATTGTCTGGGGAAATTGTGGTTTTAGGAAAAATCTAGAGCTGTGTGTGTCTGGGAGGCATGATTTTCAAAGACAGGCCTACCAGAATAGAAAGCAAAATTAATGTTTTGTTCTGCAAGTGTTCAAGTACATTAGGAGTGTGGGTTGAGTCTTCTTGGAAATGTTTACACTTCTAGAGTTATACTTAAAATGAGTACTCTTTAAATGCACATTTATGCACACACACAGGGTGGCTGGAGGTCTGGCTTCTTTTCGTCCTTCTAGTGCATTATTGTGCTTGAGGACATTTTAAGAAGAATGGAGCTTATGTCTCCTATGGATTTATGTAACACTCAAGTTGTCTTAATAAACTGCTGTTGTGAAATGGCAGGTTGTAGATCATCTGCCCTCACACAGGCTTCTCTGGAGCAATTAAACTTTCTAAAGAGCTCTAGGAGCCTGTTCTAGAATAACCAAATGAACCAATGAAGAAAATCTGTGTTTCTGACCATGCATAGGGGAAGGATGTTTATAGAGAAAGGTGCAAAAAGTCACAGGCCATCCACATAATGGCAATAAGCATTATGTACAACCCCCTCCAAAAAAGAAAAAACATGTTCATGGAACCACGGTCCATGTGTTGGCCCTTTAATGTTGAACAGAGAACAAGCAGTCACTTAATGTGGGACATTGCACACCTACCCCTTTGTTGAATGCCTTGCAGTAAACCTTTGCTTGCGATCATTTAAAAAGAGAAGTCTGCTGAATGGTTCTGTCAGTTCCAGGAAGAATGACGTGTATACATCATGGGTAAGCAAACTAAGGCCTGGGGGGCGGATCCTGCCCAATCACCTTCTAAATCCGGCCCGTGGACAGTCCAGGAATCAGTGTGTTTTTACATGAGTAGAATGTCTCCTTTTATTTAAAATGCATCTCTGGGTTATTTGTGGGGCATAGGAATTCATTCATTTTTCTTTCTTTCAAAATATAGTCTGCTCTGCACAAGGTCTAAGGGACAGTGGACCGCCCCCCTGCTGAAAAAGTTTGCTGACCCCTGGTGTACATACTTCTGTATCAAGAAACAATTTTCTGCAGGACTGGGTAAGGGTGCCTGCACCTATTGAATTGAGCTCATTTATGGTTGAAACAATTCAACCCCCATCCCCAAATAGTTTGGTTTAAAGATTATTTTCTCAACCAGAATTTAAATAATCCAGCATTTCCCTACTATAAATACAAGTCATTGTTAATGCAATGGACGCCTTTTGTAGCAAACATTTGGTTTATTAAATGGAGTGAGCAGCAATAGAGCTCTTATACATTGGTGAAAACTGACCATGGACTCCTCCATAGTAGGATTCCAAGTCTACTGCTCTGTTAGCACAATGAATTGGAACACCACTGCTAATGACATCACTTTAGCCAATGCATTGTGTAAGCACAACTCTGAAGCAGACCATGAGTATTGCTTACTCATTAACGATGTGTAGAAGAAGTGTGAGGTTTGTTGTCTTCACATCAAATTCACAGCTCAATCACTCAGTTCAAATGTCATATTAAACACAATCCTAATTTAGTGCAGTGAAAATCAGATACACTTTTTTTTTGCATACATGTTCAAAAATACCAGTTAATATCTATGTTTTTATCCAACAGAAATAAAAGTTCTTTCATAAGGGCAAAAGAGGGGGGGGATAGGCTAAAGGCAACTTAGTTCACACCTGAGTGTGTGCTTTTTAACTGAATTGCTTTTAAGGCAGCTACCTGAACTATTTCCTTCACTAAGCACTGACATAACTTAGGGCCATGTTCACACTCATTTAACTGTGTACTTATAGTTTCCAGTGCTGGGCTTCTAATGTGTTCACATGTTACCCAAAATATGTATCCTGTACTTCTTTATAAAATGCTTATAAAAAACTACTGTTCGATGCATCGTCTCTGAAATCAGCTTCACACCCATTGGTGTACTTCAGCCGTTGCTAATTCATTTCTTGCCAAAGTGTGAACACCATTGCACAGAGTAAAATACCTGAGAGAAGGAGGATTAGTTCATTGCCTCTGACCCAGCGGCCTGTGACACTACACATCTAGTTCTGGCTATTGAATCCAATTGCTTTTTCTACCCCATTATTTGAATGTGATTGAATCACTAACTTGCATTTTATATGGGGAAAATGTATACAGTGGTACCTCGGGTTACATATGCTTCAAGTTACAGACTCCGCTAACCCAGAAATAGTGCTTCAGGTTAAGAACTTTGCTTCAGGATGAGAATTGAAATCATGTTCCGGTGGTGCAGTGGCAGCGGGAGGCCCCATTAGCTAAAGTGGTGCTTCAGGTTAAGAACAGTTTCAGATTAAGTACGGACTTCCGGAACGAATTTAAGTACTTAACCTGAGGTACCACTGTAGTTAGTTGTAGGGAGGGTAGGCGTTTCCTTCAGCTTCTGAAGCAGTAATTATTCCTAATAATGTGCAATTACACTTTCAGTTAGGATCTCCTGTAGTTTTGTTTTTTTGGGTTTTGTTGTGTGTTTTTTTTGCTTAGTGCAAGGAAAGCAAGACCTAAAAATCCAGTACTTTGCTCTTCAGTAATTTTTTTTTTAAAGTTGGTTGGGCAAGAAGAGAGGATGCACTGTCTGCCATTGATGCTGCTGCATTAACCCAGTCTTCGTTCTCGTTTAAGAGTGGCAGCCACTTTCCAGGCAGCGATACACTGGGAGAGCGGGATCTCTTCTGGGAATGTATCCTCTAGTTCTTCTAATATGTTGCTCCCTTTCCTTTCGAGGTATGAAATAAGTGTGTCCCTAAGGCTGGGAAATAGAGAGAGAAAGAGAGTGAGCACAAAGTATAATCAGCTATTCTGCAGTACATGGCACTGTTCATGAGCACAAAAAGAGCTACATTCAGGTGATGAAGAAAATGTGCAAAGATTGGGCTTGACAGGCTCTTACCTCCACTTGGGATTGAACCCTTCCTGAGGTTTGGGATGTTTGAGCTTCAGGATGATCATTTCGTGCAACTCTTGGAGGAAGGACCCCAGCCCAGCCTGCATAAGGAAGGCATTGAAGAGTTCTGTGTTCTCTGCAGTGAGCTCATCTTTATAGGCTGCACCAACCTCTGCAAAGGGATCCTGAAAGGAAGATGGTAAGGAAGAGAGACACAACAGCACTGTTAGGAGCAGAGGGGGAAACAGAGAAATGAATCATCAAGTTATCACACACTTTCCCCCACTTTGTCCTTCCTACCCTTTTCAGATGCAGCAGCTGTTCAGATTTATAGCACGAAAGGAGCTGCCACAGTGCAATGGTGTGCTCGAGGTGACACTGGCTCAGTGCCTGAAAGAAACACACAAACATCTGTTTTTTGAAAGAGAGTTACAAGTCAGAACTAGTTTTATAAAAGCTATGAAAGACAAATTTAGAACTGGGGTGGGGAAGCTTAAAAGAATCCATATATAAGAACTTGAGCAAAAACAAGTTATGTGGCACCTGATTTACAAATTCAGTACATTAGTCTTTAGGCTGTCATAGGGCACTTGATTTTATGCATTTTTCCACTGTAGCAGACTAATACAACTAACCCGCCGTAACTATAAGCAGGGAGACTGGCAAGAACCAGGTAACTGAAGCAATCTTGATGAGAAAAAAAATCAACTAAGTAACAAGAACAATTCAAAAAAATAAATCTCATCACTTGCCGTGCACTCTCCTGCATCACTTGTGCAAGAGTAGGGACTGAATGCAGAACTCGCACTGAAAGTTGACCATTGCTCATTACCATCCCCAGCACGCATCCTTCTAAGAATGTCAAGAAGGGCTGGGCATATTCCCAACTCTTGCCATACTGTAAGCCTCTTTTAATTAAATGTGTCTCAAGACTGGCTGCACTAAGCTGTTCTAGGGGACTGCAAAGGGCTACCTGAGAACATGTGCCTGCAGTCACTCCTACCTGAGGAGCAAAGATAAATTATGAAGAATATATATGGGTCAGGGAGAAAGGTAGCTGCCTTCCTTGAACTGGGGGCAAGTGATATATTTATTATTTTACTCTAGCCTGGTTTACCCTCACCCCATTGTTGTTGTTTAGTCGTGTCCGACTCCTCGTGACCCCATGGACCAGAGCACGCCAGGCACCTCTGTCCTCCACTACCTCCCGCAGTTTGGTCAAACTCATACTGGTAACCTCGAAAACACTATCCAACCATCTCATCCTCTGTCGCCCCCTTCTCCTTGTGCCCTCCATCTTTCCCAGCATCAGTGTCTTCTCCAGGGAGTCTTCTCTTCTCATGAGGTGGCCAAAGTACTGGAGCCTCAGCTTCATGGATCACTGCCTTCATGGATCACTGCCTTGCCGTGGCAAAGGGGCTTGAAGAACTCAGAGAAGCTATGAACTATGCCGAGCAGGGCACACAAGATGAACAGGTCATAGTGGAAAGTTTTGACCAAACGTGATCCACCTGGAGGAGGAACCAGCAAGCCACTCCAGTATCCTTGCCAAGAAAACTCCATGGACAAAGACAACAGGCCTCACCCCATAGAGACAGGTTAAGGCCCTGATCCCCTGCACTCACCTTCAGCACGTGGTCATTTGTCTGACTGCCCATTTGCAGGATATCTTCAACATATTCAGTCAAAGTCATCTTTGAGTCTCCTCCAGCCTTAGCCAAGAATCCTAAGGTTATTTCAGTGACAGACAGCGCTTCACAGATGTCACTGTAGGATAGCAACTTCCCACTGATCATGCCAGTTGTGGAATTTGGAAGAGAAATCTGTAATTCAAGGGAACAAAAATCCACCAGAATATATTCATCACTGCTTCCTTTTGCTTTAAAGAAAAGATGAGCATGCAGTGCAGGCAATCCTACAGGATATGAAACAATTATAAAATATAGCCAAATGCAGCATAGGCTGTCATAACTTCACGTTCAGTCTCCAGAGAGCAAATATAGTATAGTGTTGGACTAGGATCGGGAAGACACAGGTTCAAATCCAGCGTCTCCCTTATCTCTTTACCATGAAGCTCATCTCAGAAGCCTACCTGGCTCAGCTTACTGTTGATATCATTGAAGAGATGCTCATAATTTTGCTCATGTCTGTACACCAGGGTTGGTATGCCCTGTTAGGGAAGAAAGCAGAAAATATGCCAGTGAGCAGAGCTTTGCAATAACGTTCTCTGGGATGAGAGATGGATCTTACAGGCACCAAGAAAGCTATGTGGCAGCATCACGATCCTTTTATACATACTTTCAATGTGATTAAGGGCTTCCCCTGAAGGAATCTACTAGCAAGTTGCTGCTCAATTTTTTCCAGATCGAATTCCTGGAGGGCCTCCCCTCCTTTCTTCATGCTATATTGGCAGTTGGACAGGATCAATGGGATCAAGTCCCTCTCCACATTGTAAGCGATCACATGTAGATCTGTCACTTCAGCAGGGCTGACAGAGTATCTGTTTAGAAGGGGAGGGAGAGCACAAGAATGAGAAATCTTGCTCTGCTGCTGATTTAGCAACAGATAAGGCTATCTGTCACATTGCAAGAAGAAGTGTGGATTCTAGCAGATGCATACACAGGCATACCTTATGGCATCTGTTGTATATCCTTCTATGGCATAGACAAAGTCATTGTGTAGACCAATGAGATAACTAGCCAAGGCAGTGGAACAAAGGCCTAGGCCACGTCGGCGAGGCAAAAGGATCTCAAACTCACTGTCCAGGGTTAAGTCAGTATCACAATAACCTTTGGGAAGTTTAATTTCACCTGCAGCGGAGGAAGGAAACATCAGTGAGCAACAAGCTCAGACCACTGGTGGATGCTCCCCTTTTCTTTTTGATCATTTCTGGCTTTTAAAAAAATCATCATTTGTTGACTGGCTTTCTGAAAGCCAGAAGCAAGTCTTAGGCATTCTGGATGAACAAATGGATCATGTTACAGCCTACCAATTAATCTCTATGTTAAAGGGAAATGAGTATTGCAAAGGGAGAGAATACTAGAAGGAATAGCTTATTTAGACCTCAACAGATAAGGCTAGAGAGTTTCTTTCAAAGTTAAAAAATAAAAGGGAAAGTTTGGCCTGCCATGAATAAATAAGACCAGATCTTCATCTGGGTGATAGGGGCGGATAAAAGTTCAGTGTACTCTGTTTCTATTTACATTTTTGAAGTTTTATAAGCAAAAGTCTGTATAAAAATTATGCACATTTCCCCAACATATTTCCCAGTCTAACAGAATGCATTTAGTACATTAAATTTAACAATGTAAACTGGCAATTTACCGTGGGTTTCCAAAGATAATCTCAGCTTGTTCCATACATCCAGAAATGTATTCACTCTGTTTTTCATAAGATTCTTGAATTCTGCAGAAAGCATAAGGAAACAAACTGCAAGTCAAGATTGTGAAGTTCTGCAGCTCTTTCCAAGAGTGCCTCAAGCGCAGTTAGATCTGTTACAAAGAATTAGAATCTAAAAGCAGCCCTGCTGGAGGGGGTCATCTAGTTCAGCATCCTTAATTGTACTTCTATTGTGTCCATTATGCCTATATCATGTACTTTGACTGTACACAGTATGTCCAAAATCAGAAAAGTGATGGTTTCCCCCAGGAATCCATTTGACTTTCTCCTTTAGGCATGCAATGGGTATGGAGTGATAGATATACTGTACACAAGTTAACAAACTCTCATTGGGGCTGTTTTGTAAGTTTAAAACTTGGTGTGAATCACTTGCCTTAATGCTATTTATGCTTTGCTAACTTGATCTATGGCATGGCAGTCTCACCTGGTGAAGCCTTGTTGAGGAAATCTCTAATTGTTTGGTATTCCAGCTCAGAAATGTTCTGGAACCTCTTCACCAAGTCTTTCTGCAGGGCCAGAATTTCTGGCAAAAACTTCACCAGCTTCAATTCAGCTTCCTAGAAATGAAGCAGAGTAAGGCAAGTCAGACTGAAAAGGTTGAAGATACCTGAATTAAACCTCCTCCTCTACACTTATTGAATTACTTTTTCTACTTTCTGCCAGTTTTTTAATAGGATTACATTTCCACTTGATAAGTATGAAGTTTGCTGAATTTGAAAAGACATTTCCAAGATATGTTATGGAACAGGCCATACATTTTCTTGATGTAATAAGTATTGAAGAACATATATAGAACATTTTACACAAACTTTAGTTAGTAGTAGTGTTAAGTGAAATAGAAGCTTTTATACTGAGCAAAAAGAATGCACAAAGGTTGTCAAATTAATCAATTTCCCCATTGTGATTTATATTTTAATGGTGAAATCGGGATTGATCAAAATCACATTAATTTTTGAAAGGAGTCATTTTTATCTTAAAAAGGTAAAGGTACCCCTGCCCGTATGGGCCAGTCTTGACAGACTCTAGGGTTGTGCGCTCATCTCACTCTAGAGGCCGGGAGCCGGCGCCGTCCACAGACACTTCTGGGTCACATGGCCAGTGTGATATCGCTGCTCTGGCGAGCCTGCACCAGCGCAGCACACGGAACGCCGTTTACCTTCCCGCTATAAAGCGGTACCTATTTATCTACTTGCACTTTTAAGGGTGCTTTCGAACTGCTAGGTGGGCAGCAGCTGGGACCGAAAGACGGGAGCTCACCCCACCGCGGGGATTCGAACTGCCGACCATACGATCGGCAAGTCCTAGGCACTGTGGTTTTACCCACAGCGCCACCCGCGTCCCTTTCATTATTATTTTTTTTATCTTAGGGCTGTGTATTAAAATTTGACAACCTTTCTCCCCCTCATATAATTTTTTCCCACTCATTAGTTGTAAATAAACTATGAGAAGTTTTGATTAGGTAATAGTGCAGTACCATACAAGTCCTTTCCTAACTCCCCAGAATCCTATTTTTATGTATCATTTAGCTAGTTAAACCTTTGGAGAATGTGCTCATTAAGGAGCCTCCAGACTAAAAATGATGATTAATCATCAAGTGAACAGGTAAAAATAGTATTTGAGTGAGAATAATAGTACAGATTAATTATCTATGATTTTAAAAAGGTCAAACCACCTGCATTGTTTGAAGTTTATTTTTTTTTTTAAATAATTTTTATTAGTTTTTTAAACACAAAGTATACACAAACAATACACAATACACAGACATACAAACATATAAACATGTATAATTTCATAACCGTTTTTTCATAACCTTATTTCTCGGACTTCCCCATACCTTCCCCTCCCTGCATCCTTGTTTTATACCTCTTCAGCAACTCCTCAGTCTAATTATTCAAATCAATTTCTTTTAAATTTCCCTAAATTTGTTAATCTTCATGCATCCCAATTCCCATAATTGTGTCAGCAGGTTATCATTTTCCCTTCTTACCATGTTAATATTACATCTTTTATAAAAAATTTAATTCTTATCCTAAGTTGGACTCAAATTCCCTTCCATCGATTTCACAATTTTTATGAAATATAAACATATTGACTGAACCCAAAAAAGAAAAAGAAAAAAAACATAAATTTCTGTTTTCCCCCTCCCATCCCCGGTTTCCGTCCCTTCCAAATATATGTCCAAAATAACAGTCCTTAGCCTGGATTCCTCACATCCGAGGCCTTCAAATCTCTTTCCGTTCCTCTCCGCCGGATTTGTTGGTAGTCCTTCATGTTGGTCTTTGGATCTCTAAGGAGTTCTGTCCCAATCAAGCCAGATTTTATTCCCTCAGAAACACTTAAGGACAACTGCTGCAAAAGCTCCACCAATCCTTCATATTCGAGGTCAGAATGGAGGTCCCAGTCATATTTCTTTCTTTTGAGTTCTTGAATTCCAAGTATTCCAGGGGCTTCCTCCTTCATCTTTCGCTTCTTTTGCAGATTTGTAATCCATATAATCCAAAGGTCTTTTTGTTTGTAAACCACTTGTAAAGGCTTCTGGTTGGTACTTTCCATCAATGCTCTCTCCTGTACTTGTTTTGTCTCCTTTACTTCTTGCGGTATCTCTTCCAATTCAGCTGCAGATTTTTTCTCATACAGTTCCTCATTACATTCAGGAGAGCTACTTATTCCAGAAGTCAAGGTCACAAGTTGTTTATTCATTGCAAGACTCTGCTCTTGTAAAATTCCCAAAAGATAAAATGTTCTTTCTATCTCAGCTAGTAAATTTCCATCCGCAGCCATTGTAATGTCTCAGACTTCCCCCTAGGGGGAATCTAGTTACTTAGTAGTCTTTTCCCAACAATCTTTTACTTCACTGCTTGTTTCTTTGTTTCCAACCACTTAAGTTCAATTGTATCACATTTAATCCAGAGAGGTCTTAAATAGCAAGCTTTTTCCCTTTAAATTGCCCGTTTGACAGCTTTTGACAGCTGTCAAACTCCTTTCCTTTTCAACAGGCTCCAAGACAGGGCGCTCCCGGGCCCGGGAGGGGGGGTTTACATACAGCAAAAGAAAAACTTCTGAAAGTCCACTCTTGCACTCCAGCTCAAAACTTCTTTTACCAAATCGTGGAAGTTTTTTTTTTTTAACTCACCCCGAAAGGGTAGGCTCTCCTACTTAGTTCTACTTTTCCGTTGCTTTAAAAGTCATGCAGTCCGGGGAGGCAGACTTCCTTAATTTATGCCTTTCCCGTTTTCAGCCAAATTTCCAAATTCAGTTTAGATGTCCCATTTAAATTTCTCAGTCTTACTCACGAGTATTATGGTCGAATTTCAGATTCAGGAAGGAATCGGCGCTCTCCGTTAATGGCGACGCGGCTTCACTCCGCAGGCTGGGTTGCGACTCTCAGCACCGCGCTCACTCCCGATGCCGCTCCGGAGCCTTTAAAAAGGCTCTTTCGCGATACCGGGGGGCGCAAAGGTGCCCACCGAGTCTCCTTGCTCACAGGCTTCTGCGCCTGTGATTTTAGGGGTCCCCCGCTCGCCGTAGCGGGTCAGACCCGAACCCGCGGAGCAGTCCTGCCTCGGAGCTCGAGGCAAGGACCACCATTAAGCGCTGGCGCCGACCGGAAGTCTGCATTGTTTGAAGTTTATCAGCTTTTGACAAGTAGTTGACAGGAGAGCATCTGTTCTTAAGATCAAAGTGAAAGGAAGATGCAAGGCTGTGTATTGTATTACTTCCTTTATTTATGAAGATTAGCTCACATTCATTATGAAGAGCGGCCTGCACTTTAGTGCCTGCGCTTTGGTTTCTGACTCATATACCCCATGAAAGGGCCACTGGTAAAAAACTGGACATGCTCACCTTCTGCAAAAACTTCCACAAGATGGGCACCATTTCTTTGCCATCTTTCTGCTGGACAACATGCTCCAGGTGCTCAACTGAAATCTTTTTCCTGCAGCTCCACATCCTGGAACAGTGTACAGTGCTGTTGCTGGGTAGTTCAGACAGGAAGGTTGCAGGGTCACCATATATAATTTTTGCTATTAAGTTGGAAGCCATTGTCTTATCTTCACTGATCTGTTGATTCACATCCAGAAGTGTTTTATCCAGAAACTGCATGGGTAAAAGAAAGCGAGTCATTATAAGAAGTGGCCTCTTTCTTAAAAAGAAAACAAAAGCCTCCCACCATGTCAGGCATTCTGATAAATAGAGCATTGTGTTTTACAAATATTCTTAAGTAAAAAAAATATGGTAGTTCACTGATTTTTTTTGTTCAATAACCAAGTAGTAAAATGAAACATTATTAATGTACCCCCTGCCAGGGATACCATGAAAAAGAACAGAATTGCACACGTAAAATTTGGTGTTATGATAATAATAATAATAATACAGTGGTACCTCGGTTTACATACGCTTCAGGTTACATACACTTCAGGTTACAGACTCCGCTAACCCAGAAATAGTACCTCGGGTTAAGAACTTTGCTTCAGGATGAGAACAGAAATCGTGCTCCGGTGGAACGGCAGCAGTGGGAGGCCCCATTAGCTAAAGTGGTGCTTCAGGTTAAGAGCAGTTTCAGGTTAAGAACGGACCTCCGGAACGAATTAAGTACTTAACCTGAGGTACCACTGTAATAGTCTTTTTTAAATGATAGTGGAATTTCTGAAGGACAAAGAGCTTCCAGCTTACGGGTGTCCACTAACTATGAATATATTCCAAAATCAACAGTTAAACAATACTTTTCTTGGGACCCATCAAAATGTCACAGTTTTCCAGAACTCTTCATCATTTTTGTGAAGAACACAAAAGCTTGCCACACTTTTGTGACATTTTGGTTGGTCCCAACAAAGGTATCGCTCAATTGTTAAAAATGCCTGATTTCTCCAAGGAGATAACACTGGAGATTTTGTGTTTCATTTTATTTAGAAATATAAAAACAGAACCTAATTGAACCAATCGGGCAGGCCCCTTCTTAAGATGAAGTGGTATCACTACTGATTCTACTGGAGCAATGAAAAGTTCTGACCTTCTTTTCCTTATTTTTGGATGGATTTGAGAAACCCTTTCTATGTCAGTCTCCAACAATACAGCTCTCTAAAAGTCACCAAAAACATGTTTGCCAGTAAACAGAATACTGGCTAGGTTGGAGCAGATTTAGCATCAATGCCTCAGTTCCATAACCTGCAATTATGTTTGGCAACTGTGTTAGCATTCACTAATCTAACTTCCATTTGAAATGCATTTAAGAAGGCAAGGAATAATACAGAGAGGTTTTATTGGAAGTGTAGCTGAAGTCCTTATCCATGTGTTCATGTTAAAGTAATTTATTGTGCTAAGTGAAGAGAGCTCCAGTGATGGCAGAGCCAATGGATGAGTGCCATGAAAGAGGTATCAAAATCACCTTGAAAGTAGATTATGTTCTCCAACACATGGCTTGGTCTCAGAGGGCAGAAGAGCCCTGAAAATCAAAACCACAACTGGGGCATCTATCTTGGGAGATGTATATATGACAATATTTGGAGAAATATTTCTCCCTAAAAGTACACATATGTGGTACAGATTTTAAGAAGGAGAGACAATTATTGTTAGTGGCTGTTCATTATTAGATCTTTGGGCAGGGGGGATGGTCTTTACAGCTCCTTGATCCCTGTTTTGAAATTTAAGGGGAACATGGCAGGAGAGGTTTTACATGCCAAGGACAATATTGCCATGGATTTTTACATGTGCAACTAATATAGTAGGGGCATACTGTTTCATTTACATTTGTCCTGCATACTTTCATTAAATCAGATTTTTAAAAAATGAGTTTCTCATGTTGCTAACATGCATGGTAATCTCTTCCAAAATATTATGCCTATTTGCACTTCATTGGCTGAATGTTATTGTCTCCCTTGAGATGTAGATCCAATCATATCACACTAAGCACTCACAATATTTCTTCTCTACATATTCAGATATGCTTCTGCATTAACAGGTAAAATGCATGTTCAGTGTTTCACTGTAGTCATAGGCATACATCATTGTACTGTATACCTGTTACATGGCTTAGCAATGGAATACATATGATCCATTGATCAATAATTAAATCAGTGTACTGTTAGTGATGCACTTAATTTTATTTACCTTTAGTTCTGGAAGAACAACATTTCGAGCAACAACTCCTTCCCAATCATTTCTGTACTGCTTCGTAGAGAGTAGACTGTCAGATCTCCCTGTAAAAGAACATTTATTGTGTGTCATTCCCCTCTCTCTCCTAGCATGAAGTTACAGTACAATCATACCTTCATGCAAAACTTGTGTGATTTCAACCTTGTGCAGGTGAAAGCCAGCCAGCTGAATTTGTGCAAATTAAGTGCACACAAGGCGGAGAACTTAAAAGCTCCCTTTGTGCATGGTTTTCCTGGACCTGAAAGAGCCTTTAAGCTCTCTGCCTTGCTGACCAGGCTCTGGGATGCTCTTGTGCAAGCTTTTAAGATGCTCTCATGAGATCTGACAGGAAGTTGGATGGCCTCTGAGATCTCATGAGGGGAGGGAAGTAGAGCCTTCAATGTGGAGTTCCTCAGGGTTCAATTTTGTTCTTTTTGGTGTTTAACATCTACATGAAACCACTGAGTGGGGTTATTCAGAGGTTTGGGGTATATTGTCAGCAACATGCTGATGCCACACAGCTCTACTCCTTTACATGTGCAAGTGTGGCAGTGGATGAGCTGGACCATTGAGTTGCCTTGGTAACAGACTGAATGAGAGCCAACAAACTGAAGCTCAATCCAGATTGAGACTGAGGCACTGTTAGTGGGCTGTTCCCTAGACCAGATGGATGGGAAGTTGCCTGCTCTTGTTGGGGTTACACTCCCTCTGAAGGTGTGGGTATGTAGCTTGGGGGTACTTCTGGATCCTTTGGTGTCGCTTGAGGCTCAGGTGGCCTCAGTAGTATGGAGTGCCTCCCTTCAACTTTGGCTGGTGGCCCAGCTGTGCCCCTATCTGGACAGGGACAGCTTAACCTCTGTACTCTATGCTCTGGCAACCTCAAGGTTGATTACTGCAACATATTATACGTAGGGCTGCCTCTGAAGATGATTTGGAAACTTCAGCTGCTGCAGAATTCAGCAGCCAGGTTGCTCACCAGGGCAAGACAGTTTGAGCATATTACACTGATCCTGGTCCAACTGCACTGGCTGTTAGTTAGTTTCCGGGCTCAATTCAAAGTGCTGGTTTTGACCTATAAAGCCTTAAAGGACTGCAATACCTCAGTGACTGCCTCTTGCCATACAAACTGAGCTGGACCCTGCTATCATTATCTGAGGCCCTTCTTCATGTGCCTCCTCCACAAGAGGTCTGGAAGATGGCAATATAATGATGATGATCCCAGAGCCCAGAGAGCAAGACAGAGAGCTTAAAAGGGGTAAGGAGCACTCAGCATGCCTGCTCCAGAAGCTAAGGATGGTCGCATGGGGGTGGTTCAAGTACACACTTTTTGCATATACACGCCATCCCCAGAATGTAACCCCTGCACAAGATGTGATCATACTGGGGCAACTATGTAAAGTGGACAGTCATTTAAGATTATTTGCAGCACTTCCTACAATATAGTCTTAAAAACAAGGTGCTTTTAAAAGCAATGTATCTATACAACCATTCATTACTACTACATCCTATAATTCTTTGCTTTATCATAATCAATATTGCAATTTAACCCTACATAGCTCTGAAAGGGACTTTTGCAGCAAAATACAGAATAAATAACGCAAACTGGGCCATTTTAGAAAGCTGTGTGCTGCTGCCACTACCACCTTTGAAATACAATGCCGAAGTCTATGCTGCGGGTTTTATTACTGATTTATGTAAGCAGCCACATGATGCAAGCTGCTCTCCTTACATTGGCTTGTCTGTTGGTGAGGCTCCTTGAGAAGGCTACAAAGAATGAGATGGACAACATTGGTGGTTTCATCAGCACTCTTCCCAAGTGTATTCTTCAGTTGCTCCAAGTCCTTATGAATATGCTGCATGAGAAAGCTCACTGGATCCTGAACTGGTGGCTTTATGATCTGTAGTAGGGACTTCAACAACAGAATGCAATATTCAGAGCAATCAATGTGTAAGCAAGTGTGTAAGCAAGGCATGCAGACTACCAGTCAAACAAAACCTGAGTTTTTGTACAAATCCATTAAGTGATCTTTGCATATCTTTATAGTAAAGACTCTTGGCTGCAATTGTGGGAACTAACATCTGCTATGATCTCCCCTTACATAATCCGAGGAGACTTGATTTTTCTAGTAACTCAGTTCTGAATAAATCTTCATCAGCTCCCTCCCATCAATGCATATCCTGTAGAATTGTATGGCAATAGTTTTCTTTTAAAAATACCTGAGGATTTTCTGTGGCTCCCAGAAGTAATGCCAAATGTGTGAGCAAGCGAATCAAAATTACGACAGCTGGTGACATCTCCCTCTCAGAGGCTATATTGCCTCCCCTTTTTTCAGGGTCTCCAAGAATATGGCCAGTTTGTGTCCTATCGTGCTCAGGCCTGAATGGAATAATGCATAGATAAGATAAAACTTTATTCACATTAGCCAATGGCCATAGCAACAGTAAAACATTACAGCAGTGTTTCCCAACCTTTTTTGGGCAAAGGCACACTTGTTTCATGAAAAAAATCTCGAGGCACACCACCATGCCAGATGGGGAAAGGTCACTTTTTACTTATGTAAAAAAAATAATAAAAAAATAGTAACAGCATAGAAGGTAATGGTTAGGCTAGCATCCCTCTTCCAAATATGCTAGGTTTTTATTTGCCGGGACTGTTCTACATGGGAAAGCATTCAGCACTGTCATTCTCCCATCTGCCATCTGAATTGGTACTATTCTGGGTCAACTTACTCTGCTGCATGTGTAGATGAAAATGGCACCAAGTGTGGGGGAGGGGGCAGAACAGGTTTCAGATACAGGATATTAAGCATACACGTACTTCAGATTGAACTGGTTGCTTGCTTTGCAAGTTTTCATTTCCCAAATGACTGCCTTGGCAAGCGCAATACCTACCAGGCTCAACGCCGGTCTCGCGCTGCCGCTTCCCGCGCTCTCAAGGACCCGGGAGGAGGAAGGCGTGAAGGGAATCCCGAAGGCGTGAAAACCTCGCGCATGCACAGGCCTTCCGCCTGCGACAGCCCAGTAGGCCGGCCGAAGCGAGCGGCGATGGGATGTGGGAGGGAGCTCGCTCGCCGCCCCGCGTGCAGGGGCGCCGACTTATAAAAAATATTGGGGGGGCCCATACCGGGGTCCTGCCCCGGGAAGTTTTCTAAATTTTAGATGAAAATTAGTGAGTTTTAAAGTATTTCGGCGGAGCCAGAGCGATTGGGGAGGAGGGGGCTTGTTGCCGGATTCTTCAGCTGGGCCGGAGATCCGCTGCTGGGGGGTCCCTGGGCCGAGTTGTGAGCACGGCCTGCTGAAGGGAGATCCAGCCGATTGCGCGACGGGGACGGCCGGGGCTCTCCGGCTAGGGCGCGCGGCTGGCTGGCTGGCTGGTGAGGGAGCAGGTGGGGAGGAGGCGGGGGGTATAACGTTCTCAAAATAAACCGGTGCGTAAACGCAGGTGGCGCTGTGGGTAAAAGCCTCAGCGCCTAGGGCTTGCTGATCGAAAGGTCGGCGGTTCGAATCCCCGCGGCGGGGTGCGCTCCCGTTGCTCGGTCCCAGCGCCTGCCAACCTAGCAGTTCGAAAGCACCCCCGGGTGCAAGTAGATAAATAGGGACCGCTTACTGGCGGGAAGGTAAATGGCGTTTCCGTGTGTGGCTCTGGCTTGCCAGAGCAGCGATGTCATGCTGGCCACGTGACCTGGAAGTGTCTCCGGACAGCGCTGGCCCTCGGCCTCTTGAGTGAGATGGGCGCACAACCCTAGAGTCTGTCAAGACTGGCCCGTATGGGCAGGGGTACCTTTACCTTTAAACAAAATAAGCAGATGCCCCTACCACAGTGCCAGTACTTTACTGGGTCTCTTAAATGCAAAATTGCAAGATCTTGATTTCCCACCACCACCTAAAGGGAAGGATATGAGATGAGCAATAGCTGCAGGGAACCTCCCGAGCTCAGGAACCTCGCCCTTCTTTAGCAAGACTGAAAGTAAGTGAGGATCCTGAACAGCTACGGGAGGTCAAAGAAGGGCGGCTGCAGGTCCCGAGGGCTGAAGGCGCCACAAAGACCAGCGCTGCTCTGCTCGCTCCCTCTGCTTTGCGCGCCCAGCCCCTTGCCCCGCAGAAGAGACCCGGGTGGTTGTCATGACAAACCCATTACCTCTTCTTAGGCCCCTCTCTCTGATTCTCGCGGGAGTGCGAATCCTAGCTTGGAAAGCCTTAGAACGGAGCAGCGCAGAAACGCAGATCCCAATTGGCCAAAACGGCTGCCACTCTATACGGGGGGCGGGGGACCGAGGGAAAAACGAGGGGAGCGCTCCGGAGCGGCACGCTCTAATAGCTTATCGACGGGAGTTCCTGGCCTGGCTAAAACTACAATTCCCAGCAAGCTTTGCAGCACGGGTTGCCTCATTGGTCCCAGCATGCAGCGCCTCTCCAATTACTGAGTGGGCAATAAAAAGCCGTACTAGGCGTGTGAGAGGCAGAATAAGGATGGGAGGCAAGTCAGCTTCGCCGCGGTCTCCTTTCAATAAGCATGACTTTCGAAACACCAGGCGTGCTTCTTTCTCGTCACGTCCAGCCTCGCTCGGTTCCCCTTCGTTCACACAATTTCTATCGGCCCGTGCGAAACTTGCGTGCCCTCCTCGGCTCTCCCCTCACCTCGTGCCCTTGGGCTTATCTCCTCTTTCCCAGAGCGCGCTTTCGGCGACCAACTCAGCGGAATGCTTCCTTCTCCTAATGGTGGCTGGGCGCGTCCGTCATCGGGAGAGGGGTGGGATCTGCGGGCTGGGAGAGGGCTTGGTTGGCTGCCTCGGGATTTGTGCCTCTCTTCGGGTTGCGCAGTCAGGTGGCGGGTGTGAGAGAGAGGGAGAGCCGGGCAGGTTGCTCCTCTCTCTTTATCTCTCTCCGCCCACACGCGCCTCCCCCACCCCACTCCGCCCGAGTCCGTGTGCCTATGTGGGGCACGTTACAGCCCCGTGACGTCAGCGCCACGCAGGCAGCCAGGCAGGCAGATGGCGAGAGCCCCGCGCTGGGCGGCCTCTCCTCGCCGCCCCGCCTCTCGCCGCCCGACTCGCCCGCCTCCCTCCAGGCAACATCTCGCGGCACACCAGGCAACGTCTCGCGGCACACTAGTGTGCCGCGGAACACCGGTTGGGAAACACTGCATTACAGTATACACAGAAAAGGAAATTTGAAATAAGAGCACAATTTAAAGTCCTGAATCAGCCGTCAGTTAGTGGCCCTTATTCTGATTGCATAATGCATAGTGAAAGTGCATGCTTCCTACAAAAAAAGAGATTTAAGATCTATGATTTGCAGACAGTGTGAGCCAGTAATTGCTATCTCATGGGATGATCGATCTAAGGTTACAAAAGGCAAGGATTCAACTTATAGGGACATACTGGCATGGTTTGCAAATAACACTAATTGAAAACTTATTAATCAATAATTTAATTAGAATTCCAAGAGTTGGAAATAAAAACCTACAAAGTTTTCTCAAATCCTGGCAATGCCTTGTGGTTGTCACCTCCGATTGGCTCATTACAATCAACACATCGATCAGTTTCCATAGGAAGACCACACTGGAAGAAAGACAAGAGCAAACATTACAACCAAAGTAGCTCAACCTATTTGGCTCTGCTTACCATGAAGTCCGTTACCAGCATGAGTTTGAGCAAACTGCGGGAGGTAGTGGAGGACAGAGGTGCCTAGCGTGCTCTGGTCCATGGGGTCACGAAGAGTCGGACACGACTAAACGACTAAACAACAACAACAAACCATGAAGTCCAACTGACCCATGGTCAAGATATGTCTCCCCTTCTCCAAGTGTGTAAGCAACTGTGAAAACTCCCATATTTAGTTTGCCTACAAGGAAGTCTTAAAGCAGGATATAATGCAAAGAGAAAACAAATACAGACAAAATACAGCACAAATGGTAGTTAAGGTGATAAACTTGATCAAGGACATGATTAGTGAAAGCTCTTACCTCTCCAACAACGCAGGGGTGGCCATTTCGACATGCTAATTTGAGGAGGGAGGGGAAAGTAGAGTCAGCATAATGGTACAGTGAATGGAACACAGAGCCACTCTAAGCTACACTCTGGCAGTCTTCCCTTACCCTCCATGTGTTGTTGGATAACTTAAAACCATACCCCAATTTACAGATAGTTCCCACTCCCTCCTTCTCTTGCTCCATTTTATTATTTACACTCTGCCTGAGGACAGTTGCTAAAAAAAATGAATCCTAGCAGACGTACCCCCTCTCATTTTTTTCTCATATTTTGTATATCCATGCAGATAGCAGCTAAAGCTGAAACCTAGGATGGGCATGACAAGTAAAGAGCCTATTGGCTTGGTATATAAAACCCAATGTCTTTATAATTGCTCATAACAAAATTGTACATTATGTGGTCTGAGGCAAGTAATCAAAATATATTACTTGAAATGCATTTGCTAGTTGGTTGGTTGGTTGGTTGGTTGGTTGGTTCTTCCATTCCTCTGAACTTGACTCCCCAATCCCTTCCATAGTATGGAATGATATGTTATTTATATGATAGATGGGCTAGTACAGTATAATTTGACTAAAGAATATGATATCTGGAAGCAGCAAGTTTTCATGTTCCTTAATTTTCACTTTCTGGAAAACACCTCTGGAGAAATAGCTCTCTCTAGCTCACTCCCAAGACTGAACATGATACTTACTATACCAGGTTAATCTTTCTGTTTTCAGACACTCCCTAGCTTGAGCAACTATGTCTTCAGGCATTGTTGGAAGAAAAGCTTTCTGCAGAGAGAGGTGAATCAAAGCGATATTACTACAACATACAATGGAATATTTTCTTATGACTATGGCCAAATTGATTCAGAGGTCTTGTTAACAGCTCACTCATTTGTTCAAGTAACCAAGGAGGACACATTTGAGATACTAAAACAGGAGTAGCCAATGTTGTGTCCTACAGATGTTGCTGAAATGCACCTCTCATCATCTCTAGCCAATGTTGGCTACCACTAAAACATGCTGGCCACCAATAGAAACATAAGTACTTAAGATCAGGCCAGTTGATCTATCTAGTCCAGCATCCTGTTCTTACAGGATGCTGTGGGAAGTCTGCAAACTGGACATGAGAACAGCTGCACTCTGCCGACCTGAGATTCCCAGCAGCAACTGTTAAAAGGAATACTGTATCTGACAGTGGAGGTAAACCACAGAAATGGCTAGTAGCTGTTGATGGATTTGTCCTCTATGAATTTATCTAATGCTCTTTTAAACAGGACAAGGGAGACAACGAACTGTATTCTTGAAGTGGCTTTTATGTAATTTGCAAACTTAAATATAATGTGGAAATTAACAGTTAGGGAAACATTGTGAAAGTAGAATAAACTGCCACATGAATGCAATCTTAATGTTTTGATCAATGTGCTCCTTTAATTCTTTTAGCATCCTTTACTGTCGGCTTGTTTGCACTTTCTTTTGCCAATGTTTGTGTTCCTTTTTGTTCTCTTCATTTGAACAAGCCTTCCTTTTTTTAAAAAAAAGGCAGCTTCTTGCCTCTTAATTGCTTATTTGCTCGTTATTCATGCTGATAACATTGGCAGTTTGAATCTGCGTGATGGGGTGAGCTCCTGTCTCAGCTCCTGCCAACCTAGCAGTTCGAAAGCATACCAATGTGAAAAGATAAATAGGTACTGTTGTGGCGGGAAGGTAAATGGTGTTTCCATGCATCCGGCACTTGTCATGCTGTTCCATGTGCCAGAAACAGTTTAGTCATGCTGGCCAAATGACCTGGAAAAGCTGTCTGCAGACAAATGCTGACCCCCCTCGGCCTGAAAAGTGGAGATGAGCACTGCACCTCATAGTCGAATTTGACTGGACCTAACTGTCCAGGGGTCATTTACCTTTTTACCTTACCTTATAGTACCTTTTCTGATATGCAGTATATACTCCAGTTGAGCTTCTAACTCCCAAGAATTTTGGAGTGAGTTAAAATCACTTTGCCTTTCAGCCTCTTTTTGGTGAAATTTCCTCTTTTGAAATCAAATGTGACCGCGTTGGCTCATCTTAGCTATTGGCCATTTATATGCATGCTTAGTTTAATAGGCCTATGCTCAATCTCCCACAACACCTACATTTTGCATCAGGTCCAGAACGCCGCTCAAGATTCATGGCCAACTGTTCTAAGGCACATTCATTTAGGATATCTAGAAATGTTACCTCATTGCATACCATCGGTTCCTCCAAAATAACACAATGGGAAATGCAAGTAAAGAAGTAATGAGTGCAGGAACTGATGGGAATTGCAAAGGAAAACGGAACATTCACTACTTTACCTGCATGGTATGAGGTGAGAATGCCAGATTCCTTAGAGGTTCAAGGATTCGATTCTGGCCAGACAGCAAGACAGCAGCAGTGTGAATTGCCATTTCAATCACTACCCTCTTGTGGCTGGAATCTTGGGGGCTCAGTGCCAGTGAGGGGAGATGGTTATCCATCAGAGATTCAGCAAATCTCTCCAGCTCTGGAGAAGGAAGAACGCTGGAGCTCTGGATGAACTCCTTGATAACATCACGTTGCTGAAATAAGAAGGAAATTATTTTACAAAAAGTAAGGTGAGATTTGACAACTAGACTCACTGCAATGGATTTTCAAATGAAAGTTGGGGAAAACGACAGCCTTTGCTCAGTTCTATAATTGATATTCTAAATCTTCCTCTCTCCTAAGGAAGCAGCACTTGTGCACAAGGCAATATGCAAACTGGCACCAAGGCAAAGACATTTACCTTCTGCTTCGGATGAAGACTTGGCTCCTTGCATCCATACAGAGATGTGAACTCTCTGAAGACAGCCAAGAGAAAATGAACAGCCTGGGAAGACTTGGAGCCATTACTTTCCTGAAATCAGAATGTGGAGAGGAGAAGAGGGCAAGAAAGAGAGATTACCAAGAGTCTTTAGCTAGCAGCAGTCATGGATATTACTGCTGGGCATTGCAGAAAACAAAAAAGTACCAGATCCCAAATATTTTTAAAAGTGCATTGGTCCAAATATATCTATAGAATATATATGTGTGTGGCCAAAATGGAAACAAAAGGCACGCCTTTTGTAAAAGGTTTCCTAAAACTTCCAATTTGGTAGTCAATAAGGTCCTATCAGCTATAGCGAACATATTTCAGTTTGCCAAATTTCTCCATGTAGGTAGCCCCACCCCAATATGGAACACAATATATAAAAGCACACTATGAAATGGCACTGTGAAGAAAATCAGCCACTAATAATGATTTTATAGTAGTGTCAATGTTTCTAATATGACATGCAGTACACTGAAGCTCAGATCCTATTTGCTAGCCTTAACATTCCAGTCAATGCAATAAAGGTTTGCAATCTGTTAAGCCCTGGGAGAGAGTATCAGAATACAGCTTGGGACAATTTAAAGGTAAGTACGAAAACCACTTTAATACAGCCCAGATCTAGAAGGAAGGAAGGAATGGAAAATCACCAGAAGCACATGAAATCCTAAATGCTACAAAATCAGAGACAGTCCTCTTTAGGTCAATATGGAAGAGCCGTTTTGGCCAGAATTAAATAGCTGTACCTTCAAGGCTGCTGCAATGCCATCCGCCTGGCATTTTATCACTGCTTTTCCCAAAGCATCACGCACCACTTTATAGTTCTTGCCATGTACCAGGAAGTGATCAATCAGACTGGAGTGAGATTTCTGAGGCACAAAGCACAAAAAGTTAGTTGTTTAAAGCCTAAACAATGTATAGCATGTGATACAACTGAATATCAGACATGAAAACACTGTTGCTTAAAAAAAACAAAAGAGGGCATGAGGTTGGGGGAAGAAAGCTGAGAGGAGGGAAAGGGACTCTGCTGTTCTATTATAGCAATGTGTAAAAACCATAACAAACCATAGATAAGAAATATGTAAACATCAAAGCAAATTGTATGAATATCATATCACTATGATAGGATCCATGGGTCATTCAGTATGAACTCTTTGGTACAAAGCAGGATACACTATACTTAAAAGCATCTCTGAAAGATGCCCTTGTCATACCTTGATTCCATTTAATCACTACCCTCTCTGGGCAAGTCATCACATTCTCAGCCTAAGCAAAACACATTCGTTTTTAAAAATAAATCCCCCTTAACATACACACCATTTGACCATTTCTACTTTATCCAAACTACTGCTCAAGAATTAATAAGATGGTAAGTGCTCAAGATAGAGCTGTACTACCTGTTGAATTATTTCTGCTGGAAATATCCAGTTAAACTCGGATTCATTAGAAAGTCTCTGTGTGAACTCCATCCCATGTTGTTTAGTAAGTGTGCGGATAAGGTAAACTCGGTACCAGTCATTTTGAATCTGATTGCAGAACTGCTTCACTTTTTGCAGGTAGTGTTGCTTCTCTGTTTCTTGACTACTAGCTGGAGAGAGAAAGGAAAAACGAAAATGCTTCCGAATTATGCTAAGCTATTAATACCCAACACGTTTCTGTCCGCTCTGGCTTCCATCACAGTGCTCCGTTGTGCCAGAAAGCCACTCCCGACATCAGGAGGGGGTGGTTTGCAGGCTCACGCCCACCTTCATCCACGTGGGGCTGGTTGCAGCCCCGTGCGATCTAGGGAATCCTCGGGCCGCGTCATTCCCTGGGCCAGCCAAACGGCTGGCTGCAGGGGCGGGGCTTGGGGTAATTTAAGGTCAGTGCGGCCCGAGAACACCCCTTTCCTTCTTCGATTCAGCTGCAGTTGAAGATAGTCTGATAGGACCAATGCCTAAAGCCAATACCGCTCTTACCTGTAATCAATAAAGTTGTGGCCATTTTTCGCCCATTAACCTTAGATTCTGGTGTCCTGTGTCTTTATTTCTATCTGACTGGGGGGGGGGGAGAGAATCGCCACCCAAGCGGTTTAGTCATGCTGGCTACATGACCCAGAAAGCTGTCTGCAGACAAACGATGACTCCCTTTGCCTGAAAGCGGAGAAGAGCGTCGCACCCCATAGTCATCTTTGACTGGACTCAACCGTCCAGGGGTCCTTTACCTTGACCCAACACTTTCAGAAGCACTGAGAACAACAAAAATCATACAAAGCTTTGCATTCAAAAGAGAGCACAAATCTACTGGTAGGAAAAAGACAACTACAGAAGCACAGAACCAGTATTTCGTTTTTCTGTTAAATATGGACACAAAGGATAAACCCATCCTGTAATTCATCTAGCGGCAGGAACTCTTTCATACACCAGTTATTTGGTACTTATTTTATTCCGGTTTAACAGAATCCCACTTGCCTGAAGTTTCATGAAGTTCAAAGAGCAGCTGTGCAGCCCTATCCATACACAGGCGGGTGTGGGCCACTCCCTGCAAGTACTCAATGGTGACTTTTTGAGAGGTTTCATGGCTGCTCCTGCTTTGCTTTATGTAGTTTGTTAGGAAGCGTCCATCTTCTCTCAGGCAGTTTGCCTTGCTTTTCTCTGAGGAGGCTCCCAATTTCTCACACAATGAATCCTGAAAAATGAAACATAATGTTTTCCACTTATTGCTCACCATTGCTCACCATACCAATCTTTGATAAATCTATTGAATGAAGCATTTCTTATTACTGCGTGCATTGACACTGCTAGAAAATAAAGTGCTCAGGGCTTTTCCACATTTCCCCTTGTCCTATGCCTAGAAAGTATAGGTCCAAACAGTTTTCTGTTTGTCCCATGCTTTGTAGGCACAAATCCGAGAGGTTCTGCCTTTGCCTTGCCATGGAAAACCAGCTCTTTGGTGCTAAATCTGAACAAACAGCAATCTGTAGAAAACCCAGTTGCTGTTGGTTCTGATTCAACTCTAAACTGTGGGTTTTCCCAGGGGGAAGTGGCAAATGGAGGTGTGGATAAGCCATTAGTGTTAAGTTGTGGGTGAACACATCAGACGACACAGTAATTCTTCAAACAGCTCTTGTTTATTCACAGACCCAGAACAGAACTGAACTGAAGGGTTCAGCCAGCCTGCTTATATAGAGCTCCACTACAACGCAACAGTAACAACTTTCTGTAACTATCCAATCATTGAATGTCTCATTCAATTCCTTATTTGCATATGGAGACCTGAGTGAAAACTATCTACAGTATCCCCCCTGCTGGCCCAGGGTGAGAACTTCAGTACATAACACTTAATATTGTAGGGAGAATCTTATGTGACCCTAGTCATCCACTTCAGAAAGCAAAACTTGCAGAGGCATCTGAAACCTTGGCTGGGAGGACATAATTATTTGATTTTGTCATGCCCATATTGAAGGCTCTAAGGAATGGCTTCCCTTTCAGATGCTTTGCTTTTACCCTTCTTTAAGCAGTATGGTTAATTAGGCAGGGAAGGTTTTCCTAATTGTTCTTTATTCAAGTTTCACTTAAGTGGGGGGAAAGGGCCACATGAGCTTTAAGTACTAAGAAGCATACCACATATTTCCAAATATTCCTCAAGCAGAACTCACTTGGTCACAATAAGGCACAGCAGCCTGTTCACTTGTTTTTCTTACTGTAGCTGCTTCTCATTTTTCCACAGAAGACAGTGGATCGTTGCAATTTATTTGACCAGATAGGCAAAAAAATCTAGTCTAATCAGTTGCTCTCCTGTACATGTATACAGGCAGAGCTGACCTTATAGATGCCACATCTCTGTTTCTGAAAACCCACACAACCTGAGACTTTGGCAAAGCAAAAAGAAACTGAAAGTATACAGGGAGCACAACACAGGTCTTACAGAAACCTTCCTCAATCTGGAAACTTTCAGACAACTCCCTTTGTCCCTGGCAATTGGGTCATGCTGGCTGAGGCTGATGGGAGTTCAAAACATCTGGAGGTACCTTGAAAAGTTATGGGGAAAATATACTTACCTCAAGGCAGCTGGCAAACAGCGTGTACAGTACTGTCTTGTCTTCTTTGTCTAGGTTGCATATTGATTCTGCTTCCGATAAATATTTTTGAACATGGACTTTCACATCATTGAAACTATAGAAAAAGAGAAACCTCCCCTTATTAATGAACAAGGCACATGCTTTTCTATTCTAAAAATGAAAGGAGACCTCCACTATCAGAAGTATGCATTCAGATGAAGTTGTACAACAGGGCTAAGGGGGAGAGCCTTCAGAGTTTCAGAAAAGCAATAGCTGAACTCATATGAGGACCACTACGACATCAAGGAAATCAGAGCAGGTATCAGTGGGGTGAACACTGAAGGAGAAGCAGGGTATATAGCTCCCAACTTGCACGCCCCAGATAAAAGTCCCTTACCTGTATTTTAGAAGCAACTTTAGCACCACAGAACGGATTACAGGGGTTTTATCCACCACATCGTTAAAGGGGGATAGAGTTTTTGTATACACACTGTAGTTATTTGAACCTAAAGAAATAATGAAACATGGTACAGAGACATGAAGAAGTCAATACGTTCAGAGTAGGGCAAATTGCTGGGAGCACATGAATATACCTTTCAAAGGCGGCTTGTGAACAAACAGGAGGTTCAGCAGCTCTTGGATCACAGCTTTTTCTGGGGGCTCATTGTCTTTGAAGCACATAGTAGAAACCAGCTCTATGAAAAAACTGTTGCAACACTTGCGGAACCGGGTCATTTTTTTAATGGCAACACTGTGGTGGTGGAAGAGAATTGGGGAGAATTACTTATCTAGTTGACTGCAGAACTTACATCACATAGTTTGTGGGCAATGCTAAAAATGCATGGCCAACAGAGTGTTATAAGCTGGACCTACAAATAAGGTCCAGTTTAGGGGTCAATCCAACTAGCCATGCCTTCTTGCAGGATACACCATTTCATTACACATTGGTATGTTTTGAAGGGTTGCTCCTTAAGGCATTTTTCTAAAGGTTTTATGTACTTTTGCAAACCTTGGGGTTCCCCTGAACCTGTAAATTTCACCTTGTTGTTTGTGAATTATGCCATTTTAGCTACCCAAAGATCGTCCCCGCTCCAACAAACATTGATAATAGAGGGAATGATTAAATCCTCAGAAATTAAGGGCCAGAAGCTGAAATTATCACTAGAACTACCAACTGCTGTGGGATATAAATGCAATCAATCCAATCAATCAATCAATCAATAAGGCATTACCGGATCTCCTCAGATACTTTGGGAGAATAGTCATCTGGTAGTTCAACTTTGCAAAATGGACAGCACATCTCTCCTGGTACCAGCCATTGTTTTATGCAATGATGACAATACACATGATCACAAGGAAGGTGGATTGGCTCCCTAGGATCTTCCAAACAAATTGGACATGGCCTCAAACCATAACTGTGAATACAATACAAACATGTATGTGGGTTTAATGTATATTTAATTATAGCTCACTGCCCAGGTCAGCAACAAGAAAACAGGCTTAGGAGCTACATGAAATTCTTTGACTGTTCCATTGCTGTTCTTGAGTCATCATAAGTGCCTATATATTTTGCAGTTACTGGCATTCTACCCAAGATGCCTATATACCAAGTGCTCCTTTGACTATGAGTTGGCAGGTCTCAAGGCACACAAGAGGGATGGGTGCTGCTGCTGACATGTCTGAGGCAGTTACAGCAGGGTGGGAAGGAAGGAAGTGAGGAATGGGAGGTTTGCAGGAATGCTACTAGGCAGAACCGGCTTACTGGGCAAAATAGCAAGATGTGTGTATGGGGTGTGTGTGATGTTAGTAGCCAAGGGGAAGAATGAGCCAAAAGGGTGGGTTGGTCCATGCAGTCTATACGGCATGTTCCAAAACATACAAACAATCATGGAGTTGTACTCTTACATATAAAATGTCTGGTGTTCCATCTGTCTAAAGCTCCTCCCAGTGGCAGAGTTTCAAGCTTCGGAAGGGGGGTGGGGTGGAGAGAAGGTCGGGGCATGGCTGGCACGCGTCCCAGGGGGGTGGTGTGCATCCCGGGGGCGTGATGCGCCGCCTGTAGGGGTGTGGCGCCCAGCGCAGGGGGGAGGAGCAGCCACGATGGCACGCCACCGGGATCGTGCCGCTGGGGGTGGTGTGCTCCCCCCACACCCCTGTTCCTCCCCCAGTGTCTCCTCCTGCAGTCCCTGACCTCTTGGCATCCATGCGTGGGCACTGAAGCTGGGGGTGGGAGCAAAAGGCAAATGCCTCACAACATACCCAACACCTGTCTGTTGCTGTGGCTGAGCGATTAAGAAACTACTCCTGTTCTTTTACCTCTGTCATGACTGGTTTTTTTGCTAGGCATGCAAAAGGTGCGTGGGGCCATATTACCCCTTCTCCCATGTACTCTGCCCTGTTTGGTGAGCCACTCCCTCACAGCAGGTCTGTAAGCCCTGCACAGGGAGCTATGTGAGTACTGTGTTAAGAGGACTCTCATTTCTTCCCTTAGTGCACTATGTTCCAAGAGTGCATGTGAGCATGAAGGGACTTGAACCACTGGCTTGCAGGGATGCCTGAGAATTTGCACTAGTAGACGATGGATTAAAATTAAGGGGTTAATTGCGGCAAGGGGAAATTTAAAGAAATTAAATAATATTAAAATTAAGTCAAAAGTAAGGGAAGAATTTGCAGACAATCTTTTAAGAAATTAGAATACTGAAAGGGGAGGTATGAGGAAGTCGGGAAAGTAAGTCACAAGAAAGAAAAATTAGAATTTACACGTGTTTTTTGCTTGTATTTTTCTTCTATATTGTTTTATTACTTTGTTTTCTTTTTTATTTGTGTTCCGTATAAATTTGTGAAAATCTGAATAAAAATTTACTTTAAAAAAAAAGAGAGAATTTGCACTAGTGAGGTCATTTGGGCTTGGTAGTGGCGTTTCTCTCCCCTTCCTAATCATAACGAGTACAGGATTACATAGCCTGCCACCAATTCCAGGATCCAAGGGGAACCGAAAAGGCACTCTCATAAAATGGAATGGGCTCATCCCAAAGGCATTACCTGCAAAACACTGAACTGGCATCCTCCTTGCACTGACATAGGATATCCATGACTGCACAGAATGTGTTATGGGTTTTAATGTCTGAATCCCCTTGAAAACACTAAAAAGAACAAAAGCAATAGTATCACATTCCAAAAGTGAAGTTTAAAAGTATAGGAACATACAGATAAAACTATCCTGTTCCACTAGGTTCTAAACACTTATCACCACAGTAACTACAATAACACTGCTCTGTTATGGTCTTTGTGTTGAATGCTTTTAATACTGGTTTCAATACAACAATTCTCATGTTTTATGTTATTTGCCTTCTTGAATTTTCGAGTATGTTGATACTCTGTGTTAAAAAAATAAAATAAAAAGGATGTTGCTTACTTCCTTAGTACAATAAAGAGATGCTTTGCACCAAGTGAGAATAGAGTTCTTACTTTTCCAAGGCGTGAGGTGAACTTTTTTACCAGGTTCTTCACCTCTGGAATCTGCATTTCTACTCCAAGGAGCACATGTTCCATGAAGAGGGACAGTGAGAAAATCCTATTCCATTGGCTCCTGTGTTGAGGAGGAAGTCCAAAATTAAACAACCTGCCCAGCTCTTCAGAAGAATGTTTGCACAAAAACAGCAACTTGAGAAAACGTGTGACCATTTTTGAGGAAGATGGAGCTTAGATAGAAATTGCAGGTGGATGAGGTGGAATTACAGGAAATCAAAACATAAACTTGAATATTAATCAAGGTTGCTGGCAATCTCACATAGTTCTACCCATTAGAACTCCTTAAATAAGATCTTGTATCAAGATTGTATCAAGGAAAGAAAGCAAAAGGCTTTGGCCAGTCATCTCCCAAATTGTTGGTTTAATACTGGGAATTAATGGTCTTTACAGTGGTACCTCGGTTTTCGAACAGCTTAGTTCTTGAACTACTTGGAACCTGAATACATCAAACCTGGAAATGAATTGTCCGGTTTTTGAACTTTTTTTTGAAGCCGAACATGCTCCGTTCTGAGTATAACTTCCATTTTGAGTGCCACACTTCCGTTTTCCGGCAAGTGAGCAGGCAGCCACTGCCACAACAACCACCCACTCCTCCAGCAGTCCCGGAGCTGAGTGAGAGAAGGCTGAGCCGGGTGGCAAGCGAGCAGGTAAGGGATGTCACCACCACCACCCAGCTTGCTCTTGCTTGCAGCAAGTAGAAGTGGGAGCAGGGCTGCTCCGATAGGCAGTGCGAAGCCTCCCTTCCCAGCTGAGAGATCCCACCCCTGCTCCTGCTTGCACAGAAGTAGGAGTGGGATCGGACAGCTCAGCTGGGGAGCACCTGGCTGCCTTCAGGTGGTGCAGGGGCTCTTAGATGCAGTCTGCCTCCACTTTCCCTGACCCCAGCAACTATTCAGCCCCACTGCCTTCAGGTGGTGCAGGGGCTCTGAGGCTGAGGTGGGGGCTCCTTTGAGAACCATGGTACCACTGTACTTGGCTTAAGAGAAAGCAAAGATCTCTTTCCAGTCGCCTGTAACATATCTAGCATCTCATATTTAGCTAAGAAAACCAGAGTAGAAAGATGATACAGAATGTTGAATAAAATATTTCTCTGCATGTCCTGTCCTCTAACATTCCCAAACATCTTCCTGCCTCAGAAATCCATGTTGACTTAATTTAAGGTCCTCTGATAAAAACTCCTTGTTTTGCGGGGGAGTTTATTTATTATTATTTATTAACTTTTTATGCCGCCCTTCATCTGAAGATCTCAGGGTGGTTCACAGCATAAAAATACAGAATGAAAAACATGAAATACATAGTAAAAACAAGAACATTCACATGTTGCTCATTCCAAGCAAGAAGATTGTGTTTGCAAGTACAGTCATACCTCGGGTGAAATACGCTTCAGGTTGAGTGCTTTCGGGTTGCGCTCCGCAGTGACCCAGAAGTAACAGAATGCATTACTTCCAGGTTTCGCCGCTCACCCCTGCACAGACGGTCAAAATGACATCACGCGCCTGCGCCGAATCGCAACCCATGCAGGCACGGGTTACATTCACTTCAGGATGCAAACGGGGATCCGGAACGGATCCCGTTCATATCCAGAGGTACCACTGTATACACAACTACAGGGGATGGAGTGGCTGAGTCTGTTTGCCTCAACGCAGATGGCAGCCTGTCTTTGGTGATGGCACCTGAGTCCAACTCTCCAGTGCTTCCTCTACCTCCAGTTTGGTCCATGTGACCTACCTGAGTTCCTGGAGCAGCTGGTCACATCGGCTCCCATTGCTTTGAATGTAGTTTGCTGTACACACAAGTTCAATTGGCATTTGAAGCTTCTTCACCTGCTGCAGCCACGTTTGAGATCTGCAGTTCAACAGTTTTTCTTCCAACATCTCAGTGCAAGCAATTGCAGCAAGCACATCCAGAACCTAAGCAATCAGGCATGAACAGGGCTTTAATACAGACATGGACAATAAATAATAGTAACATTTATTTCATTTTAAAAAATCGGGTGTGAAAAATCAAGTTATGACTCTTCTCCCTTCATTAAGCAGAATAAATTATTCAACTGCCAATCTGGAAAATGTGAGAACCTGCTCTCAAGCCGAACTATGACTATCCACATTCCTAACTCAATAAGCAGATCATGACTCTTCTGTATTAGCCTCAATGTTCATAGCTGACTTCCCTTCTGATTATATCAATAGAAAAGGTGAAAAACATTTCCACTTTGTTTTCTATTATGGGGTGTTTTTTGGGTTTTTGGCAAAACAGAACAGACACATTACTTTAGTCTTTCTTTTTAAGATGTGCATTTTATTCCTCACTTGCTAAATTTACATTAAACTTTTTACACCTTGTTTAGTAAGGAATTTTCATTGGAATCCTACTTCATTTGTAAGCTTTCCCTATCATAGATCAATCTAATTCCTGCACTTGTAAGGAGACTGTGGTTTGTGCTGATTGTACGTATTTACACAAGAGACTAATTATCAGAGCATCAAAGAACAAATAAGACACTAAATGTTAAAGCCTTGTGTGACTTTTAGCAATCACCCTTAAAAGATATTATCATTTTCCCTAACATTTTAAAAACACACCTTTTCTAGTAGGACTAAAATATTACCACCCACCCAATATGATTCCTACCATTTGGCGATGCAAGAAGCTGTCTCCTTTCTCAATATGTTCTGTGAGAGAATTGGACACATCAGGGTACACAGCAAGAATCCTGGAAAGGTTTTGCAGACGACTCCTAAACTGACGGTAACAAAGATGGATAAAGGGGAGGGGCAGTGCCCTCTCTTCTGCATTGGAAGAAGCAGCCTTCATTTCCTCCATACATGACAAGAGAGCTGTCTGCAGCAACTAGAAATTGAAAAACAATGTCACTGGAAGCAAATCTTGTGCGGTAATATCTACAGATTCTTATGTAGGTGAGACTTTTATCTTTAGAATTGTAACACATTCAGGAAAACTGTTTCAATCACAAATGTTTGTATTACTGGGGTAAAATGTATCTCACCCCACAGGTACCTGCAGGAATTTTTCTTACTTTTGTTTACAGCAGTTGGGTGTGTACACTTTGGAGCTAGTTTACCTGAAAACGCATTTCAAAGTTTAATTTTTGGCGAACTCATCTGAACACAGAAGACAGACATTAAACCTCCTTAGATGCAAATGCCTTGCTTAGGCTGCTGTCATTCCATAGATGCAAATGCCTTGCTTAGGCTGTTGTCATACTGTAGGGAATTTTCCAGTAGATAGAAGGTAGAATCAAAATAAAGTAGGAGGGGATATTTTGTGCATTGATCTACTTGCCATGCTACTGTAAAATGAAAGTGAAGGGGAAGAAACCCCTCTAGTGTTGTAATGATTTCAACTCAAAGAAACACCCCCAAGGGTTGGAAGTCGAAATCACGTTTTTAAGTCATCCTAAGGGATAAATCCAGGACAGGAGGTTATATGTGCAGGCGTATTTAAGTAGCTACACCTCAAGATCCCCGAGCTAATGCAGTGAGAGAATACTGAACATGAAACAGCTAGGACAGGGAAGTGGGATCAAAATCCTACTTGTTGAGATCTAATAACATGAGCTTTCAAGCAGTCTGGAATTTTCTTCATTCAGATAAAACAAATGTGTGCAATCACCATCACATTCCATATCTGTGTGATATTCATCTACTTTCATGATAATCAAATGCCAGCCATATGCTGCTGAAGTATGTGTTTCAGTCAAACACTACAGCACACAACTCCTGGGCATTACAACTGGCACACACACTGTTCTAAGCATCTTGATGTCTCGTGTTGCGGTACTTACCTTTAGCTCTTTATGAGAAGAAACGCCCATTGTCAGGAGGATGAAGTCTCTGACGTAACAGTGAAAAAGGTGCTCCCTCTCTTCCTCAGGGAGATCAGCAATATATTGCCCCAGTGGTTTCTTCTGAAAGATGCTTACAAATCTGTCTGTAGGACAACAGTAGAATGGGAATATTTAAGTTATATGAGAATCTTAATTACTATAGCATCTCACCAGTGCTACTTTATTAAAGCATGTTGCTGTATAATTTTCTTATCAATTTCCCATAACACTGGAGACTGCTTTGTTGTTTACAGTGGCTGGTCAAGATTCCCTGCTAAATCTCCTAAACTATCTATTTTAATATAAAACCTGGCATGCCAAGTCTGGGTAAAGATTTGAGCAGGGGGCAGAACTGTGTCTCATTTTAGCAATGTTTTTAGTAGTCATCAGTACCCCAAATTATTTTTAGCAAGACCCCTCAAGCCATAACAAGCTGCTTCTGGCTATTTCCATATGGGAGGGGACAAATAATCCCTCAATGAATGAAAGTGTTGAGGGGGTCCACAGAGCTGTAGAGGCTAGCCTCACATACTGCCATTCTCTCACACCATCCCCATACTCCCCTCACAAATGTTTGTCAGAGAGAGTTTTCCCAGGTTATAGATGCATGTGTAGAAAGCTCATCTACACATGAGGAGAGACACAAGCCAATCCGGGATCCCTCCTACTGGTAATTCTCTGTGTGTTCCCTCTGGATTCTCACCTTCATTACCAGGGATGTATTGAGCTTGAATCCAAAGATCTTCCAAATAATCTTTTATCTTCCAGCTGAAGGGCATTTCATTGCCAGCACCTGTTGATTTCTTAAAGTAGCTCTGCACCAGAATAGTCTCAGTTTGGGAACTGGGCAAGACACAGGCAAATTAAGTTAGCAAGCTAGAGATATCCCATTACTAAGCAGGAAGCTAAATGTTTTGTTTCAGCACTTAGAAAGAAGCAGGGAAAGAGTTATGTTTACCAATCCTTGAGTTTTGATCTCTCAAAAAAGCATTTGATAACCACAACATTATTCCTTTAAGGAGAGGAAAACAGCAGCTAGATCTGGCTCGTAAGTCATGCCCACTGAGAAATGTGCTGCCAAAGGACTGGAATAACTCTTACAACGTATGGCAAATATAAAGCTAAATTAATAGAACACGCCAACAAAGGTCCGTATAGTAAAAGCCATGGTTTTCCCAGTAGTGATGTATGGAAGTGAGACTGGACCATAAAGAAGGCTGATCGTCGAAGAATTGATGCTGTTGAATTATGGTGCTGGAGGAGACTCTTGAGAGTCCCATGGACTGCAAGATCAAACGCATCCATACTTAAGGAAATCAGCCCTGAGTGCTCACTGGAAGGACAGATCGTGAAGCTGAGGCTCCAATACTTTGGCCACCTCATGAGAAGAGAAGACTCCCTGGAAAAGACCCTGATGTTGGGAAAGATGGAGAGCACAAGGAGAAGGGGACGACAGAGGACGAGATGGTTGGACAGTGTTCTCGAAGCTACAAACATGAGTCTGACCAAACTGCGGGAGGCAGTGGAAGACAGGAGTGCCTGGCGTGCTCTGGTCCATGGGGTCACGAAGAGTCGGACACGACTAAACGACTAAACAACAACAACAACAACAATAGAACACGTGATGTAAGAAGACATAAGATACTTGCCGAAGGGGTAGAGGGAGGTCAGAAGCTCGGCAGAGCTAAAGGTAACTATGTGACATATGTGTATCATAAGTGTATGCTTAATGAAAATAATAAAAAATTATTGGCAGAGAGAGAGAGAGAGAGAAATGTGCTGCCAAAACATCATGGCATACAACTGGCATGTTTTTTTGTTTTGTTTTTTGGGCTAACCGAATAAGCAGCTTTCAAGATAAGTCCCTCACATGGAATCAAAATCACATTCACCATTCACATTTTTGCAAGGCATCAATTCATTGGCAACCATTCATGCCTTCTTTATGCCACTTACTTGTTCTGGCCCATAATGTAAGGGATGTCCAGCAGCTTGAGATCATTAAAGATGAATAGCCACAGAGCTTTCACACACTTTTCTGTTGTTGGTCTGACCAATAGGTCCAGGTTGCAGTCACTGTCTAGGACAGACAACATATAGGCCATAAATGGAGTCACCACACTCTGGACCCGCTTCCACAGGGTGTCTCTGCAAGTGTCAAGAGAGGTAAAGGAAACAAAAAGGTAATACCCAATATTAAGAAAGGCATAAACTCCTTCAGGAACATTCTGATTGAACATCTCAAGGGAGAATGTTATGGAGAAAAGTGCTTGTAGAATGTTCTCCCTAGGGACGTTCATCTGGCATTTTCATTATATGTTTTCAGGCACCCAGCAAAAATGTTTCTCTTCAATCAGGCCTTTGGTTGATTAACATTCTACAGTCTTTTAAATGTGTTTGGTTGGAGGGAGGTATTTTTGTTGTTGTTTATGTTTATTTTTGCTTTTATCTTGTATTTTTATCTTGTGAACTGCCTTGAGATCTGTTGATGAAGGGCAGTATATAAAATGAATTATATATACCGTATTTTTCGCTCTATAACACACACCCGACCATAACACGCACGTAGTTTTTAGAGGAGGAAAATCCGTAGGCATGCCACCCGTAGGCATTCCCTCCATAACACGCACAGACATTTCCCCTTACTTTCTAGGAGGAAAAAAAGTGAGTGTTATGGTGCAAAAAATACGATATATATATATATATATATATATATATATATATATATGCTTTCGTAGATTTTCACGGGTACAGGAATGCAGGTTTTGGTGTCCTCGGGTGTCTTCCCGTGTAAAAGTTGGGGTGTCTAGGCGACGTTTCGACGAGGTCTCACTCGTCATCTTCAGGCTGGTGCTTTCGGCTTCTTGTTACTGGAACAGGGCTTGTTCCAGTAACAAGAAGCCGAAAGCACCAGCCTGAAGATGACGAGTGAGACCTCGTCGAAACGTCGCCTAGACACCCCAACTTTTACACGGGAAGACACCCGAGGACACCAAAACCTGCATATATATATATATATATATATATAAAATCAACCTAATTCTGCATTTCAACTATTCCTAGAACCTGTCAAATTGTGTCTTTGAAGCAAAGTAAATACATATTTTACTTCCAGGATTAATGGTACCAGCAAAAATGGATTCAAATCCTTTGAAAGACAGCCAAATATTAACATAGCTTCCAGTGAACGCTTTTGATTTCAGTATTGTACCCAGTTACACTCACTGCAATGTACTGAACAGCTGAGATCTAAAGAAGAACACAGCTTTTTAGGCTCCTGCAAACACACCCAGAGATCAGGGGACCCCTCTGAAGCAGCACTTGATATAGTTGCAAGTAAAATCAGCACCCCCTCCATGTACACTTAAAATATCCTAAACATGTATGTACAAAGAGCTTCCTCGATAATGACATCTTTTTTAGAGCTGGAAAAAGTGTAGTGATTTAACTTCTGTGTATACCTGAAAGTTCCTGCTTCTTGGAGGGCATTGAGGTTTGATGCCTCTCGGCGTACCCACTCTTTCATGGTGTAAACATTTTCTTCTTGCTTCCCCAAAAGGCTTAACAGGCGAGTCTTTGTTATCTTCAGGAAGGAGGCTGAGGGGAAAGACAGTATAAAATTTGCCAACTGGCACTACTTATGGTTAAATTTCAAGTTCTGAAGCAAAATCTCTGCACAGTGCAAATTAATTTTAGCTTCCCCCTTCTTCTGTTATGAATGTTCCCTATGAAATTATAATTTATAGAGCTGCAGGAACCGCTGTATAGTTAAGCAACTACATTTACCAATATTCTATTATAAAATATGGAAAATCTATTTAGGACATAAATATATTTATTTATTGCATTTATATCCCATCATTCTGTGAAGGCACACAAGGTAATTTACAGTTTTAAAATACTTTTAAAACCCCCCACAAATGAACAAATATTACAAAATATACAGACAATTCCCAATTTACATGGGGGTTATGTTCCAGGCCTCTGTGCATGTAACTGAAATCACATATATTGGGAGCACCCTGGAGAGTAGGCCTGGGCAATATATCAATATATCACTCAGGACCGGTTTGAAGGCCCATAGCGCAATTTCGCCTTCACCCAGCGGTATATTGCGAGGGAAATCACCGCTGCTCTAAGTCCCTCCGTCACCAGTGCCTGGCGTGCTAAGCGGAAAACAATTTGCAGCCGGAGATTATTATACAGCTGGAAATTATTATACTCACAGAAGCCAAAGGTGGGGAGGGAGACTTCTTTAAACTACTCCGCAATGAGGGTCAGGTGGTTGCATGAAGCCCACCTCCCACCTTGCGTGAACCTGAGAGGCATCAGAGCTTACTCAGTTGGGGGGCAGGAGGCTTCCCTCTCTCCCCTCAGCTGAGTAGTTCAACGAAGCCCTACTGGAGAGTTATTCTGGCTGACAAGGAGACCCTCCCCCGAGCCTGAAGAAGATATCCTCTTTGGGCTCTGGGGTCTCCTCACAAGCCTGAGGTGCAGAGGCGCTTTGCTGAGGCTTCCTGTCTAACAGCTGGCGTGTGGGCTAGAGCAGCAGCTAAAGTCGCTTCCCCACACATCAGCTCTGCAAGTCGCCGTGTCCCTCCAGTGGGACAGGGAGATCCAAAATTACAAATTGTGATCCGGATCTGTGGAACAGATCAATCTGGCCCAAACTGGGGCCCAACCCAAATCGGATTGAGGAGGGGGCCTGCACATTCCTATAAAATACCTTCCACTTCTAGTCCTTCATACCTTTTACGTCATCTTCTTGAGACAGAAGACTAAGGAGGATTTCAATTCTCTTAGTACTGCGGCTGGCATCCTCGTTTTGATCCCTTAGCATGCCCACAGCTCTTTGCACACAGCTCCGTAGAAGAATGGTGGTGTCCAAGACTTGGGTCTTTCCAGGAATAGCAGGGAAGAAAAAAGACGATTAGTATCCTGCAACAGCACAAACCAAAGTCCAAGCCACAAGCTACCCTCTTAAAGAAAGAATACATATGGTAATTGTTGGAGGTCCTCCTTGCAGGACTTTTGTCAAGAAATCTGCTCAGGAAAGAGCAGTCACATCCAGATAACACACAAAAAAAGAGCCACTCGTGTTGTTATGCTAACCAAAATAAATATATATCGCTAAAGGTTGGTGACCAGTAATGTCCATTGGCCCTTTAGCAAAAGCAGGTGGCAAAGCAAGGACAGAGTGAATGCTGTAGGGGAGGTGATATATTCAGTTCAATTCTTCTGGAGGTGATTAAAGGAAGGTAGTGGCTTGATTATAAATGTTCTTTGTGAATAATAATAATAATAATAATTTATTTATACCCCGCCCTCCCCAGCCAAGACCAGGCTCAGGGCAGTTAACAACCAATAATAAAAACAAGTTGATTAAAATATAATTTAAAAGATTAAGATAAAACATTAAAACAATTAGGGAGCAATTCCATCATAGGAGGAGAAAGGAAAAGGAAAAGGGGGAGGGAATCAAACTGATTCTGAGCCAAAGGACAGTTAGAACAACTCTGTCTTACAGGCCCTGCGGAAAGAGATCAGATCCCGCAGGGCCCTGGTCTCAAGAGAGGAGGATTAGGCTTGCCAGCTGCCCTTTGATCCTCCGGCTAGCACAAGTGCAATATATTGTTAAAGAGCAAAAAACAAAACACAAACAACAAAAACCAGAATGGAATTAGTATTCCCATATAATTTAGAATGAGATAGAAAATAAAAATAAAAAAGACTAAAAGAATCATGTTCTTGGAAGTGCTTTATTGTCTGTTCCCAATGTCTGTAAAAAACTTTATTTTGTATCAGAGATTCATGGAGCAGGCACAAATAGGTTCCATCTAACCCCAAAGAAACAAGGGATAGAATTAAACACATTGGATCTAAACTTACGGTCAGTTTTTGGGTTTCAGATGTTGCTAACCTCTCCACCCCCATCTCATCTTCCTTTTCTTCAATTCCCTCCATTATCACAGCTGCAACAACAAAGAAGGTGTCATACAGGGATGCAAGTTGCCTGCTGATAAACTTAGGGCAAGAATAGTCAATATAATATAACACTGTCCAGTTATTGCTGGACAACAACTCCACCATCCCTTATCATTGGTAGGGTTGGTGGGGGCTGGTGTAGTCCTTCGTTCAACAGTGAAAGCTCAAATTATTCTGTCAAAATTTGATGCTGCATACATATATAAAACACAAGACATACAGACATGCCTAGATGTTTTCTCACTTGTGTACTGTCTCTCAACATGCATTTATTCACATTCTTACTTTCAGGAGGCTCTGCAGAAAAGAGCTGGCTGATGGTGACATTTCTCAGGGCAGTTACATCAGAGATAATATCCTTGGATTTCCTCAGGTCATCAATATGCACAGACTGCCACAACCCTAGCAACAGAAAACAAGAGCATTTCTTGGTTGTCAGACCTCTTTACATTGTCAAGCTGCAGTAACTGAAACTAATCCCACAAATCTCAATCTGATGTTTCTCTGTGCACCTCTACAGGACCTGCCCTATCTGTGGTACCTTTTATTCACAACATGCTTTGTAAATCCATTACAGCACTCCTCAGAGTGGTTAGCTGTTCATCATCCAGAAGAGCTCTGCTGGGTGGTTTAACAAGGCAATGGTGGCAGAGAAGTGAGGTTTGTTTGCAGTTGCCACCGCCACATGGCAAGTGTGATTATGCACTCTCAGCAGCGCTCAGTCGCTTTTGGACTGAGACTTACACCACCTGACTAGCAGTCATCCAGCCTGAGCCCTGAGCTTCTTGGGAAATTAAGGCTAGATAGCCATCATAACTCAGCAGAAGTCCACTGTTAGCATATTATATGATGGCGATTAATAATAAAAAATGCACTCCAGTAATTATTCTAAATCTCTGAACACAGATAGTTCTACCTCCTTGAAATCCTACATAGGAACTTCCTCCTTCAGCTCGTGACAGTTTAGTGATGAAGAACACAAACACGAAGGTTTCACCCTGATCTGTTTTGTTGATTTCGTTAACAACTGAGTATCTGCAAGGGGAAGGAAATGGCTTTCATCAGTTTCACACAGCAGGGTTAAATACCCATCATAAAGTACCCACCAATCAATCAACATCTCCCATCATGATTTCAGTATTCATAAAGCTTACATTTCCACTCCATCCAACATAAAGTATTAGGATGCCTACTAAGTATTACATACACCATAAGAACACAAGAAGAGGCTACTGGATCAGGACAATGGCCCATCTAGTACAACATCCTGTTCTTGCTGTGGCCCAGCAAATGCCTATAGGTAGCCTGCAAGAAGGAACTGAGCAAATAGCACTCTCTCCTCCTGTGGTTTCTAGAAACAGATATTCATAAGGCATATTGCCTTCCACAGGGGAGGTACTACGTATCCATCAGGATTACCAGCCACTGGCAGCCTCAGCCTCCATGAATTTGTCCAATCCTCTTTCAAAGCCTTCCACACTAGAGGCCACCAGTGCCACTTGTGGGAGCCAATTCTTTTGTCTGTCCTAAATCTTCCCAACAACTGACTTCACTGGATACCCATGAGTGGTAGTATTATGAAAGAGGGAGAAAAGCTGTTCACTATCAATTTTCTCCATGCCACACATAACTGTATGTACATTTACTCACCATTTCTAAAATGTCTGAAATGCTACAACTTTTCCTCATGGGGAGAAGTTCAGCCATCTGCTGAACTTTTTTCAACTTTACAATACAGTCAAATCTCGGTTGTCCAATGTCTCGGCTGCCGAATGTTTTGGAAACCGAACGCCAACAACCCAAAAGTGTCTGCTTCTGTTTTTGAACATGCCTCGGAATGGCTTCCAAGGAGTGTTTCTCATTTTTCCCCCCAATTAGATTTGCCAGCTGCCCTTTGATCCTCAGTTTTCGAAAGTTTTGGAAGTCGAACAGACTTCCGGAACGGATTACGTTAAAAAACTGAGGTGCCACTGTATTGCTTTTGGATCAACAGGGCCAGAACTGTGCACAGTATTCCAAATATAGTTGCACCTTAGATTTGTATAATGACATTATAATATTGGCAGTTTTACTTTCAGTTCCTTTCCTAATGATCCCTAGCATGGAAGTGGCCTTTTTAACAGCTGCCACATGGTTAGTCACCTCTGCCCAATCTTCACTCCCCTATATTTCTTAGAGCTTATCCCAGACCTTGGGGGGAAAAACCCCCAACCCTTTATTTACACTATATGTCATCTATGCCTATTAGCCCTGTGCTCAATATCACTCTAATTAAAACACTGAAAAATGCATCATGCATGACACTTAACATGCAACATACCTGGCTGACGCGATGAGCTGGGCACTGAGAGATCCATTTTCAAAGTGTGTCTGAATAATCAGGATTTTACTTCCAGATGTAGAATCTAGAAAATTGCTGGAAGAAAAACCCAAAGATTGCACCAAACTGGTTGGATATATGTGTTGTTTAAAGGCTTTTTATTTAGCAAGAAAGCAGAAAAAATAATTGAACTAAAATCCAGTGCCAGTAAATACACATAAAAGAAGTCATCTTGTAATCATAGTCCAATGTAATGAAGACAGGTTAACAATAAAACTGAATGAACATCTGCGTGACAAAATCATTCATATTGTCTGTTCCTAATTGACTGGGCATACTTGCCTCAATTGCTAGTGTTTATGGAAGAGAATATTCTTAGTGTGGCCTTTTGTGTAAGCCAATGGAAAGGCTACTGGCTGCAGATGTCCCCTGGCACTGCAGGCAATTTAAGGTTGTAGCCTACCAAGTTCTACTCTGAAGTTAATGAACCCACTGAAGTTTATGAATATAAATTAGTCTATTAACTTGAATGTGTCTATTTTGAGTAGGATTAGGATTGGATGCAACCCATCATGTAGAATTCAGCTAAGTTTTTCTCAGGGTATACCAACTGTATGGGGGACGTGGGTGGCGCTGTGGGTTAAACCACAGAGCCTAGGACTTGCCGATCAGAAGGCAGGGTTCGAATCCGCGCAACAGGGTGAGCTCCCGTTGCTCGGTCCCTGCTCCTGCCAACCTAGCAGTTCGAAAGCACGTCAAGGTGCAAGTATCGCTCCGGCGGGAAGGTAAACAGCGTTTCCGTGCGCTGCTCTGGTTTCCCAGAAGCGGCTTAGTCATGCTGGCCACATGACCAGGAAGCTGTACACCAGCTCCCTCGGCCAATAAAGCAAGATGAGCACCGCAACCCCAGAATCGCTCACGACTGGACCTAATGGTCAGGGGTGCCTTTACCTTTACCTATACCAACTGAAATTAATAAACAGGACTAAGTTAAGTCCATTAGATTCTGGTATACTCTGAATAAAAGTCAGCTGAACACCATGCTATGTCTATAAGGACATTGGACACTCACCGAATCTCTTTCAAAAATGAGTATTCTGTGTCAAACTGTTGCAAGAACAGAACTTTGAGGCTGCCCAACTCGCCTTGTACTTCCGCCTTCAAAGTCTCTGTATCTGCTGCTGTCAGGAGCCTGGAGAAAGTAGAAATCTAACAGGAAAGAAGAAATCGAGTTTCAGGGGTTGGGGAAGAATATGGTTCAGAACACATTTAAAGGTGGACTTACATGATTTGCACTTTCCAAGACAGTATGTGAACTGAAACACTTGTGTGAAAGTCACATTTGTCTGAATTTTGCAATGCAGTTCAAGGAAATCTCTACACGAATACATATTTCAGGGTTAAGTGTGCATTTAAGTGCCTATATTAGTGAAAATAATACACAAAAATTAATTATATTATGGAAATTGCTTGCAAAACTGTGTATATTTTTGTCAAAACTCCATGCAAAAATGTGTTCATTAGGAGAAATTTACATTAAAATGCTGGTGAATTTTCATAAATTCATTCAAAAATGGAAAAATGAGCAACTAAGCAACTAAAGAGGACAGAATGTGGTTTGCTGTGCAAATATTTAATTCCTGATCTAGGTACTTTATTATTATTATTATTAATAATAATAATACAGCACTATCTGTGTGTACTTTGCAAAGTACAAAAAGGTAAGTGCCTGTCATGAGAGCCATGCAATTAATGAAAGGAAATAAAAAGGATAGATGGGGAAAACGTATTCCATTCAATCACACACATTTAGACTTAGCAGGTTTTGCATTTGGTATAAAGGAAAATATGGCATTGATGAAGAGATTTGATGTGGGAAATATTTCCATATGCCAAAATGCCCATGCATTTCTCAAAATGCAGCCTCATGGCATTCTCAAGGAGTACAGATGTGCTTTTTTTAAAAAAACACAAAGAAATATTATGGAACAACTCACCTCAGTAAAGATTGTGTGACCCCTAGACTTTGTCCCAAGGCAAGCACGAAGGAACTCTGCAAGAGAAGTGTGATGTTGCTGCTGAAAGTATACCCTGGCCAAGTCAGCTGCCAGAAAGGAACCCAGCCGTGAATCACCAAGGCGGACTACAGAATCGGGCGTTGCACAGTTTAACAGGACCAACTTGGCTTCTTCTTGTACTTTTTGCATCAGTTCCTGAGGGGAAGCATCCATTTTCAGCTTCTCCGTCACCTGCAAGACAACTGAGGCACAGGTGTCAGGATGGTAGCCAACGAAGACATCAGAAGGGGTATATTTCTGCTGGCCCATAAAGTATTTTTCTGTTTCAACTGTTGTGAAGCTGTCCACCCATTTCTTCAATTCTTCCACAGTGTCTCTTTGCCTCTTGCCCAACACAGTATTGATGTCTAGGTAGTGCTTTTCAAGCCTGTTGATCAACGGGATGGGGAAATGTTTGTAGACCACCTCTTTCTCCTCAATGACAATCAAACGGAACTTAGGGTGCACTCTGCATTTCACTCTATGGGTCCCCAAACCCAAGTCAACATACTTTTGACCAGCAAGTTGAACGTAATACTGGTTGAGGGCATCGTAGAGGCTTTCATACAGATTCTGCAGGTTGAGAAGAATGACCATCTGCCCTGTCTCCATACAGATCTTCACACGGTTGATGTTTCTGCAGATCTGGGTGTATTCCTGGTCTTTGGGAAAACTGGAACCAAAAATAATTTCTGGCTGCTGTGTACCTTTGAAAAAAGCCTGCTGCAGGATCTGGAGGGCTGCATAATTTTCCGTCAACACCAGCAGGTAACGACATTCACCATCCTCATAGTCACTGTAAATGTTCTGCTGAACTAGATCAATTGTACCAATGTCCTCACGGATGACATCTCCTTTTTCTGAGAACCTAGACATAAAAATGTTCAAGGCCTCAACACCTTCTTTACCACTGAAATTACGGAGAACTATCTCTGCTAGTTCATGGGGAGCTAGCTCTCTTTTCAGTTTTTTGGTTAAAGCAAACACCATTTTTATGAGACTGTAATAATCACGCAACCCAAAGAACTCCTTGCCTTGGGTCTTGCAAATTTCCTCATAAGCACTTGCAAAGATGGGAAAGAAACGGTCAACTTTGTGCAGGACGGAGCGTTCTGAAGAGCAGATACCCTTTGCGCTTTCTATGAGCTCCTTCTTGTTTGGTTCTCCACGAGATACAAAGATGCCTCGATTCATCTTAGCTGGATCCAGCGCCCAGTTAGAGATCCCAATGAAGCCAACTTTTTTATGAGGGAGTGGATCATCATCAACACAGCCATCTTCCAAGAGCGGGTGAAGGGTCTTCAGAGGCATTTTGGGGGAGTCTTCAGCCAAGCCAATTTCATCTAACACCACCACAGAGACATACTCCTTTAGGTTCTTTCCTTCTTGGAAGCGAGCACAATGCTTGAAAGTGTTGATGATTCCCTCAGGCGTAGAGTGTGGGCTGCACTGAAAGGACACCAAATGGATTTGCTTCAGTTCTTTATAAAGCTCAGTATATGCAGCTTGGCCTTGCATGGCATCAGCCACAATCGTTTTGGCAAGAGATTTGGAACTGCCAGGCTTGCCAATGAGAAACAAGGGGATTTTAAGTTCAATGCAGATAACCATCATAAAAACATTTTCCTTCAGTGCCAAGTTCTTGGCGATCGTTTCCCTCAGAGGTAGGTCACTCAAGAAAAGATCCTGAACTAAGCCAATTTCTTCGAGGATTCCCTTTTCATCATCATATGGCTCTGGAAGGATGGTGCTAATGACTCTGCGGTACGCCTTTTTCCTTTCCAGGGAAGCATGGTAGCAAACACCCACTGCAAGAACCAAGGACCAAAGTACTGGGTCTCGCTGGACAAAACCTTTAGCTGCCTTCTTCTCTGCAACTTGCTTCTCCAGATGTTTCATTAGTAGTTCACTGTGGCTGTGGAACCACTTGAAGACTTCCACACAGCGTTCCACATCCCTGAGGCTGATAAAGCTGCATTCATCATTCCTTTGCCTCATATACGTCTGAGACTCAAAAAGCACATCTGTTATTAACTGGAGCTCAACATCAGACATTGGTATTGACCTAGTAAGTCTTTGCACAATCTGCTGTATATAGAGTTTTTCAGTAACGTTGTTCAACTGTCCGAAATCCCACACTAGAGGGATCATGCTAGGAGGGAGCGCATGGACACGGTATACCAGCTGCCTAAGAGGAATGGAGCCAAGCTTTTCCTTGGTCTCCTCTGCTTTGACACGGTAGCCTAAGCCAGCCGATTCCAAGCGCTGAATCATTTCCCCTGTATGCTTGCGATAAGGATTGCATGCAGCTATGATTTGCAAACCTGAGTTGTGGACCAAAGGCTGTCCTTCAACTGTGCGATCACACAAGACTTCCTTGATGCTGCTGACAGCTTCAGTGGTGTTGGCTTCATCAAAAAACAGGATGGTGTCAAACTGGTATTGTTGTTTATTATCAATAGCAATGTCTTCTGCTTCCCTGACTTTGGCATAGATTGCATCTGCTGTGGTGCCTCCATGGACCTTGACAAGCTTCATGTTATCGGCATTGGCACCGCTCCTACGTAGTTCACACAGGAATTTTATTAGCCTGGTTTTTCCACAGCCAGTTTCTCCCATGAGGACAACAGGGATACCACACCTGAATCGCATTTCAATAGCAAGGATCTTTAGCATATTGTCTGTTGTGAGCTCATATGTTTCATCGGGATCCATTTGTCTTTGGAGCCCTAAAACTGTGCAAAGTGTCTCAATTTTTTTATTTCTAGGGAGTTCATCAAAATTAATGTTTAATGGAACTCTCTGATGCAGCAATCCCTCATACAGATCAGATGTCATCACACCTTCCCGGATGACACTTCCATTTAAGGGATTGATGGCATCGATGCTACCATTGACTCTTTTCCGAAGATGAAAGCCAATAAATGTCATACATATAGAGTCTTCGTTAAAGAATATATATGGGTGGGGCTCTGACTCCCACTTCTTCCTTAGAAGGAATGGAACAAGATCTCTTTCTTTGACTCCTTCCATGTCAAAAAACTTATTCCCAGGGCTTTCATCAGAAATATTTAGAGATGGTGTAGCAAAATCCTTTGCCATTAAAATCATAAATGTGACCACAAAATTTTTGAAGCCGTGTAAAACGTCGTGGACAAAAGCAGTATTACAGAACACCGAAGTTTCACAATTTCTCAGTTGAAGGTTCAAAAACCAAGCAAAGTTTCTCAGTTCTGACCAGGAAGGATCTATCACTCCACAATGGATCAGGAGCATCTGCAGGCACTCTTCTGGTGTCCCTTCAACAGAGCCTTCTTTATATTGGAATGTGTCAAGACAATCTCCTCTGCTAGATCTTCTCAAGTACTGGTAGGGTCTCTGAAAGGCTTCGCTACGGAACACTTCCTGATCTATACCTGGGTCTGAGCAATCATAGGACAGATTCCTCTGCATGTTCATTTCTAGGACTTCCTTGGGAGATCTGCAGGTTACTTTGGGGAACACATCCATGAAGTTGTATTTCAGTCCTGGAAAAGTCTAAAAGAAGAGGGGAAAGCAGTGAATAGGAAGGTATCATAAAGTGAAACACTCTTGAATGTTATGACTGGACATTTATTTCTCCCTTATAAACTATGTTACTCCTCAAAATATTTCTATCCTCAAAACTCTTTACTTCCTGCTAGCTATCTGTTCTAACATTTATATGGGGACTAATTAAAATTGCATGTATATTGGCTAAATTGGCCCCATAAGTCTGACAGGTAGAAATGGAGATCAAGTTCCAGCCCTTCATCCAATTCTGGAGCTCTCTGCAAAAAGGAGAAGCTAGATTAAAGCTGTGAAGGTGCACAAACCAACATAATTAAATTAAATTTCATTTTAATTTTAAGTCATATTTAGTTAAATGGTTCAGGATCATGGTTGATAATGGAGTATGACAGGGTGGGTTTTTAAATCCCAATGTATAACAAGTTTTAGGACTAAATGTAGAGTGAGCTGTGCATTTGTCCCCAGAGCCTACTATAAAGCATAGTGTTGGGAGAAGATTGAGCATGCTGGATCCTTGGGCTATACATTGCCCTCAACTTGTATATATAGTTTTTTAACTTTTCCAGAGGTGAATTCTCATATAATAACCAACTAATATAATCCAAATGAAATAGATAAATGAACCAATTTGTGCCTAAATTGCTTAACCACAGGAAGCTGCCTTATATGGAGTAAGACAGCTAATTCATCTTGCATAGTACTGTCAACACTGGCTGGCAGTGGTTCTCCGGGATTTCAGGCAAAAGTCTTACCAGCTTACCTGGAGATGCTAGGGAGTGAACCTGGGACTTTTTGCATGCACAGAATTAGAGAGCCAGAGAGCACATATTAATTGGTTGGGTTGAGAGCTAAGGGTTCATCTGTTATTTTTTAAAAGCTATTTAAGTCCTCCTATGCTAATAATACAGAATGAAAAATTAATTAAAGATTACTTTTCCTGCTAACAATGAGTGGTAAGGTAAAGGTAAAGGGACCCCAACCATTTGGTCCAGTCGTGACCGACTCTGGGGTTGCAGCGCTCATTTCGCTTTACTGGCCGAGGGAGCTGGCGTACAGCTTCCGGGTCATGTGGCCAGCATGACTAAGCCAATTCTGGCGAACCAGAGCAGTGCACGGAAACGCCGTTTACCTTCCTGCTGGAGTGGTACCTCTTTATCTACTTGCACTTTGACATGCTTTCGAACCTCTAGGTTGGCAGGAGCTGGGACTGAGCAACGGGAGCTCACCTCGTCGTGGGGATTCGAACAACCGACCTTCTGATCAGCAAGTCCTAGGCTCTGTGGTTTAACCCACAGCGCCACCCATGTCCCTTAACAATGAGTGGTAGGTTTTGTTTATTAAATTGTAAATTAGACTTCTTTCAATATTTCCAAAGAGCCTCTATATTGAAAATTTGGGAACAAATAGTTTTACTTAAATATAATTGCTGATCAATATACAAATACTAATCAATCCACTGTCTAAAAATAATGTCAAATCCAAGCAATATACTAGTAAAAAGCTGCTAAGACCATTATTTCTAGGCATCTGACAACCTCCTTTTTGATCACAGAAAACTACAAAGAAAAATTAAACTTCAGAATTTCCCTAAGTAATAAACACTACAATAATCTTGACATGCTGCACCATTGTGATGTATATGAAACAATACAGTGGTTGTACTGTATTATCTATCTTGAAAAATATTTATTTAGGGTAAATATTTATATAGTTGTTACATATCTACATGTACTTACTGATCTCGTGCTTTTCTTTAATTGTGGTGATGGTTCAAGAATTTCTATAACATACAAATGACACTGTTTCCGCAGCCAGAGTTTCCCATCTATATTTATCAGGTGCTGTAAAACTAATAGCTTGAACAGAAATTCTGGAATTCCAGTCTGGACCTAGGAGAATACAGAAACTCAAGTAGATAAATTAGCGAGTAGAGATCATTTAATCAATATTTATTTATCCTGATTAGCCTACTGATATGATCCCAATTACATTAAGATATGTATTCCTGTCCACTCCCAGATCCTGCACAAGCTTCCCTTTCTTAGCCTATGGTCCTACAGATGATGCTGAACTCCAGTTCCCATCAGCTTCAAGCAACATGGCCAATATTCAAGGATGATGAAAGCTGTAGTCACTCCTGTTCAAAATCCTGCATGGCCTCCCTTTCTCTTATCTCTCCACTTAATACGCTCCTTCCTGAGACCTTTTTTAAAAAGCTAGTTATGAAAATGTTCCACAACATTTGATAACAACTTCTGCCAAAATAGCAATATACTCACTGAAGAGGTGATATCAAAATGAAATATCATGGGCTGTTTCTGGTACTGATTTTCTAGGAATGGGAGGAGAGTTCTCAGCACTTTGCCTTCATCCACATCTGGATCGATCAGCCTAATTGTTTTTAAGATTACTCCACGGCCTTGCAACTTTGCTTCCATTTTCTCTTGCAGCCTCTTTACATACAGAGATTTTCCTGTTATTAGTAACAACAACACATTTTATCAGTTCTTTTAACAGAGAGATAAGAACCCAGTGAACTGACTGGAAACTGAGGACATCCAGTGTTTGGACTTTTCCATCCACAACAAGAAAAAAGAAATCAAATTTAGATAAAAACATAAGAAAAGCACCGTTGGGTTAAATCAAGGGTGTACCTAGTTCAAAGTGGCAATCAAGATACTTACAGAAAAACCACAATAAGGCCTAAAGACAGCAACCCTAACCCAGTGTCTGCCCTGGTAATTCAACAACTGGTATTTAGAAACAGCAAACCTCATGTGAAAAGCACATCCTTTTTCTTGTCTTGAATCCACTGCTAACCAACTTCATTGTATACCCCCAAACCCTAGCATGAAATAGGCAGAAAAATATATCTAAAATCAATCCACTTTCTCTGTACCATGCATGGTTTTCCAAACCTCTATCCTGTCCCCCCCACCCTTAGTTATTGAGTCTCCCAAAGCATGGAGAAACAAATGTTTTGTGTTGTCTGTTGAACCTCAGCAATGGGAACTTCTGATAATGACCTATACAGATATCATTACAAATCAGTTTGAAACCAGGGGAAAGTAGATCTGGGAGTCTAGATGTACTTAAAGGAACATTGCATACACATTGTGCATGAATACAACACATACTGTTAATCCCTTTCTTAATCTCCATTAAAAAAAAACAAACTGCTGCTGCATACAGAATTGACATTTTCATTCAGAAATCTAAGCAAGACCCCAAGATGTCTTTATTTTCTGGGTATCCACCACCCATTCAAACTACATTAGAATGCACTGTGGCAGTAGACTTTTTGCCCCAGTGGAAATTACTCATTTGCTATTTTGTTGTCCATTCATTCAATTTAGTGGGGGAAAAATTAACTCTTCAAAGCCTCATTCAAAGCCATCATTAATAGTTTGGTGTTACCCACAAACTAGACCCTCTCATTGTTTTTTTACTCTGGAGTATATATACTCTACGGAATGAAATGAAAGCTTTTGAAATGAAAGACCAACATGATATATCACAGAGTGGGTATCATCTAACAGGCTAGAAATTAGATCTACAGATCACAGACACAATGTTTTTATACTCTCAACCCTCAAGTTTTAGTCTACACATTTTGAAACATAGATAGAAAAGTATATGTACTTAGTTCACTCACCTACTCCAGCTCTTTCAGAAGCTACAATCCCAACACACATTTGGTCCTTGAAGACAGAAGCCGATGAACTTGGAGGCTGTGTTGCTTTGTAATGATTCCCAAGGTAGCCCTGAATGTCCTTCAGGGGCTGCTGAGGGATCATGTGAACTTTGAACTGGCTGAAGACAGAAGGGACATAGCAGTGCTCTCTCTCACAGTTGCAGAGAATCACTAGCCTATAATCATCATGGTGATTAAAGTGAAGACTCTGGAAAAGTTCCTCAGACCTGTAGCCAACATCATAGCTCAACTCATCTGCAAACAGCAAGGTGTAAATCTTCTTCCCCTTATAGCCTGGAGTCAGGCACCGCCTCAAAAACAGCGCCACTTGTTCATAGCTGGTTTGTGGTGTGCAGAGCAGCACTTCATCATAAGAGGGTAGCATCTCCCCTGGACTGTTCATGTAGATGGCCAGTGCTGAAGCCAACACCTCAGAGCGAGGACAGAGAATGAGGTTAGGCCTGCCAGCATGAAGACCTTGTGGCAATTTTCGCATAACACTCTTCTTCTCCAAGTCTGCCAGGGTTGCCAAGTAAATGCCAAGGGTGTCAATGTCCAGGCAGCCTGGAAGGAATGAGCCCATACTTCTCATGTAGGACTCCCATATATATTCCAGTTGTACAGTCAACTCTCTCCCTCTTGCCACCGGCCCAAGCAGATCAGCAAAATTTCTCTTTGGCTTTTTAGATACTACTTGGTCGGAGACCTCCTGGACATCTTGCTTGCTGCAGTTGCGCTTTATAAATGACAGCATCGTTAAGGCAGCCTCACTGGGGCACTCTGAACCAAGCTCCTTGCACAAGTATACAAACTGTTCTGCCATATAGTAATTCAAGTAATAGTACTGGGATCGCTTCTCCAACATAAACTGGTTCCACTTTTCCAGGAAACTCTCCATCTTTTGGCAAACAGTTGGCAGAACTTCTGTGACGTCTCCATTTCCAATAAGGGCATAACCAGAATTTAAATTGAAGTCCATGCTAAGGCAGAATTCATGGTTGGGTGAGCAATATACATCAGCGACCCAAGAGCGGAAAAGCATGTTTCCAGCAGAATAAAGGTCGATGAAAGACAGTGCAAGCCTCTGGACACTAGAAAATACCTGGGTGCAGATTAAGCAAACACAATGGGGAATATGATGCAAGTGTTTTGAGTAAGAAGATGCTACCAAGATTGTCAGTGAAAAGGATATCATGATAATAAAACTATACCACTATCAATTAGAAAACAAAGCACTATGATAGCTTCAAATTACATTTTGGGAACTCTTGAGCACATTATTTCCTATTAATTTCTCAATATGCAGTCTAGAAATGTGGTGTGGCCAGAAGCAAAATAATATCATTCTGTCCTTCCCACCACACCCCTATCAAGATACACATAGGAAATTGTGGTGGAAAACTGACCTCAGAAAACTTCTCCACTTCTGTACTTTGTTCTATCTTTCCTGACATCAGCATCAGCTTATTCATCAGTTCTTGGAGCTCTTCCAGGGAGTATTGCCGTATCTCTTCTTGGCCACCATGGCTTTCTGAGACGGTCAGGCACAGGACGGTGTCCAGAGAAACCTTCCAACAAATGATAATGACTCCAAATAAATTGGATCTTTTATTTACTTCCTTATACAAGGAAAGCCCCTCTGGCTATACCTAACTAGGGCAACTGAATGGTATTAGTAAAAAGAAGCATCAGCTACACCCAGAAACTATTACAGTGGGAAGCTCCAAGTTCCTTGGAAACAATGATAAACAACTGGCAGCATTAGAAAGCAGTCATTATTTGCTGTTACAGGTAAATACTGGAAGGAGGCTGCAGTGGTTAGCTGATTACTGGCATCCCCCTAATTACATGGCAGATCCGTTCTTGGCCACTGTGCACATAAGTGAAATCACATAAAGTGGGGAGCATCCTCTAAATACCCTTTAAATGCCATCTCTGTTGGTCTCTCTTCAATCCACACCAAAATTACTCTATCCAAAAATATCCACAACTAGAATTGAAAATCTGGGGCCAGCAGGAGTTTACACACCCCATGGTTCCCCAATTGGCTAGAGGGGATGAGATAACTCCCAGAACAGCATGCTGGAAGAAGGGGGGGGTGAGAAGAGAGGGGAGGATGTTTCATCTGGCAAGCTGAATTGCTTGAGCTGACAGAACGGTTCCCATTGCACTATACTGAGCACCCAACAGATATTAAAGAGTTAAACAGCTACAGTGGGACCTTGGGTTAAGAACTTAATTTGTTCTGGAGGTCTGTTCTTAACCTGAAACTGTTCTTAACCTGAGGTACTACTTTAGCTAATGGGGCCGCGTGATTTCTGTTCTCACCCTGAAGCAAAGTTCTTAACCCGAGGTATTCTTTCTACATTAGTGGAGTCTGTAACCTGAAGCATCGGTAACCTGAAGCGTCTGTAACCCAAGGTACCACTGTATATAATTTTTTTGTAGAATCTGAGGGCAGTCCTGTTTCAAGAAGCTTTTAATGTTTGGTGTCCCCCCACCTTTATTTGTATTTTTGTTGGAAGCCACCCAAGGTGGCAGGAGCAACCCAGTCAGGTGGGTTGGGTAAAATAAATAAATAAAGTTATTGAATGTACATAAAACCAGCACTGCTACTTGAGAAGTCCTCTTCCCCCTTCCCTCTCAAACAGAAAGGAACGTGTCAGTATTAATATTGTTTGGAACACCAGCACTCACTTTTTTATATGAACACTATCCTTTGCTAGCTCTTTCAATTTACAGCTGGTTGTTTGTTTGATATTAAGAAGATAGCTAGAAAAATATGAGCAGAAGGGCTACAAAAACTGAAACAGCATGCAGCATACACTTTCAAGCAATGTCTCACCTTCTGGCCTTCCTCTGGTGCCCTAATTTGGTAGATTCCGTTGCTATTGATTGTTGTTGCCAATGATAAAGATGACTGCTCCACAGAGCCATGAGTTTCTTTTATGTCTTTCAACCATTTCAGGTATCTTGCAGAATCACACTGTGTATGTAAGGAGAATAAATACACTAGATTTGTCTCACTACCCCCACACTGTTATTCCAGTTCAACACACAGAGTGAAACTAGGCAATATGACAAAACTGGAGAAAAATATTTATTATTAATTATATTTCTAGTTGCTTTCCCCCCACAGAAATGGCTCAGTGCTACTTACAAAACATTGCAGTAATCTAAGTGAATGTTAGCATAAAATAAACATCAGAAGACAGGCTAACCCTGTCTGAATGGGGTATTGTTGGGCCCCCATCCAAAGCTCATGGGAGGTACACTGCACCACCAAGGGCACTTCAGCCTCATGATAATAAGGGATCCAGAAGTACTGTAAAGTTACACACCTGTTCCTTCAAAGGGATTGTAATCTCATACAGAGGCGGACAAACCCCATACTTCCATTCTAGGCAATCACTAACTAACAGCACCTTATCAGGATTAAGTGCCAGTTTATTGGCTCTCATCCAGTCCACTACCAAGGCAAGACTTCAGTCTACCACATCTGCTGCTGCTCTTGCAAAGGTAAATGAGATAACAGACCTGCATATCATCAGCATATTGCTGGTAACACACTTCAAAACTCTAGGTGAACCCTCTCAGCAGTTTCATGTAGAAGTTAAACAGCACAGGGATAAAATCAAATACTGCACACTGAAGGCTTTATGGGGATGGAGCCACCACAAAGCAGTGCAGCTAACCCCCAACTCAAGACAGCTGCTCCAGAAGACCATGGTTGATGGTACTGAAATAGGAAGTTCCATTCTCTGAGTATAATACAGCTTGGCTTGTACAAAATATTTCCTTAAAACAGGCATGTCCAAAGTCTTGGGGGCCTAATCCAGCCTGCCAGTCAGTTTAATCTGGCCCCTGTGGCAGTTTATTTCCTGGGGTAAAATCCTAAAAAACCCTCAACAACTTCAATTCTTAAAAAAGGTCAACAACTTTGGTTGGCTCTTCACTTCATCAAATCTGGCCCTCTTTGAAAAAAGTTTGGACACCACTGCGTTAAATACATGTAACATGCTGTTGCTTCTATAAATTGTGTATGAGTTGCACTGGGTAGTCTTTAGACATAAGTAGTTAAAAGGCAGGTATGCCCAGTAGCTGCAACTTTAATCTCTCTTCACTTGAGCCAATAATTTTATGCAGCATAGTAGTACATCAGCAGAAAATCACATCAGGCATGAAGCAAAGTTAACCTCTCTATCAGATACACAGCTACCTAAGAGCAGGTACAAGCTAATGTAGTGCTAAAGAAATTACCAGTTTTTCAGGGAGTTTAGGATCACTTTCCAGGGCTTTCCACAGTTTTTCCAAACACACCAGAAATTCCTCAAACCCTGACTCCTGTTTCAATTCATACAGCAGAGAAGAGTAGCCAAGCACAGCATCATGGAAACAGGCCACACGATCCACATCCATGTCATTTTCTCCCGCAGAGATCGATGCAAGGTCCACAAATACCTTTAGCTCATTTATATCTAGGGGAAACAAACAACGCACTTTCAGGGCTGAACTAGATGCACAGTTAAAAAGAGATAGATAGATAGATAGATAGATAGATAGATAGATAGATAGATATCACTCCCAGGTTTTTTAGGACCTTCAGCAAAAAAACACAAAAAAACCCACAGAGATATGTATCTGTTTTACCTTTTAGAACCTTTTTTACCCAGCTGGCAAACTCCCTCCTCCGTGCAAGCTCTTCAAGGCACCTATGACGTGGTTCAGTGATGTCTTGCAGCACTTTCATAGCACGTATCAATGAAGCGCTTATGGAGGACAGCTTTTTTCTCTCTAAGGACTGGAGTTCATCTTCCTGAAAAGCAAATTATATGAATGAACAATGACATAATTATACATATGTCATTCTGCAATTTTTTTATGCCATGTAGCCACCATGTCCACAATCTGCAGATAACTGGTAGGATGTGTATGCATCTGTGCATGCAGTAGAGATCCTAACTTTTTCCTACTGTGCCGTTTTTCTGTGGAAAATAGCCCTTCCAACTGTTTTCACCCTCATAGGAAAAATATATTGGTACTTTTTTGTGGGGAAAATGGCATGTGGGGAAAGGATTATGTGCTTCAGTACACATCAAATTGCAGCCTCAGCAGCTGCATTTCTAAACAAACAAACAAACAAACAAACCTGAACTACGTACCCATAAGTAAGTCCTGCTCCCAATAAAAACTGCACACTAACATTTATTGATATTCCTTCTTCTACTGTGCTGTGAAAACTGGATACTTTCTCTCGCTCTCTCTCTCTCTGTGTGTGTGTGTGTGTGTGTGTGTGTGCTTTAAATGTGCTTTGAATTTGCTTTGAATGTATGGTGTGAACCCGCCCTGGCTGTAGGATAGTTTGTTTCACTAACCATATGAATTTACAAATGGCCATCATAAACAAGCATTTGCATTTGTCCACTTATGTCTTGCTTTCACAGGCTATAACATCTGTCATGCCTCTGACACATTAGCATTATTGTATGCATTAGTATACATCTGACACACAGATCTGAGGGAGTGGGAGGTTTGCATTATGATCCCTGCCTAATCCATCAGGCATTCTCCTATATTTACATGTTCACACAGTAAGATTGGCTAGTGACTTATGGGCATATTTACTTTCATGCAAGTGAGAACTGTTGGTGAATCACACAGAGCTATAAGCTTGGGAAACAATTTCAAGAGTCTAGGTCTATTGTACAGCTGACAGCTTCTATGATGAATAATAAATTCCAAAAGAATTACATCTGTATTATATTCAGATTTGCAGGGTAGCAATCATATCTAGTCTAAAGAATAATGATCAAAGAACTCAAAACATCTGAAGTGCTTAGCAAACCTATACCTTACCATACAAACTGAGCCTGTGATAATAATGCCTTCCATCACAAAACAGCAGTGCCCCTACCTCTGACAAAACACAGGAAAACACACTATGAACTTCACACCCATTCCACCTTCTTCAAGAGTACATTCAGTTTATGCACTCAACCCATTGGGTGGGAAAGACCATTGAAGGTTTGGCCCAGCTCTACTAAGAAGTGCACCACTGCAATTTTAGAAGCTCTTTAGAGACACAGGTGAATTCTGAATGCACTGTAGAATAGCCAGATGCAAGAGAGAACTGATTTTCTTGAAATAAAGGGATAGTCCAAGGGTGGCACTGCCTCAAAGACATCTCCCTGGGTGTCTCATGCCAGTGGTTTGCAAGGCCACTGTGATGGGATGATGAGCTGCTTGTGTGTAAAATCCTAGTCCCTCAGAGTTTGATCAAATCCGCAAACCTCTGCCTACAACGGAGCCCCTCAAGCATGGCTCTGTCAGTCGCTAGCAGAATCCGAAAGTGGTCGCTTACGGAATCTCTTCCAGCATAAAAGCTCCTTAACGGAAACACGTCTTCTGGACTCTCGGCGCGACAGTTTCCGGCGAGGAGTGGGTGTCCCTATAGGAGGTCTTGAAACCTCCCCACTGTTTTCGCTGGAAGTGTCTCTGAGCCATCCCTCCGACTCACTTTCCCTTGGAGTTCCTCCTCTCCCCCTACTGGTTCCCTCTTCAGCTGCTAAGTCTCTCTCAACCTCAGTGAGCCCTTCCACCTCCTGTCCTTCCAATGGCAGTTCCCTGACAGCCACCAAAGGAGTAAAATGGGTAGAACAAAGTATGGGATTGGTCCCCCCCCTTCTATAGGTTTAAATACACACAAACTTCCCTCCAGACAAGCGACACATTCCAGCCAAAGCACTTGAGAAGGGTGCAGAGTAGGGTCTGGGAAAGAGGTGTGTCTTGAGGCTCCCCGCTCCATTTTTCATAGTTGTGTAAAAGAAGGAATTTCAACAGGGATAGCTTTTCATGCTGAAATTCCCTTTTCTGCACAACAATTTAAGGTGCAAAAGCTGTATTCTTTCTTGCACCTGAAAACTCAGCCTTCATGGCAGCCTTTTGGGTGGTGGGTTTAAAGAGATATACTTACAAATTTCAGTAATAATTGCAGGTCTTTGAAGTCACCAGAGAGGTTTAAACCTTCCCTGACCGTGTCAATAACTTTAACACAGCCCAAAGCCAAATGTAATTTATGATACTGCTGGATCTGCTCAACTCGTTGCTCTACCCATTTCCCACTGTCTTGAGGCTGAAGATGGCATATAATCTGAAAATCCTTTTTCAGTCCATCATAATGGTTCGTAAAATTCTTGAAGAGAAGGTCCACTTCAGCAAATGTGAGCTCTTCAGATTTCAGGCATTCGTAGAGTCTGGAGAATTCATTGTAACAAGATTCAAATAAAGATTCAGGATTCAAAATGGCAATGCTCTCCTCTTTGCTCAAATCCTCAGTATTGCTTGCCAGCTTTTTGGCTGCCCACTCCCAGCAGTACTGGAAGATACTGCTTTCTTTAAAGTTATTCATAGTTTCAGTCATCTTCTTTTGGGCTGGACTCAGATGGTAATGTGTCTCTATTTTATCATCAGTCTGCGAAACTGAATGCCTCACATTCACAACATCATGCAATGCTTTTGAGGCCAGGTTTTCACTGTGCTTCTGTTCCATTTCAGCAATATCCACTGAAAAGTAAAGAGAAACTCTGAAGAAACACTCCAAGTTTAACATCTTTCCTTTGCTGGGCAATGAACTATATTAGCATCAAACACATTTATTGGTAGTTTGCTAAAAGACAAGTAAACATTTTCCACTGCCTTTCCATCTAGTTTACTTTGAAACCTGAGAATGCTCCCTAGCAGGTAACAAATTAAATAGCAAATGAGGCATTAGCACAGTAGAAACTATTTTGAATCCATTTGCCCTATATTTAGTTTCACTAGCCAACTATTAATTTAAACTGGAGGAATGCTTCACTAGAGGAACACAAAGTTTATTTCCTTTTCCTTTCCTTAATTAAAGCCACAAATATTACTCAAGCAAGTTTCACATTTTCTGTGGTGTTACTAGGGTGTGCAGGTGTAAAAGAGGACAAGGTTTCTGCATCTTTAATACTTGCACAGAAGGCAAATCCTCATTCAGTTGCAAAAATCCATAACTGACCTTGGGCCGGCTACTAACTTCACAGCCTTACCTACTTTTCAGTGTTTGGTGGTTGTAAGGATAAAATGAAGGGTAAAGTGGATGTGAGAAGGAGAGCCTTTTATGTTGATGTGAACTGCTTGAAGGAAATGTGGGATGACAACACAAAAAATTAAATATAAATAAAAAGAAGCCACTGAAGGAGATTTGGAGAGGGTGTTTGGGCAGGAAATTAAAAATTAAAAAAAAACCTGTAGCTTTTCTGCAGATGCTGAGTATATACTCCCACCTACAATCAGATAAAAGAACCAGGGACTGAGCTAAGGAAGGAGCTGTGCTGTATCCATGAGGAAATTCGGTGCAGGGGGTAATAACCAACACACTTGCTTATCAGGTGATTGTAGAAAAAGATGGGGGAAGTAAAACTAATCTTATATATACTTAAGCATTATATATATCTAGGCATCATTGGCCTAGAAACTCCACCCAGTGATTATATCCTAGACAAAACACAGCCATTGGGTCCAGCTTTTATTTTAACAGTGTAGAACTCATATGCAACTTGCAATAAAAGGCAACACTTTATCATGTGAGTTTCACTGCAACTACCTGTTAAAGGTAAAGGTACCCCTGCCCATACGGGCCAGTCTTGACAGACTCTAGGGTTGTGCGCTCATCTCACTCTATAGGCCGGGAGCCAGCGCTGTCCGCAGACACTTCCGGGTCACGTGGCCAGCGTGACAAGCTGCATCTGGCGAGCCAGCGCAGCACACGGAACGCCGTTTACCTTCCCGCTGGTAAGCGGTCCCTAATTATCTACTTGCACCCGGGGATGTTTTCGAACTGCTAGGTTGGCAGGCGCTGGGACCGAGCAGCAGGAGCGCACCCCGCCGCGGGGATTCGAACCGCCGACCATGCGATCGGCAAGCCCTAGGCTCTGTGGTTTTACCCACAGCGCCACCCGCTACACAGCTCAATTTGGGAGCAAATCTGTGTGCATGGTGAAAGTCATCACCTTAGAAACTGTAGAATGGAATGGAAGCAAACTTAAGTCAAGAAAACTCTGGCTCACGGCAAAACAGACCTGTACGCCTACTTTATTTTTTTTTTATTTTTGAAGATTTCTATTGATTTTTACAGTTTAATACAATCATCATATACATAAAATTTTTTTAGAAAAATCTCAATCTCCCCCCACCCCTTGACTTCCCTCAACTTCCCCTTCTGGTTCTTTAAATATTTGTTACTTCTGCTTAATTTGTTTTTCCTTATTTTGTAGTCTTTTAGATAAATGCTCTTATGTTCTTAACATACCTATACCATGTTATCTTTCATGTCTTACACTTAATTAATTTCTAAATTGTTATTTCTTAACTTTTACTCTTGTTTTCTTAATTGTAAGTGTTTACTCAAACCCTGCTAGTGAGTCCATTTCTTTACAATATTTTTGTAAGTACAACATAAACTTTTATGCTGTATGTCTACTTTAAAAGCAGAGAAGTGCTTGGCAAAGCTTAAGGTGAATTAAGATAATGCTGAAGAAGTTACACAACTCGTTGCTCTGAGGAACTTTTCATGAGACAATAATAGAGTATGTCACTCCCCAGAAACAATTAATTTAAAATAAAACACCTGTTGTCCTGTCACAATACAGAACCGAATTTTAATAATAAAGGGTGGGGCAAGATAAAAGAGTGAATCAGATGACAGGAAAGTTTGGAGGTGTACAAGGAACAGAAAGAGATTGCATTCAAATGCTATAGTTCAATCAGCGACTAGAATTCACTTCTTTTTAATTTAATTTATTTTTGCTTAGCTCCCATGTTTTTCTAATAAAGCTTTATTTGTTCTGGGGCTTTTGAAGTCCAATTTGACTTTTTGTCTTATCTTTGAGTGGAGATGGGATTTCTTACTTTCAGCATGTTCCATGTATTGAAGTTGCTATTTGCTCTGACTCAGGCTTTTGGGGTCTGGATACTTAAAGCTCGTGAACAGTTTTGAACAGATCTGGTTTTTACAGGTTTTCCTTTTCCCTGAAATGATTTTTATTTTTGTTTATCTTCTCTTTATTCCCTTGTGAAGCTCACACTTCATTATACCATTTCCCCTTTATTTATTCCCTAAACATTTTCCCTATATTTTTTACCTGAACTTCTCATTTGGACCATTCTGGATACACTAAACATGGTTTTTGGATTAATCTTTCTCAGCTTTCACCCTGAGTCCACAGAAGCCAGATTTTTGGATATTTACGTGATTCATGGTTATAGTATACCCTTTTTACGCCAGTAAACTTTTAATTAGTTTGGAAGGTTGAAGTTTCAGAAGGGTGTAATTCAGAACTTAGTAACAGAAATGCTTTATGGATAGCTGTTTGATTAACTACCTTTATTTTAGAATTTTCTATGATTTTCCATTTATAAATTGCAGTCTTGTATTTCATTCATACATTATTTTTATTCTTATATTTTGGATATTCCTGGGTTTGTCATTTCTATGCTTTGAATTAAGTATATATTTCCATTTTATTTTATTTTTGGTCTGGCTCTGATCCCTTTCTGATTACTACCACTAGGTCACTGAAACATGGTCAACTGAGTATAATTTAAAAATCTGTTTTCACTACTCTTCCCTGACACCCTGTACCTTTTCAGGCAATGAGAATGACAACATAATTAGTTAGGGAAATGACTGTACTCTTCAACCCTCTCCTCCTCCCTGGAGAAATTTGAAAGTGATACAGTAAAGCAACAGAAAACACAAAACCTCTGGTTATTCCATTATCTGCTCACACAAAATTCTTTAATTGCATTTCATGCTTTTTTCTTCATTATTTGGTGGGAGTAGAGTCCCAAAACCCATAATGGAGGATTGGAGAAGCCTTCCCTGGTTGCATGATTATGTCCTTTATATATGTTTGAGATGTTATCTTATATATGTGTATGTTTGTGGCACACACACTTTCAACATATTTCAAGATTTTAAGATGTACTGGCTAAGTATGTAAAAGAAATGAATGGCCTCGGCATTTGATGTAACAATTTTGCTCACTTATTGGAAACTTCTGTTGCCTTTTTATTCCTTAGTCTTGCCTTACTTTCATTCCCAACATTAGGAGCAAATATGAGCAAAAGAAAATCACGCTTATCTTTGAAACCATTACCTTTTACAATGTCTTCCACCTTCCGAAACATGCTCAAAAAGAATTCCAACTGTTTTTGCTCCTCTTTGACAGATGTTAGTTCTTGCAGCCTCAACTGAAGTACTACTTCTAGTTTCAGTATTTGCTTTGGTTTCTCCATGGATGAGAGAGATTCATTCACTGAAATCAGAATTCTTGTTTACAATAAGCACTGCAAAATCCTGCCCTCCTAATGGTGCAGAAGCAAATCCCTGCTTGACCCAAAAATGGAATTCCCACCCCTCGTCTTGAGCACTGAAACTTCTCATGAGAGGATGTCCAGTGGAGAGTCTGAAGGCATCTGATGATGTTTATAATGACTAGCTTCCTGGTAGGGAAGCATAAGCCAGAGCAATGGGTGTGGTGCCTGAGGATGAACAGAACATTCCATCTCTCCTCAATCAGGGCACTCCATTTCTGTGCTAGCTGTGCTGGAGGGAACCACAACCACAACTGTATAGTGAGCATAGAAACACTGGATGTTGGCAGAAGAGGGGAGCTTGTCAGCACAACCCATCACGAGGCTAGATACCAAGGAAGAGGGTATTTCTGCTCTATGACACACATAATGGGAAACACTAGTAGAGGAAAAATGAAGTGATCTGCCTCTCCTTGTCAAGCACATCCCACACCCAAAGCTTCTGTGTAAAACTTCTGTGGTTGGGGCAGGAAGGCTAAAAGGGTTTGGCTGTTTGGAAGGTGCTAGTGTGCCTGGTTGACAACAGGTCAGATCAGTACCTTAGAAGGCTTTCCTTCTCTTGGTTAGCATAAATTGGAGGATGCTTCTCCTTTATGCCAAACAACAGGAGAAAAGCTACACTACTAAGCAAGGGATGCTAGCAATAATAACTGTGGGGTGGTAATGTTTTCATTGTTACTATCTTGTGTATTGTAAACTGCCCTGTGACCCTCAGGTAAAGGGCAGTATGAAAATTTAATAACTTATTTATTTAATGATAATAATAATAAAATAATAGTAGGGGCAGCATGACTGCTCTTCTCTTTTTCTGCTCTTCAGAATGGAAAAGAGGCACTTTCATGCCCAACAGCAGAAGTAAACCCTTCCAGTGTGCAGGTCCAGCTAGCTGTAAGCCAGGTGGATCTGAACCTCCTGCCTCGGAAGAGAAAGGTGAAAGTAAATGTGAGCCCTATTGAAGCTAAGGGGTGTTCTGCCTACCTTAATTAGCTAACACTTTTAACTAATTGAGCACCCCTGGCTAAATGCTCATGACATCCTTTCTCATTTTCTGCCTTTGTCTCTCACTTGGATTCACTATTTCTGATACTCTGATGCAAGCATAAAAAAACATATGCAATATCTTTTAAAAGCCTATTGATTGATTTATATTTTACACATGAAGGGATAAAAAACTCACTTACTTAATTCCCAAATGAATACAAATTGCTCCTTGCACTTTATAATTAATTCCAAATGTCTAATTAAGATCTGGCCTGTCATGAGATTGTCATAAATTTCTTTATGTACGGACTCAGTGATCTTCATTAATGCCTTGGCATCATCAGTAAGTTGGCTCAGGAAGTCCCCACTTCCTCCTGTGAGATTGGTCAGATATTAAAAACAAGCAAATAAACAGTTTTCATTCTTGTGCTATAAACCAGTACATACGGTACTTAGTAACTACATTGAATGTCCCTTTTAAGTTTTGAAACATTTTACTTAGATATAATGGTGATACCTAGTTAAAAAAAAACAACCCACACAAAAAAGAATTGTAACAATCTGGAAGAAATCAATACCTTCCTCTACTTACAAAAACTGTCAGTGAAAACAAACCAAATCATAAAAAACACACACAAACCCCTCCACAAGTGGCCTGGAGGCTGGCAACATGAGAACAGACCTTTTCTATGGTGGCTCCCCATTTTTCAAATGCTCTCCTCAGGGAGGCTCACCTGGCACCTTCGTTACATATCTTTAGGTGCTGGGCAGATGCTTTCCTCTATAACCAGGCCCTTGGGCCTTTAACTATCTGTGGCCTTTTCAATGTTGGTGGGATCCCTGTGGACTGCTTAGCCATTCCTCAGTGAGCCTGAGGATTTCCTCTCAAATATGGTCCTCACTCCATATATATATATATATATATATATGTAATACTCTGTTTGCCAGGTGCAAACAGAGCCAAACAAAACCTACCTCCCCACCCCTGCTTCAGCTCCAAGCTGAAGACGGACAGTGGAGACACATAGGCTGGTGGGCGAAGACATAAGCAGACACACTTCTGCCTCCCCTCACAGGTTCTCCCCATGTCCAGAATGCAGGAGGGAGGCAGGTGTGTGTGTGCAGCTCAGAATGCCACAGAGGCAGAGCAAACAGACGTGGCTTTGGCTCCTGTCACCAGCTCTAAGCTGGGAATGGGAAGTGGAGGCACACTGGCTTTCCTCTGCTCCCAAAAGTGACCAGATTGCCTGATTTGCCTATCTTTGGCTCTAAGCTAGAGGAAGGGAAAGGTGCAGGGCAACTGTAAGGTTATTTGACTCTGTTTTGATAATGTACTTTCCTCCATTGGGTACTACTAAAATATTTTTTCTGCTGTCCATAAAATATCCTTCCCAATTAAGCGCTACATGTGAATACCTTTGAAAGTGAAAAGATGCTTGGTGTCCGGCCAAACAAGGAGATGATGCCAAACACCTTCCAGGTCACTCAGAGGTTTTCCTTCTTTATCACTTGGCCATGATTTTGTGATGACAGCAGATGCAAGCTTGCCCAGCTTGCTCAAGTTGTAAGAGGCCATCAGGCCAAGGAGATCACTCTTTTAAGACATAAAAATATGTAAAGAATTGAATGGCAATGAGTTCATCATAATGCAAGCTCTCAAATTTGCCACATCATCTAAGCTAATAGAGGGTAAGTGTTAATTTCATTATGCAGCTCCATGCTGTCCAACCTCACTGATTTCAGTGGAACGAAAGCCCAAATATGTCATGTTAAATCAATAGTTTCATGAGGCATGCTTACAAAACAACAACAACATAGCAACCTGAGTGATTAGATTCACGGCCCTAGCAATGGAACGAATTTTGAATCCTTCCCCCTTTTGCTGCAGGTCTGACAAAAGTTGCCCCCACCAAAAACCTGTTATTATTAGTTGTTTAGCAATGAAAACTCGCCAATGGTTTCATTGACAAATGCAAATGAAACTTTTGGAAAAGCGATTTTAATCTCACCCCACATTGCTTCCCTGTCACAATCCACAGGTTGATGGGTGACTGCATCCAGCAGGGAGCCTACCCCATATGTATAGTTGTCCCCTTGCAATGATTTCCCAGAGTTCTGCATTGTGTGGGAAGACTACGCAAATAGAAACAACTCCCTGCTCCTACTGGACACCCTCCAACTCGTGGGGACCAGGGGCTTTTCAAAGCTAGCGTGCTCATTCCCTTTTCCCTCTCATGAGCTGATTGAACACAGCAGACAAATGCTTGAGCAGGGCTAGTCTTTGTCAGGAGAGCTGTGTTCTGTAACCTCTATTTCAAGTGGCATAGAAATGAGAGTACCGGGTAGATCTATGCCGCGGCTAACCTTAAAGGTAAAGGGACCCCTGGCCGTTAGGTCCAGTTGTGGATGACTCTGGGGTTGTGGTACTCATCTTGCTTTACTGGCTGAGGCAGCCGGCGTACAGCTTCCGGGTCATGTGGCCAGCATGACTAAGCCGCTTCTGGCGAACCAGAGCAGCACACGGAAATGCTGTTTACCTTCCCGCCGGAGCGGTACCTATTTATCTACTTGCACTTTGACGTGCTTTCGAACTGCTAGGTTGGCCTTAGGGAGAAATATATGTATCATGGTTTGTATTTTAGACTGTGAAAGTACTAATCATGGTTTGGTGCAGTGACCAAACTGAACCTACCTTGTATTCTAAGTTAACAGCTTCTATGGCACAACTTTCAAAAGATTTGCCAATCAGAGGCTCATATTTTTCAAAATCTGAAAGGAAGTAGCAGTAGGCTTTAATCTGCTGAAGTGGATGTACCTGTCAGGGAAGAATATAAAAAATAGTATCACTGATTCCAGATATTTGCGTTGATCAGAAAGAGAAAACAAGGAATGGGAAGAAAGGTGCTGCAATAAAAGAAAATCAATGTTATTTTGCTAGCATTTAAAATTATTTCTATGTACAAAAACAAGCATACTTCTGCCCCTTTATGTTACAAACGATATATGGAATATATTGGATTCTATCCAGCACTGCATAAAATTAATGCAAGAGGGCTTCCTCTTCCTCTCTTCTCCCCATGCACCTCCCAAAATCTGCTCCAGAGGGTCCCCCAGCCTTCTGGAGCAGATTTTGAGGATTCATGGGGGACTGCTGGTGAGTTCCATTGTGCAAGCAGAAGTCTGCTCCAATAAAATAACAGCAGGTTGGATACAGTCCATTGTCTCTTGTGTTTATAGACAAACTAGGAAGTAAATCTGAGAGACACATATACCCTAACTTATCTAACTATCTATCCATTAATTAATTAAATTTCTTACCTGTGCTTTATCATATGGCCCCAAGACAAGTTACCATAATACAATATACAGCGATGAATTCAGTGTAGTGCTACGGCAATTGTTTTTCAACTTGCCAGATGGAACAATTCCCTTTCCCCTTCCCCTGAGCACTGTTCTGGGGGAGATAGTTTCAGGTGGGGCAGGAAGAAAAGGAGAGAGAAATCTCATTGTTCTAGTGGAAGCCCTCGTCCTGGCTTCTGTTAACAGGATTTGTTAGTTGAATCCCACCCACAGTTATAAAAGCAGATAAAACCATTAACTATCATAAAGATGAGTAAAACTATACTAATCAGAACTTCAGACATGAATATAAGAGAGTGGCATTCCTGCTCTGTCTAAAAGGAAAGACAAATACTCATTTTCTGTCTTAAAATGTATGCATATGACCTGCAGAGAGCTTTGAAGCTCTGACATGAATAAACAGTAAGCATTGAAAATTAGACCAAGTATTACTTTGATATAGTGGTGGCAAAATGGAAAAGGAAAAGTGTCACAAAAATGCTATATAAGAGAGTTTCCAAATATGATAATGGAAGGTAACAGGGGCAGCATAACAAATACATTAAAATTAAATGTTCAATTATAGTCAATAGTCTCACATGAAAAGCTGAGCCTAAATACTATCTTTGTGTATCTTGGTACCTGCTTGATTCTGCTTTGCATGTCTTTAATTAAAGTTCCCTTCCAGTCCTCTGTGAGGTTTGCATCACAAAAATTAATTTTCAAAAATCGATTCCATGCCTAAAAAAAGAAAATGCACTTTAATATAAAAGCAAATCACTAGGGATACAAGAGGATTAGGAAAGTTTATTCATCTTATATGCCAAGAGTTTCCCACCTTCAGCATCACAATCTACTAAGAGACAGGATATAGTCTAAAGCATAGGTGGCAAAACTTTTTTGACCCAAGGGCCAGATTGCCTTGAGACAAACCATAGACTGTGTACAAAATGTAGGTGGGACCATTAGCAAATAATGGTGGCAGCCATTCCCTCTCACACATACATACAACACACACACATATACAGACAGGCACACATTGTTCCCCACTCTTCAGCGAACACATACAGACCAGAAAAGGAGAAGGATGGTGGCAGCATTTTCCTTTCCATCAGTGCTGAGACAGGCAGAGAAGTTTAAATCTTTTTTAACAGAGGCCTAGTGCAACTCCACAAGGCACAAAAGCAGTAATGGGACTAAAAGGAATAGGTTTTTCCCCTCTTCCTCCTGCCTAGAATTCTCCAGAACTACACGAGCAGGTTCTGGTCACTGTTGAAGATCCCAGAACAGCTTCATTAGAGCTGCGCAAAGTGAAGACTGGAACGAACAGGAGCACTCCAGAAACCCAAGCAATACTGGAGTGCTCTAGGGACAGTGGGCTTTGATGGTTGGGTTTCTTTTGTTTGGTTCTGCTGATACCACCATCATGGAACAGGAGATGTGGCTGTCAGTCCACTTTAAAAAGCTTTAGGGACCAGTTCCAGCCCATGGGGCAGAGTTTATCCTTTTCTCCTCTAAACATGCAGGTAACAGAGCAGCATAAGTTTCCAATTCTAGCCTTATGCAGGCTTATTCCCATTGCCTTCAACATCTGCAGGGCATATGGAGGTCAGCTTGTGAAGAGCCTCCTGCACCCATGGAAATTCTCCATAAATTGGGGGGGGGTGTAGGCAAAATCATGTGGTATCCCCTTGGTATGGTCTATCTCTGTAGCTTTCCCTCCCAAGGTCCCCTTATGATCATGTGGACATGAAAAGAATAAATCTCCTGTCTTTCCCCAGCCTCTGACTGCAACATGTGATGGGTAATCTTCAACCCAAAAGGAATACATGCAAGCCATGAATATCATGCCACTTCATCTCCCCCAGCCAACTGGTAATGATGTTGAGTATCAGTACTCCAAAGACTAAAAATTCAAAACTGGCCATTCCAAATATGAAGTTCTCTTTGTGACATAAAAGCCAGCTAGAGGAAAGGAAACATTTGTTATACTGCGTTATATTTATTATATTCATTTTTTTTAGAACAGCTTTGGTGTATTATAAATAAAGAAGAACAAAGAGAATAGTAATGACAATAGTATGTAATAATAATAATACAGTGGTGCCTCGCAAGACGAAATTAATTCGTTCCGCAAGTTTTTTCTTCTTGCGAGTTTTTCGTCTTGCGAAGCACGGTTTCCCATAGGAATGCATTGAAAATCAATCAATGCGTTCCTATGGAGACCGTTCCTATGGAGACCTCTTTTGACCATTCCTATGGAGACCTCTTTTGAAGCAAGGGGCAGAGGGGAGAAGATCGCTTCTCCCCGTTGCCGCCCCTTGGTTCAAAAGGGGTCCGGGGAGAGAGGGGAAGGCGCGCTGCACTTCCGCGCTATCCCCTGAGCTTGCGGGGCAAGCTTCGTTTTGCGAAGCAAGCCCATAGGGAAATGCGTCTTGCGAAGCGGCTAAGAAAACGAAAAACTCCTTCGTCTAGCGAGTTTTTCGTCTTCCGAGGCGTTCGTCTTGCGGGGTACCACTGTAATAATAATAATAATAATAATAATTTATTATTTATACCCCGCCCATCTGGCTGAGTTTCCCCAGCCACTCTGGGAGGCTCCCAATCAAGTGTTAAAAACAGTACAGTGTTACATATTAAAAACTTCCATGAATAGGGCTGCCTTCAGATGTCTTCTGAATGTCAGGTAGTTGTTTATCTCTTTGACATCTGATGAGAGGGCGTTCCACAGGGCAGGCGCCACTACCGAGAAGGCCCTCTGCCTGGTTCCCTGTAGCTTTGCATGTCGCAATGAGGGAACCGCCAGAAGGCCCTCAGCACTGGATCTCAGTGTCCGGGCTGAACGATGGGGGTGGAGACGCTCCTTCAGGTATACAGGACCGAGGCCGTTTAAGGCTTTAAAGGTCAGCACCAACACTTTGAATTGTGCTCAGAAACATACTGGGAGCCAATGCAGATCTCTCAGAACCGGTGTTATATGGTCCTGGCGGCCACTCCCAGTCACCAGTCTAGCTGCCGCATTCTGGATTAATTGCAGTTTCTGGGTCACCTTCAAAGGTAGCCCCACGTAGAGCAAGTTCCAGTAGTCCAAGCGGGAGATAACCAGAGCATGCACTACTCTGGCGAGACAGTCCGCGGGCAGGTAGGGTTTTAGCCTGCGTACCAGGTGGAGCTGGTAGACAGCTGCCCTGGACACAGAGCTAACCTGCGCCTCCATGGACAGCTGTGAGTCCAAAATGACTCCCAGGCTGCGCACCTGGTCCTTCAGGGGCACAGTTACCCCATTCAGGACCAGGGAATCACCCACCCCCACCCGCTCCCTGTCCCCCAAAAACAGTACTTCTGTCTTGTCGGGATTCAACCTCAATCTGTTAGCCACCATCCATCCTCCAACCGCCTCCAGACACTCACACAGGACCTTCACCGCCTTCACTGGTTCTGATTTAAAGGAGAAGTAGAGCTGGGTGTCATCCGTATACTGATGAACACCCAGTCCAAACCTCCTGATGATCTCTCCCAGCGGCTTCATATAGATATTAAAAAGCATGGGGGAGAGGATGGAACCCTGAGGCACCCCACAAGTGAGAGCCCAGGGGTCTGAACACTCATCCCCCCCACCACTTTCTGGACACGGCCCAGGAGAAAGGAGCGGAACCACCGTATAACAGTGCCCCCAGCTCCCAGCCCCTCTAGATGGTCCAGAAGGCTGTTATGGTCGATGGTGTCAAAGGCCGCTGAGAGGTCTAGCAGAACTAGGAAACAGCTCTCACCTTTGTCCCTAGCCCATCAGAGATCATCAACCAACGCAACCAAGGCAGTTTCAGTCCCATGGTGAGGCCTGAATCCCAACTGGAAGGGATCCAAATGGTCCGCATCCTCCAGGCGTGCTTGGAGTTGTTCAGCAACCACCCGCTCAATCACCTTGCCCAAGAATGGTAAATTTGAGACTGGGTGATAGTTGGCCAAATTGGCCGGGTCTAAAGATGTTTTTTTAAGAAGCAGTTTAATGACCGCCTCTTTCAGCGGGTCTGGGAAGGCTCCCTCACAGAGGGAAGCATTCACCACCCCACAGAGCCCATCGCCCAGCCCTTCCCGGCTCGCTTTTATCAGCCAGGATGGGCAAGGATCAAGGAGACAGGTGGTCGGTTTCACTTGTCCAAGCAGCCTGTCCACATCCACAGAGGTAACAGATTGGAATTGATCCCATGTAACAGGACCAGACAGAACTCTAGCACTCTCCCGCCCCGGCCCTGTCTACCTCCTTCTGAATCTGAGCGACTTTATCTGCAAAAAAACAAGATCTCTCTGCATTGCAGGAGATCTTGGGGTCCCTACCAGGCCCCGGTGGTACAGGTGGTTCCGATAGACTGCGAACCACCTGAAAAAGTCTCCTGCTGCTGTTTTCTGCTGGAAAACAGCCTTCTAGCAACATGAATAGAAGGCTATTCCTCCTCTAGAGTGATAAGCTTTAGAGAGATTAGCCTTGCATCTTCTGCAAAGCTACCCCAAAATAAAGCACATTCTTAATCCAATATTCTCTGTGAGGTTGGCTAACACATCAGAAGCAGCAACTGATATCTCTCCACAAAGGCCAAAAAGACTACTGGGGGAGGGGAACATCTACAAGAAAATAGTGTGGAGTTCCAGATTACAAACCTCAAGCTCCATTGGAAAAGTAAGCTCTACAATGAAATGTGAACCAGGTTTCAGCATATGTGCTGGTAGAACAGCACGAAACCAGGCCCTGGTAGCATTACGAAGTCCTTGGTATACTGTCTTTGGAGTATTCTGCATAGCCTTGTCTCTTGTAGCCTATTGTGAAGAAAATAAAGAATTACAAACTGTTGAACCAAAGAACAACTTTCTGCTAAGCTAGCCACGTGAAGAGAGGCAATACCCAACCCATTCGGTTCATCAGCAACAATCTCAAATAACAAACAGCATACAGAGAGATGCTCACCTCCGAAGGTGCAAATTCAAAAATCCTTGAAAAAATGCGGACAGAAATAGCTGGTATCTTGTAATATTGTAGCAGCTTGAATTTTCTGCACATTTTCTCATGAAGTCTTTGGCAGACAGTCACATATGAGTTCCAAGTGTCCTGCTGTAACATTCTAAATTGTGGGAAATGCTTGTTATTTTTGCTAGATGGATTGGATTATGTCTAAAAATATAAGCACAACAAACAAAACCTGACAATCACTGTAGTGTGTCTAATACAGCTTTCATTTGTGCAATCCTAGAGAGTGCAAGGCTTTCCTTTGTACCCTATTCAGCTCACTTTTGGTGAGAGATAGCCTCGGAATGCAGCCAATGGGCATTCAGATCTTTTTCACCCCACTTTAGAATCTGTGCTGTGTCACTTCCTTATGGTTTTAGAAGAAAGCAAAATATCACTGGGTTTATGCATACAATTTTGCTAAATATCTGCTTTTGGGTGGGTGGGTGGGTGGGTGGGTGGGTGGGTGGGAGTGAGTGAGCGAGTGAGTGAGTGAGACAGAGAGATCTTGCAAAATATCTTCCTGTGTATGAGAAAAAAAGATCTTGCACACATGGGCAGATATTTTGCAATATCCCTCTCTCACACACACATGGCAGATGTTTTTCAAAACAATATGTTGAAAACATAATAATGCATTTCAGTAGAGTTTCCTCTGGTTGAACACTATAATGAAGGTATACACGTATCTTTTACTTACTCATTTTGTTTGTTATTGAGGGCATCCAACACCTTCATCAGGAGTTTTTCTACCTCCTAAGAAATAGTAGCAGAAATTAATGTCGGAGAACTAGAACACTGCATTATCATCTAGTCTAAAGGCCAAACTATACATTACATTACATCAGGGATCACCAACCTCTGTGTGTGTGAGAGAGAGAGGGGGGGTTATATGGGGGCTGGAAATACTGAGCTTTTCTGAATGTGTGTGGGGGGGGGTGCTCTAGTATGTTCTGTGTGTGATTAAGAGCAATGCACTTGGGCAGAGAGAGAGATGCATGGGTGGCATTGTGTATGTGAAGTGTGTGAACTGAAGTGCATGAGTGTGTGCATGTGCTGTGTATCTTGTACGTAGCAGGAGGAAATTCCAAAGATTAGGTGCTTCCATGCTAAAGGTCTGATTCCTACATTCTACAGAATGGAGCTCATAATGAGTTGGTATCTGCAGGAGGTCCTTTCCTGCAGAGAGTAATGATCAGATGGGCAAGACAATCGTTTAGGTTTCCTGGTTCCTACACAGGGCTTTGTTCACCACTATCAGCAGCTTGAACTTAGCCTAGTGGCTATTTGGAAGCCCGTGCAATTCTTTCAGCAGTGGCTATATTCTGCACTAGCTATAGCTTCCAGGATAATCACAGAGGCAACACAGAACACAAAATAGTAGTTCACTCTGGAAGTTACCAGTGCAAGGGCAACAGCAGTCAGGCTATTACATTTCAGAAATGGCCATTTCTGTATTATCAGCCAATGCTGAGGTCACCTGGGTTTTTAGTGACAGTAATTAGTCTAGGAGCACCACCACACTATGACCCTGTCCAATACCAGGGAGAGCAGGGAGGGCTTTTTCAGGAGTCATATCACCACCTCCTTTTTCAAGATGTAATAATTGTATGACTTCAATAAGGACTACCAGGATTCTGTTGGGTAGAACTTTTTATTTTAAATTGTCTCATTTGCTGACTTAACAGTCATATCATAAGCTGTGTTACATTTTAGGTCAGGGATGGGGGACCTGTGGCTCTCCAGATGTTGCTAAACTACAGCTCCCATCATCCCTGATCATGCTGGTAGGGGCTGATGGGAGTTGGAGTCCAACAGTATCTAGAGGTCCACAGACTTCCCACCCATTTTAGATGGATATTACTTTCTTTTTTAAAAAAAATCAAAGCATACCTCACAGATAGGATGAGTGGCTTTCAAATCCTCCAGTCTATGAAAAATTCCTAGAAGATAGTCCAATGGTTCAGCAGGAAAGTCAGAGATAAATTCAGCCAAGGCTCTTCGAGGAAGCAAGGAAAACCATGATCTGAACAGTGCTCTGTTTTCTTTCACCAAATATTTCTTTTCTTTCATTTGTGGTAGTAAGAATCTGCAAAACCAAATAATAATAACTCAAATATACATAATGTCTTCATATAATATACAAAAAAGAATGCCATGTTTTCAGAAAGCTGAACATTGTAAGGAACAGTGGAATAATATTTGTAAATGGAAAATTCAGTCCTAAGTTGGGTTCAGGATGAGCAGATCAGCAAATCTACCACAACATCCCAAGCTTTGCTGGCTCGTGAGGGCTAAGATGGAAAGGAGAAATGCAATGTGTTTCTAACTTCTGCATTATGCCTGTGCCATGTTGGTTCAGCTGAGTAGTTCAAGGATTGGGACCTTCAGGGCATCTGTGGTGTTTTGAATCCAGTGAATCCAAAGTTACTGTTGCCCCCACCACATCTTCAGGGCTTTCTGCCAGCACAGCTTTCCAGCAGAGAGCTAACAGTGCACCAGTGCATTGACAAGCATAGTAATGTACTGTTAAATCTCTTCTAGTGTAGCATATTGATAATGTATGTATCTATTTATCAAACAGGAACTCTAGACAGCTTAATCCACAGATCATAATATTTTTAAGAGAAGGGCAATAAGACTAACATATTCCAACTTACTTCTCAGAACCCCTTTTTTCTTCATCAATCCTATATTGAACAAAGGGAAGACCTTTCAACCTTGCCCATTCGTCTTCCGATTCAAGTTGAGCATTCTCTTGGACGTATTCAAAATCAGTAAAGAGATGAAGAACTGGGATTGTCCACAGCCACTGATGAACTTGCTGTACAATACAAAAATTGCAGAACAATCTCAAATACACCCCCAACCTGAAAGAGAAAAAGAAAAGCCAATCAGATGGTTGAAGAGGAACATTGGAACCTTTCTCTGACAAAGTCTCACGTGCAGAAATTCAGGAGATGTACCTCTTATTAGGGAATTCAAGAGATGTAAATCTTATTGATGGGGCAGCTGTGGCCTTCCAGATGTTGGTGGACTCCCAAATCCTATCAGCCCCAGCCAGCATGGCCATTGATTAGGAACTATGGGAGGTGAAGTCCAGCAACATCTGGAAGGCCACAGATTCCCAATCCCTGCTTTATGTATGGGGATAGTTGAATCCATTTAATTTTTGTCCAACACACAGTTGCTAAAGTCACACCTCTGTTTGGACAAAGGTAGCAACACAATCATCACACAACACTTTTTATTCAATACCAATCCCTCTACTTTTAATTTACAAAATTATTCATATCCCAAGGCAATTCACATTATCATAAAAACAATCTAAAAATAAGCAAAACAGCTGACAAAGGTAGTAACAGTTATTGAAAAGATCAATTACAGCTAGTTAATAACAGATAATAGAGATTTAATATGAAAACTAACAAAACTATATTCTGTAAGATGGCTCTCAAGCAAAAAAAACAAAAAAGCAAACATGTAAGAAAAGACTGTTAAAATAAGTGGGTTTTAAAAACTTGTTTAAAAATCTAGAGTGTGGAAGTCATGCACACCTTTCATGGGATGGATTCTGAGAGTGTGGGGGACACCATGAAATCTTTGAAAACACTTCTTTGACTTTATTCATTGCCTCTGCCAGTGGTTGCTCCTTCAGGCAAAGAAGGCTGCAAAATCTGAGACACTCTTGTTTTGACTTTGGAATAACATAGAAATCTCCAGATAATAGAAAGATGGTCAATGTCAGGACTAGTTTATTATATTCTGATGTATTCCTAGCTTTATTATATTCTGATGTATTCTTTTGGTAATCTTCCAAGTAATCTTCAATCACCTTTTGAACCTAAATAAAAGAAAATAATAAATTCAGCTCCAAAAATAACCTATTTTTCTCTAGAAGCCATTCTGTTCTGTGTCACATTTGGAACCAGTGGTAATGGCTGAGTCTCTCCACCTTCTCCCTTCCTAGAGCAAGTCAAGAGGGGGGAAATACCTTGGCCAGAACTGCCAGTGCTAAAGCAACCAAAAATGAAAAATGTATGCAGTGTGTTTTGTTTTGTTTTGTTTTAATCATTTTTATTAGTTTTTTTTTTAAAAAAAACCAATGTCTATAATCATTACATTACATTCAAATTTCAATTTCCCCCTTCCCTGCTGACTTCCCTCAACTTCCATCCCTGGTTTATTACAACTCATATTACATTCTGCTGTTTATATAGACTTCTATATTGTCATACTATTAGGTTTCCTATTTTTTATAAATAAAATTGCAAATGTTTATTTAAATCCTGCCAATGACTCTATGCTTTTTGTTGTTTTTGCAAATATAATGTAATGCAGTGTGTTTATATAGAGAGTGTGAATAGAGTGTGTACAGAGAGTAGCTGCTGCCACTGAAGTAGCAGCAAAAACCTGAACAATAACAAGAAGTAATGGGGGTGGGGAGGTATTGCCATCATCACCATATAGAGGAGGAGGGGAACTTAAAGTGCATTACAGTCCCTTGGCAAGTGTGGCTCACTGATTGGTGCTGATAGCAAGCCCCTTTGGTGTTGATTGTTCTTAGGCAAAAAGACATTTTTCCTCTGTAGACTGATTTTGCAGATCACTTTGCTGGTCCGGGGAGAAAGAAAATCTGTTTGCAAGTCAAGTGTGAATCCAACCTGTGCCTGCAAACAGAAAAGGCAGGTCTCACGGTCAATGCCAGTCAGCTGTCAGCTGAAGATGTGATTGACAAATCTATCTGTCAAAAAAACCCATGAGGAGTGGGGGAGGTCAGGATCCAACCCATCAGCCAGTTAGTTAAGAGATGGAGCTTTTTCAGGAGCAGCACCCACCAGATTATGGGATGCCTTGCTTCATGAGGTTTGCTTGGCCCACTTGCTTGTTGTGTTTTGCTAGCCGGTGAAATAGTTTTAATATTTCAGTGAGCAATTGCTTTGTTGAATAGAAGTTTTTATGGTGCTATTATGTTTGGTTATGTATTGTTGTTTTTATTATGGATTATTTGTAATGACTGTAAGCCAATCTGAGTAATGCAAAAGCATGAGAATATGCATTTACACAGTCCCAGAATATCTATTTTATCCCATGTCAGTTGGTAGGAAAAGCAATTATAGCTGAAAATCTCAATCAATCACAACTGACCTAGTTTAGACTTTTTCATTCAATAAAATTAGCAAGCAACTTAACACAGTCACAGAGGACATCAAAAGATGCTGGTAATATAGTAACATGAACACTGACCCCTTAAGAGAAGTTCCTGATAACTTGCTTTTACAATACCTGCTTTTCATCAAACTGTAAATCTGTCCATTCCTTTGGCTCTCCCTCATGTACCATTAGCTTCTTATTCACCAAGTAAAACTGATGAAATTGCTGGAAGAAGTTCTCAACACTGCAGGAAGTCAAGGTATTCAATATAGAGAACAGACTATCCAGCATTATTTGTAAAGCCTTTTTCTTCCTTTTCACAATATTGTCATTTTTACTGCTTAACATATTCCAGCTTCTTGAAGAGGATTCTTTACATATTATATCATCAAACTGATGCCAATCTGTTAATAAAACAAAAACAAAAAAGTTTCTCCCCATTTTTTGAACAACAACAAGGAATTTTCATGATACAAGATAATTCTTTCCATCCCCCTATCTATATGGGTAATATAATTTCATTATTCAATATTTTACAAGCCATTATCTCCACCCCTCAAAAAAAGATATTGATGACCTCAATTTTAGAAACTCGGTTGCTTAATATAATATACTTTCAGGTCTCAAAGACATAAGCATGAATTCATGTGAACAAAAAATTATTTCCCCTGAAGGTTTTTCTGTGCTCCACCTCTCCCAAGTATATAGATTATGCCTTTAGGAAATGGGAATTCCTGTTTTCCATCATGGCAGCAAGCCCATATAAACAGAAACATGATGCTGGGATCAGGTACGCTGCTAAATCAGAATGCTAGTCAGTGCTAGGGTGGGAGTCAATGCAGCATAGTGATTAGAGGTGCTAAGGGAACACCTAGTTCTTTAAATGAATTCAAATCTCTAGGGTCTGATGCACCTGGCATTGCTTTCCTTTTGGGTGATGAGAGAGCAAAGCAGGGGGCAGACACCAAGTGCTCACTCATTTCTGAACAAAGGTGATTAAGGGCCTGGAAACCAAATCTTATTATGAACAGTTGAGAAAGCTTGTTTTCTCCTGCTCTGGAGAGTAGGACTCAAACCAATGGCTTCAAGTTACAAGAAAGGAGATTCCAACTAAACATCAGAAAGAATTCTCTGACAGCAGGAGCTTCATTGCAAGATTTAAAGGAGAGGTTGGATGGCCATCTGTCACAGATGTTTTAGTTGATATTCCTCCATGAAGTTTGGACCAGTCACCATGGGCCAGTCACAGCCTCTCGCTCTAACCTTCCTCACAGGGTTGTTGTGAAGATAAAATATAGAAGGGAGAACCATCTCTGCCACCTTGAGCTCCTTGAAGGAAATATGGGTTATAAACCTAGTACAAGCATACACACACATTCTGGAAACAGTTCCTTACCTGTACCACTTAAATACTTGGACTGTATAAATAAACAGCGATTCACATGGATTCCCTCTGGAGACTCTTTGGGAATAACTTCATACTCTCCTTTCTCGCCACATACCACATAATATTTATAGGGAATTTGTTTATCCATGTTGTCCTTTGAAATGGTGACACAACCTTTGAATAGGTGTCCATGTTTACCAATATCCCTGTTTTTAAAACAATCCATGTTTGTGATTATATTAAAAGCAAAGTACATCCATGGTTGAGCAATAAAACTTAAGCTAAAAAAAAAAAGCTGTCTCAACAAAAACAAACAGAAAAGTAATGGTCTAAATGTAAAGTATCAGTTGCTGCATCAAAGCATAATCTCCTGGAGTAAATAGTGCTTCCAGATCATATGTTTACCACCTTTAGTAATTGAAAGGAAAACACACACAACCGATTGGTTTGTCATAGTTTTAACACTAGGTGGGTAGAGGGAGGGCAGAAAGAAGGTAGGATCTATTCTTGGGATCTGTGAAAAGTAGAATGCATCCTAGGTATAAAGGAAGAAGAAGAAGAAGAAGAAGAAGAAGAAGAAGAAGAGGAGGAGGAGGAGGAGGAGGAGGAGGAGGAGTTTGGATTTGATATCCTGCTTTATCACTACCCGAAGGAGTCTCAAAGCGGCTAACATTCTCCTTTCCCTTCCTCCCCCACAACAAACACTCTGTGAGGTGAGTGGGACTGAGAGACTTCAGAGAAGTGTGACTAGCCCAAGGTCACCCAGCAGCTGCATGTGGAGGAGCGGAGACGCGAACCCGGTTCCCCAGATTACGAGACTACCACTCTTAACCACTACACCACACTGGCTCTCAGTATATCAGGGCCCCCCAGAAGGCACAAAATTCTGACACATGCCTAGCTAAAACATTGGCTACTAGAGACACCACTTTCCAAAAGAGTAGTCTAAGAGAGATGGATCTGATGGTTGAACTGACAGCTGCCATAAGCCCTTGAGTAATGTGTGGAACATCTATGTATAGTGTCAAATAGCTCATGGGAAATGCTTGTCTCGGGAACCTTTTTATCATCCAGAATAATTTCCATGTTTTGCCTCCTCCTCATTCACTCCTCTCTTCTGTTCATTTATGGACAAGTTAGAAGTAAAATACACCTACTTAAGGGACCCCCTTATCATTGTGAGAGCTGTCCATTTAGTCCTACTTTCTCCGCCTCTTCTTTTACCAGTTAGCAATCCATAAGAGGACCTATCCACCTATTCCATGACTGCTAAGTTTGTTTGGAAACTTTTGGTGAGGAACTTGGTAATTTGATATGTAATAATGTTTTCCACTATTTTACCCAGAACAGAAGTTAAACTAACTGGCATATAATTTCCTGGATCCATTTTTTAAAATTGCTGTTACCTTGGCTATCCTTAGGTATGGATGTCAATCTTAGGGCCAAGTAATATATTTTTGCTAGAAAGTCAGTTATTAATGTTTGAATTCTTTAAGAACTGTCAAGTAAATATAATCCAGACCTGATGATCTGTTAATTTTTGACCATCACTCTCATGTCAGGAGTGCTCTGATGGTGTTTCCTGCTTGGCAGGGGGTTGGACTCGATGGCCCTTGTGGACTATTCCAACTCTATGATTCTATGATTCTATGATTTATTCAAACTCCCTTGCTAAAAAAGTAAATTCAGGCATAGATTTCTGCCCTACATCTTAGGCAGTGAAGACAATACAGCTGATTGCTAAAATAATGTGCATCTATAAGTCAGTTACATAAAAGAAATTATTCAGAACATTCACTCTAAGAAAAAGGGTCAGCAACCTTTTTCAGCTATGGGCCGGTCCACCATCCCTCAGACCATGTGGTGGGCTGGACTATATTTTGGAGGGGGAAAATGAACGAATTCCTATGCCCCACAAATAACCCAGAGATGCATTTTAAATAAAAGGACACATTTTATTCATGTAAAGACACACTGTCCACGGGCCAGATTGAGAAGGCGATTGGGCCGCATCTGGCTCACGGGCCTTAGGTTGCCTACCCCTGCTCTAAGATTACACCCAACTGTTCCACTGTTAAACAATATTTCCCCAGTCTTCAGACCCAAATATTTCAGATTCATTCATTTTCCTTTTCACACAAAAATTCCAAAAGGGGTTCTCGAATTATTGTTATCAATAAATGTCAGCAATGGTTTCTCTCAAATCAAACGTATCAACTTGTCTCCAATATCTTCAACAACCATTTCTCCATAAGTCTTTCTGTCTTTGTCCATGTAAGAGTCTCTCCTGTGACACGAGTAGCGCTATGGTCTAAACCACTGAGCCTCTTGGGCTTGCCGTTCAGAAGGTTGGCAGTTCAAATCCATGCAACGGGGTGAGCTCCCACTGCTTTGTCCTAGCTTCTGCCAACCTAGCAGTTTGAAAGCCTACCAGTGTACCAGATAAATAGGTACCACTGCAACAGGAAGGTAAACTGTTTCCGTGTGCTCTGGCTTCCGTTGCACCAAAAGCGATTTAGTCATGCTGGCCACATGAATCGGAAAGCTGTCTGTGGACAAATGCCAGCTCCCTCGGCCTGAAAAGTGAGATGAGCGTCGCACCACATAGTCACCTTTGACTGGACTTAACCATCTGGGGGCCCTTTGCATTTTACCCTTTTTACCTCCTCTGTGATCATATACAGTCATACCTCGGGTTGATGTAGCTTCGGGATAAGTATTTTCGGGTTCCGCACTGCGGCGACCCGGAAGTAACGGAGCACATTACTTCTAGGTTTCGTCGCTCGCGCATGCGCAGACGGTCAAAATTACATCATGCGCATGCGCGGAAGCAGCAAATCGCGACCCGCACAGACGTGGGTTGCATTCGCTTCAGGATGCGAACGGGGCTCTGGAATGGATCCCGTTCACATCCAGAGGTACCACTGTATTACTGTTCCATAGTCCTGTTTTCATTAATTCACACACATTCTCATTTCCAGTTAGTTGTACTTGTCAGTTTTCCATCCTTATTAAAAAAAATTAGCCCTTCCATTTATACCTCTTGCATTCTTTTTCCAAGAAAGCACCAGAGGTTTGATAACTTTTTCCTCTGAGTTCACTCCAAGTTGTACACAGAGCCCTTTCTCTCTCAGCTCTATTGATGCCATATCAGGATTCTCTGTGGCTTCATTTAACTCCTCCAATATGACAACTCCATCATTACATACAGGTTTACACACAGATGAACATGGTAGATGGTTAGTAGAAGAACTCTGAGTGAGAGGCAGGGATGGGGTGACTTCTCAGGGTGAAAGATTGGGAAAAGAAAAAAAAGCTCCCATATGAGAGCTGGGAGAATGCTCCACTTTCTGGAAACAAGCTATCTTTGAGAGAGAACTCTGTCTTTTCTATTCTCCTTCTTTAGCTGTTTTTGTTTTTATTTAGATTAGTTTCTTTTATCTTATTACATTATGAAAAAAGCTTTAATACAACCTTATTTTTTAAGGAAAGAAATATACCTCACCTTCAAAAAAATTATAAAAAGCAAGTATTAATACGTAATAAATATTAAATGTATCTGCATGCGCTCTTAGTAACCTTAATTTTGAGAAGGTAGACAGGAATTTAAAATGCTAGTCTACAGAGGCACAGAATACAAATATTAAGAGTTTCAGCAGAAACAAACAAACAAACAAACAAAAATCCCCCAATTTTTAAAAACCTGGTATGTGGTTGCTATCTTTTCTGGCCACTACAGAACTGTACTTACTTTGTGCAAGCCAGCTCACAGATACTGTCTTCCCAATCATTATATCCAGAAATGCCTTCTGCCCTAATGAAGACTCTAGGCTCCTCGGACTCTCCTTTGAAGTCCTTAGACAGTATGGCATGGAAGAATACTGTAACACCATCTTCATAACTCACTTGGCTGCAACAGTAAGAAAAAGGTCAGAATAGCTTGTTTTGAAATACATTCTGATACTTAGGGGTAGAATTCAGGCTGTTGCCCCATCAGCATAAACATTTCTGCTTGCCTAATGAAATTATTTCCCCTCTTCTCCCCCATGCTCTTTTCTAGATTTTCAGGGTGTGTGAGGGGGTGCATGGAAAGAAGCTCTGTTGCACTAGCGGGATTTGTTGCACTGGCTTCTGCTAGGGAAATTGGATAGTTGAATCCAGCCCTTAAACTGTAATTCTATGTTCACTCACTTAAAAGCAATCCTCACTGAACTCAGTAGGACTAAGTTCTGAACTGGACATGCACAGGATTGCATTGCTAACCACTGCAGAATTTGGAAGGAAATGTTAGGGTTTGTGGTTTTTATATATATTGGTGGCACTCGAATGCTTTAAGAACACCACAAAATCACACATTTTACATGACCATTCTCGATAGTTTTACATTTAGTCAAATGTGGATTCCCTTCCCTTTCAGACCAGAATGAAAATGAAACCACTATACATCAGTTCTTATTGCACTTAATACCACTTCAATAAATTTACATGAGTAATACCTTTGCTTAACTTCCCAGTTTCTCTGTTTCTTTGTTTGCTTATGCTTTCCTTTTTTCACATTCTGATTTGAAATAGCAGGCAGCTTTCCCTTCTCAGGTCCTTCTAAAGGAGTTTCTGTTTTTTCTTCCTTTTTTAAGATTCCAATTTTGGTCATTCTTGCTTTCTGTAACACAGCAATGCATCCTCCCATGAGTCAATGTTTAAGAAGTTTCCCTGCCCAGCTGATGCGAGGAAATTCTTGCTTGCTACAGGATAAGGCTGGAATAAGATACCACATGATCCCAGAACACACTGCTTTCATACAAATAAAGTTCCTCTTTTAGGATATCATGCACAGCACACTGTACATAAACATAAATTATTAATTTAGGCCCCCTTATAGTTTGTCACTTGTCTGTGTAGAAACTGATTGCAGGTGAGAAGCTGTTGTCCTTTGTGGAACCCTACCTTACACTGCTTCCCCTGATCTCCGTTGTGGCCTCTCCTTATGTATTTTTCAGCAGTTACGTGGCCTATGGCACAGTTTTCCTGCATTTGAGTGTTTTATGTGTTTAATTTTAATATCTATATATAGGTCTTTCAACATTGTTCTGTTAATATGTTCTTCCAAGACCACCTCTGTGCACCTTTTCTCTAAGGAAAGTAATCAGTAGTGCCTTCCTTCCACTGCAATGCCTTTCCTGTGTGCATTTTTTTTTATTTGTATGTTATTTGCCTCTCCTTGGTCTCATCATGAAATGGACTGGGGTTGAGGAGGACTAAGCCTAAAACTTTGTGTGCATTCCCTGCCTTCAGACAACAGGTAGTGCCATAAACCATGTGAAGGACCTTCATCCCAGATAAGTGACCTTCAGCTAAGGATGTTTCTATCCCATAGGGTGAAGGAATGAAGTTGGAAATTATTTACAGAAATAATAAACTATGCCTTTAAACCCTACTAAGGTGGAATCTACACACATATAAAAAACCACTGTGAAAATGCTTTTTTAAAAAATATATATATATTTAATTTGCCATAGCTCACCACCGCCATCTAGTGTCACATTTGGATACTGCACTTTACAACACACTTAAAATGTTTTATTTGCAGTTGTATAGCTGAGTCCTAAGTTTTTTGTTGTTTAGTCGTTTAGTCGTGTCCGACTCTTCGTGAGCCCATGGACCAGAGAATGCCAGGCACTCCTGTCTTCCACTGCCTCCCGCAGTTTGGTCAGACTCATATTGGCAGCTTCGAGAACACAGTCCAACCATCTCATCCTCTGTCGTCCCCTTCTCCTTGTGCCCTCAATCTTTCCCAATACCAGGGTCTTTTCCAGGGAGTCTTCTCTTCTCATGAGGTGGCCAAAGTATTGGAGCCTCAGCTTCAGGATCTGTCCTTCCAGTGAGCACTCAGGGCTGATTTCCTTCAGAATGGATAGGTTTGCTCTTCTTGCAGTCCATGGGACTCTCAAGAGTCTCCTCCAGCACCATAATTCAAAAGCATCAATTCTTTGGCGATCAGCCTTCTTTATGGTCCAGCTCTCACTTCCATACATCTCTACTGGGAAAACCATAGCTTTAACTTTGTCGGCAAGGTGATGTCTCTGCTTTTTAAGATGCTGTCTAGGTTTGTCATTGCTTTTCTCCCAAGAAGCAGGCGTCTTTTAATTTTGTGACTGCTGTCACAATCTGCAGTGATCACGGAACCCAAGAAAATAAAATCTCTCACTGCCTCCATTTCTTCCCCTTCTGTTTGCCAGGTGGTGATGGGACCAGTGGCCATGATCTTCGTTTTGTTGAGCTTCAGACCATATTTTGCGCTCTCCTCTTTCACCCTCATTAAAAGGTTCTTTAATTCTTCCTCACTTTCTGCCATCAAGGTTGTGTCATCTGCATATCTGAGGTTGTTGATATTTCTTCTGGTTGTTGATATTTCTTAATTCCAGTTTGGGATTCATCCAGTCCAGCCTTTCGCATGATGAATTCTGCATATAAGTTAAATAAGCAGGGAGACAATATACAGCCTTGCCGTACTCCTTTCCTAATTTTGAACCAATCAGTTATTCCATATCCCGTTCTATCTGTAGCTTCTTGTCACACATAGAGATTTCTCAGGAGACAGATGAGGTGATCAGACACTTCCATTTCTTTAAGAACTTGCCATAGTTTGCTGTGATCGACACAAAGGCTTTTGCATAGTCAATGAAGCAGAAGTAGATGTCTTTCTGGAACTCTCTAGCTTTCTCCATAATCCAGCGCATGCTTGCAATTTGATCTCTGGATCCTCTGTCCCCTCGAAATCCAGCTTGCGCTTCTGGGAGTTCTCGGTCCACATACTGCTTAAGCCTGCCTTGTAGAATTTTAAGCATAACCTTGCTAGTGTGTGAAATGAGTGGAATGAGAGTACAGTAGTTGGAGCATTCTTTGGCACTGCCCTTCTTTGGGAATGGGGTGTAGACTGATCTTCTCCAATCCTCTGGCCACTGCTGAGTTTTCCAAACTTGCTGGCATATTGAATGTTGTTGTTGTTTAGTCATTTAGTTGTGTCCGACTCTTCGTGACCCCATGGACCAGAGCACGCCAGGCACTCCTGTCTTCCACTGCCTCCTGCAGTTTGGTTAAACGCATGCTGGTAGCTTCGAGAACACTGTCCAACCATCTCATCCTCTGTCATCCCCTTCTCCTTGTGCCCTCAATCTTTCCCAACATCAGGGTTTTTCCAGGGAGTCTTCTCTTCTCATGAGGTGGCCAAAGTATTGGAGTCTCAGCTTCACGATCTGTCCTTCCAGTGAGCACTCAGGGCTGATTTCCTTAAGAATGGATAGGTTTGCTCTTCTTGTAGTCCATGGGACTCTCAAGAGTCTCCTCCAACACCGTGATTCAAAAGCATCAATTCTTCTTCAGCCCTCTTTATGGTCCAGCTCTCACTTCCATACATCACTACTGGGAAAACCAATAGTATTGAATGTAGCAAGTTTATTAAGTGTAGCAGGTGTATTAAGTTTAGCAAGTGCCATTGTTGCCGATGCGGAATCAAGTGTGTATATCTGGTTAGCTTTTGGGAACAACATTGTCAATATTGCCTCAGTTTATAAAAGGTTTATTGGCAAGCATTTCACATACAGAAATCTAAAAATAAAAATAAATAAAGTAATGTGTGTTATGGTAAAATTGTTAATTATACATAAAATTGTGATTGCTGCAGGCTCATCCCTTCGTTTCTTACACTTCAGATATAAACCTTTTCCAGAAATCTTGTTCAGCATTAATCATCACATGTGATAAGAATTCATACTTTTAGGTAGCGTAGCCCACAGATCAACAGCCTATGTCAGTCTCTCCCTTCAGGCTTGCCTGTAATTAGTAACAACTTGTTCGTTCATAATAAACATGCACCATTAAATATTTTAAAATAGCATAGAACTGTACAACAGCAAAACTGTAGCAAGTAAGGGGGGGGAAAGATGAATTATAAAACAAAGAAAAAGAAATCAGGTACTGTACTGGTTTAAACTGTACAGCTTGGATCCAGATGTCCAGTCAGTGGAAGTAATTAATTTGATGCTCCTACTGAAGGAAGTGATGGAGGTGTTGTTTTTTGTCAATTCCTCTTTTCCCCTGTAAGCCCCTGTGCCACCTGCACCAGGAGAGCCTCCGGAAGAGCATGGAATGTGCCATGTAATCTGTAAGGGGGAAGGAAGAGGTGGCAAAGGTCCCCACCCTCACTTCTTCCAGCAAGAACCTCTTCCAGCAAACCATTTCACAAACAGGAAAAGCCCTTCTGTTCATGGAAGGGCAACTCCAAATCCAGTCTAATCACTCCTGTGGTCCACTGAAAACAGGTTTTGCAACAGAGGCCACAGTGTGTCTCATACTGAGAACAGCTGCACCGCTGACCTGTTCTGAAAAAGCAGATGACTCCAGTTTGATCATACAAGCAAGCCAAGTTACAAATGGCAGAGGAAGCCATCAGGGAAAAGGAAAAGTGGTTTGTGAAACTCATTCACTGGATAACCCATTCTATATTTTATCAAATCCTAATTTAATTGTCTATACTGAGAATTCAACCCACCCATATTTTCAAAACTAGTAAAATATGCTCCCTCCACAGCAACTTGTCAGAGAAGAAAAACCATCACTCAGAAGCAGAGATTCCACAGAAAGGGTTCCATAGCACTATCACATTTAGTTCAATGGGGCCTACTCCCAAGTAAGTGTACAAAGGACTGAAAGAGTAGTCATGTTAATACACAATATTCTAGAAGAAAAAACTTAGGATAAGAAGGCACACAGAGGACCTAATACTGACCACTTTGTCAGTCAAACTTTGATCCTTTCCTGGGCTCTTCTTTGTCACATTTCTTTCAGCTGCAGAAACAAAGGCAGCACGGTTTCCTTCTGAGCTTTTTCCAGCATTACTACCCTCTTCATGGTTTATTCCAGAGGTAGCACTTTGGTCCTAGAAATTAAATACAAGATTTTTACACAAATATTGGTATTTTGGCAATTTGTTTCATCATGCATTGAGGGGAGAAATTCAAATTTATCACCACAAAAAACAGGGAACTGGGTAACTATGGTTTGAAAGCAATCACTTTAAACCAAGATTGCAAACCACAGTTTGATCCTGTTTGACAATTGTATCTGGGATGGATTGCCTGAACCAGTATGCTGGTTCTGATAAAATATAACAATGAAATGTGGCTTCGGCAAATCTGAAAGTAGGGCTGGCCTGCCCATTACCCTCACAGAAGCCTCAGGCAACAGACTGGGGACAGCTGGAAAGGGCAGCAGATCCAGGCCCCAAGGATAGTGCACCTCCACTCTCTCATTATGGAAGGAAAGACAAATACAGTGGTACCCCGCAAGACGAACGCCTCGCAAGACGGAAAACCCGCTAGACGAAAGGGTTTTCCGTTTTGGAGGTGCTTCGCAAAACGAATTTCCCTATGGGCTTGCTTCGCAAGACGAAAGCCCATAGGGAAATCTCCGGGACAGCGGGGAAGCGCAGCGCGTCTTCCCCACTGTCCTCGGACCTCCTCCCGCCGCCCGGCATCGGAACGAAGCTCCGATGCCGGGCGGCGGGGCGGGGACGCCTTCTCCCGCCGCCCGGCTTCGGATGGCTTTCCTGAAGACTTGGGGTGGGAGGAGGGTTTTCCTTCCCACCGCCAACATTCAGAATGCTGTTCTGAATGTTGGCGGTGGGGAGGAAAAACCCTCCTCCCACGCAAGCCCCGGGAACAGAGGGAAAGCGCTGCGCGCCTTCCCCTCTTTTCCCGTACCTGTCCTGAAGGCTTGCGGTGGGGAGAAAAGCCCTTCTCCGCACCGCCAGCCTGGCAAGCGGTTTCCCTAGGAACGCATTAATTGATTTTCAATGCATTCCTATGGGAAACCGTGCTTCGCAAGACGAAAAACTCGCAAGAAGAAAAAACTTGCGGAACGAATTAATTTCGTCTTGCGAGGCACCACTGTATCACAAGACTTTCATTCTCATTGTCTCTCTAAGGAAATGAGGAAGATTGGGATAAAAATCAAAGCATAGTACCACAGTGAAGTGGAGCTACTGTTCAATAGCCATTGTACAGCTGAACTGTAGCTGCTGTTCAACAGTTTTAATCCATAATTTGTTTATTTATGTACAGTGGTACATCGTTCCGATGCCGGGCGGCGGGAGGAGGTCCGAGGACAGTGGGGAAGACGCGCTGCGCTTCGCCGCTGTCCCGGAGATTTCCCTATGGGCTTTTGTCTTGCGAAGCAAGCCCATAGGGAAATTCGTTTTGCGAAGCGCCTCCAAAACGGAAAACCCTTTCGTCTAGCGGGTTTTCCGTCTTGCGAGGCGTTCGTCTTGCGGGGTACCACTGTATGTACATTTCTGAGCACTATTCAAAGTGTTGGTGCTGACCTGTAAAGCCCTAAAGCCCTCAGCCATGTATACTTGAAGGAATGTTTCCACCCCCATTTTTCAGCTCGGACAGTGAAATCCATAGAGATATCCATACACAGTTGTAATCCACATTACAAAAAGTAATGTGTACCCAAGCTGTGTCCCATTATTAATTAATTAATTAATTAATGCCCTGCACATCTGACTGGGTTGCCCTAGCCACACTGAATGGCTTCCAACACATACAGTATAAAAACATAATAAAACATCAAACATTAAAAACATCCTGATACAGCGCTGCCTTCAGATGTCTTCTAAAAGTTGTGTAGTTCTTTATCTCCTTGACATCTGATGGGAGGGCGTTTCACAGGGAGGGTGCCACTACCGGGAAGGCCCTATGCCTGGTTCCCTGTCTTCTCGCAGTGAAGGTACCTCCAGAAAGCCCTTGGAGGTGTATTTCAGTGTCCATGCTGCACGATGGGGGTAGAGACGCTCCTGCAGGGATACTGGGCCAAGGCCATTTAGGGCTTTAAAGGTCAGCACCTTTGAATTGTGCTTGGAAATGTACTGGGAGCCAATGTAGATCCTTCAGGCATCCCTGCGGAATGCCCACCCATCTGATTGTCAAGGAGATAAAGAACTACACAACTTTTAAAAGATATCTGATTCTGAAAGGAAGTATTGGAAAGTTTTTAATGTTTGATGTTTTATTATATTTTTATACTGTATGTGTTGGGAGTCACCCAGATGGGTGGGGTATAAATAATAAAATGATGATGATGATGGCACACCATTTCCCTGTATTGTTCACACAGCACATTTGTTACTGTGGCTGATACTTCTTGCACTCGATTATATGTAACACTGAGGCCCAGATAAGACAGTAATTATTATTATTTAATGTTTGATGTTTTATCTCTTTTTATTATTAATATTATTCTGCTGGGAGCCGCCCTAAGTAGCTGGGGAAACCCAGCCAGATGCACGGGGTATAAATAATAAATTATTATTAAATTACAATTATTTATGACTTCTTTTTTGTGACAGTGTGAATCATGAGAGCTATATACAGTGGGAGGGGTGTTTCTCTCTCTTTTTGTTCATGTTTGATGCTGTTAAATCGAATAACGGGGGGGGGATGAAGGTTTTATGATCGTATTTGCAGGGGTTGGACTAGATGACCTTTGGTGGTACCTTCCAACTCTACAGTTCTATGTTTCTGTGATTTGGTGGGGGTTTAATTCTGGTGTTTATTTTGCTCTAGGAGGCTTCGTTTGGTAAGAATGCAAGAGTTAATGCAAAAGACATGACTTTTTGTTAAATGAGCCACCGTGGCTGCTAGAGAGCCATGAAAATTTGTGTCCCAGGCTTTTTAGACTCATCTACTTATGTACTATCTGAAACCAAAGTGGTGAATTGGTTGCCAGATGTGAAATATTTTGGCATTCTTTTCAGCTCTCCCACCCCACTACCAGCTCCAAGTTTCCCTCACTCTAAGAAGTGAAAGTACAGGGAGCCAGGCACCTTCTTGGTATTGACACCCACCCTGTGGAATGCCGTCCCATCAGATAGCAAGGAACTTTTTGACTTTCAGCAGACATCTGAAAGCAGCCCTGTATAAGGAAGGTTTTTTTTTAATGATTTATGCTTTATTGTGTTTTTTTATATTTTGTTGGGAGCTGCCCAGAATGGCTGGGGCAACCCAGTCAGATGGGAGGCATATAAATAATATGGTTATGATTAATTATTATTATTATCATTTACAGTGTTTGTACCCAGCTCTTTAAAAAGGATCCCAGAGCAGCTTACATAAAATCAAAGCAAGACACTTCCTACCCACAGGCTTACATTCTAATAAACAAACAAACAAAAATACAACACACAAGGGGGAAAGGAAAATAAAACTGAAAAACTCAGGCCCTAAAGTCTAGACAGCTGTTCTATCTCTCCCACTGAGAGGCAGCCTGAGGAAATGGCTACCCCCAGATGACAGTTGAGAGAGAGGAGTCCTGGTGGAGCTAGCCTGTCGCTGCAGAGCCAATGAAACCACTGAGGAAGACAGGCAGTGATTTAAACACGCACATACCAGAATATTTATTACTACCAACCTTTTTCAAAAATCAGGCGTATTATTGATCATGTCGCCGGAAAACACCCCCCCTCCATTAACACGTGTATTGCACAAGCACCACATCCACACATACACGCATCTCCCCTCCCTGACCCTAGAGATGTCCCTTTAGAGGGCCATCTCTTAAAAGCCTTCCGTAAATAAGGAAGCGCTAGCTTGACAGCTTTCCGCTATAGCGCTCCGCATCGCCCTATCTTTATTGTGAGTAGACCGGCCGACTGAACTCTAGGTCGAACGGCGGCCGCCTCAGCCAATCAACATTGTCGAACAGCGCCCCTAGCGGCGGCCATGCTGGTACTGCAGGCTACAAGCGTCTGTTCCCTCACCTTCCGACAGTTCTCAATACATTGTTTCCGAGTTCAATTGACCGTGACTGATTTAATCAAAATGTAGCAAGCTACTTCCGAAAGGCGAAAGTACTTTGAACTTCAAGGACAATACTCTTTATAAATTCACCAAAAATCAGTCGTACCTCGGATTTTCATCGGACCAGTTTTATTTTACTACATGTTACAAGGACTATCAAAGGGGGGTGGACTGGGGGTGATCGGCCATAATCCTCTAACCGCGCAGTCACGTACACGGCCGCCCTTCTCCGGATGGCGGGGCAACCTTGATAACCATCATGATGGGCTCAGACGGAATGCTATCAGAAACACAATAAACTGCATACGGTAGTGTATTCCATACGGACTCTGACAAAGGACCCTGGCCGGATTCCCCTCAGGGGGGCAGGAAGACTTCGCCCTTTCTTTTGTCTTTGAAAATGACTCATGTGGGGTGGGGAGAGGAGGTCTCTGCCAGGTGTCAAGACACTCAGATTACCTGAGTAGCTCCTCCTCGACTCCTCCTGTTCTTTAATATAATCATGATGTAAATATGATGTAATTCTGGGGGTGTAGTTAAGGGGATTAGTGATTAATAAAAGTTGGGGTCTCCCTTTGTTCGGGGCTTCCATCTTGCTACACTTCATGGGCGGTGGGAGTCCTGTCTCGACAGTCTTTTCCTCAAATAAAGACCAAGCCTACTGGCTGCTGTTTTGCTCTGAATTTGCTCTGGCTGGTGTCTTCGTTTCGTCCAAGGGAGCCCTCGGTTTTTCCGTTAACAGTTTTGGCGACCGCGCTCAGGGACACTTGGTTCTCCTACAGAGGTGAGGGGGGAGATAGAGGGGATCGGGCGCCACCGGGCAACTTTAGCTCGGGGATCCTTTTTTTCCTCTCCCTGCCTCCTCTTTGTGGGCGGTAATCAACCGTCACCAGAAGCCCAACCAGAGAGAGCAAAGGCGAGGTAAAGCCGGCTAAAGAAAAAGGATCCCGGGATCTGCGGGGGACATCTTCGAACGTGAGTATGGTTTGAAGAAAAATACATTGGGAGGGGGGTGGAAGAATTAATGTCCTCACGACAGCCAGACTTTCCTTCTTTCATTTCTGGCGTTACCCCTCGGAGTCGGCCGGGAACGCTCTCTCTCTCTCTCTCTCTCTTTTCTCCCCCGATGTTCCCCCTCGGAGAGTGGCCAGGGAAATGGCGGAACTTTCCTGTCAGGCGTTACCTCTCGGAGTCGTCTAGCAACGTCTAAAACTTTCCCTTTCTCTCCCCAATTTCCCTTACGGAGCGTGGCCGGGGAAGTTGTGGTACTTTACTGTTTTCCGAGTGGGTAAAACATAGGATACTTCAGATTATAATGTTATTTCACTTCACTGCTTTCTCAGATGTTGCACAGCTGTTGCCGCTTAATACTGACACGAGTGGGTAAAACATAGGATACTTCAGATTATAATGTTATTTCACTTCACTGCTTTCTCAGATGTTGCACAGCTGTTGCCGCTTAATACTTCGATTCTTAAACAAGGTGGTACTTCCTGTCAGTTACACACCCCTTAGACAACCCTACTCCTGAGGGACTCCAAGTAACAGACTCAAGGGATCACTGGTTTAGGAGTCTTCTCTTTCTAGAAGAATCTCTCCCCTCCTGACTGGAATGAGACCTACATTGGTCTCTCTACAACTTCTACTTCTCCTGGCTCAGCCTCAGCCTCCCAGTTATTTCCTGGCCTAATTACTCTTACAGGACACCAAACACTGCCCTTCACAGCTCAGAGACTCCTTTCTCTAGCTTGTGATATATTCCTCAGGGTGGATGTTTCTACCCAGAACCAACTCTCTCTCCCAACCACAGCCCTAACCTACTCAAACTGTCTCTCCAAATCCTCTCCTTTTCAACTCCCCCTCCTGGAACCCCAGCCAATCATAGGCTGCCGTTTGTTAACCATTTGCTGGCAGGGAAAAAGAAAAAGAAAACACTTGGTGAACCAACCTGCCCAGCAAAATCAAACTTTTCTGTCACAACTCCCAGCGCCCCAAAATCCAACAACATTTGGAGGACCACAAGTTCTCCACTCCTGATTACTTTGGATTAATTTGGTTCACTAAGACAATAGCCAAAGGAAGGTTAGAAGGCAAAATAATGAATACAGTCATATCTCATGTTACGTTTGCTTCAGGTTGCGCGTTTTCAGGTTGCGGCGACCCGGAAGTAATGGAATGGGTTACTTCCGGGTTTCACCGCTTGCACATGCGCAGATCCACAAAATGACACCACGCACATGCGCAGAAGCGCTGAATCGCGACCCACGCACGAGCAGACGCGGTTGCATTCTTTTCAGTTGTGAACGGGCCTCCGGAATGGATCCCATTCGCAACCAGAGGTACCACTGTATAATCAAACATGGGCTACAGTCCATTTTAGAACCCACTCTGTAGCAGTGATGCCACTATTGCATCTCTTCAATGCTGTCTAGAGGAGTGTGCTCTGAGTGGTGAAGGTCTGTCCTATGACTTTGGGTGGGTTATATATGGATGCAAGGATGTGATTGCACTAATTTAGCTGAAGCTCTCTCTCAGTGTGTTCAAAAACAGTTACCAGGATATCAATTGGAACTGCTTTGCAGGGGTGAAACAAGTGGCCATAAGGTTTATATGGACCTAGTTGTTCCTCAAAAGCAGGGCACAAAAAGTGATGTTCAAAGACTCTTGTTGCACCCCATAGTCACTAGCCTATGACAGTGGTTTTCAACCAGTGTGATGCGGCACCCTGGGGTGCCTTGAATGATAGTTGGGATGCCACGGGAAACACTAGCCTCTGTTCATCTTTCCTTTCTTCCCTCCCTCCTCTGACGCCCTCGTGTCTCTGCTTCCCAAAGGCTTGCACAGCTGCTTGTTGCAGCAGCCCTGGCTACAAGCTTCCCAGACAAATTGTGCCTCTGGGGCTGGCCAGGGGGTGCTGGTTGCCAGGAACTCAGAGACCAGGGGTGGCTGCGGCGGCTGCCTGGAGGACTCCCAAGGGGAAGGGAGAGGAGAGGAGGCTTAGGGAACACTCCACAAAGGTGTTTGAAAAAGGGCAAGAGGCTGCCAGCCTGGCAGGCAAGGGGTGACATAACTGGGCTCCTGAGCCCTACAGGGGTGCCGCAGAAAGAATGTAGTTGATCAAGGGAGCAATGGACTCAAAAAGGTTGAAAACCTCTGGCCTATGAGGTGCCATCTTGTCCCTCATGATTTTTAACGTCTACATGAAACTACAGCATAAGATTATCCAGAGTTTCAGCTGAATATCAGCACAATGCTCATATGCTAATTTTCATCAGATTGTAAGGAGGAAGTGAAAACCCTGAATCGAGGTCTGGGGGATGAGAAAACAAGGGAAATAATCAAGTAGAATCAGCATCACTGAATTCAATGGAGCTTACTCACAGGTAAACTATGCATGAGATTGCTCTTATGCCACTTAACTGATCAGGGATATGAACCCAGACCTCCCTGGTCAAATTCCAACATGCTGACTACTAAACCACCCTTTAACAGCTCAGTAATCTGTGATTGTCCACTATTCCAGTATGCATAGGATCAACACATGTGTCTGCATTTGAGACCCGGCTTGAGGATATGGTTATGTGGGCTGCCATGGTGAGCTCTCCCTCTTCAAAGTGTACCATGACAGCACTGGTTTCTCCTGTCTCCCCTTTCTGGAAGGAAGGTTATTGCCCTCACCCAACTCATTCCAGCCAACATTGTTCACAGCTTTTACTGTTGAAAAATAAGCCTGCTTTCAGATAATTTGGCATCCTGAAGCAAAAGGTAATTACTTGCTTACTAAGGCAGAAGCTATAAACCAATCCATTATTGCATCCACGGTTTATGTTAACAGTGTTAAAGGTAAAGGTACCCCTGACCATTAGGTCCAGTTGTGACCGACTCTGGGGTTGCGGCGCTCATCTCGCTTTATTGGCCGAGGGAGCTGGCATACAGCTTCCGGGTCATGTGGCCAGCATGATTAAGCCGCTTCTGGCAAACCGGAGCAGCACACGGAAACGCCGTTTACCTTCCCACTGGAGTGGTACCTATTTATCTACTTGCACTGTGACGTGCTTTTGAACTGCTATGTTGGCAGGAGCAGGAACCGAGCAACGGGAGCTCACCCCGTTGCAGGGATTCGAACCGCCGACCTTCTGATCGGCAAGCCCTAGGCTCTGTGGTTTAACCCACAGCGCCAGCCTTGTTCCAAAGGAATCGTCCCTGGGTGGGCACAACCCAGCAAAATATATTTAACAGCCCCAAGATATCAGCCATCAGTAAGAGGCGTGTCTATCATTGTCGATTTTTAGAGCTAGAAGCAGTGCTTTTTTCTTTTAAAAATGTTTAGGGGTACTCTCAAGAAAATCACCATTTTATAATTCAAATTGGGAAAAGTAAATACAGTATATGGGCAAAAATACTAAGATTCACAAAATGTTTAGGGATATCCTGCTTCCCCCCAGAAAAAAACACTGGATAGAAGGGGCCTTAGAAGTCATTCAGTCCAACCACTTGTTCAGTACAGGACTCTCACAACTACAGCATCTCTGGCAACGCAACCTGTTTACATTCCTTCAGCAAAAAGGAGTGATTCTCTTGCATCAGGGAATAAGAAACATTGCAAAACACACACACACAAAAACACCCCTCTACACAGTATACAAACTGTATTGAAATATACTCACTTTCTTCTTGAGGTGTAAGGCCTCAGTCTTAAGGAGCTCTACCAGAGAGCCTTCTGGCTCCCCCTGATCTTCCTCAGTGGGTGGCTGCTCATCAACAGAGGATTCCATGGGAGTGGGGCTTTCTGCCCTTTGTTCAACCCCAAGGTCCATCTCCAGCACGGAAGTCAATTTTGCATCTCAATTTTCTGCAAATAAAACAAGCATTCCCTGTAATATTATCTAATGGAAATCCATAGTTGATTCAGAGGAAGGGTTATGGTGGGTAATGATGAGCAAAAGCTGCCAGTTAATGGAGGAATCCTTTGGAGGTCAACCAGCCAAAGGCCAGTTGAAGAAGAATGTTTTCACTTGGTGCCTAAATGTGTATAATGAAGGCATTAGCTGAACCTCACTGGGAAGAAAATTCCATAAACGAGGAGCCACTGCAGAAAAGGCCCGTTCTCGTGTTGCCACCCTCTGGACCTCACCTCTGTGGAGGAGGCACACAAATAGGGACCTCAGATGATGATCATGGGGTCTGGGTAGGTTCATATGGGGAGGGGCGGTCCTTGAGGCACTGCAGTCCTGAGCTGTTTAAGGCTTTATAGGTCAAACCCAGCACTTTGAATTGGACATGAAAACTAATCGGCAGCCAGCGCAGTCGGGCCAGGATTGGAGTAATATGCTCAAAACATTGTGCCCCAGTGGTTGCCAAATTCTGCACTAGCTTAAGTTTCCAAACATCTTCAGACGCAGCCCTACATATAACATGTTGCAGTACTGTAATCTAACCTAAATGTTACCAGAGCATAAACAGTAGTTAGGCTAGCCCTGTCCGGATAGGAGTGCAGCTGAGCCACCAGCCAAAGCTGATGGGAGGCACTCAGTGCCACTGAGGCCACCTGAGTCTCAAGTGACAGCAATGGATCCAGAAGTATATTCAAGATGCATACCTGCTCCTTCAGAGGGCATGTAACCCCATCTGGATTGAACTTCAGTTTCTTGGCTCTCATTCAGACAATTACCAAGGCAAGTCAATGGTCCAGTACATCCATTGCCTCTCCACCTCACCTGCAGATGTAAAGGGGAAGCAGAGCTGTGTCATCAGCATATTGCTGACAACGTACTCCAAAACTCTAGATAATCCACTCAGAGGTTTCATGTAGCTTTTAAACAGGATAGGGGATAAAATCAAGCCTTGAGGAACCCCACATGTCATAATACAGGTAAGATCCTGTGGTTCAGGTTTGAACAGCAACAATGCAGAGTTAGAAGTACTGTACTGTATTTACAAAGAAACCAAAGACTGGAACTGAGGGAAGTTGGGGGTGGGGGGTTGTGTGGGAGGGTGGGGGGTGGGAGGAGGGAGGAAAATGGGGGGAAATTATGGATGACATGTTTTTGGATAATATGTTTTATTTAAATCTTTAATAAAAAATATAAAAAAGAAGTACTGTACTGTAGTAAATAAAGCTTTCCAGCTGACCAGAAAAAAAGAAAGGAAAGTAAAATGTGTCTCCTTGTGGCTAGGCAAGAATATTGTCTTTGACCAACTGCTCCCTTGGGCTTGCTTGACCACAAGATGGTGCACAAGAGCCTGGATCAGTGAGGCACACTAAAAGACTTATGGGCTCAAGTGACTGGAACAGATCCTATAGTTAGGATAGCACAGGATTCATTTGATTATTGAATGTAGCCTGTAAGACTGCAAAGGCCATAGTTTAAACTATCACCTGAGTTGCACAGATCAAGAATGGTGACTGCCAAAAAAACTCAGAGACACCTTAGTCCATGCTTTAAAATCCTATGAGACAAGTCTAGTGCTGGGATTTGATCTAGGTTTCCCTCCAACAGGACTATGACGGAGGAGCATTTTTTATCAGATCCCTAATTACAGCAGTTAGTGCAGGCATCCCCAACCTCAGCCCTCCAGATGTTTTGGGACTACAACTCCCATCATCCCTGACCACTGGTCCTGTTAGCTAAGGATGATGGGCATTGTAGTCCCAAAACATCTGGAGGGCCGAGGCTGGGGGTGCCTGAGTTAGGTTAATTTCTAACAAACCTACCTAAGTTTGGGGTGAAACTAGAATTTATTTCACCTGGGTCAAAAACCCAGTTTGGCACACACACCCGCATGCACATTTGCATACACACACACACTCACACATATCACACACTCACATATACACACACATACAGAGGCTGACGACCTCAATTGTGCCCTCTGGAGGCTTCACGCAGAGCAAAAAACCCAGATAGCTCCCCTTGTCTCTCCCCCCCCCCCTAGCTATGGCACTGCCTATGTACAGCTCTTGAGAAGCTGTGAATACCTATCTTAATCAAGGACAGACCAACTCAATCATACCAAAGATCTCTTTTTAAAGCCTGATCTCATGTGCAAAGTCCTCACAATTCTGCCATGAGGAGAGAGGCAGCCACTCCACCCAGTAAGGCAGCATGTCAGCAGATGGCACATTCCCAGCACAATGTCAGGTAATACTTCACCTGACGAATTTGGGCCTGCCATGTAGTTGTTGAGGCGCTCAGCAACGTCACCTGGCTTCCAAGACCAAGGGCTACTGTGGCATAAGCCCAGCAGGGATGAACTGTGGCTTCCTTCTCCAACCAGCAGCCCTAGCAACACAAGGAGACATCTTCCCCATTTGGAGAGGGGCGGCCATAGCTCAGGGGCAGAGTATCTGCTTTGCAGGCAGAAGATCCCAGGTTCAATCCCAAGCGGAGGGCTAGGAATGTCTCTGCCTGACATCTTGGGAATGCTGCTGCCACTCAGTTTGGGCAATATACTGAGATAGAATGACCTGACTTGGTGCCAGGAGGCTTCCTTTATTCCGATTTGCAAAGCTCCCGGTCCCAGAAAAGCAACCGCACAAGAACTATTTCAAAAGAAGCCATTTATGTATGCCGCAACAGCGGCTAGGATTTTAGTAGCCCCAAAATGGAAAGAAGATAAGATACCAACGAAAAAGGAATGGCAAGTTAAACTTACGAAATAAATATGCAGAAATGGCGAAACTCACGGGAAGACTTAGAGATAAAGACAATAGAGACTTTAAGAAAGACTGGGAATCGATTACGCTTTATTTACAGAAACATTGTAAAGAAATGGGCTCACTGGCAGGGTTTGAGTAAACACAATTAAGAAAACAAGAGCAAAGGTTAAGAAATAACAATATGGAAATTAATTAAATGTAAGATGTAGTTGAAAGAAAACTTGGTATAAATACGGTAAGAATGTAAGAGCACTTAGACAAAAGATAAGACAAAATTTGCTCAGAAGTAGCAAACAGTTAAAGAACCAGAAGGGAAGTTTGAGGGAAGTCAGGGGGGAGGTCTGTTTTACTGTATTCCCCCCCCCCCGTTTACATGATAAATGTGTTGAATATCAAACTGTAAAATTCAATAAAATTTATTACAAAAAAGAACTATTTCAACCCCTAGACCCAAGACCTACATACGGTACTTACTGAGCTCATCCATGAAGTACTGTATCTTTCCCGTTTAAGGCGGAAAGTAGCCTAGCTAAACTCATCGTCCACAGTACTGTAACATACAAAGGAGCCATTTGAATTCTGGAGACTCAGGAAAACTAAAGCCCCCACTCCCCAACCCCAACTACCTGTCCCGTAAGTAAGCGGCATTGCAAAGCCCGCCACCTCCCCTCCGCTTGGAGGAGCCCTTGCTGGTGTCGTCCTCTCCGTCCCCACAAAAAGGGCCAGAAAACAAAGCCAAGCTCCATAGCAAGAGCCCGCAAAAAGTTTGGCGCGATGAAGGACAAGCGCCACCCTCGACCCCACCCAAAAGACCAGCGCCGTAACCGAGGAGCAGCAATCGTCGTTAGATGCTGCGAAACCAATTCCCTCCAGCGACGAATCTCCCGCCCTTGGCGCGCTACCCACCTCTGGAAAAAGTGGGTGCCCTTCACAGCTCGGCGGGACGACGGCTTCCCCCAAGCCTGCTCTGCTTCGACTGAAACGCCTCAGGCAGAAGTAGAAAATAAGGCGCGCCTTGCTCGTGTGCAGGACTCGGTTTCGCTTTCGTTGCCTCGAGGCAGCCCCTCTTTCCTGTCAGGCCATCAAGACATAGCCTGCGGGAAGAAACTCGGAATTTCCCTGTCCTTCGACGAACTTCTTCTTTGCATCGCTTCATTTGCAAAGCAAGAGGTGGGGAAGGCTCCGGAGTTCCTGGGAGCCCGACCGTACGAGTGCGTTTCTGTCTGGTTGCATTGCATTTCCAAAAGACAATTTAAAACTAAAGGTGATGGGGAGCAGCTGCTCACTCAGTGGTCTTTACAGGTCAGGAACCAAATGGCCAAACGTAAATAAATGCTTAGCATTCATATGGCGGTCTTCCTAAGCATAGCTGTCAATTTTCCTCCTTTTTAAGGGAAATTCCCTTATTCTGAATAGGATTTCTCGCAAGAAAAGGGAAAAGTTGACAGCTATGTTCCTAAGGTGTTCACATTTCTGTGGCATTTGTGACCTTGCATGGTAGGCCATTTCTCTTTCCCCAGTGGAGGAAGTCTGTGAGAGAGACTTGGAGAAACCCCTGCAGTCAAACTCCACTGTGTCCTCACCACTCTCACGTTTCCAGCTGCTCCACTACAGTACCTGGATAGAGAATGTGTTTGTTTTAATTATCTTGGGAACTGCTAATGCTGAAATAAATGCTAGGTCTGCCTAGTTAAAACACAGAAATTTTTGAACACAGAAGAAATATCAGTAGCTGACAAGAGCATGCAGGAGAAATTCTAAATTAGGGGATGAAGCCTCAGATCACCTCAGAATGAAAAGGTGTGCAAGGACACAAAGTTTATGTAAAGGCTTAATCCTATTAATCTGTATAGGGATGACTTGGGAAGAATGCCTCATGTATCAAAACAGGCACAGGTGGTAATTCTGACAACTATCACAGGCAGGTTAATAGATAAAAAATTTATTAAGAAGGCAACCAATACAGGCTGTAGCCAAACAGTAGTGTATTGTTTCAGGCCGTGCCGTGCTGTTTTGGGACTACAATTCCCATCATCCCTGACCACTGGTCCTTTTAACTAGGGATAGATTTTACTTTCTTGGGCTCCATGTTCACTGCAGATGGTGACAGCTGTCACGAAATTAAAAGACGCCTGCTTCTTGGGAGAAAAGCAATGACAAACCTAGACAGCATCTTAAAAAGCAGAGACATCACCTTGCTGACAAAGGTCTGTATAGTTAAAGCTATGGTTTTCCCAGTAGTGATGTATGGAAGTGAGAGCTGGACCATAAAGAAGGCTGACCGCTGAAGAATTAATGCTCTTGTATTATGGTGCTGGAGGAGACTCTTGAGAGTCCCTTGGACTGCAAGAAGATAAAACCTATCCATTCTGAAGGAAATCAGCCCTGAGTGCTCACTGGAAGGACAGATCCTGAAGCTGAGACTCCAATACTTTGGCCACCTCATGAGAAGACTTCCTGGAAAAGACCCTGATGTTGGGAAAGATGGAGGGCACAAGGAGAAGGGGACGACAGAGGATGAGATGGTTGGACAGTGTTCTCGAAGCTACCAGCATGAGTTTGACCAAACTGCGGGAGGCAGTGGAAGACAGAAGTGCCTGGCGTGCTCTGGTCCATGGGGTCACGAAGAGTTGGACAGGACTAAACAACTAAACAACTACAAAATGGGAGTTGTAGTCTCAAAACAGCTGGAGGGCCAAGTTTGGCCATGCCTGACATAGAGGGTGTACAGATCTTACAGCATGGTCATCTCAAGAGGGGCTTGTTCTCCATAGTAGTGGAGTCAAAGGAATCTCTCACCACCTGCCTTCAGCCAGCCAGCCCAGATCACTCTGCCTTTTTCAGCTATCTGAAATCTTGTGCCAAAGGCTCCCAAAACGTCTTGTGACATCACACTGTTACCCTGGCAGCCTTCTAAATCCCGTCTCTGTTCATACCTCAGGGCAGAGGGAAGGAGTTTTCTTGCATTGCCAGTGGCCCTGTATTAGCTTGGCCAGGTCATGCTGCATAGGCTAGCCCAGGAATTCCCCTGTAGCTTGTATTCTCCCTTTGTATCCCAAATAATCAAAATCCTACCATTTGTTAATTTCTAGGGGGAGGGGTTGGGGGGGTCCCGCACCAGCCTATAACACCATGCACATAAAGGCTGGATAATATAATCCAACATCTATATATACTCCCACTCTTAGGCAATATGAAAAAAATTAATACAATGAAACAATAATGAATTGTTTTTGTGTTTCACTTTATGCCTCGCTTAGTCACTTCCTCATTGTGCAGGGTTGTAAATGTTATCAGAAACTCCCTGCTTAAGTTTCGTTTTATTGAAAGTCACAAGGATTCCTAATTGCTGCAAACTGAAAATGGAAACTATTTTTCAAAACAACTGCCGTGCAAAGGTCTCAGGCACAGCAGGAGGTACATGAAGATCCTCTTCCGACTGATCTTGGGAAGGGTTTAATTAGAATGTTTCTTTCCAAGGACTCCTAGCCACTGTTCTTTGCATTGCTGCTGCCATCAGAAAAAGCCAAAATGAAGACCACAGAACACTGAGATCAGAGTGATGCTCAGACCAACATTACCGCTCACGTTGCAGTTCTCAGCCCATAAAGATCAGAGTGATGCTCAGACCAACATTACCACCAAGAAGACCAGTTCACATGGGTGCAATCCACAACAATACTGAGCAGTGGAGATGCTGAAGGCAAGCTGTGTACTCAATTAAGTTGTAGCTAATTTTGCCAATAGAATTCTGGTTAGGACCAACTGGTCAGATTTCAAGCCCTGACCCACAAGATCAAACTTCTGAAAACCCATGAGCTAAACTGCCTTCTCTCAGCTTGGAGTCTCTCCTGCAACACATTGGTGAGCTCCAGTGGACCATTCGGAAACCACAGTGGTGGGAAGAAGCAATCACTCTTAAAACTTGCACTGTTCTTTCCCCAGTGAAAGATTAGAGCATGGGTAGGCAAACTAAGGCCCAGGGGCCAGATCAGGCGCGATCGCCTTCTCAATCCGGCCCGCAGACAGTCCAGGAATCAGTGTGTTTTTACATGAGTAGAATGTGTCCTTTTATTTAAAATGCATCTCTCTCTAAATGCATCTCTGTGGGGCATAGGAATTCATTCATTTTTTTCTTCTTCAAAATACAGTCTGGCCCCCCACAAGGTCTGAGGGACAGTGGACCAGCCCTCTGCTGAAAAAGTTTGCTGACCCCTAGATTAGAGCTACACTCTCTAGTTCCTCATTCCACTTGCAATGCTACCAATGGAAGCACCAATCATAGTGTGTTATGTCAGCTTAGTGGCCAATAAACCCCATGGGGAGGGGATAGCTATGTGGCTGTGTACACACTCCCATTTGCTCTGCATCCAGTGTGCTGTCAACTGCTGGCTTGGGAAGCAGCGTATACACAACAATAGCCACAATCCATACCCATTCCGTATCTGATCTGTAATTTATTATAAAAGAAACCTGGGTCTCGATGCATTCCCCCCCCCAAAAAAAAAACAACAACAACAACCCAGCTTTCATCCAAATGGAGAAAAAAAATGACCTGGCTTCATTTTAAATTGGCAATGTGTATGCAGCCCAAGATAATGCAACAAAGCTGTAAGGGTACACAGGGAATAAGTATAACCAAGAAGAGCGTGCATGCACTTTTCAGGTAAAAGGTCCCAGAGTCAATGCTTGGCATCTCCACTTAAGAGAACAAAATAAAACATTTACTGGTAAACTAAGGGCCAGAATCAGGTAATGGTGCAGGTGCAGGGTGTTTTTTTCTGCTTGAAAGTTTTGAGACCACTGTCGATTGGAATAGAAAATGCTGGGTTAGAAAAACAACTAGCCTAGCCTATGTTAACTTTCCATGCCATTTTTTTTTCTTGTGCTTTATGCTTTGTTAAACCTCTTCCTGAGAGTCGAGTGAAAGTGAATCTAAAACATGATGAAACGACATAGCTTCTCAGAAACTTCACCATGTGTTCCTTACTTAAAAAAAGATAACCAGGGCCAGTGCTTCTTCTCCTTAAAAAACGTTTAGGGGTACTCTCATTTTGACTCAAGAAAATCACCATTTTATAGTTCAAATTGGGAAAAATAAATACAGTAAATGGACAAAAGTAGAAAGATTCGCAAAATGTTTAGGGGTATGCGTACCCCTGCGTACCCCCAGAAAAAAAGCACTGACCAGGGCTTCGTTACTCCTGCCAAGTTTAACCAAACATGCTCTCTCAAAAGGACTGCCACATCAATATCTCTCCAACACAGCAGATAATTTTTTAAAAAGTGCTTTATTTTCTTAATTCCCTTTCATTAGTAGTGTTCCCTTAAGTATGCCACTCAAATCCAATGTACATTGGAAATTATCAAAGGTAACCACCCTTCAATCTAGAAGCCCCAAAATCCCACGGTTATTTCAATTCTGCTGCCCCAGAGTTCGGAAACAATGGATGACCTTGTGCTTTTTTTCTTTTTTCAGATTCAGGGTTTTATACACCTGAAGGAGGTAAAGAGGTTACTATTCTTCACACTGAACAGTCCCGGAGTGTGAGCAACTTCTGAATTCAAGTTGTGTGATGTCTGAAAATGCATGAATAAGGGTACAGTACATCTGCCCCCTAATGCTCATGCTCCAAAATGTTCATGGCCCGAAAGCTTCACTGTCAAGCCTGGGTCACTTCTATTGTTTGGTCACAGGCATCTATTACTTCTGTATCCTCACTGGATGATCCCAGATGTTGGCAGTATGCTGTCACTGCCATCCAACAAGGCTTCACCGGCATGACTCAGTTCCTCTTCAAGGCTCTTCTCTGCAGAAAAGACAAAAGCGGGGAAAGATGCATTTTGTTAAGACTGTGATTCTTTTTATGTTTTAACAAGTCAAATCTCACCTGTGATTTTAAAAAAAAGAAATGGGGGATGAGGTTCCATGAAGACCAAAAAGACATTCCTTCAAAAGGCTTAATGCTTGAGGGAAAG